AACCCAACCCAACCGCGAACCCAACCCAACCGCGACCCCAACCCAACCGCGAACCCAACCCAACCGCGAACCCAACCCAACCGCGAACCCAACCCAACCTCGCGCAAACCATTACCTCGCCCGACACGCGCGCCAACCATAATAATAAATAAATATTGAACAATGTTATCAAGTTTAAAAATAGAATTATATGTATTTTAAATATTTATAATTGCATAAATATTAAAATTATATATACATATATAAAAATTAATTAGAATTTTAAGAACATTTTTTACAAATCACCTTTTTAAACAAACATTATTTCTGTGTAAGTAACTGTGCAACTTCTCTTATTGAAGCCATATTTTCATGTATGTAAGCTTTGGTTTCCCATAACATTTTGCATAATCTTTCATCGGATTTTTCATCGAGGGCGAAATCTTCAGACAAGCGTGGGCTGAACCTAAAATAAGGGATTCCTGATGAAGAACACCAAGCTCTTGCTCTATCCACTACTCTGCCATCTGTTGCAGTTGCCTAATATTTTTATTTTTTTTTTAATTGTATATTTATTTATTGTTATTACCTGGTCAAGGAGTAAATATGCTAACGGCTGTAACACCAAAACTTGTTTTGGTCCTTTCCAACTATCTTCATGTAGCTTTTGATAAATATTTGACTCTGTAACCGGGAGAATACCCGTCCCTAAACTAACAACGATTTCTGCAGGGCATTCTTCACTGCAACGAAGTTTTGCTCTCAAAGCCAAATTGTATTCGTGAATTTCTGTCAAGGCGTCTAATGTTGGATTATTCGCTATTAAACCACCATCTAGGAATTTATTGAAAGCGCTGCAAAACATCAATTAGATTTCTATAAAAATAATTTTAAAATACTTTGGTCGGCCGACGTCTTCGTAGTCGGCCGAGATTACTTCTTATATCACGAACAATATCTGGAGCGGGCGTAGGGTGCTATAAATAATTAGTGTTATTTTTCCGAGTGATACATTAACAACTTCTAAAACTTGAAATTCATCATATTTTCGTATTTTTCTTGATATGCAGATGTTCCATAGCTTCCGCATCACAGCATAATACAGTTGTAGGACACATTATTCTGAAGCGATCTTTCTAATAAAATTTTTCCGAAATGTTTATAATAACCGCACGGGAACTGTTTAAAGTTATAGAAAAATAGCAATTTTCCGTGAATCACGGAAAATGTTTATTTCTCTTTCCGTGTTGATTTTATTGGTGAGTACACGTGCGAAACTAGCTTAGAACGGCGCGGTGGACCGGCCGAGGATGGGACCGATTGCCTGAGTGTTTTTTTTAGTGTAATAAAAATCAGAAGATATGAAAATTTGATGAATTCGTAGTTTTTACAAGTTGTTAATGTATCCCTCGAGATTGAGAGTAGCCTGCTGGAAATTTATGGAAGAAATAATCTCGGAAGACTTCCAAGACGTCGTATTATAAGTATTGCTCGTGATTAAAAATCATTCAAAAAAATGTTCACCTAAAATAAGTAGGGGCTGCTCCAGTGGCTCTGGCAACGTGCCAGAGCAAAGTTTCGTCCGGTGGTTTAGGTAATTCATAAGGTGAGTTATGTTTATCACCCAAAATTTCTCTGGGACTCTCATAATTTCGAAATAAATGTAACTCGGCGGGTTTTCGATCGGCTAAAACGCCGGGAATTAAAAGCTTTGGCTCTTTAATATCAGTCATAACAGAGTTTGAACCCAAACATTCTTTCAATATGGTTTCAAGGGGCTCGCTTGGATATGGGCGGCTTCCGCTAAACATTTGTTGTTTTAACCGGAAATACAAACATTGACACTCTTTCAATGTTTTACCAGCGGCTAAACCCAATGCTAAAATCCCGCCTGTGCTAGTTCCGGTGATCCAATCAAAACAGTTGTTAATTGGACAGCCGATAGCAGCTTCTAACTGCAAAAGTATTTGAATCAAAATTAATCCGCGAATTCCACCTCCATCTAAACACAGTAATCTTCCTTTTTGTGGGAGATTATTTTTGCGATTTAATGAAGTAACTGCAGTTAACGTTTCGTTCAATAAATCACGATCTGAGCTAAAAATTCTTGGTGGTGCGTCCCCGTTATAATTGTTATTGTATTTACAACCATTTGCGCAATTAGAAACGTTTGGGGTACACCTTCTCGCTCCAACAGCATGCAAACAATACAAACCCGTGGAATTGTTACTTTTAGCGGCTAAATGTCTCGGAGATTCCTCTTTGCGATTCACGGCATTTACATCAGCACCGAAAATAATTAAACATTGGATGATTGAGGTATTTCCCGAGTGAACAGCTAAATGTAAAGGTGTATTCCCATCGCGATCTTTAATGTTAGTTTCGGCCCCTCTACTTAATAACCCAACAACACATTCCAATTTGTTTTGAAAAATAGTTTTCCCATTTAGATTATCAGCCATACAAGCCAAGTGTAAAGGGGTATAACCCAATTTATTCTTGTTATTCAAAGAACGCGGGCGAAAAACATGCGGAAGAGTCGCAATAACTTCATTTTCTTTCGCAGCAAGGTGATAAATACTGTTAGCATTATGGTCAACATGATCTAACGAACATTTTAATTTTATCAAAATGTTTATGGTTCTCAAGCGCGCAAGTTTTAGATTATTTGTGGCTGTTAATGCAACTTGTAAAGGTGACATTCCTGTGACGGTATCTGTACTGTTTAAGTAACGCTTAATAATATCGTTATTAAAAGCATCATAAAGCGCGAAATAAGCCGCAATATGGGCGATATTCCACGATGGATAGTATAAGATAACATCAGAAATTTTCTGAATGTCACTGTTGGTTTTCATATCTTTAACGATTTCTAGAAATGTTAGAAGTTTGTCTTTTAGGGAGTTGAAGCGTTCTTCAGCGTCAGCTTGATTGTCTGATCGAAATACGCTATTAATTACAGATCATTTTAATTTAATAAAAAACTTTATATGTATAGTGTTAGTGTTACTACCTGAATGCTTGAGCTCTTGTCACTCCTTGTTTAAATAAAATTACTTCAAACACAAACTTACTTCGGAAACGGACTCTTGTTGTTTCGGGTGCGTAAAGAACCAGGTCATCTTTTCGGCAAATAATGCGCCTTTTAGCATATAAAGCTGGGGTAACATACATTACTTTAGTAGGGGGAGTTTCATTGGGAAGTAAGTTACGCATTACTACAAACAAAAATAAGAAATTTATGCAAAAAATTAACTAATAAAAATAAATTTTTGGTTTACTTACGATTAAACATTATCCCTTGTTTACAAATCAGATCAAGTTCAGTCAAGTTTCAAACCAATTAATAAAGATTTTTATCATTTTGATAAAAACAAAAATATATATATCAAACATTTATTACTAAATATAAATATATATATAATTATTTGTACATTAATACATTAAAGTAATATTTGAAATTAAACTGTTAACTAAAAAACTAACTTTTAAAATTTGTTATAAAAGTTCGAATTGTTTTTAGGTTAAGTTAATTGTTTTGTTTACCATCTTGTTGAAGTACGACCACTACGATACGGTAAGTTTATAATTATATTTATTAGAGATTTGGAACGTTTAAAAAAAAAGTTAGTATAAAAGTTATAGGAAACATTATTCTTAACAATATTGGACCTTTATACTTTTCCTCTTAGATGCATTAATATCGAGAAAAATATGAAAATATTCTGAAAGAAACGAATATTGTTAAGAACTAAATTTCCAGCATTAAACGCTGCGTGTACACGCAGCTTCATGTTTTCCTATAAGCGTGTGACGCAAACTAGTATAAAATTTGTTTCATCTTGAATGAGGTTTTGGGTAACCGTACAATGGATCCGCGATATATTAACAAATTGTTTCTCTTGTTAAGGTGGAATTTCCTAAGCGCATCGAACGCGTTCGACGTTTAATCACAGATGCAAACTAGTTAAACGTAATAGATTTCCTATGAATGCGAACTTAGATAGATTGGGCAGAGCTAAATACTTTAGCAGTCTCGACCTTAGTAATGGATACCACCAAATAGAATAATTGAAAAGAAGACTCGATATGTTGACGTAGAATTTCCACATACAGTCTGTCCGTAAAGTAGCGAATATACCCAGTAAACAAGAAACCTCTGTGAAACATTTCAATTTTAACGTACAGTGAATTAAATGAAACATCTTAGAACTACGTTTCATATACGTGACAGATACGATTTTTACGAAACGTATCTAAAGATATGTATCAAATACATTTCAGTAGAAATATTTATGAAATATCATTAAAATTTGTAGCAGAAACATTTCATTTGAAACATTTCGCTATAAATGTGTCTGAAACATGTCTGGAATATCTTCAGCACCGCCTGTGAACGTATGTACAAACATTAATTAATGTTTGTAAACAGAACTAACCTAAGGTAACATTCCTTCACGGTTTAATTGACAGTTCAAAAGAAAACTTCACGCTATGATTGGCATTACTAATTACTAAAGAAAACTTCACGCTATAATTAATATTTGTAAACAAAACTAACCTTACGTAACATTCCTTCACGGTTTAATTGGCATTTGAAAAGAAAACTTCACGCTATAATTAATGTTTGTAAACAGAACTAACCTTACGTAACATTCCTTATAGGCGATAAAATCATTATAAGCGTAAGTATTGGCTTTCACGGCCGGTGTTAATTAAATTAAAACTAACATTAGACCTACAACTAGAAACTTTCGGGTTAAGCCCGAAGTTATTTATTAAGTGCATTAAGTGCGGCTTTTGAAAACATTTTTGGCGTTTCGGATGCGATGTTGCAACCTTCTTTAGAAACAAAGAGAAAACTTCGAACTTGTTACTCTCTCATATTCCGCAATAAAAATGGGAGATTGCCATTTGAAAATAATATTGATGACGTAATAACTCGTTTAAAAATTGCGGAAAAAATTTAAAATCTATCCCAAAAAAAAACTTTTACAAAAATTTAAATCTTTAGACTCTTTTCAGGAATTTTTCCATAAACACCGACGTTTCTGTTCTTCTCTTGCTATCTTCACAACTTCATCCATAAAATGTACAAATAGCAATGGGGATAAACTGTCCCCCTGTTTAACATCTTTTTCCATGACGTTATATTTTCTTTGTAAATAATTTGTATGCAGAGTATACTAGTACTTTTAGTTAGCTATAAAACTTATCAATCAAAATACTACATACATACTTGTATCATTTACCAAGTACATTGTTTCTACGTCCTCTGATTAATTTAAAAGATTACATTATATTTATTGTGTTTAACACTTTCAAGTCTTATTAAAACTTAACAAAGATATAGAAAAAAATGCATTCTGCAATTTATAAAAGTGTTACGACAATAATTTTTCAATTAGTAATTAGTTTAACAATCAATTTTTAATTGTAATTTTATACATATAAGAAATTACGATGCTCTTTGGATACGCCACTGGATAAAATCAGACCAATTTGATTGTGGGGTATCGTTGGATTCGTATTGTTTTATTCTTTCGGAAGGTACCATAATATACTGGGTGTTCCATTTAAAAAAACAAAGTTGATCCACTTTCCGGAAAAACTAAAAGTGACAACAAAATTTTCCATAAGAAAATATTTGTGCTGATAAAGTATAGAAACTGACGTGTTTTTGTTCATATTGATATCTCAATCCGTTCAGAAGTTGAAGGGGGGGGGGGGGTGACTTTACGCTAGCACTGTATAATGTATACAATTTCTTTGCCCTGTCTTTTCCAGTGCTTTCCAGACCTCTAACTTTAGCACCACATCAAACGCAAAGTGCATACCCCAGATATGCAAATTTCCCTCTGCTAATCCACTTATCAGTTAGACGTACAGAGCAGAGAAAAATGGGATCATCTATTTGACTTTTCCACCAGAACTGTCTACTATCTTGGCAGAAGTTTCTATCCAGTAGAGGTGTTAACCGATACTTGTACCTGTTACTTTGGAACAGGTATTTGTATGTTGTTCCTTGGAACCGTTACTAAATTTAAAAAATAACAGCTACAAAATACTAGTTTTGTAAACGTTATCAATTTCTTCTTTACCTTACTTTATATTCGGTATGGGTTAGAACAACAAATATTTGATGTATTTTTTGTAACAACTGTTACCAATTAAACTGATACTGGAAACTGGAACGTATAACTCATTTATAGTAAAGTTAAATTGTACCTTTATGTTACTGACCTACTTATTATTAAACTGACCGTTAAGTTTGTTATCCACTAATAATTATTAATTAAGCAAATAATTTTAGTTTAATTTAATAATACTATAAGAATTTAAAAAAGCATATTTATATTTTGCTGTTGGTAGAGCACGGGATTCAGAATGTTTTGGAAAACAGTTTTAGTATAAAAGTTGTAGCAAACTTTATTCTTAACAATTTTACTCTTTTACACTTTTGCTCTCAGATCCATAAATATCGAAAAAAATTCGGGAAGGTGAAAATTAGATCTAATCGTAGGTTTACATGTTGTTGTTGGTTGAGCATAGGATTCGGAGCGTTTTAGAAAAAAACGTTTGGTATAAAAGTTGTAGTAAATTTTAGTTTTAATTATATTGTTCTCATACTTATGCATAAATATCAAGAAAAGTTCGAAAATATGAAAAATTGATGAATTGGTAGGTTATGTTAGATAAGGTTGACTATCGCCTAAGGCTCACTGTGCGCATGCTCACGCGGTTAGAATAATTAAAATTGCTCTCCATTTAAGGATACTATAAAGCGTATTACGGAACATAGCTAATTTTAAAATTATTTCTATTTTATTAATTGGTTCATTAATAGTATTTTTTCTCAATTAAAGTGATATATTGTTGGTCATTCTAACTTTCGCGCCCTGTTAGCCCTTGCAAAGGGGGGGATAATACGTTGTTCGGATTTTATCATGTAGTGGGTGCTCTTTTTATTATTGAATACCCGGTGTCGTTAGTTTACGTCAACTTCTTGTTTCATAACAAAATATAGAAAAAAGTTGTGTCGTGCTAGTCGAATACGTTGGGCCTCTATGACGCAGTGATGTTAAGTCCAACAAAATATTTCGAATTAACTTCGGGCCCCAAAGATTCCGTTAGTTGTTTGGAATTTTCTCCGTCAACACTTCTGCAAAATTTTTTAGTGGCCGGAAGTTGGGATCACAGTGTTAGATGTTGGGATGTTGAACAAGGCGGAAAGACAGTTCTAAAATCAAAACAGACTTATAAACTACCAGTTGTAGATGTTTCTTGGAGTGATGATGGATCAAAGGTAAGATATATTGCGATATACAGTGCGTGACAAAAGTAACTCCTAAATAAAACTCAGTTTTCGTACTTTAAAAGATAGATTTTTTAAATTTATTTTTTTTCAACTCGACCGGTTTCGAGTTCTTAATCAAATCATCTTCATTAGAAGGTTTTTGTCATCCATAATAATAAAAGGAAAGATATTAGAATTAAGAAATTCATACTGTAACAACTGAAGAGATGAAGTCGTTTGTTATAGATAATTTAACGGGCTTAAATCCATTTTAGACGTTACTCCTGAAGATGATTTGATTAAGAAATCGAAACCGGTCAAGTTGAAAAAAATAAATTTATAAAATACATCTTTTAAAGTACGAAAACTGAGTATTTAAAAGACTAAGAATGGAAAGAAAAAAACAATAAAAGTAACTCCCCCGATGTAATTTAAATACGGTTGGAGATGTTGTCATGAGCCAAAACAACCCGATTATCATTTTTTTTATTATTCTTTAATGACTATAAATATATACAGTGCGTCCGTAAAGTAATGGATATAAGCGATAAAATCATAATAAACGGTTTATGGAAAAATCATGCGAAGAAATAGTACTACTATACGAATACTACTTGGGGTGCCCGACGTCTTCGAAGTCGGCGGAGATTATTTCGTATATCAGAAACAATAGTTGGGGCGGCTAACGATGCCAACAAAGATAAGAAATTTAGATTCTAATATAACTCATTTAAAACGATCAAAATTAATCAAAATTTTGAATCGTGCAATAATTATTAACATAACCTCAAATATATATATTTGTATACCAGTATAAAGCACCACCTGATGATGATATCGAAATTTTAATTAAAGGAATTAGTTTTAAGTGATATCGTAAACAAATTATGTAAAACATCTTTGGCTCATGACGATCTTTCCGTTTTCAAATTAAATGGGTGGTTACAAATGACGCGCACTGTATTTAATGGTACTTAATGAAGATAATTTTTTAATTCAGGTTTTTATGGCTGGTTGTGACAGAGAAGTCAAAGTATGGGATTTAGGGAGTAATCAAACCGTGCATATTGGAGCTCATAAAGCATCAATTGAAACATGTCATTGGTTTAAAGGTTCGAATTATTCATGCTTAATGACTGGGTCGTGGGATAAAACTTTAAAGTTTTGGGATATCCGCAGTCCATCTCCCATGATGAGTATCAGACTTCCAGAATATTGCTATTGTGCAGACGTTGATTACCCATTTGCTGTTGTTGCAACTGCCGGTCGAAAAATTATTGTTTATCGACTTGAAGGCAAACCTCAGCAGTTTAAAACTTACGAAAGTCAACGATGTGAACACAAATGTATTGCTCTTTTTAGGTAATAGTATTTTCACTTATACAAAATATTTAAATTTATTCAAATTTTATTAGGGATGAGAAACAAGAACCAGCTGGTTATGCATTGGGTTATGCAGAAGGACGAGTAGCGATTCAACATCTGAATTCATCAAATCCAAGCGATAACTTTGTGTTCAAATGTCATAGCTCTCAGCCTGTAAATAATCTGGCGTTTCATCCGGTCCACGGAACGTTAGCTACGGTTGGTTTTGATGGAGCATTTAATTTTTGGAATAAAGACACAAGAACCGCATTGAAGACGAATTGGAAAGCGTTGCCGAAACAGTCGATTACTCGTTGTGCTTTTAATCATGATGGCCAAATATTTGCTTACACCGCGGATGACAAATGGAGCATGGAGGATGGATACAGTACTGAGAAAAAGAAACAATATCTTTTTCTTCGATCGTGTAAAGGTGAATTAAAGTCGACTACATCATAAAAATTGTTTGTATTTGGTTTTAAGTAGATGTTGTGTAAGCAATAAATATATTTTTTTACGCTTTGAAAGTTCTATGATCTTGATAACCTAAAAGATAACCTATAGTAAAGTGATGATTGTTATTTTTATTAAAAATGTTAATGTTTTGAAAATACTTCTTCCTAGAAAAAGAGAAAAAAACGCGTTGCTTATAAATTAATATTTCTAGAACTAAAACACTGCGGAGCTAATGCTTTGATAATAGCGAGAGCAAGTTAGGACAACCATTTTTTTCCAACAACAGCATTTTAGAAAAAGTTGTAGCAAACTTTATTCTTAACAATATTGCTCTTTAACACTTTTACTCTCAGATGCATAAATATCGAGAAAAAATCGCCTTTTATCACTTCTTTTATGAGCTTATTTATTCAGACATACTTTTTTAAAATAAGATATAAAATTGATTTTATAGCTTCATTGTTTAAAGAAAACTTACAAATTGCTTTTTTAGTTTAGCAAAATGAATCACAACATAACATTTGTCTTTTTCATTTCGTTACTTGTATCCACCACAAATTCTTATAAAATTCTTGGTCTCTTTCCGTTACCCATCAAGAGCCATTTTATATTTTTTGAAGCAATTTTGAAAGGGTTAGTTGAAAGGGGACACGAAGTTTATGTGGTGAGTCATTTCCCACAAAAGAATCCTACAGCAAGGTTCGATTTTAATCCGATTAATTTTTTTAATTAATATATGTTTTTTTTTAAAGATATAATGATATAAATATTTCCGGGAGTATCCCTTATGATATCTCAAACATATCAATTTCTTACAAACTGTTTAGGAGTGTTTTTGGTATGGCTTGGCACATTTATAAAACATGTGGAAGTGAAATATGCGAATATTTAATGAAAAATCCCAAGATAATAGCTTTAAAAAAAAATCCTTTAAAATTTGATGTGGTTATTAGTGAAATTTACGGCACGGATTGTTTACTAGGATTTGCCCATCATTTTAACGTACCAATAATTGGAGCTTCGAGTACAGATCTTTTACCATGGTCGGGGACAAGAATGGGAAATCCCGATAATCCGTCCCATGTTTCAAATTATTTGGGGTTTAACAGCTTAAAAATGAATATATTCGAAAAAATCTATGCGGTCGGATTAACAATAGCAACAAAAATAGGGTGAGAAAAAAATTTAAAAATTAATTAAAAAAATTGTTAATAGATATTTTTGTATATCTACAGTCGTTACTGAGATGAGATCACGCGAATTTTTTGGCAAAACTTTTCCCCCAATGGAAAATTTAATTTACAACACCTCTATTTTGTTATCAAACACTCATTTCAGTTTTACTGAACCGAGACCAGTAGTGCCTGGAATTATAGAAGTCGGAGGTGCTCATATTAGGAAACCAAAACCAGTTTCTCAAGTAATTTTTTTAAATTAATAATTTTGAATTACACCTTGGCAAATTTATCTTGGCCGGTGAAGGTTAGATGTGACGTAGCAAACGGTGAGCGGCATGGTATAACAATACGTACAAATTTATTAATTAATTTGCCAAGCTGTACAGAAATAAAAACATATACAGTGCATCCGTAAAGTAGATTTCAATTTTTGCATAACTCGTTTAAAAATGCAGGGATTTTCCATAAACCGCGTATAATGATTTTATCGCCTATGTCTGCTACTTTATTATTAAAAATAATTAATTTTTTAGGAAATTGAAGTTGTCTTAATGGGATCAGTTGGAATTTATTTTAGTTTAGGATCAGTTATAAACTCAAAAAGTTTACAGCAAAAAGAAATTGAAATATTTGTGGACACATTTTCCAAACTTCCTTACCAAATAATTTGGAGTGGGATTTCAAATATCTCAGTACCAAAATGGGTGAATACCAAAAATATACATTTATTCGAATGGGTTGATCAACTGGACGTTCTTTGCCACCCAAATATAAAAGCATTCATCACTCATGGTGGTCTCTTAAGTATTCAAGAAACGATTTATTGTGGCAAACCAATTTTAGGGATTCCAATATTTCCCGATCAACAACGAAACGTGGAAAGAATCGTTCAAAACGGAGCGGGAATTTTAAAAAATATTAACGATTTAAATCAAACGATTTTAATAAAAAATTTAAACCATTTAGTTCGGGACGAAATGTTTCGAGAAAACGCCGAAAAACTGTCTAATTTATTTCAAGATCGGCCGATTCCGCCTTTAAATCAATCGACTTATTGGATCGAATACGTTATCAGACATCGTGGAGCGGCGCATATTAAATCAAAAGGAGTTGAAATGACTTGGTTCGAATACTATTTAATCGATGTTTATTTATTATTCTTAACCGCATTTCTTATATTTTTCAAATTTTGCCTCGTTTTACTGGATGTATTACAAAATTATTTTGAAAACCAAAATTATGATAACATCGAAAGAAACGAATAGATATTAATATTTATACACAAAATCAAATATAGTAGCAATTATAATATATGCAATTATTATTATAAATTTATATAAAAAACTTATGTTTGTTATTTTCGCAAGTACTATCTTCTAGTAAAGTTTATCGATTAAAATCTAAACCATCCCGTATATCATCCATAATCTCATCCAACTCTCCTTTAATTTCTCTCTCTCTCTTACTTCTGACCTCCCCTTTCATATCTCTCACCTTATATCTGTGTCTATTATCGATTGCAGCTCCGTCTAAGTTATCGTCGCTACATCTTATTGTTAGATCATTACTCTAACCTCTCTCATCACTTATTACTTTTTTTTCTACTTATTTATGTGAAACATATTTTTCAGCTCTGGCATTAATAAAAACCAGTGTTGTTAAATACCCGGGTATTTATTTTCAAGGGAAAATTTCCTGGATATATACCCGGGGGTATTTACCCAAGATGGGTATTTAGAGGTATTTATAAAATTTAATTTAAATTGAGTTGATGGCAGTTTTGCAAGCACTTCAAGAATTCAGAGTCGATTATCGATATACCAAACCTATTTATAACATCTACAAGAATGCTACAATGACGGTAAAATTGCATAAAAGTACTGAAGAGAGTAGCACTGATTGTGAGTAAAACAAGGCGATACGCTGTTGAACCCAAATTGTTCATCACAGTCCTCAGAGTGCATTTAAACAACTGGATTTGACCCAAAAAGGCATAAACATTAATTGCAAATGCTTAAGTAATTTGCGCTACGCGGCCGATATAGTTCTTATTTTGAGAGATTAAACTAACGCTGAACGACTTAAAGAGGGTGTGTGCAAAAGTCGGGCTAAATATCAACGAGGAGAAATTAAAATTTATGATAAGTCTTGTTCCCAGCTCTAACATCAACATTGGGGATAATGAGATTGAGAGGGTGACAGCTATGTATATCTTGGCTATGAGGTTCGTGTATCGAGAGATAATCAAACAAGCGAACTAAACAGAAGGATCACACTCGTATGCAAAGCCTACGGGAAACTTAGAGACATCTTCAAGAGAAAAGGCCAAGAAAGGCTTTCAATCAATACGTGTTTCCGGCTATGACATAAGGCTCCGAAACGTTAAAATTAACGGTAGCCACTGCCAGGAGGGTCCAAGTAACACAAAGATAGATTTCGATCCTAGGTCGATCCTGGGTCTAACTCTGAGGGACTACATACGAAATGAAGACCTATGAAGAAGAACTAGCGTAAATGATCTGGTCAACATTGTGGCAAAGCTTAAGTGAAAGGCTCGGCGAAAAAAAGCTTAGGTTTGGATTAGGGAAGAACGGTACGGTTTCATGCAAAACAAATCTACTATCGACGCAACACTCATAGTCCGACAAGTTATTGAAAAAGTTATTTATTTAAGTTTGAAAGAGTTATTACTCGCAGTAATTACAACTACATTAAGGTACTCACTTATGCATCGGAAATTAGTGCGGATACATTAAAAGCCAAGAGCATCCTTAGAGTCATCAAAATGAGAACGCTAAAGATAGCAATATGGGAAGAAGAGAGTTGAGGGTGCCTGATGTGGTGCGATTTGTGAGAGTGAGGCGCAGATGTTGGACAAATCAAGTGGATAAGATGGACAACAAGTGTTGTGCATGGCCCAAGTTCAAGGAGACCTGTCGGACGACCATCAAAAAAGTGGCATGAATGTTAGACATAAGCGTTCCAAGAGTCTGATGAAGCAAACAAGCCACTCTTAAATAAAGAGAATAAGACGAAGAGAATGCCTAAGCAACTAATTGGTAGAAGGATACAAGGAGAGAGAACGAGAGGATGGCCAAGGATGAGATTGGACAGAAAGTGGAAGAGACAGGCCAAAATTTTGCTTTAATATAAACACAATAAAATAAAAGACTATAAAAACTGAACATAATCAAGATGCATAAACTAAAGAAACAATCATAAAAATTTCGAAACTTACTTTAATTTTATTTTCAATTAAAATTACGTTTTTTAGAACTTAATAAATAGTATCTCACAAACAGCCTTTAGGAGGATTTTTATATAATGCACAAAGTTCTTTACGAAAATGCTTAAGAACTTGCGCTAATGGAACATCTAAAGAACCATTGAATTGAACGGTTGGGATAAAATCAATTTTTGGTTTAACGGCATGAGTTCTTTCACCATACGTTTTTAACAATTGGGATCCTAAATTACCATTAGCACATTCAATCATTGGGTTATAATCAATTCCTACTTCTTTCCCACACTAAGAAAAAAATAAAGGTTGTTAATCTTTTAAAATAATAATAACTTACTAATAAACTTACTTTTTCTAGTGCCATAAAGGGAACAACATTATCGGAAATCATACAAGCCACATATTTTAGTTGGTCTCCTTGATCTAAGATCAAATGCAAGACACAAGCGTGAATTTTATTACCTATACATTCGGTTTTTCCATGTTGACAAATAAAGCTAATTTGTCCATCTTCTTCAATCGTCTTTGGTGATATGAAATGATATGTTAAAACTTTCATTACAAAATATATTTAAATCATACCTGTGCTTTCCCATATGGTACTAAATCCAAATTTATATTTTTTCTAAGATCTTCATACACATGTTTTAGTTGATTAACGATAAAGTTCTTCGAATCTGAACATAAAGCTTCGTAAAAAACGCTGACTGTAACAATTTCGGTTGGATTCTCATAAAGATGTTGTTTACTTGTTGATTTTTTATCGCCGAAAGGAAAGTAGATGACAAAATTTATAATTAAAAAGAGAATTAATGCAGGAATTAAACCATATTTACAATATTTGTGCATCGCGAAATGTACTAAAGAAATTAGTCAACCATTTTGTCATTGTTTATGAGCATCAGTTGCGAAAGGAAAATATTAATACCAACGTTGTAATATCAAAAACACCAGTTGATTTAAAGATGCTATTATTATTATTATTATTATTATTATTGATTAGGGCTTAGAATTTAAGCCATAACGTAAGTGCTGCTGAAACTGTATATCTAGAAATGAATCATATCATGAGCCAAGCAATTCATATACAGCAACGTAATTTTGGCCCACCTAGCGGTCAGAGGTTGAATAAATAAGATAATTAAATACGCATAGTCCTAAGAAAAGGAAACTTCCCTAGTTAAATAGTTTTCAATACCAACCTAAGATTTTGACAATTGTTTATAAAAAATCTACGTAAAAACTTCAATCTTTCCAAATACGTATTGAGATAAACGCGGTTAATTTAAAGTAGTTTTTTTAACCTAAAACAACAAAACACCGCGTGACCCTAATAACGGTTTGTAATTGGTTAAAACGAAATAGTCCTAAACCACGTGCTTCTCCCCAAATCGAAACGAATAACGAATCGACAATTCGTTTATAATGGGTCACAGCAAGCGTACCAAAAAGGATCAAAATTCGACCTCCAAGCGATACGAAGAACCCGAATCCACCACGGTTGCGGAAAAGAAACCAAAGAATGGTAAGAAACTCAAGTTTGAGAAACAAGATTCACCTGAAAAGTTGAAAATAACAACACGTATCTCCAAAGTGGAAGTTGATAGGAAAAAACGCTGCAAAAGGACTAAAAAACAGGCTAAAAACTTTAAAACAGTACAAAAAGTAGATGTCGTAGAAGAAGATGAAGAGTTTGCCAGTGATTCCAATGAGGCAAGTCAAGACTCTGATAAAAAATTTGACAGGAATGTTAAAAACGAAAAGAAAGTGCAAGATGTGAACAAAAACAAAAAACGAATGAGTGTTATTTCCGAGGATATTACATTTCCAGAGAAAGATCTTAATGAATTACTTCAAAGGATGCTTATAGCTATCCCAGAAAATGATTGTTTACTTTATAACACAAGAGTAGAAAAGTTAAATTGGGATGATGTAAGTTTATTTAATTATTTAAATGTATAGTATATATAGATGTCATCCGTTCTTCCTGTTGGTTCCCTTTGGAAAGGGGCAGAAGAAGTTTTGCCAAGATGTCACCTGGCATCTTCAGTGCGTTGTCGTAGTTTCCTGCCGGCAGACAGTCTGCCCCTTTCCAAAGGGAACCAACAGAAAGAACAGATGAAATCTCAGATCGACCACAACAACACATACTTCTCCATCTGTGAAGCACTACGCATTACCATTATAATATATTAGTATACATTAGTGCTAGTATACAGCGTGTTTGATTTTAGCTGTCACAGCAGATATCTTGATTATTATTGGAGATCTGACAAAATGTTATAGAAGGAAAGTTGCTCCACATTTAATATTCTATCATCTGCCATATTCCAAAAGCCAATTGAGCATCAAATATGTTAGATACTACAAAGATTGGCAGGCTAAGATGGGCAGGACATGTAGCAAGTTATGACATCGGTGTACCAACAAGGCGAACCTTTGAGGCCGTTCCAACAGGCAATAAAGGCTGAGGGAGACCAATTTACAGATGGAAAGATGGGGTATCCGGGAAAGATTAGTATGGTTAACTGTAGGATCCTTGCAAGAGACCAGAAAGGATAGAGGGCAAGGCTAGAGAAACTTGAGGCCCCCCTATAGGACTGCAGAACTACTGATGATGATCCTGAGCATATTAGAAATAATGTGATATATCGTTGCAATTAGATTTTTTTTATAGTTTAATACGTTATAAAATTGGACACATTCTATTTGAAATTTCAAGTCTATTCGCTGTATCTAACATTTTATGCCCACTTGCTTTTTTGAATATGGCAGATAACGTTTTGTCATATCTCCAACAATAGTTGAGATATTAGTATTATAGTCCTTTAGTAGTATATTATAGTTTACTAATATGAGTTAATTCATAGTTTGATCATTAATTCTTATGAATATATTTTTAAGATTTCTTTTAAAAAATACACTGGTGATGAATGTAAATCACAATGGTTATTATTACAAAGCAATGTTCGAAGATTTCGTTTATTAAGCGAACTGATTCAATCCGCTAAAGATTTGATTCACAAACCAGGAGTACGTGCAAAAAATGTAAGATTCAATTAATTTTTATATTTTTATTTACAAAAAACGGGTTTTCATAAGTTTTAAATATATGTAGTCAAGACATCCAGATATGCCGAAAAGGCCTTTGTCGTCATTTATGCTCTTTGCGATGGACAAAAGAAATAAAATTCGAGCTGAAAACCCTGATTTGGAAGTCACAGAAATCTCTAAAATAGCCACACAAATGTACAAAGCTTTACCGCCATCCAAGAAAGAAAAATATATTAAAGAAGCCGCTGAAAAACGGAAGGTTTATGACGCTGAAATGCTTGAATTCAAGTATGTTTTTATATCAAAGAGATGGAAATGTGTTATTATTAATTTAAATTTTCCTTTTTGAATATTTTTTTCTTTTAGTCGTTTACATCCAGAAACGGAAAATCCAACAAGAAATACGTCATCGGTACCGAAGAAACCAAATACACCATTTATGCTATTTTACGAATCCGAGTTGGAAAATTTGGATAAGAAAACAAAAGATAAAGACAGTAATAAAGAATTTAAGGATCTGTGTAAGGAGAAATGGAAAGATATGACAGATAAAAAAAAGGTGATTTATATTAACTGGTCCCTGGACCAAGAAAATAAATATTACGTAAGTATTTCTTTTTATTACGAAAAATAAAGTCAAAAACTTTCCCTTCAACACAAACCATCGCCATAGACTTTAAGTCCGTAAGATAATCCAGTACATATTCGCATATATGTATTTATCCTAGGCAAAAACATCCTTAAACTCACTGTTAATTAATTTTTGTCGATAATTCAAGTGGACTTAATTTTTTCTGTTCTGTTTGCAAAATTTAGGATGAATTAAAAATGTATAAAATGCAAAATCCAAATTTCGTTCCATTACCAAAAAAGTCAGTTCTAACCAAAGAGGAAAAAATGTTGAGAGAACGTATTGCTGGAAAACCATTAAAACCACCCAATTCCGCATACAGTCTTTATTCCAGAATGATGTTACAAAGTGATGAAATAAAAAACATCAATCCCAAAGATCGTATGGTGTACATAGCCGATAAGTGGAAAAGTTGTTCAGATGAGGAAAAAAAAGATTATAATGATAGAATAGTGCACGTAAGTGAAATTATTAAAAAAAAAAAATAAAAACTTCTAATAAAAACTGGTTTTTAGCTTCGCGAACAGTACAAATTGGATTTTGCGTCATATTTAGAATCATTACCAGAAGAAAAAAGACAAGAAGAAATAAGGAATACACTGCCAAAACGGAAACGAAATATAAAAAATGAAGAAATTGCTTTGTATAATAAAAAAGTTAAAACGGAGGATGAAAATGACACGAAATTAAATAAAGAGAATGTTAAGAAATCGAAGCTGAATCCGGAAAGTGGATTAGATAATGGAAAACACGAAAAAAAGAAAGTTTCGAAAAAAGACGAACCATTTTCGAAGCCGCCGTATTGGAATCGAATGAAGAAAGACGAAAAACAAAGTTTCAGAACTGCCATGCTGAAATTAAGGAAACATTTGGAATCCAAATTTGAATATCATGTAAGTTTAAAATTTTATTTTTATAAAAACAATAAAAACTTTTTAACTTTTCTTTTTAAGTTATATCTCATACTCTGACGACTGTTATTGTAGCTCTTTTATTTATTTTTTTTTTTTTTTTTTTTTTTTCAGGTTGATGACAGAGATTCAGTGTCTTCGGGAGAAGAGGAAAATTCTTGGGGCGAAGCATCATCATCAGATTCATCTTCAGACGAAAGTAGTTAAAACAAGTTTTTTTTTAATGATTATTTTTTATAAATTTAAACGTTTACTTACTGTTTCAATTTTTATTAAAAAATAAAAAAAATACCTATTACAAAAATGTTTTAAAAATAAAAAATTTGAATTCCATTAAGTTTTATTTCTAAATAATAATAATGCCAATATTTTTCTGTAATCACTCGGGATTCGAAGCGTGAAATCAAGTCTACCCTGCTTGTAGTTTATGGAAGAAGTAATGTCGACCCCAAGCACCACGAATAATACATAAACTTCAAGTAGGGTATACAGGATCCCGTATCGTCCGGATCAGAGCATTATACGGTTAAAGGATACATTATTCTGAAGCGATTTTTCTAATAAAATTTTTTCGAAATGTTTATAATAACCGCACGGGAACTGTTTAAAGTAGTCCAATAGGACTCAGTGATTAATCTTAACCTAAAACTGGATATTTCATTTCTACGTATATTATACAATACTTACCATGCAAATATACATATATAGATGTATTATTCGTTTACAGTTTATGATGCTCTTAACAGGATTAGATGAACCCGTTCGGCACCGAGGCGGATTTGTTAGGCGTATCTCAGGGACCGGTACCGACAGCGATGCGTGTTCCTGTGATACTCAATTAATCCACATATAGTATATGTTCAGAAAATAGAGAGAGATTTTCTAGCAAGATTTATTATAACAAAAACATGTCACACTTCAACATACCCTCAGGAAGTTTTCCTATAAAGTCAGAACACAAGGAGATCTATCAAGAACATTTGGAATTTATCAAAGTGCAAACGTTGACATGAATTGGCCTTGTAGCCAGAATGGACTTAAAAAGTGCCACAAGAATTATCTTTGATTGCCCTGGACCTGTAGATAGAAGATCGGTTGGAATATTGATGAGACGATTTGTGGACGATGTGGAGGACGACTTAAAAAGGCTGGAGGTCTGGGATTGGAAATAACAGGCGTGGGATGGACAAGTTTGGAAGTAACTATTACGGCTGGCCCAGTTTTAACGAGCTGTAGAGAATGTGAATAAGCCTTGTATTGGCTCATTTCACATATATATGATTATATAACCATATGAACGCAATCGCGTGGTTGTTAATATCGGAGGAACATGTAGGGACTACATGTTCCTCCGATATTAACACACTTTTTATTTTGAATATATATGATATATACGATCTTGGCCCTTAAAGGGTTAAAACATAAATTTTAATTTATATTATAATTTATTTAATAATATGTATCCTGTAGTATACAAAGTTTTGTGCTAATAATGAATACAGTGTTATGTACTTATATTATTCATTATGGGGTGTTCAAAATCATATTTATATTTTGAACACCCACTCAGAAAATAATACTTGATCAATATTAATGTTAAATCATCTTCTAGATTTTAGGATGTAGCTATTCCAATAGCAACACCAGCACAAAAAGATAAAAGAAATATATGAATTTCTTCCAGTCGGCAATCTGAATCGCCCATCAATCCAGAATACCAACGTTTTGCCTTTTTTGCTTTTCCCTTAATCACATCTTCAGCTCTATCTACTTTTCGTTCCAAAAACCGTTCGGTCTGCAACAAATATTAAAAATTTTTTTGAAATTAAGTAACAACTAAAATTTTTATTTAAACGAACCTTGTCCATCCAACTTGAACCTTCCCCCGTAATTTTTTCCTCAACTTTATCAACTATCTTGTCTATCTTTTTATTCACTTTTCCCCAATTCACATTTATGTAACCTTTCTCATTCGCTATTTGCAATAAAATTATTCCTCCACCTACAGAAATTGCAACAACCTTTCCAAATTTCATAGACAAATATCCAGTAATCCAACCAGAAGATGCCCCTAAGAAAATTTGTTTCGTTGCCGAAGCTTTGCTGATATCACCTAAACATTTTTCTAAAAACGAAGAAGATGCCGATGATTTTTCAGTATTTTTAAGCCTAACAATGCCTTTATTGCTTTCTTCTTTCGCAGATTTTCGAGAAGTCATAATAATATATATTGATGTATACTGTAATAATAAAAAAATTACTTATGTATTTATTAAAATTATTAGTAATATTGATTATGTCTAAAAATGTATGGAATTTTTATAATATTTTAAGATTGTTACATCTAATTCATAGTTGTAATAGTGATGAAAATATGAGATCTTTGTCTTAAATCATTTTTATATTTAGAAATATATTGTATATCATTGCAAAGTTACCAAAAAAAAAGGATCATTAAAATATTTTTCTTTGTTTTATTAAATTCTATACTATATATGTATATACATATATAATACTGTTTTACCTTTTATCAATACAACTAAATTAAGTAAATCACCAAATTGACAATCTTACTTTTGACACAACCACCCAGAACAGATGACAATATTTACTTTAACATCGGAAAAAGACAGGTATAGTATAAAAGTGCTGTTGGAAAAGAAAGATATTGTCATAGACCTTGTATTGCATGTTGATAGGAAAAACCTTTACATATATCTATTGCGCAATAGATGTCACCATAAATATTATTATCTATTTAATACATTAGTATATTTAAATATAAATGTTAGCGCTCATAAATAGAATCCAACTCGGGTTATTCCCCAAAGTTGCCCAATTGTAGGGAATTCAGGCCTACACGTGTGAATTCGCACTGGTCAAAGAATGTACCGGCAACCTGAGAAAACTCGTCAGGGGTAATGAAGTTACTCTATGGTGGGTTTCAGGTCACAAGGATATTGAAGGCAATGAAATGGGGTGGACAAGCGGCAGTGCAGACGAACTTTATTAGACCCAACCTGGCTGTGTATTACAAAAAATCCACTTAAAACAGGTAATTAGCACATGGGAGGACTCAAAGGTAGCCTGGCGATGGAAAGAACTTGCAGGGTACAGACAAGCGAGGAGTATGATAACTCCGTCGCAAAAGAAAACCAAAGAGGTTTTATGCCTAAACAACAGGGGACCCAGGGTCACTCTCAGGTTTCCTTGCCGGACATACGCCCCTAAAATATCTATTCAGCATTAGACAAGATCAGGATTCAACTTGTCGACTTTGTCTAACCTAATAATTAAACAATTAACTTAAATTTTGGTTTATATCAATTCAATGCATTAACTGACTTTAAATCTTGAAAGAATTGAAATTTCAAATATATTAAAACAGCATGTTGGTACCTAGTGGCGAATAGATGTATTAAACGTTTCTCTATCTTAAATAAACGTTGTAAGCAAGTACATTGATATTTTAGATATCATTGTAGAGAATATAACTACACATGCGTATAAGCGTAAGTTACAAAATACGGTGATCATAATATTTTTTAGTGAAACTTCAATTTTCTATAACAATGTGGTACGAAATTTTGCCGAGTGCTGGAATTATTTTGGTGGCGATGACCTTTCCGCACGCCTCTGCGTATGTTATTAATAAATTGGTACTTGGAAACGTAAGTAAAGATATCTTAAATGTTCTTTTTTGAGGTTATGTTAGATTATGTAATTTTAATAAAAACTTCTTGTAGATGTATCGAAGAGGTATGGTTACTGGAGCTGATAGATACAATTATACTAGGGATAGAAGACTAGCAGGTGGAAATCCTTATAAAGTTGTGGTTCGTATTAATAAAAAAGTATCGACATTATGCAGTGGGTTAAGAAAGTATTTGCTGAACCTAACTTTTTTTAAGTGTTTTCTCTATAAAATCTTTTATAAATACAAAGGCTTATACTAAAAGTAATATTAGCACTATCACTACGGCAAAATCGGTAAGAGGTTGAAAAAGTATATAACTGTTACTTAAATCAAAGTTTTGTAAAAAACCATTTTACACGAAAATATTGGCTGTTTGATAAAATTAATGTTTAATTTTAAAGAAATGTTAACACCCTACATCCCGTTAAAGTGGAATTTGAGAGCCTATCTATATTAAGACTATTCATCTCAATTTTTCATGTATTACCTGCTCTTGAAGTTTATCGACGGTTTTTTGAGTCACCCTGTCCATGTAAAATCCTATCTCACATACGTGGTTTATTAGTTGTTGTAAATTCTATTTCTAACTCGGTAAGAATCTTGCAACTCTAAAATAATATCGCGACAGACAAAAAAATTAAAATATCAACTTTAACAGAATTTTCAAGCATGATTTGATTGTTATTTATTTTTTTAGGGGTTAGAAGCCATCCCAAATAAATGAAGATAGTAGATGAAAAGAAAACTGAAGAAAAATCAATTCATAGGAAGTATTAATGATGTAAAATAATAATAAATGTAAATTTATTAATTGTTTATTTTTTGTTCTTCTTGGTTGGGGGTATGTTTGGGTAATTTGCTTTATACCTAATTTTTGTCAGTATATTTAGTTACAACCTTAAAAATTAATAAAAAAATCTGTTTTGGTTGGAATTAGCAGGTTTATTATCAAAAAAACTTGACTATGAAAAATAAAAATGCTTTTTTAAGGAATATTCTACATCGACACGGTTTTTTTCTGATAATCCTATACAAAAAAAAATATATATATATATATATGAATAATAAAAAATAAATATATAATAGTTGAAACATTTTTAGGTTCCAATTTCACTTCTTTTTTATTTGCATATTGGAAATAATATTGCCTACATCGTGAAATTCATTAAATTATCTAATATTTTTTAGGTCTAGTATAAAAAAAAATGAAAATGAGAAAAAAAAAAGTAACAAAAGTAAACAGTAATAATAAATTGAGGAGTAGTTTTAATGCTTGCTTATTTCGTTTAGAAAAATGCGTTAATCATTTATACTCATTTACAAATATAAAACAATTGAGGATATCATTACATCGTTTTACGAGCGTTTTTTTATTATATTTATTTATTTACAAAATACAGGGAACCCAAAAATAAGAGTAATCCGCCATTTTGATTTTCTCTTAAAAATCAGATTTTATAATATGGCTATTGGGTTACACCAACCCAATATGTGCAGATCAATTTTTTTACCCTTATTTTTTTTGTCTAATTTTTTACTCCCCAGTTACTGCAAAAAAAAAACTTTTCTTTCTTTCTTTACTATAACTTATGATTACTTGTTAACCACGTGAGACCTTCGTACAGACCATCTCCAGTAGTAGCGCAAGCTGGTTGAACATACCAATTCCTATCCCTTATTCGTGTCAAACCAAGTTTTTCTTGAATTTCATGTGGTTTCATCGCTTCAGGTAAGTCCTGTTTGTTCGCAAAAATCAAAATAATCGCATCCCTCATTTCTCTGTCATTAATAATCCTATGTAATTCTTGTCGCGCTTCATCTATTCGGTCTCTATCGGCACAATCAACAACAAAAATTAAACCTTGTGTTCCAGTATAATAATGACGCCATAATGGACGAATTTTATCTTGACCGCCAACATCCCAAACATTAAATTTTACATTTTTGTACGTAACTGTTTCAACATTAAAACCAACTGTTGGAATTGTTGTTACGGATTGACCGAGCTTCAATTTGTATAATATTGTGGTTTTACCCGCAGCGTCCAAACCTAACATCAGAATGCGCATCTCTTTATTACCAAAAATTTTTGATAGGAGTTTACCCATGGTGGAACGGGACCTATTCAAATAAATAAATATTATTCAAAATAGATATTTTACTTTGTTTAATGACCCGCCAGCGCTATCTATCCACTTAACATGATTGTGTATTAATTTTTGACGTGTATATGTACAAATATAAACTCAACCGAATGTAAACTTTTGACCACCTCTATAAAACCTAACCAACAAGACACTTTTCCTCAATATAGTAACGTTTTACCCTAACCAATTAGCTTATAACTTAGACAACAAATAAAAAGTTTTAAATTATTGAAACTGCTTAATATATTACCAATATATATTGATATTAAAACACAATTGATATATAACTATGGCGGGTCAACTAACGGAACAAACAAAATCGATTTCGCCGGCGTTCCCAAAAACGTTTAATATCAATTAGACATTCACTTGAACCGTTTACGTACCCTTAAACATCAAGTAGTTTATTATCACAGTTCGTGTTGTTTTTGACGTGACGTTGATGAAAAACACTCCATATTGACTTTGGTACTAGTACACACTATGTGCGGTTGGTGGTTGTATTATTTGTTGGTCTGTATGTCATTCACGAAATGGGAGGATCTCACCGAGTGTACACGAACGGTGACGAAAAATTCACGAGGGGTTTTTGGTTCCTCCAGGTTCCTCAAAAATGTTATTTTTTTTTTCATTATTTTTTTTCAACTAGATCATGTGGTTATGAATATACCTGTTTTAGTGATTTATTGTTAAAAGTTAATAAATATATTTTTTATTCTATGTAGCTGATTATAAAAGATGTAGGGAGGTGAATGCTTTTAGGTTGGTGGTTATACATAATGTATATCTATATCATTTTTAAATGTTTTTGTATGTATTCACTTATAAAATTAACGATAATATTTAAAAAACATTACTTTATCAATATGTTTATTAAAATTTATTATTAATATGGCATTTTTATATTAAAATATCAAAAATAACGATATTTTAGTTCAATTTAAGAACACTATGTTGGTAATACCAGAAGTCTTCATCATAGGAGTTCTTATAAAGTTCATTTCCTGAGCTCATCGTTTATTCGCTGTAACAATTATGGCATAGATAATAATAATAATCACATTTAGGTATCAAACAGTTCAAAAACTGTTTTAAAACATGGCATTTTGTTTATAAGAATAGTTGTCTTTAAAAATTATCATGTTCCATTTTTTCTTTATGTATGTTTATTATTTATTTATTTAGTTTAATGTAAGTTTTATTAAAACTTATACTTAATACTACAACTAAAGCAAAACTTTAAAAAAAGCGTTACTCGTTTCCACTAGATGCACCATTTACTCCATTTAGTTCTCTAAATATGCAGACTAGTTTTGCTACTTTAGCATTTCCTAATCTAAGACGCCATAGCACGCCATAGGACTAAAAAAGGCGCTCAACATTAGCTGACATTGGCAGATGATGGATACTATCATACCCCTGGCACTTAATAGGAGCTAGGTTAACCATTGTGAACATAGTCACGAATGTTATTGTTAGTATAGAACCGACGCATTGATGGCGCTAGTGTTCATTATATCGTTACCAACTTCAGGGGCGACTTAGGAAAGCTTTGTTTTGTTGACAATGACAGTTTGTTGGTGTAAGTTGATGTTTAAGAATTTTGTAAGTTTTCGGTGTTTTTTAAGTAATTTGTTACTATGTATTTTATTAAGGATGTTATTTTCCGAAGTTTTACCTATGGTAAGTACATTTAATTTAAGAGTTTTCTTTTTTTATAAATGTAATTTAAAAATGACAAATATGTAGGTACATCTTTTTTAATAGAAAATTAGTGGAAGGAATTACGCTACGGATGAATGCAGAGAACGGTGTGGAACTTTTTACCGATTTCCAAACCCAAAACTATCCACAAATATTTCAAAGGTCAATTGAACTAAGTGGATGGGAAGAATTGTGGCAATATGAAGACATGAGAATTTACAGAAATGTTCATGGTGGAAAGCATTTCTCTAAGGAACATGTTGGATGGAATAGTAATAAGGAATAATAGTATGTTCTAGTTTTGCCGATGGTATGATAAGAGATTATGAGTTTATATATATATTTTATATATTATAAACATTATACATAGGTCTGTACCTACAGGCTTATACATGCATGTTATATATTATATATAATGAAATAAATGTTATAATATAATAATATACCATAATTATAATACTTATTATACTTATAACTTTTTATTTATTTAATTTCTGTGTTAGTTAAAATACCATAGTAACATATTGTAAGCAATTTTGTTGGATCTTTATATATACAGCAATTAACCTTTGTGTAACATCAAATCAATGTTAAAATTTTAATATGACTGTTGTAACAATTGTACTTATACATTAAATTTTTATTTTATGAACGTTTTAGGATGAACCGATAGTCAGAATGTGATAAAGGTTTCAAATTGGAAACGAATTAGGAAAAATAACAAAAAAATAAAATAAGAGTATTGAATACTGTTAATACTAATAATAAACGTCTTTATTCAACATAAATTATAATGCAAAATAGAACATAAAGTGTCTATTCCAAATTACAGTGCACATATCTGAATTAATGTGAATTTTTCTGATATTGTTAACATTTCCAACTATTGTAATTGTAAATTTCAATTATTTTATTTATTATTATTTCTGTTTAAAACTTTATAACTAGAAAACTTTTTCTTTATTATCTAAGATTGATTTATTGTCTAAGTTTTAAGTTTTTTACTGTTCAAAACTGTACTTTTGTTTTACAACATTCAATATTTAAATAAAATTTTTAAGTATACAACATACACTTCTTAATTGTCCCAAAATCAAAAAATTATCTGAAAAGTTTTTTTAGAATAAAAAATATGTCACATTTGAAATTGGCGGTATTTGATATTAGTATGGAATCAAGCATTTGGTGGCGCTAGTGCTGAGCGACAAAAATTCAACGCTAATGTCACATCTATACATTATCTATGGATACTATATCCACTATATCAGTGTTCCCTGCCATCTAGTAATCAAGTTTACGAACTGTAGATTCAGTTGTCTTTAAATAAAGGTAACGCTTAATAATACAATATAAATAGTGATTTATATATAGCTTTGTAAAAAGTGCAAATTTATTATTATAAAGTTAATTAATAGAGTTTTAAAATTTTATAAATTAGAAAGTAATAATTTAAAAATTGCTTTAAAATAAATTATCCACCTGTTTTAATACAAATTAACAAATAATTAAAAACGATTTTTATATTAAGCGTTTGAGGACGTACCCATAGTCAAATTTTTACGATAAAGATAACGCCTACATTATCGGCAATGTCAAATAATCTGTCAGTTGCGAGAAAATTTCTGTTTCTAGATGATCTGATGTCAGTTTTTTAGTGTTTGACCTAGTCAAGTGCGTGTAAGTTCTGTCTTCACCTAACCGGTACACACCTGCATAAAAAAATAATCAAAAAACCGGAAAAAGTATTTAAACAGGCATCAGTTTTCATTGAAAAACTTCAAAGTTATGGTTTCATTAAGAAGACGAATCAATTGTAAAGGTATAAAAAATTGGACTAAAACGTGATTAAGACTAAAATGCAAGCTAAAAAACGTTATTTATTAGTGTTGTTATCGTGTGCGTTTTTAGCTTATTGTTATTTTGGTGGATATCGATTGAAAAGTTCAAGTGAAATAGTCGATTTTATTGAAAGTTTACCTAATTATTTAATTTCATCTCGGACAGGTAGTGTTTTAAAACGTCGTGAACGTCCCCGTATTGAATTGGAAAACACAAATTTATGTCGAATGGAAACATGCTTCGATTTTTCACGTTGTAAAAATGATTTTAAAGTATTTGTTTACCCATCTGAGGATAATCTAGAACCAAGTCAATCTTATCAAAAATTGTTAAAAGTCCTTAAAGAATCACGTTATTATACATCCGATCCAAAAACAGCTTGTTTATTCATTTTAAGTTTAGATACGTTAGATCGTGATCATTTAAGTCAAGATTATGTCCGTAATCTACAAAGCCGTATCCAAAAACTTCCACATTGGAATAAAGGACTTAATCATTTAATTTTTAACTTATACGCCGGTACATGGCCTAATTATACTGAAAATGGTTTAGATTTCGATTATGGATTAGCTATTTTAGCTAAAGCTAGTATGTCGGAAAATCATGTAAGACCTGATTTTGATGTAAGCATACCTTTATTTCAAAAAAGTCATCCTGAAAAAGGGGGAGAACCCGGATTTGTTACTAGTAATAATTTCCCTTTAAACAAAAATTATTTATTAGCGTTCAGAGGGAAAAGATATGTTCATGGGATTGGCTCCGAAACGCGAAACTCATTGTATCATCTACACAACGCTAAAGATGTGGTTTTGGTAACTACTTGTAAACATGGAAAGAGTTGGAGAGAAATGCAAGACGATAGATGCGATGAGGATAATAAGGAATATGACAGGTGAGAAATTATGTTAATTATTTTATAATCAACAGATTTGATCCAAAAACTGATAGAAATCATATTATATATATAATATATAATTTAATAATTTTAATAAACGTATTAAAATTAGGTATATGGCAGCAATTGTAATATTAAGTACAATAATGACATATTTTATTACACATTTTTCTTTAAATTGTAAATATCACGAAAACTACTAAAATTGGACATATAACATACTTAGCATAAATTAAACGGAAGTTGATGGGCATTTCAACCAGCACATAACTGTATGTTATATGTTCCATTTAAAAACCTTGGTAAAAAGCCGTTTGAAAAACATCAAAATTTACAAAGTTTTATAAACGCGCTGTATAGTGTATCTAATATCTTTAGATACTCTCATCTACCTATTGGTTTTGACAATTATCTGACATAGTTTAAAGGCAAAACCGGTAAAAATGTCGTTTTTACATCGTAAGATCCTGCAACGGGCATATTTTGGAAAAACAATTGAATATCTTAGGAACTATTAATGCTGTAATAAAATATACATTTAAAAGAATTTACATACTTGTCGTCACGCTTAAATACAACACCCTGTATAAATGAAAATAATTAACTTTATAGAATTTTTTTCTCAGACATTTTGGTAAGAAATGTAGAAAATATTTTTATACATACAAGTGTTTCATAATGACGTACCAAAATAAACATATGCTGTTTTAAACGGAATAATATAGTTTTTGTTACGTGTTCTGATTCTACATATAAAAATATGTTGACTTTGATAAGACATGTTGGTTCCTGGCGCATTTAGTTTTTGAGTAATTTTGAATAGAACTTTTTCTAGCAATTAACACTATATGCTTGAAATGACTTTCTTTGTCATATCTCCAACAATAATTAAAATATCTGCTGTTAACGGTAGAAAAAATAATAGTAAATTAATAAAAGAAAATAATTTAACGGCGACATATATAAAAGGCTATTTGATACAAAGAGATTAAAAGCTTAAAATAGAGGCGTGTTAAAGCAAAATGCGATTAAATTGTTTAAACAAACCGTATTGCGTTATTAATTATTTGTTTATCCAGATAAATTTCAACTGTATTCGCTGTATCTAACACATTTGATGCTTGATAATTTTTTTTTTGAATATGGCAGATACAGAATATGAAAATGTTGGTAAGAAAAATAGCATACAATAAATGTTCAAAGTCCAAGGTTTAATCTAATTAATTTAAGTTATATTTTTTTTATAAATATGTGAGCCTAGATAATAGGTATTTATCTGGTTGTAAACATAAATTGAGGTCTTCTCAAAGGTGTGGTTTTTATAAACAAAAACGTGTAAATAAATTGGTTTCGTGTAAACTCATCGCAACATAAACACTTGAAGTTAAAAGATTCTTAGAAACCTTGAGGATTGTTTAAGTTAGGTACTCCCTGATTGGGTTAGGAGGATCGAAAAACAAATATTACGCTCGTTTAAAATCGGAAACCGGGTCATCTGTATATTTTTATGATTAAACGATATTCTAGGAAAACTAGTTGTTAAACAATTTCTCACAATTTTATAATGAAATTTTTTTTTGATAACATTCCTGTATCCGATTCGTAACTAACTAATAATCAATTAAAAACCTGGAAAAACCATCAGCATCATTTTCTGCTATTAAGAAGTATAAATAGTTTTGTGTAAACAATTTAAACTTGTTAAACAATTTTAGCACGTACGGACATGAACGCAAAAACATCAAAGGAATATTAACTAAAAATTACGACGCTGAGTAACTCACAAAAAAGAGCGATAAGAATATCGCCCGAGAAGAAACAGTTTTTTATTTAAATATAAACGACTGAAAACATACAAGTGAATAAATAAAAACGTAAATAATATAACGTGGGTTAATTAAATAACAACATTTTTGATTAATTTTTTAGTATACTGTTTTTAGTATAACTCTGAAATGAATGATGTGTATAAGTTGTTTTCAAATGTAAAGAATTGTAGAATTGTAGACAGATTGTTGTATACAATAAACTCTTAATCACAAGTTGTTTTCAAAAAACCATCGTTAGCCTTAATAAAGGCATACAAGCATAAAAAAGTTCGACGTTAAATTTAAAACTAAATTATATGCTTTACTAAAAATAAAAAATAAACTGTTTGGTATGAAATTTAAATCGAGTTGTATAACCGCAATAAGTAAAATCACAATTCTATATATGCAAACAATTTTATACTAAACTAAAGCTTAAATTGTGCTCTTTAAATCTGTTATATATTATATAACATATATTATAACGTATATGTTACATATTATAACATATAGCTTCATGTTGAAAAAAAGTTGAGAAAAAATTTGTTTAAGTAAAAAAGTTAAAGTTAATTCATCTTTTATTATGTATAGGTTGACGTTAAAAAAATTGGATTTTTTTTATGTGAAGTTATTTATGAAGTTCTTTATGCGAAGATACAAGATTACAATAATTTTGTTATCTTTTTTCTAGATTTGATTACGAGGTTCTTCTACAAAATTCTACGTTTTGCTTGGTTCCAAGAGGACGAAGGTTGGGTTCTTTCCGTTTTTTGGAAGTTCTTCAAGCCGGATGCATTCCTGTTCTCTTATCCAACGGTTGGGCTTTACCGTTTGCCCAAGTGATTGATTGGAGTAAAGCGGCTATTTGGGCGGATGAAAGATTACTTTTACAAGTAAATAAAATAATACTATTTACTTTGATCCCATAAATTAACGTTCCTTTTTCGTTAGGTTCCAAACATGGTACGGTCAATACCGCCGAAAAAAATCATGAAACTTCGTCAACAAACTCAAATTCTTTGGGACAGGTATTTTTCATCGATTGAAAAAATTGTATTTACTACCTTAGAGGTAAACATAGAAAAACTAACAATTGTGACAATGTTTTTATTTCGCTCCCATCTTCAGATTATCAGGGAAAGATTACCAAAAACTATTCCAAGAGACGGTGTAACGTGGAATAACTTCCCAGGCGCTTTGGTAACCCTTCAAGAATTTTCCGATTCGCCAACTGAGTTTCCATTTCACGAAACTAGTCGCTCTGATCGTTTTACTGCCGTCATTTACTGCCAATTAGGGCTTAGTCTCACTTCTTCATCAACATTATATCGGTTGCTTCAAAATGTTGGGCGAAGTAAACATGTTTTTAGGGTAAGTTTAAATATATATATGTATATTTATATATGTAAGTCACGACTTGTACAGTATGGTTAGTTTATTTTAAAACATCCATAATATTGAACTAAAACTAGAACTAACAGTAGATCTCATAAAATATTCGCGAAAAAATAATTAATAGTCCATTAACATCAGCGGCAGATGACATCAATCAGGGAGATAGTTTTAACCCAATCCTATTTAACAGTCATGGACAAAATATTGAACGAAGTCAAAGTCGTAGAAAAGGGATACTCATTATTCTGTCAAAATCATATGTTCGGTGACGACGCTGTGCTTATTGATGAGGACGATTTATAGAGAATGCTACATAAACTCGAGCGAACGGCAGAGAACTACAAAGAACATACAAACAACCGAAAAGCTGTAAGTTAGCTGTCTACAACCAGACAGTTAAATCAGGTTTTTTAGGAACTGCAATCCTGTCGCCCTTACACTGCTGATCCATTTCCGAATGGTTATAGGGTCAGGAACACTGTTATTACGATTTAATCCGAAAAGCCGAAAAGCAACTAAATCTTAGGTCTCCCCAGGATATCTTGGTTAGTTACGATATGGAATCCCTATTTACCAGAGTACTAGTCAAAGGTGCTGTGGATGATCTTCGCCAAAAAGTCATCCCAAGGGCTGACATATTTTAGGTGGCTTAACCCGAAAGGTTCTACACCTAGTTTTAGTTCAATTAACACCGTATTAACCCTGAAAGCCTTCGTACTTATATCCATAATTTTATTATATACTTTTAATTACATACATATATTCTTATGTATTTTTAGATAATTGTTGTTTGGTCGAATGATAAAAGATCGCCATCAAAAAATCGTTGGCCAACATTACCGTCCCACGTTCATTTCCACATTTTACAATCGTTCGCAGATCCATCGAATCCAGGAATCTCGCAACGTTTTTATCCGTATCCGTTAATCGAAACCGGCGCTGTATTATCGTTAGATGAAGATACAACATTAACCACCGACGAAGTTGACTTCGCTTTTGCCGTTTGGCAACAATTTCCGGATCGAATTGTTGGTTATCCAGCCAGATCGCATTATTGGGATGATTCGAAAGGTTCCTGGGGTTACACGTCAAAATGGACAAACGATTATTCAATCGTTTTAACGGGCGCAGCATTTTATCATCGATATTACAACGTTTTGTATACGCAATGGTTGAGCCCGTTGCTACATAAAACCGTTGAGCAAAGTCAAAATTGTGAAGATATTTTAATGAATTTTTTGGTAAGCCACGTGACGCGACGTCCACCAATTAAGGTAACCCAACGAAAACAGTATAAAGAGCAAGCGCAGGTAGGTGGTTGGTCGCCATGGAACGATCCGGATCATTTCATACAAAGACAGACTTGTTTAAATACTTTTGCGGCTGTTTTTGGTTATATGCCACTATTGAGGAGTAATTTAAGGTTAGATCCGGTTTTGTTTAAAGATCCCGTTTCTAATATGAGAAAGAAATATAGAAAAATTGAGTTGGTAGGTAGCTAGTTGGGTTATATTTTTGGTACTTACTCGATATTATGAACAAAATGTATCGTCCTAGTCTTAGATTTTAGTAAAAATGTGTTTTTAAGTTTCCATGAAAAACAATCTTTTTTAAGGTCAAGGAAACTTAATACACATATTTACTTAGACATTTCTATCTGTAAATAATTTTTGATAGGTAATTTTTAATAAATAAATTTTTATCATAAAAAAGGGAATTATTTTATTTATATTATGCTTAAGCTTTTTTTAAATATTATTTATGTAATACGAAATGTAACAATATTATATATAATTTAAAATATTTAGATTATCAAGTAAAATAATTTTTCAATGTAACATAAAAATTGCGATTTCTAATGTATACAGGATGATCTTAAAAACATTAAAAATCTTTACTGTTAATTTCGCCAATTTGGAACACCCTGTATGTAAAAAAAATCTGTATATAATACGATATAAAAAATAAAGAATCTATAAATGTCTGGCAGCACAAGATGTCCATTATAAATATATAATAATAATAGATTTATTGATTACATATTTTGGCAATTTTTTTTACTATTTGGTATATGCATATATAAAATTATATATAAACAAATATATATAGTTCCTTATATTATTCCTAAAAAAGATGTACTTAGTACCGTGCCATAAAATTTATTATTTCCTACACATTTTTCAATAATTTTTATGTAATATAGATGTCGCTTATAACGATTTTTTTTATTTGCGGAAAAATCTTTCCCCAAATCCAAAGTTGGGGTTTGGGGATTGTTAAAAGCGATTTTTACAGTACATATTATTTAATTATATTGATGTAAATTTTTAATTTTTTAAAAGCATTTCAATTTTTTATTAAATGTTGTGTTTATACATATTAATTGTTTATATTTGTTGTCTATTATGTATTAAATTTTTTTTCAACATTAACGGAGGAGGGATTAGAAAAATTCAAATAAAAATGTTAGAGTTTAACACAGCAATATAAAAGGTTGGGAAAAGGTGTTGTACACGGGAAACCAAACAATTCTTTATCGAAAACTATAAAAGTTTTATTTTTTGAGATAATTAAAAAATATTTACATAAAAATGATTTTCTTTTTAATCTTCTCTTTTAATATCTGGTTAGTATTGAAAATATCAAAACATTTTTAAGTTGCTATTAAAGATTTTGGATTTCTCGTGTATCTGATGTATATACAATTTTTACTCAAAAAAGTTATTTTATTACTAAATGACTTTTTGCAAAAATAAATAAATAATGACTATAAACTATGACGCATATTATTTAGCCATATGTTGATATAGTTAGGATATATTTTGGTACGTGTATGAATAACTACATAAAAATAGAGTGAATGTTTTGTACAATTTTGTATACACTTTAATATAAGTTAAACATTTATTTGTTGTATTTTTTTTATTGCTTACACCTACATTTGTAAATATAGGCATTAAGAGGGGAATTAACCACGATTTCTCAAAATCTACTGGCTCAATTGTGCTCAAACTTGGTACACATATACCAGTCGCCACAGAGTCGCACTGTACGGATATACCGTTCCAGAACTTTCTCAAGGGTTTTCAACCGAAATGACGTCAAGTTTTAGGTATTTTAGTCCATTTTGCCAGTACATATTTCCAGGCGACACTCGCTCTGAAAACTTTTACCAAAATAATAATAGTGAGCTTCCTTGCTGTAACAAAGCAGGAAAGATATTGTCTTCTCCGGGCGATATGAACGGATTAAACGTTTGAATTATTGATAGCACAATATCAGAGCTGATAATGTCTTCCGCACCCCATTGGTAGGACACGTCGGAGCAGCTTTGAGCATATTGCTTAAATCTGTAAATGGTAGTTCTAGCTACTTTCCCTATATGCAAAGGAATAAGTTAAGATGACGTTAAAATACAAGGTGCCCAGAACGAATACTTCCAGACCAACGGAGGTGTAAGACAAGGAGATGCTATCTTATCTATCCTATTCAACCTGGTCCTATATGCGGCTGTCGATAAAGCGAAGTGGCCTATTAGATATAAACTTAAGCAATTTTGTATACAAAATTAATGAATTTAATATATTATTTAAAAATGAAATATAAAAGAGCCATCTATTGGATTTCTAAAGCAACGTACCCTACATTTCGTTATAAGTAACTGCAATTTAGCTTAGCTTGCCGAATATGCCATCTAGATCGATCCATTTCATGTGAGAAAGACGGTGCTATCGCGCATTGTATTAATTAGACAAGCACAGATTCATGTACCATTTTATTGTGGTTCTAGTTCTCTCTCTGATTACTTTGTGTTCTTAATACCATTAATAAAAAGTATTCTTGTCAACATGATGGTTATTACTGGAAAAGTGAACATAACAAACGTTTAAATCACGGGCAATTTCTGTTGTTACATTCCGGATAGAGTTTCACGAAGAAAAGGGTCCTGTTTGGGTGTTTGATACGTAAGAAAAACGCGTGGTCCTAGAATTCCAAAAATACACACAATATTCGGATTGGAAAAGAAAACGTTTCACTTCGTTCTTTATTCACGTTTTTTGTGCATTGTAAGTTAACTTTTATAGTTAAAACATATAATCGTTTGTTTATTACGTTCAATGTTGTTCATTTAGTTAATTATTTTATTACTTCTTTTACTATGCTGAAAAAATATATTAATTATATAACATTAGAAATATATTTATAAATTTAATTGTTTTATGTATATTTATATAAATATGGTAATTTTTAATTATTTTTTAAAATTAACAGGTTTCATAAAATGAATAAACAAGTTGATAAAAATGAAGAAAAAAATCCTCAAGAAGAGAAAATTCGTCGGAAAGATTCGAAAATGATAGACAACGTTTTGAAGACTTTAACAAATTTGGACGTGCAAGATAAATATGATGCGTTAATTGATAAATATAAGGAGCTTTATGAAAATCATCGTCAATCACAAAATGCTTTAAACAGTTTAAAAAAGAAAAATTCAACTTTACAACAAGAAAACGAACACATTACAAATGAAAACAACAAATTAAATTTGGTTAGAAATCGTTTGGAAAAACTTTCCAGAGAATTTCAAAGACAAAATAAAATTTTAAAAGTAAGTTGATATATTTTTGACAATCATCAATTTTGTCAAAAAAAGTTTTATATAAAACTTTCATCATAAGAAAGGAGAAAATATTCTGTATGATTGTCATTGCATTTTAGAAGAGCTATCAATGTCTTCCAATTATTAAGTAAGTTTATTTAAATGGATACATTGTTTAAATTTTTATTATGCGTAATATTGATTAAATAAAAAAATGTTTCAAATAAAAATTACTTATTTTGTCATGCAGAATAGCATACTTATCTAAATATATGTATTCGTTTGAAAAAAATTACTTGATAATTGAGTAATTGGCCGGTGTACATCCAGAAGTTTCAGAACTTTCTCGGTAAAGTAACCTCAAGTAAACCCCAAGTATCATGAACCCAGAACCATGCTAATACAGTTCAACATAACATGCCATCATGAACCCAAACCCATGTCATAATGTTCGTGATACTTGTGGCGGCCAACGGCTTCATAGTCGGCCAGGTTATTTCTTGCGTCCGTTTCAAACGAGATACGCGAACCCAGAACCCAGGTCTTAATGTTCGTGATACTTGGGGCGGCCTTGGGGAAGTTTTTTTGAAACTTTTTTCGATAAAATTGATGGTTTGTGAGTTATTAATATCAATCCCAGTATGTTGATAATGTTTTAATAAAATATATATGTTTTAATTTTGATTAGGAAGAAAACTTTATAAAAATAAAAGAAGAAGAAGAACGTCGTCGTAAAATAACGGTGGAATTTCAAAAAGCTTTAAGTAATGTAACGGCAATGATGGCGGAAAGTAACGATCAAAATACAAAATTAGGGGAAGAAAATAAATTAATGGCAAGAAGATTAAGTAGTATTTATGAAGATTTTAAAAACCGTCAGTCTGAAGTGGATCGTTTCTCAAAACAAATTGAATTAGAACGTCAATTGGCTGAAACTCGTATTGCAAAATTAAGTGCTGAGTTTACAGTTGAAAAAGAAAAGGTGTGTGCTGAAAAAGATTTATTATTAAAACGTTGCGAGTTTTTAACAACCGAATTAAAAGTGAGTACGGAGAAATCATCATCATTAGAAAAAACCGTTGGAGAGTTTCAAAAAACGATCACAAAAAGTAGCGATATTTTTGATCATTGTAAATCGGAAATTGCAAATATGAGTGAATATATACAAAATCAACAGAAAAAGTTATTAGATTGGCAGGAAAAAAATGAAAAGAATTTAGCAACAATCCGCGAATTAACAATTTTAAATAATCAAAAATGTAAATTAAACGAGCAAATTACAAAGCAACAAGCTCAATTAACAAAACTTTGTCGACGACTTCAAGCCGAAAGAACCGCTTATATCAATGCATTAAGAACGAACGGCTTTAATCCAGACGATATTGTAGTTGAAGCACCTGAGGATCTTGAAGAAACTTCTTCAAACGTTACAAATACCGTTATAACAAACGTTACAAAAAAAAATGAAAATCTAACCGGAAAAGGTAAAAAGAATAAAAAAAATAAAAAAGTAGATTTTGAAAGTGGCAATGAACCTCCTGACAGCTTAACTTTAAAAGAAATACAACTTGCCGAACTCAAAGATGAACTTAAACGCGTTCAAGAAAGGGTCGAAAAAATTCAATGCGGGAAAATTGAGGTTAAAATTGACGACAATGGCGTTACTTTTGAAGAAAAAGAAAAACCTTTTAATCAAGAAATAAAAGAAAATTCTGAAAATCAAGAAGAAAAATGTGAAATTGAAGAAAAAACATTTCAAATTGATGAGAAAGAATCTGAAAATGTAGATGCTAAAAATGAGATTGAAAATGATGGAGGGAAAAAAAATGAATCTGAAATAAAGATTGAAGAAAAGGTAATCGAAAGTGTACCGAAAGTGGAAGAATCCAAAGATGATGAAAAATTTTATGAAAAAGTAGTTTAATTAACATTTTATTATTGTGCCTATTTATTGCTATAAAAAAGATTTTTGCACACATACTTTGTATTACGTCGTTTTAACTCGTTATTGTTTTTTAAGGTTTTTATCAAAACGATGAAAAATTGATTATATCGAATATTGAGTGAATAAAGTGTTTTGATTAAAAATTATTTTTGTTTCATATGTTGTCTATCACTTAAGCTAAATCTATAAACGGGAAGTGGCTCTTAACCTGAAGGATATCGAACTTTTTTCATATAAACTTGCACTTTAAATAGTGATAAATGATTAATATGTTTTATGTATCTTTATAATTATCAGAAAGGTTCAGATATAAAATTTCAATTAATTAAAAACGATAATTTATCGTTAAGGTTCAGTCGATCTGCGATAAATGAAAGATGTGATTGCTAACGCTTTTAAATCGTCGATAAGGAAATTATAAAAGTCTGTTATATCGCAAATAGGTCTTAAAAAGTAGGTTCCCGGTTTCCGAACTTTTCCTTTGTCCATATCTACATCATATATTCTCACATAACGGATGCAATAGGAATTTAGTTAACACTATCATGATAGGAAAAAGTAATAAACAATTTTTTAGTGTTAATTACAATTTTTATTCAAATGAAGCATAATACAATTGAAAACAAAAACGAATTTCAACGAAAATGATTTTTTTTATCCAAATTTTCAAATACCTTTTTTTTATTTTGTTTTTTTTTTACTTTTGCATTTTTATACAAGTTTTAAAAAATTGTATAATATAAATGGCACTTAGGTTAGTCGTTTCCTACCCAAGGTGGAGCAGTCATGATATCCATGTTATTATTTGTATGATTATTTTGGAATGTACTATCTATACTTTCGCTTCTATTAATAAAAAGTTGGAATGTATTCTAAGAAAAATTTAATCTAGCAAAAAAATTAATTTCAATGTAAATACATCCCAGGATAAAAAGATAATAATAACGAATAATCTTAAAGAGGAAAAAATATATATACCTTCTAATTATATATTACTTAAATCTTAAATTCTAGAAAAGAATTAATAAATGTTCAAAAATATATAATACATAATAAAAAAATATATAATATTATACAAATGCTCGACAGGAATGTTACGTACTTGTTTACGGTAACACAATTTCACAATTAATAATAATCATAGTAAAAAATAATAGTAATTAGCAAGTTAATTAATGTCAGTTGCAAGAAAATATTAAAGAATTATAATTTAAAATAGTATTACCATTTCCTCATTTTTTATTGCACGGAATCCAAAGAGAAAAAATGGGCCATTTTTGTTGATCATGCCGAAACTTTTCATGGATCACAGACACAAACAAATTTATACAAAAAAATAAGAATAAACGGTAATTTACGACAAAAAATTAAGCTTATAGTAGTAATAGTGTGGTTGAATATGGGGAAAATGACGTCTTAATCACGTCGATTATCAGCGTTTACTCTTGCTGCTGCGTTTGGCTGTCCATATTCGGTACATAATCCAAAGACATCAAACAAGCGAAAACCGTCATCACCATCTTTGGCTTCACTTCAATTATATCTTCAGGCAAAGCGTATACTCTAGCACCAGCTTTACGTGCCATCGATATTGCATATTTTGCGTTAGCCAAATTATCCTAGAAAAAAAAATGTATTACATTTTGAGTATTATTATTAGTAAAATTGAAATATTGTTCATCAGGATTGAGTAGCTCAGGAATCATCATTGCCGATCCCAAGCCCAGATAAAGGAGATGAGATTGGAACATAGAACATGAGGACACTAAACAAGCCAGGAGCACAAATAGGCTTGCTTAATGAAATAAAGGAATATAACTTAGCAATCACAGCCATACAAGAAACCAGATGACTGGCCGAAGATGTAAAATCAACAGCAAAACCCAACAAAAAAGACAAACATAGAAAACTGCATATTGAAAACGTGAAAACACCGGAAACGCAATGCAGATTAAAGGAGGAAATAGAAGTAAAGATAAAAGAACGTAGCGGTGATGAAGACGATTGACGAACAGAGGAATATTATTAAGACAGTTATGCAAGTGGCAGCAAGGAACGCAAAACGTGAGTACCAGAACAACCAAACATTCAATATGGAGGCGGACTTTAAAGCTATTAACACCAAGAATGCGTATAAATTTGTTAGACAGTTAAAACAGGGGTATAAACCGCACACAGCTCTATGCAGAGATGAAACAGGAAAAATAATAGGTGATAATAATATAAATAACATTTGGAAATATTATTCCCGTAACCTATGAAGACTGATTTGGAAATGGACTGGAATTTTGGAAGTTCACCACACAAAATTATTTGTAGAGAATTACCTTTTAATAAAATATGGGGCATTCCATATAAAATTTTGGACTTTTTTGTCATTGAATGCGGAAAAACGGTAATTTAATTTGTGACCAGTCTGTATAAGATACTGTGATACAGCAAATGGCAATCTATTTGACAACATTTGAAGAGTAATCGTGTAATTTAGAGCTTTTTTTAATGAACGGTAGCTGAGATATGGAGTTTTAAAGAGCATGGTGAAATTTGCCAAGAAAAATTTAAAATGAAAATAACTCGAAAACGAAAAAGGATAGGTACCTATAACTTTCATCAAAGTCAACTTATTTTTTGTCATATAATTAAAAGCTGTAATGATATGACTGTAAAGCCATGAAGAGAGAGTCATTAACTCTAATCAACTCTAAAACTCTACAACATCAAAACAAAGTTTTAAAAACTTACCTCTTCGGATCCACTTGATTTAACCAAATCGTAATTGATCGCGCCGGGTTTAATTGCATCAATAAGATCGATAACAACTTTTCCGTCGGCGATAACCGGATCTTGGAAATTTTTGATAAACGATTGTTTTCCGGCCGAGTTTAATTTGTTATTGACCCAGGTAACAATTTCCTTTTCGACGATTGGATTTCTATTTTCGGCAAGTTGTGACAAAATCGATAACGTGTAAGCTCGCATCAATTGCCAGATCAGGGCCAAAGTGAGCGTAACGTTTCCTTCGTTGATATCTTGACCGGCAATGCCAACCAAAGAAAATTTAATGCATTTACCCAATTCAACGGCGTAGTTGCAGTTTTCTAATTTCTCCATAAACTTCCCGAGATTCGAGAATTTCTTGTGGACACGATTCCAATTGACAATTCCCGGTTTAATGATGTCATACAGTTGAAAAACTACTAAGCCATCGGCTAAATCAGAGTACAACCAATTTACATGTGGACTAACACCCATTGAATTCATCCAATTACGATATGCTATTAAAAAATAATAATTTTATTTGCTTATAATGTTCATTAATATTATTTGTTCTTACTTTTTTCTTCACGTGTTTCCTCGATAGTTTGATACTCTACAGTACCGTTAGTTTGATCCAACCCAGGATAATTATTAAACAAATTAGCTACGTACGCTAAATTTAATTTATAAACACCATTAACCACATCTTGTGGCGTTACAAACGATCTACATTTCAATTTAGCAGCTTGTTGCAACATCTTCTCGGCCCTTTCGTGAAGATCAGTCTCATACAATGCTTCGGTATTAACACCAGACTCAGTGGGAGCAATTTGTTTCAATAAATGAGTATAGATCTCGGAATCACTGATATCTCCCTGAAAATTATTGATACGCCTATTCACGCCGGCTCTCTCCAAATGGTAGTTGACCCAACGCAACAAGATGGATTCCGGTGACAATTTTAATAGATCTTCGATCTTTTCTTCATCGGTTAAAAGAAGGGTTAAACCTGGACATTGGTCCAATGTGATTTGATTAAACAAACCGATACGGATTATTTGCCAAACTAAACCCAGCACTAAGTGAGGCGTTCCTTTTGAAAGACTGTGAGCGTCTATATTTACGACGTTACACCCGATCGACTGGGCGGAAGAAAGGGCTAATGTTAAATTTTCTAATTTTGTGTAAAGAGTTAAATTTTTTTTATTTATTGCACGCTCATCGATTGTATCCGGGCAAGAATGATTTATTACCTTACTAAAAAAACAAAAAAAAATATTTTTATTGATTTGTATTTGAACTTAATCTTTCGATTTCCAACCGTTTTTTATTGATTGCAACCTCACCTTTATCAATTTCGAGCTAATTTAATTTTCCGATTTTAAGATGATTTTTATTGATTTCAATAATTTTTATTAATTTAGTTTTATTAATAATGGTTAAGTTGCAAACATTAAATAAAGTGAATCCGTACTCATCCAAAAATTTACGGTTTCAAAAAATATTAATAAAACTAAGAAAAAAATTTGGTATTTACCATAATAAAATACCATCTTTAACTTTGTCGTATAAAGTTTTACCATGAGCATCGATTGGTAGTAAGTGTCCCAAATCGGGATCGCGACTTAAATTGGTATTTATCCAGTCGGAAAATGCCAATTGTTCCTCAACGCGAACGGAATGCGTGGTTCCTTCATTTGAAGCGTCGGAAGTACCCCCAATGTGTTGCAAATTTTCTTTCCTAGTGACAACCTGCTTGAAAGTGCTAGCGACCTCGTTCGATTTCAATTCGGCACAAAGCGATTCGAATTCGTCGTAAGTTAATTTTCCTTGTTTAATGTATCCAGGCTTGTTCTTAAATTCTTCTTCCATTTGCCTAACTCTCCATCCCGGGATTTTAAAACCACAAACGTCCAGAGCTACCTTTAGTTCCTTTAAATCTATGTAACCATCGTTGTTTTTGTCGATCTAAATAAAAAGTTTTTTTTATTAATTTTAATATGCGTCAGAATTTGATAAGGAAAATAAACAATTATCTAAGGCGTGGACTTATTTTATTTAAGTCTATTTGTTATTTTATTAAGATTTATCAAAGGAGAATTGTATACCGATATTATTGTTACGTTTTGTAGTATTTTTGATATTGTAAAATGTATTGAAATGAATTGATTCGATCGATTTCAACGAAATCTTTTTCCCAAAGAAAGGAATTTCCATTAATACAGTGAGTCCATGAACACACAGTGCCCTAAGAATGTGTAATTAATTGTGTAAATTATGGCTGATGAAGCAAACGGTAAAAATATTGAAAATGAAACTACATAGAAATGCTGGGGTGGGCTAAAACCACACAAAGTGCATCGAAGTACAAAACATTTTTATTATTATATAACTTATTGAAATTCTTGAAAATTGCAATTTTTTAAGAATAGATAAAGTTTAGCTTGAAAATAAAATGTTATCTGAAATTAAATCCTCAAATAAGATTTAAAATAATACTTGGCAAAGTTATCTTATCTCATTTACAACAAATATTACAACAAAAATTCTAAACTATTTGTTGTAAAAAGTGCATATTGTTCTTAATTGTTGACAATTCGTTGAAAAATAACATTCTTTCAAATATTTATACACACCTTTTTTATTTCAATTTCAACTCCATTCTTATACAGTATGCGGCATAAGTACCCCCCTCCTTGTGTGATTGGAAAACAGTTCGAGATATCGTCATGAAACACGTCGATCTTTATTTTTTTTACCCAATAATTCAGAATGAAAAATTGTTTATCACATTTAGTTTTTCCGGAAAATGAGTCAACTTTGTTTTTTAAATGGAACTTATATATTATATTATTTTCTAATAGAAATAATAAATACGAATACAATCAAATATTGATTAATTAGTTGTTATGTTGCGGGGGCATCTATTTATGCATCCGAGAGCAAAAATGAAAGAGAGCGATGTTGTTAAGAATAAAATTTGCCACAACTTTTGTTCCAAAAGTTTTTTTGTAATAGTGTGACATAGGTCGCCGCAAATATCAGTAACAATACTTACGGCGGTCGACATCTTTTAAAAGTTTGCACACCGCATTTTTCCAAAATTTTTATTAATTAGTATCATAAAAGCTAATTAACCAATATTTGATTGTAGGGTATTATTGGATTCGTATTTTTCGCTCTATTAGAAAATGTTATAATATATAGGGTGTTCCATTCAAAAAAAAAACAAAGTTAACTCATTTTCCTGAAAAAACTGAAAGTGATAAACAATCATTTATGTTAAATTATTTAGGTTAACAAAAAATAAAAATCGATATCTCGAACAGTTTTCAAATTAGGCAGGGGGTTACTTATGACGCGTACTGTATACACTCTGTATAAAAGGTTGTAGAAAAAGAAATAAATCGATTAGAAATCTAATCGTAAATATATAATTGCTTTCGGTTAAGGACGCTTTTTATTGGAACTTAAAACAGGTGTCCTTAAAACATTGAAATACTTTTGTAATGAGCAATGGGTTTTAATTAGATCGCCTTTTAATGTTAAAAGCGGCTTCAAAAAGGCCAATAATAATAAAAAATAAATTAAAAATCCACAGATGAAATCGTTTTTGTTATTTTTTTATCACCTAAAACCCCTCTATAAATCGATTTATCGTGAAATAACACCTTATCGATACCTTACATTATGTAAGTTATAAAAAATGTTTTTTAAGAAAAGTGATTCTTTTTAAAAACGATGACAGTTTCGTTTTCGTAAGAAATAAATAATTTTTTTTATCTGATTTTTAGAGTATTTACTACATTTTTTGATAAAAAGTGACTTATTATTTTTTTAAAGGAAATAAGGAAATTCCGAAGTTTGAAGATATAAAATGAGTATTTTCAGAGAACGCTATTGTTTATCTAGTTATCGCATAAAGGATATCCTGTCTCATATAAGTATTAAATTGAAACAAAATGTGAATTGTCGTTTCAAAATTGTCTTATCTTTCCAATATTTCTTACGTAAGGTTTAAATCATATGATTATCCACAAAAAATTTTTAAAATGATTTTAAAAATTATTACTTACTTGAGCGTACGGTTTATTTTCTTTTAAATATTCAAGAAATTCATGATGAGCACTTATTTGTCTGCTAAACGTTACATCCATTTTGACAAAAAAAAATTTAATAAAAATGCAAAGTGAACACAATCGATGCACACAACGAAGCGTAGAAAAACAGTACAGAACTGAACGCTTACGTTGACAGTATATTTCTAATTGATAAAGGTATAAAAAAATCAATTATTATATCTATGTCCTTATCAACGGACGTGTGACTATTTAAAAAAAAATTTAAGCTCCCCTCCTCTCCAATAAAATAGTTAAGCCGCATTTACTACACCTGTTAACATTATTTTATTAATATCATCGATCAAATAGTCTTTACATTTTACAAATCATGTACCACAATAATATCGTTAAATATTTGAGTTAAATCACAATTTATCAAGTCATATTATTTCAAATATTTTAAAATAACTCCATTTTTATTCACTCATTTTATGATTCAACATTTTTTTGACTCGATATTTGTTAAATTCACGGTTTCCAATATGTTGCGAACTCAACGAAAACCCCAAATCATTTATTAGATTTTCGATATATACGCATAATTTTTTTCGGTTTTCCATAATTATCAACGGAAATCGCGGCTTCAGATGTAATTTAGAAATTTACACTGTTTAAAGAAATTATTTCAAACCCACTGTTTATCAATAATTAGCCGTTTTTGAGAGAATTTCTCAACGATTTTGTCTGTTAAGATAATTCTAATCGAAATCTTATAAGGAATTGTATACTTGAATTCGTTAAAAATCATTGTACACTTTACCAAAGGGTTTTTTTAGAATGTTATCAAGATCTATATATGTATATACATATATGTATATAGCTCGTAGATTAAGATTATTAAAAAGAAATTGGACACTAATTACAACGTAAACAAAATTGACAGGAAGTAAATCTTACGATGCAAACAAAGTTGACGTGAAGGAAAAGAAAACGCAAGGCTGGGATTAATTGTATTTTGATCATGAGCTTATACGACGTTTTAACAAGGTTAAAACATCCGCAAGTGTTAAAAACTATCAATTTCGTTGACAACAATATGCGGTTTTTAAGATTTCTTAAATAAAATCGAATTAAAGTTAATCTAAAATATTATAGTATCAAGTGATGATCTGTAATTTAACATATAATAACGTTGCTAGTTGGGAGAAATACGGATATGATGTAAACAATTGATAAATTTTCGCATGAAAATGTACAAGTTATTATCTGGGATCGGAAAAATGTTCAAAAGCATTATCAACTCTAGAATAATTAACCTTACAAACAACAACGGCTTCAGATCCAAGCAGTCCACAATACGTTCTTTAATTGTCCTCCCAAACAATATTTAAGCATCTAAAATTCACGCCAAGTAGATATATATATAATGTTCGATAGTAAATTATATGCAGGATTCCTGGATTATATGATTGAGGCAACTACTTTCTTTTCCATATATTCTTTACTAGTTCCCGAAAGGCTGCTTCGGAGCCTTGTTGTTTCTCATTTTCTTTATTGCCATTAATACTTCGTTGGGTGTGGGTGGTTACGTTTCCCTTAACCCATTTGCATCATTCGGAAGAAATGACAAAGTCATTTCAGTCCCATCCATATCAACAAACATTTTTTTATTATATACCAACTACAAATATATACAAATTATAATACATTCGCGGGCGACCAGAGAAAAAATAGACATCATCGTTTACCAGCAAACGAAGGAAATGACAACGTGGTCGTGAACAGGAAAGAATAGGACGACAAGAAGATGACGAGTCGTTTGGATCCAGCCACCTACAACAAAATCAAGAAGATGAAATCTACAGAAATTTCAGCAGAACAACAGAAAAGTTTGTTTGTACAGGCCCCAGTACCACCAAGAATTTATGTATTACTTAAAATCCATAAACTAGATATCAGTGCCATAAATTGCTCAACAGGTACCAGTTGGCGAAGCTCCTTTCCAGATTCATTCTCCTTTTACAAGTAAAACAAAATCATATGTCAGAGATTGTACGCATTTTGTGGAATCAACCAAAAGTATGAAATTAGGTCCCAGGATATCTTGGTAAGTTTCAATGTGGAACCTCTATTTATCAGAGTACGAGTCAAAGATGCCGTGTATGGTCTTCGCCAGAAACTCATTTCCGAGGGTTTACGGAAGTATATTCCAGGGCTAGTGGAGTACTGTTTATCATCCAGATATTTTAGCTAGAAGAGAAAAACAGAGAAAAGCGTCTCCTGAAGTTCGTAGACCACCTGAATTCGCAACACCCCATGATCAAATTTATCATAACAGTATTAGTTGCTGTTCAGCGTCAAACTGTTGTATATTTTTATTAAACTAAAACTAGAACTAACACTACTTAGACCTTGAATTTGAAACATTTCTAGTTCTAACACTAGATTTACAACCAGAAACATTCTGGTTATAGGTCTAGTGACGGTTCAAGTACTAAAGTATGTTTCTACTTGGTTCTTTAAGTTGCTGTATGTTCAGTTTGTCAAGTTTTGCTTGACAAACTACTTGTTCTTTTTACACAATCCGGGGATACCCAGATTCCCTTGTATACTTGTATATATCTTATCCCAAGTGCGTACTCGCGACAATTACATTAAGATATGTTGCTAGATTTATTAATGTAACCGCATTATCGTTGAACTCTTCATGTAGATTATAGGCCTGTTTTGGTTCAAAAGTTTGGTAGTTCCTGACAGTTCTGAACTACAGAACACGTGAACTAAATCAGGCCATATATTTACCATGGAATTAATATAATCTTAACATCCCACGATATCTTCGGTAGGGGGTTTTGAGATCTTAGATATAAACGTAGATATAAACCCGTTATGAAAGATTATAACAGTCATAAAGATTGCAGTGAAATTCCAAAATACGTAAATAAACATATAACGTTAAGCAACAATATCTCATGCGCGGGAGATATGTAAATTGGAAGGTTGTTGAGAAAGCTTTGTAAAATGTTGCAGGCTGTCGTTCAAGTTTTCGGGTGGGTTAATTATTGATTCTCTTCACTAAATGAAATTGAGGGGTTTTCTGTTTACTAATTGAAAAAAATAGCAACCATTTCCTTTAAACTTTCAATGACAAACATAAGTTTGATTTTCTCTTGATAGTCAATAAAAATTTAATATATAACACCTTAATTCATTTATTTAATCAATTATGTTTAATTGATAACATGCGTAGTTTTATCGGAAAGAAACTTGGGAAGGAAAAAATTTTGAGGAAAATCTCAGAGTGAAATGACGCATTGATGACTAATCAAAAAAGGATTACTCAGTGTCACCAACAAGTAAAAAATTACTTAAATTACTTTCAATAATTATCGATTAATTTTTAATTGAAGTGTTTTATAAAAAAATCCAAATGTATTTCATTTTAAGAGACTCTACATTGAGAGTCTTTAAGTGTACAACGTAACATTGACCCAGTGGAGACAACAAACGTAACCTTTAAATAAATCTAATTGAAAATCACTGAATAAATGAATATTAAAACGATGGATTGCGAATTAAAGTAGACAATAATGTAATAACAGAATAAAAACGCTGAACAGAATATAAATACTGGAACAGAATTTTATATAAGAATAAAAATTAAAGCGTCGTTTTCATTTTCTTTTTTGAGGTTATGTTTAAAAATTCATGAATAAAAAAAATTGCTTTATAATTACTAATTACCTATAGAAACGTAAAAAAGGAGGCTTATATCTTTACGATTGCACGCAAAATAAACGAAACCGTTAAAAATTTGTGTTTACGAGGATTAAAAACATTTTTTATTCATTTTATTTATTTATTTAAAAAAAATCGTAAAATATCATTCTTTGGGTGTAACAAAAAAATACAAATTTAAATAAAATAACAGAAACAAAAATTTATAAAAAAAATTCTTACCGTATTGAAATGTTCTTTGAGTTCTTCTCGTTCGTCTTTTGTTATTTTCGCAAAGTTATTTATGGAAGCCATGTTTGGGACGCACTCTGGTTTTGTGTATTCAAGAAAGGAAAATATGTATAATATATCTATATATATGTATATATATTATGTGTATGTTGTTTAAAAAAATCGAAATGATTAACACCACTTTCGCTTTAGCTTTCCGTTCGCTTACTGACTCTTTTCGTTTCGATGAACGCGAACCCAACCCTGGACACCCAACCAAACGATTTAACGCTATTCCCCTCCTTACTTTCGAATGAAAAACTTCTTTGGGAGGAGTCCGTACTTTTACGATTCAGATATCTCGTTCGTATTACTTTAAAAATTTAAATCAAAATTTGCATCAAATATTTAAAATACATAAATTTGTTTATACATATATACGTATATATACATATACTTGTATTAAAGCAATTTTATTGATTTTTGGTCGCACCCTTAAAAATAAAGGCGATATAAAAGCATAAAAATCATAAACTTTATTTTTGTTCACTATTTCTGTCTTTTAAAACTTTTAACATTGCTTTTAAAATTATCGTATAAAAAAAAAAATTTAGGGTTATAAAAAATTTAATGATTAATGCACCTAACCTCAAAAAATTATTTTGTTACCATGCTTTTTGTTGTTATATTCTTTTTTGTGGTGTTATATTTACATCGCGACGATGCATATTTTTATAGCGAATAGGAATTTACTACGCAAAAAAAGCTGTGTATAATTATGTTTGGTGAATTAACCACATATTTTTTGTTTACATTTATATTTACCGGTAGATGGCGTTTGCTTGTTGACATAACAATGGAATCGTCTTTATCTCTTATTTGAATTTAAGTAACTTTTTTTTACCATGTTATAATCTTTTTAATCAATAAATAATTTGATAACATTGATCCTTGGTATCAATAAATCCCACTGGAAAGGAAAGAGTATTTTGGAAAATAATATTTATTAAGTGTAAACGGTGTCGCAATAATAATAGTGCCCAGATACTCCAAAATTTCTTGTGTGGATATGACGCAGTTAATGATAGAATCATTTGCGTACGATCCCAGGCCTTAACACGCACTCTGCACATTTCCAATTTCCACGACTATAATTTATACACAGGTCTTCGAAGTTGGCCGAGATTATTTCTTCCATAAACTTCAAGTAGGGTAGACTTAATGTCACGCTCGGAATCCCGAGTGATACATTAACTACAATTAATGATAGAATCATTCACCTACGACTCCAGACCTTCACATGAATTCTACACATAATACAAGTCTACGCCTCAATTTCCACGGCGGAAGCGACAAGCAGGCAGGTTTTGTAAAGGGAAAAGGGACCAATATTGCTTTCTTTCACTTCTGCTTTCAAGTTGTTAATGGTGACACTCGGGAATCGGAGCGGGATCTCAAGTGCAGGCAAGAAGATTACAAACCTGAGATATGCTGACGATACTACTTTGATAGCTGCATCAGAAGAAGAAATGCTAGATTTTCTAAACCGAATTGAGACTGAGTTCTGATGTTCTGTAACTGACCGTTGCTCTACACAAATTTCAAATCGTAGACTAGAAAGAGATTTTTTTTAAAGTTTCCGATTAGATTACACAATAAATATTTAGCAGCTACGAAATCGTTAACAATCAAATAAAATATAATTTTTTCAATCTCATTAATTTTATCAATTACTTAATCAATTAAATATTCGTTGCAAAGAGCCTATATTTTTTCACTTGATTCATATCAATAGATATTTTAGCATTACTAAACGCTGATTAATATTTGAGATAGTTACAAAATCACTTCTATATATTTTTCAAATTTAAGCAATATGTATATATTTGATATATAGTTCATTTGCTGGTAAACGTTCAGTAACTTATCTTGATTATTTATCAGTTTGAGTAAGGGATTTTTTATCATATTTACTTGAAAACTGCAAATATTTAATTTTTAAATATTAAATTTCAATTTTAGTTTTTCTATTTTTTCGTAGATGTCGCTACGTGTAGATAGTGTTAAGTCTGTATTTACAGACAGAAGCAATATTTAAAAATTAACTGTAAAAATATAAAAATATATTAATTATATTTTTTTTTAATAAAATCAGTTAATGCTTTTTGTTTCACGGTAATACATTAATTAATTTTTGAGATACATAAAGATTTAATACTATTATCCCAACGTTTATTATCATGGTTATGCAAGGTTGAATTCAAAAATTCATAAATTTAAAATTTGAAGATTTGAAAAAAATTTCCTCAAAATATTAAATGCTAAGTAAATTTGCTTTAAATTGCTTTTTATTTCATGATGATATCTCAATTCCTTGAGATACAATTTTAAAAAATTCACATTTCATATTTATTACAATAAAATTATGGATATGAAAACGATGTTTATGGAAAATAAGAATCATTGAAGAAAACGCAGATGGGCGCAAAAAAAAAACAGGAAACAAATCTTCAAAACCCCACCGTCCTTGGGTCTCGTTTTAAAAGCATTCCAAAGGGAATCCGGTAGAAGAAGGGGAAGGATAACAAGTGAGAGAAATAGTGGGGGCCATCTGATGGTGTTCCATCTCCATCGTCCAGCGACCAACAAGCCCACATTTCGGAACGAGATGCAGCCACCGTCGCGACGCTCGTAATCACAACGTACGTTGTTCGGTTTCCCGGCTTTTCCTTCTCCCAGTTTTTTTTGTTTGTCTTTATTTTACCTCTTAAATTTGGAAAGTGACGAAAATGGGTGAAGAAGAAATTCACTTGGAACTGGACGGTCCGTCGTTAGAAACTCATTTGGTGACACTTTTCGAAAAATTGGAGTCGATGAGAAACCACGACGAACTGTCGGCTATTAATCGGTGCGCGAAATATCCAATGCGAGTGGAAGTGAGAAGACTTGAATTTTGGAAATCAGTTTTTTGCGAGTGCGTGGCCTCTTTTGTGTACGTCTTGGTCGTTTGTGGAGCAGCCGCCGGTACCGGCGTTAGCCCGTCGATGTCTTCAATATTAATCAGTACATCACTATCTTCAGGATTTGCTATTGCAACTTTAACGCAATGTTTTGGACACATTTCAGGTAAAATATACCTTATTATATTTAAGAAATATATAAAATATTCTTTTAGGTGCACACATAAATCCGGCAGTTAGCATTGCTCAAGGTTTTACAAAACGCATATCAATGCTGAGGACTGCTCTTTTCGTTATCGCACAGTGCGGAGGTGGAATTGCCGGCGCTGGTTTCTTGTATGGGTAAGTTTTCTATTCATCAACTTCCGAGATCGTTTCCGGTCTGTTCACCTGCCCGTAGATGTTTTAATGAATGGGCGGTTTTTTAATGAATGTCGCGAGAATAAATAATTATAAGACACATAGAATCACACAGAATAATGAGCATTAAAGAAAAATTAGTAACCGTAATTAAGTTAATTACTTCTTTAGTTTCCATCATTTTTATATAATGTTGTAGATTCCGATTTAGAAATGTAACCTTCTTTTAACTTATTTACAATCCATAGCACGATTCGTGTTTTTTCTACCTGAGGAGCAGTTGTGTGAGGATTCTATGGGGGATGCAGCTGCTGATCTTTTTCAAATTAACACAAAACGTCCTTTTCCTTCAATCTCATTCAAGACACCGGCTGTCACACTTCTAAATGTTTTAAAAAGAATTACAACTTAACCCAGTTAAAAAAGAAAACATTTCTTCGATTGATTTTTGGTTCTTATCTGTTTAGATTTTGGGCAAATACGATATCAAAAAAGCAGACGTCTGCCGGTTCGTCGGAGTTACAGATAAACTTTTTTCCCACAGTTGGGGGAGAGGTCGAATCATATCCCTGGAGACGCTTTAGTTTATGAGACAAGTGGCTGACCCCAAATTTGAGCTCGTGTCGCGAACGCTCGTCGAATTATCGCTATTGTTACCATCGCGGAAGGGGTGGTCTCACAATAAACCCTTAAAAAAACTATCACACGCCACCGTCCGCGCGCCCCTTGAATTCGTTGTTTGCAAACCCCCACGAAATCACCGAAATGAATCGGATTATCCCCGAACAAGGATTCAGGGTATGCAAACAAGTTTTTTCATAATTCTATTAAGAATTGATGGGAGAATTTACATAGATGCTTTAATATGGCGACCACATGTTGAGCACGTCTTTAATTTTTTCTACTCCCCCTGTCTTAGTTTAGTTTGAAATCTATTTTAAGACGTCTTTCAAAAAAATTTTTTTGTTTAACCTAAATTTTCTTGAAAATCGTTTTATCATCAATTCATTAAAAGTGCGGTTACGTTTGTACTAAGAATCTTGAAGTTTTTTTTTTCATCGTCAAACTGTACAATATTCGTGGATCTTGTTGCACGTGTTTTTCGGAACGGCAACCACCTGGCGGTGGCCACCACTTGCTCCCATTTCCGCCCTCGCGTCTCTCGCCCATGTGTAACAGCGTCTTTCTCTTTCGTCTGAAAAGAAAATAAACTCCCGGCCTCCGCAGCTGTCCGCCTGCATCTCGCACTCTTCTTTGTCGCTTCATGACTCAAAACGGCAGATGATGATAATCTCGTACAATAATAATAATAGTTTATTGTAAAGAATAATAAACTCTTTTTCTCAGAAAATTGTTAATTTCAAAAATTATTGAATTAAATTATATATATATATATATATATATATATATATATATATATATAATATAAATTATTAATTTATGGGGTTATAAAGTGGGAAGGGTGGGTGTGGATTGAGATATCAATAACTTTGAGTATCCCTTCCCCCTTTCTATTTTCTTTTTTTTTGACGGTCTTGGTTTATTAAATTCCACTTGTGTTTGGATGATACGTGAGGGCGCGGGGGCAAATTTAAACGGGGCTTTAACAGTTGGCGTCGTTCGCAGACGCTCAGACGGTTTTAATGAGCGCAAACGAACCTAAACAAAGAACCATGCTACACGCACGATTAATCTATTTAATTTTTTTTACAACCAAACACTTGTTCAATTTTATTGTTACCATTAAAATTTCTTACGTAGCTTTTCTAAAAATAATTATTATCATTTTTATGTTGTTATTTTTTAGTGTGAATATTTCTGGGTATCGTACAAATTTAGAAACGGCAATCTCACATTCAACGAACGTTTCCGCTTGGGAACGTTTTGGAATCGAGTTCATCCTGACATTTGTGGTCGTTTTAACATATTTCGTTTCAATGGATACCCACAGAAGATGGACTACATCAAGCAACATAACAATTGGAGCTGCTTACTCGGCATGTAGCTTTGTTTCGGTACGTATAGCTAATTACTGCTTCAAAAAAGATATGTCTGGAGAGTGTACAATATTATAATGCTGTAATATAAACTTGAAATGTCAGTGAATGCAATTCTTTATTCTTATTTCTATTTATATATTCTCAGTTACTTTTTGAAGATACTCGTTTTTTAATAGAATTTTTAATGAAAATTACAAGTTTATTATACAGGATGTATTTGAAATCTGAATTGCTATCTGAATTAGTCAAAAGATCTACAAGTCCGTTTAATAAAGCCGAGGCGCTTCAAGATGATGACCAGTTTTAGGTTAATATAATCTTAATCAGTAGTCTTAGTTTTAATAAGTCAGTGAAAATCTACAACATTAAATAATAAAGCCGAGGCCACTTGCGACCATTATTATCATCAGCCGTAAGCGACCTCGGCTTAATTAGTCTAAAGAACTACAACTTAACCCGATAAAACCAATAATAAAGCCGATCTCACTTCAACGATATACTTATTCATTTATTGTCGCACTCCTTTGCAAGCTTTATTTGATTTTTCAAACTGAATAATAGATTTCTTTCTCTGAAGAATTGGAGAAAAAGGCTTCGTGGTGATTTCTTTGGGGCATTATCGTTATGATTTATTTTCAAAATATCAACTAAGTGACCAAATCTGATCTTGTTAGTTTTTTTTGGCACATCGTAAAGAATAATATCTAATTCCTCCCGCTTCAAATTTTTAAATTCAGGTTTATCTTATCTTATCAATGGTTTATCACTGGTTCTCTTAGACAAGAATGTCGAAATACTGGTCGTAAACTGCATAAAGAAGTTTTCGTCTTTTAAATCAGATGAACTCCGGATCATATATATATATATATATTTGCAATTATCTAAATATGATTAAATACGCTCTCCAGATATGAAATATCTATCAATTGTAATAGGTATTTATTTATGTAATTTTTTTTTGATTAGATACCATATTTGAATCCAGCAAGATCTTTGGGTCCATCGTTTGTTTTAAGTAAATGGGATAATCATTGGGTGTATTGGTTAGGTCCGGCGATGGGTGGAGCAGCATCCGGATTAATTTACGAATATCTGTTAAATCCAAAACGTCAAAGAAAGACTAAATCGGCCGATGGTGATACATCGAGTATGAATTCAGATGCTGATACTTATGATGATTTAGAAAAAACGAATGGAAATAAGTTAGGATCAAATTATAATTCTTATAGACCACCTGGCGGAACGACTGCGAATGCTTTAGCTGCTTATTGTCCAAGCGTGGCATCGACTAGTTTATATTCAGCACCTCCAACTAAATTGGAACGTGTCGATTCTTTATACGGCAATTCAAAATCTTTGTATTGTAAATCTCCGCCTTTAACTCGAGCAAATTTAAATCGGTCGCAATCGGTTTATGCTAAATCGAATTCTTATTTGAATCGAGAAACATTGCCTAGACCTGGACCGTTAGTTCCAGCACAATCACTATATCCGATTCGATTAAATCCGGGCGGTGGTAATAATCAACAAGCGGAAAACGCTCAAAATCAACAACGAACTGAGGCTTACAATAATTCGAATTCAAATCGGGACCGAAACGATGGCTATAATAGCAATACGGTGGAAAGAAGAGAATATTATAGAAACGGCAATTACGATTCGGTTCAGTATGATGAAAACGAGAAAAGGGCCCCTAGGTCAACCCGACCTGAATCTTTATACGGTAGTGTTAATGGAAACCAAAGACGAGGTGGAGGCGGAGGTCAATCGGCTCCTTCTGACGATTCAAATTATGGTGGAGGATCTTATGGAGGATTTAGTAATAGAAAAACTAGCGGGACTTATAATGGAAGGACTGTTACGGGTGCTGAAGTTCGACAATCACCTAATTCTCAATATTAAGACTGGTTATTATTATTTTTGTATACATAGCTTAGACTGTAAAATTTATTTTTTTTTGTAAATACATTATTTCTTTAATTTCGACTAAATTTGTTTTATTTGTACAAAGCGCCACAAAACAATGACCAGTTTTAGGTTAGCATAATCTTAATCATTAACCCTCGGCCGCAAGCAACCTCGGCTTAATTACTCAATATATATATATTTGATAAGCTATAATATTACGAGTTCTGTGCAACTGACTGGCCAAGCTGTACAGCCACATTTTCCGCGGGTTCGGTTACTTTGATTTCTCTTTCGATCTTCAGTACTTTTCTAGAATTTCAATTTTAGACTGAAGAAAAGACTGGGCACTGAGTTCAGAGAAGCAGTTCGGCGGAAAGAGTTTTTCTAAGGCAGTTCAGTTCGTAAGTAGTTCGTAGTCTAGTCCAGTCCGTCCAGTCAAAAAGGGAGTCCAGGTCTGGAGGAGTCCAGAAAGCAGAGAGTAGGCGCAGACCACAAGAGTCGAAAACCAAAGAACAAAAATAAAGTTGAGAAGTGAGGTTTTTGGACAAAAGAAGTTTCTCCCAAGAGAAAATTACTAATATTCAAATTTTCAAATATACTTTGTTACTTCATTAACAGATGGCGCCACCGTAGACATAAACGTAAAAAAAAAAAAAAAATATATAATATATGAAGTTGTGGTTAAGATTCCGGTATTCGTGTTGACCGTTAAAAGGTTACAAAAATGATTTTCATAGTATTACCCTGTTTAGTTCTCCTTTACATTTTGTTAATAAACTTTTTATATGAATTATTCTGTGCTAAAGAAAAATCGGTTCAAGAAAAACACGTAGTGGTTATTGGTGGCTCAAGTGGGATTGGTAAGGCTTTTGCATGTTTAGCAGCCCAAAAAGGGGCACATGTGACAATCATAGCACGAAATGAAGACAGACTTCGATTAGCAGTTGAAGAAATTAAAAAGGACCGTCTAAATGACTCACAAAGAACGAAATCTATCTCCCTTGATGTTTCTGATTATGATCAAGTGAACGGGTGTTTACTATCTTTGGATGATGAACTTCCAATTTATATGTTAATGAATTGCGCTGGGTTAGCAATTTGTGGAATAATCGAAGATGTAAGTGAAGAAAATGTTAAAAAAATGTTTGATGTAAACTATTATGGAACTCATAATGCAATAAAAACTTTAGTTCCCCGATTTAAGACTCGGAAAGAGGGACATATTGTTTTAACTGGATCTCAAGCTTCATTACTTGGAATTTACGGTTATACAACTTACGCAGCAACTAAATTTGCTTTGAGAGGTTTAGCGGAAGCTTTAGCTATGGAATTGAAACATTATAACATTCATGTAACATTGGCCCTTCCTCCGGATACAAACACACCTGGTTTTCAAGAGGAAAATAAATCGAAACCTGAAGAAACTAGATTAATTACTGAATCAGCCGGTATTTACCAACCAAAAACGGTGGCTCAAGCAATTTTAAAAGACGTTTTAAAAGGATCTTTTTTTAGTTATATTGGGATGGAAAGTTTTTTGTTGACCACTTTATGTGTTGGAATGACTTCACATCGCAAATATTATGAACTCGCTTACCATTGTATTTTATTGGGACCTTTTAAATTGATTAGTTCCTTTTATTTGGGAAATTTTCATAAAATTATTAACGACTGTGCAAAAAAGAATAAAAAAGCTGATTAAAAGAATGATGTATTTGACAACGCATTTAAATTTAGCTTAGTATTAAAAGTATTTTTGTGAAATTAAACGATTACTTTTAAAAATAATTAATTAATTTTATTTTCCAATACAAAAATTATGAAATATTTCATCTAAAACATCAACGACGGGACTGTTATCTTTACGACCTTCGATAATTTCGGTGATATATCGCAAAGAGTATCTTAAATCATTTCCTAAAAGTCCATAATCTAAATCGTTTAATTTCTGTGAATCGCGAGCTTCTTTGATAGTATCTAAAAATGAATTGAAATGTTTTTCTGATTTTTCTAATAACAAACGGTATCGTAGTTTTGTTATTGCTGGATTTTCTTTTGTTGGTTCAGCACAACTAAAACGAAAATTACACTTTTTTGATGAAAATTGTTGTTTATACTCACATGTCCTTCAAGTGTGCCCCCATTTTAGTAATAAATTTATTTAGTCCTTTTTGCGTTTTGACGGAAACACATAACGCCTCATTTTCAATTGTATCATTAATTTTATCAACTTTGTTCAATAAAATAATACATTTTTTATTAAATAAGTTCTCTAATTTTTTTTCTTTCAAATCCATTTCATTAATGATATGAGGAACCTTTAAATTATCAACAACGTGTTCTTTAATAAAATCAAAAAGTACTTCATTATTATTCAGTTTCTTCCAAATTGTAAATTTTTCAACATCAACAATTAAAATTAATAATTGAGCTTTTTCTATGGCGCTTAAAGCAATTTTAACACCTTCAGCTTCAATTGGATCAACATCTTCATAGCGTAATCCACATGTATCAAATAAAATAACCGGATATCCTAAAATATCTAAGTTCATTTCAAGTGTATCTCGAGTCGTTCCTGGATAAGGAGTAACAATAGCTGCGTTTCTTTTACATAAAAAATTATATAAACTACTTTTCCCAACATTTGGTTCACCTAAAATAACCGTTTGAACGCCAGATCGTAACGTTTCCCCTCTAGTACCATCATTAAGGTGCTTTACAACATCGTTTCGGATCACCTCAATTTTAATAAAAATTTCATTTAATATTTTTTCACTTTCGTATTCTTCAATATTTTCAAAATTAAATAAACTCTCGAAATTCATTAAACTATTAAATATGTCATCCTTCCATTTTTTATAAACCTTACTTAAAACACCCTGACTTTGTAAGAAAGCTTGCTTTCGTTGCAACTCAGTTTCAGCATTTATTAAATCCGCCAAACCTTCAGCTTCGACTAGATCCATTTTTTTATTAAAAAAAGCACGTTTCGTGTATTCCCCAGGACGAGCTAATCGAAAATTTGGTAAAGTTTCCAAAGCTTGTAAGATACTTGAAACTATAGCGGTTCCACCATGCACTTGAAATTCACAAACATCTTCACCAGTAAAGCTATTTGGCGATGGAAACCAAAACAATAATCCTTTATCAATAACATCGTTAGTTTTAGGATGACAAATTGCCGTTAAATTAGCGTAACGTGGTGGTGGTAAACTCACGTTGTACTTAGTTAGTTTTTTTATGGCTAAGGAGGCATCTTTTCCTGATATTCTAATTACAGCAACTCCACATTTTCCTTGTCCTGAGCATAACGCATATATTGTATTTTCAGAAAGAGTTTTGACAGTTGTGTAATATCTTTGAAATTTAAACATTATTTATTATTATTTGGAGAACGGTGATGACAAATATTTTTCTACATAACTACTTTTAAATAGTTTTAATATTTTTCTTTATAAATACTTTAAAAAAAATTATAAACAAGTCACATAACCCAACTTTTTCCAATTATCCCCGAGAATATTTAGATAAGTCAACTTTAACTCGTGCATGTTAGATGCCGTTAGTATATGCCATCGCCTAAAATCATTGTTTCGAACCATTGTATATAACCTGACGAAATTAACCCCAAGTTAGATTTTAGCCTTGTTTATAGATATACCTATAAACAGGTGTATTATTAATATTATTTAAATTAATAATTATTATTGTGCGGCCGACGTCTTCGCAGTCGTCCGCCGAGATTATATCTTATGTCGCAAACAATACTTGGTGGGCTCCCGATCTCCATTCGCTATTCGCTGAGGGTCATCTGTCGGAAGGCTTTTAATAAAGCTAAACAAACCACACCGATTGAATAACTACATATATGTATAAACAAAGTTTCGAACTAATTAATTCAAAAAAACTTCGTTAAATTATGTATAAACATGTAAAGGTGCGTACACATCAAGCGAACGAATACCGAACATGGACTAATGTCTACGTTAATACACAGGATACATAAGCGAATCAAACGTTTGGTTCGTCTTCGCATGCGTTCGCCCCAAGAGCGGTACGTCAAAGAAAATCGGTGTGTGGACGGATTTGTTATTCGTGAGCTTGGTGTGTACAAACTTCCAAGTGTTGAACAAACGAACAACAAACGTTCGTTGTTCGGAGTTCGCTTGATGTGTACGCACCTTAATATGCACATATTTTAATTTATTGCAAGTTGGAGTACTGAATATAAGATGTCGCTAGTGTAAAAACTCCCCCTAGAATTATTTTTCCGAACTAATCCGCCATATCAATTATTATTGTTGAATAGAAATCATATTGAGAGTGAACACCCACTGGTTTATTCAAAAAATTTACTGGAAAATTCGTGCTTTTCTGAGTGAAAACTTGTGTAATTAAAAATCAACTGTGAAAATGGCAAAAATGGCATTTCAGCACCAAGCCGGAACGGCTATGGAATGTTTAAGCGTAAGTTTTGCAAGTCTGTTGGCGTCTTGTAAACATCATCATCGTCGTTGCAAAAGTTGAACATTAATTGTAAATTTAGATTCCAATAACTTTACACAAAGAAGGTGAAGGCGACAGCTTAAGGTGTGGTTTTAAAATTGGAGGTGGTATTGACCAGGATTATCACAAAAGTCCTCAAGGATATACTGATAATGTATATGATTTTTTTGCGTATTTATTTTTACTTTTTGTTTGAAATTTTTAGGGTATTTATGTGACCGAAGTACATGAATCAAGTCCAGCTTCACGCAGCGGTTTGAGAGTTCATGACAAAATTTTACAATGTAATGGTTATGATTTTACAATGGTTACTCATAAGAAAGCTGTTAGTTATATTAAAAAACATCCTGTTCTAAATTTATTAGTTGCACGTAAAGGTGTAACTTCCACATAATTATATTATTAATTTTTTTTATATAAAAAAAAAGAAAATATAACTCCTAAGGATTTTTTCTAATAATGTTTGGTTCGCATTGTGAGCCTGCGCAGTAGGATTTTTACACCCAGAAACAATGATGCGCATGCGCCGAAGGACGAAGTTTTATACATATTTAATATTAGCGTTACATGAAAAACATTTTTGTTAACAGTTAAATACTAAAAATGTTTAACCTTTAACTAATCGTAAGTTTCGCGTGATGTGACTTAGCGACTAGTTCAGGGTTAATAGACAATTTGTTACCAAGTTATTTTAGGACGTTAGGTGATTTAGATTAATGTTATTAAAATAAAAATCGTTCGATAAAAGATATGTATATATATATAAGTTTTGATAAAGATTCTTGATTATGTGAGATTATACTCATTGTCTTAAGTATTTTTTGATTATTAATTAATTTAGATTTCCTTTTTTTTGTAGTCGACTACTGAACATTGCCAAAGTGTTACTGTTAGCAGTGTAAATGTCCTTGTTTTTATAAATGAAAACGTTTAATTTGCAATAATTTTTTTTCTAATTATTATTTTTATTGTACACGCCATTTTTCAAGCTACAAGCGGACATATGTTGTTTATTTCATATATCTATATATAGTTTTGTTTAAAATAAAAGGTTTACAAAAATCTGTTGTCGAATTATTAATACGTTTATTGTTACTTTGCCAATTTCTTTTTAATTGAACTGATTGACGTCGAGATATCTATTTAAATGTAGGTCATTGTTGTCTAAAATCTATGAATAAACCCTCATTACTTAGTTGTAATCATTATGGAAACCTGGGCTAGATGAGAATTTTTTATTTATACTTTATTATAGACTAGAGTATGATTTTAACTGTCACAGCAGATATCTTCCGAATCCCAAGTGATACCGTTAACAAGTTGTAAAACAATTTTTACACGTCTGAGGGGTCTGAGGAAGCCCTTGGGACATTGAAAAAGATATTTATATTATTGATTATATGAATTTTGCTGTTTATTATTATTAATTTGGATTCACTTTAAATTTATTCTTCTATCTAGTATTAACACTAAAAAATTCAATTTTAATTCCAGTTTCCTGTAAATTATTATTTTTAGTGTAATCAAAATGTTAGATTTCCTGTTATAAGATCATCAGATTTTTTAATTGTTTACAATAACATTAAATATTTGGAAGATAATAAGATAAGATATTTTTACGATTTGAAACCGTTATAAAAATATATAATTTGAATTAAAAATCCCGCGTTTTCGGATGCGATTCAATCATAAACGGATAGATGGCGACGTTTTAGTATCCGGTACACAATTGACACCGTCGGGTACATATTAGTCGTTCATACATATTACCCGTTGTCAGACAGACACCGTTCGAAAAAGATAAAAAAAAATACCCTGTAGATTCTGTTTTATTTATTATTTATTTCTTTGATTATATGCGACTCGCGGTTTATTGAAGAGTCCCCGTTTCCGAAAGACAGTACCCTGGAGAACTTGTTAATACAACCATGGATGCGACCGGTGTCTTGCAAGTCGGAACGAGCATCGACATAAAAAGAACCGATGGTAAGTTCATATAACCAACAAAAAAAGACGTTTAGTGACACAAATCGAAATCAATCAATCAAAACGTTTGTTGTCTTTTCTATAAATATGTTGTATAGTCAAATATATTTTAAACCATACTCCAGACCAACCCGTTTCTTATCCTTCTCTTTTTCCATTTCAGTTGAAACCGAAATTTTGAATTTTAACCGTTATTGATAAAATTAATGATAAAGTTCATGTTCAAGTAATGTTAACCACACAGCGATAATTATATATATACATATATATATATATATATATATATATATATATATATATATATATATATATATATATGTATGATTCATGATCATAGACCAAGATTTTTTTATGTACTAGGAGGAAAAAATTATATGCTGTTTCAAAAACATGTGGTCTTTAACCAACAAAAAATATTTTATTTTACGTTTGCTAATTCATAGATATAATATAATATTTCCTTCATATGATGACTCATTGAGTATCATTTTTTTTTTCGAGCGTATTGACCAGAGTACCAGGAGTTAAAGGAGTAGGTGTTTTGGTGCGCCCACCAAAAAAAAAAAATCTTATATATATATAAGACGACGTCGAAGAGACACTGATGTCTCTTAAGGTGTGTCCAGACATTGCGCGGATGCCTCGCGATGTTTAGACGTGATCGCGCGCGGCAAATCTGCCGGTGGCGAACATTTTTAGTAAGTGCGCGGCGTGTCTCGCATATGTCGGATAGCACTGCCGCGCAAACATTCTGTGGTATGTCCAAACTTGCGCGTGGCAAAACGCCGCGTGTTGCTGCCGCGCAATGTGTGGACACACCTTTATAGTTCGTCAAATATAGTTTGTCGAGAAATTAACATACAACTAAATGTAAAACTGAGTAATTGAAAACGAAAAAAGATATATGTGCGATTGAACGAGTTGGTAGCGGTCGTTTCTTTTTTTTTTGCGCGTCGAGAGACGAAATGACGTAAACCCCGCCGTTTTAAAACCGTTGGTACCTTATATGGGCTGTGTGCACTTCGTCTTTGAAGGCCGTTTCATTCTTCTCAATGCCTGCCACTGTAAAATGGGAGGTACATTTTTGGTTATTGCGTTTTTAGATTGGAAGATGAAGAAATGTTGTTTTAAAGTTTTCGATTTTTTCGAATACCGCTAAATTGCATATGCAGAAAGCAAGAAAATGTTAAGGTTAATTTATGTGCGTTATGTTAAAACTTTGTTTTCTGACTAATATTATTATCAAGAATATAATCAGATAAGTAGGTTTCATCATCACTATGTTTAATCGGTTATTGCAGTACCAACTATTTATAATTAATCATTAATAAATAGGTAAAAATATTAATTTTATTAATATTATTTGTTATAGGACGCGTACATTCAGCAATGGTGGCAGCAATAAATTTTGATTTGCGAACGGCTACAGTGGAATGGTATGAAAGAGGTGAGACAAAAGGGAAAGAGGTGGAACTTGCAGTGATAGAATCTTTAAATCCGGAAATAATAATTGTACAGCCTGTGGAAAAGTGCCTGCAGCAACCGATGTTACCTTCGCCATTGCAGAGGGTAAGTGAAGTGGTGAATAATTAGAAGCAACGCTATTATGTCCATTCCGACGACGAGTCTTCTTTTGAAAGACCCGGTACCAGGTACCTAACTCTTTTTATCGATTTGCATCGCGTGGTTACGTTTCGCAAAATTATCGTCTGAATAAGCCATGCAGTAATCCGGGATTTCTTTCTTTTCCTACACGCTGCTTTTCGATATTTTTAATGAAGGATTCGTCCGCGTCACCTTCGGAGGAGGAGGAGACGAGTACTGCCGTCGCGCAGTTATCCAGATTCGGACATAAATTGCACGAATCCGATGACGATTTTAACAGCAATCAGTTATCACCGGATACTGCAACACTTTCGGTATACTTTTTTTTTAGATTCTAATGAGAGTTTGTATTCGATTTGAATTAAAAACCAATTCATTCATACCTAATCATTATATCATTACGATTTTGTTTAGAACCCAACTCGACAAACCATAGCACCTTCTATGAACGATAAGAACAGCAATGGCGGGTTGCGTATACCTAAACCTACCACCGTTAAGGCGAACAACGGTCAAGTTATGGAAAATTATCCTATTAGCAAAGAAAATACAGCTTCAAGAACTAGCATGCTCCCTCAGGTATTACAGCTATTTTCCATATTATATATATAGAGTTCGCTAACAAGTCAGCAACACCCTGTTCCTTTTGGTTCTATTCACGAAATTTTGAAAAAAATCATTTCGGCTGTATTTTTAAGAATCACGATATGATCTGTATGTTAAATTGAAGCTTAAAGATTTTAGTTTATGTTATAATATAAGTACTATAAGATAATATTGAAATTTCCAAGAAGAAATTGTCACCTTTTTTAGTCAAAAATATATCGATGTATGTTAAATTGAAGCTTAAAGATTCTAGTTTATGAAATGATATAGAAACTATAAGGTAATATTATTGAAGTTTCCAGGAAAATTTATTTTAAAATTAAAATAACTGGAAAAAGCAAATTTGTTTGAATATGTAATAAAAACCGTAGCATAACGATTTTGTGGTCTACTTCCGTTGGACCTGACGTGGTGACCATCTTAAAAATATTTTAGATCGAAAATTTCAGAAATGTAAGTGCAATGAAACCAAAAAAAAACAGTGCGTTACTGACTTTTTGACGGACACTGTATATGCTATACTCACCTCAAAAATTCACGCATCATTATTAAATATTCGATTGAATATTTGACGCATGAATTTTTAATAATTCTTTATATTGATATGAAGTCTTTATCAAACAAGAATTCGAGGACAAGTAGCGTTGTAAAGGAAGTGGAGAAATTAAAAAAGAATCGTGAAGAACGAAGACAACGCCAAGCGGAAGAGAAGGCAGAAAAGGAAGCTTTTCTTCAGTCAGCACCGGGTAATCCTCATTGGGAACTCTTAAATATGATTCAGTAAGTAGTAATAATAATTATATATTTATACTCAACCCACAACTCGAAATAAACGTTTTTAGTTATTAAAATTTAACTTGGAAACTAAAAACAAACAAAAAATTCTCTTTAAAAATAATAGTAAGTAGATAATTTGGTTTACTAAAAAATGTACTTTTTTAAAGAGAATATCGTCGAGGAATAGATATAAAACCGCTGACAGAACACGACGCGCTCGAAGATCACTTAATAACGGTTTGTGTAAGAAAAAGGCCATTAAATAAAAAAGATGCATCGCGAAAAGAAGTTGACGTAATAACGATACCGTCAAAGAATCAGTTGATTGTTCATGAACCGAAAAACAAAGTGGATCTAACCAAGTATTTGGAGAATCAAATATTTCGATTCGATTACGCATTTGACGAGACATGCACGAACGATATTGTTTATAAATACACAGCACAGCCGCTTATAAAAACGATTTTCGATGGGGGTTTCGCCACGTGTTTTGCATATGGTCAAACCGGATCTGGAAAAACACATACAATGGGTGGCGATTTTAACGGAAAAACTCAAGACTGTCAAAAGGGTATATACGCGATGGTATCTGCCGACGTGTTTAGGTATATCAACATGGAAAAGTACCGTCATTTGAATCTCCTCGTTTGCGCGAGCTTCTTCGAGATCTATTCCGGAAAAGTATTCGATCTGCTCAACAATAAATTAAAACTACGTATCTTGGAAGACGGAAAACAACAAGTACAAGTTGTCGGATTGACCGAAAAAATCGTTTCCAGTGTCGACGAAGTCCTCAAACTCATTCAAAAGGGGAATCAAGCGAGAACATCGGGACAAACTTCGGCCAATTCGAATTCGTCACGATCTCACGCCGTTTTCCAAATTATATTGAGGTCGCAATCTTCAATGAGTAAAATACACGGAAAATTTTCGCTTATTGATTTAGCTGGAAACGAAAGAGGAGCTGATACCTCTTCTGCTAATAGAGAAACTAGTAAGCATTAATAAATATTAATTATTACATCAAGCAATATTAACTCGTTTCTTTTAAATCTTAGGAATGGAAGGAGCGGAAATAAATAAATCCCTTCTAGCTCTCAAAGAATGTATACGAGCTTTAGGTCGTAAAGGAGCTCATTTACCTTTTCGAGTAAGCAAGCTAACGCAAGTCCTTCGAGATTCGTTCGTCGGCCCAAATTCTAGAACGTGCATGATTGCTATGATTTCTCCGGGAGTTTCCTCTTGTGAACACTCCTTGAATACTTTACGTTATGCAGATCGAGTGAAAGAACTCGGAGCCGGCGATTTGGTAATCAATCAAGGTGACGATGGTTTCAATAACGCGGATAAACAGGGAGATGGCGATTTACAACAATTGCGCTCTCTAAACGTAAGTATAACTTTTTTTAAATAATTTAATGAAATAATTTTTTTGATTTATTTTAATAGGAGCACGATATGAGTGTTGAGATGCTTAATTTTCATCAAGTTATTTCTGAGTTGCAAACGGCTGAAGATTCTATGTTGGATAATCACAAGCAAACCATCGAACATTTGCATGCTAGCCTACAAAGAGCAAAGAAATTATTAAGAATGACTGACGATGTTACCTACGATCAAGAAGGCAAATATTATTTTAATTCGATTATCGTTTTCTTATTCATTTATTTGTAGGTTATTGTCGATTGTGGACGGATTTAGTAAAAGAGATGACATCACATTTGATACGTTCTGAAGAAACAGTGGCGGACTTTAAAGCTAAGTTAGCAACGGAAGAACAACTTAGCCGTAAGACGCAGAAAAAGAAAAACGAAAAATAAACTTCATTTAAAAAATGATAAAATTGTTTTAAAACAAGCAAAATTAAAACCTGCTACTTGTATAACACAAGCTTACGTTGTATTATTGAAGGTCATAATGACGTTTAAGGCGGTGAAAAGAATTAAAAACAGTTTTATTTAGTTTATGATATTCAATAATGTGATGTATTTGTCGCGAATACCACCGGGGACCGCCCAGTTTTTAAAAAATATTTACTAAAAGATGCGGGAGCCGTGTGTGCGATGAAAAAACTATATATATAGAGAGAGAGATCTGGCACAGTTGTCTTACCAAAAAAATACTATGCTCCTGTTTTTATAAGATTATTTATTTGTTCTTTTTTTTTTATTAAATCGGTCTCTGCATTTTCTTTTAATTTGTACACAAAACATTCCTAAGTTATTCTCAAGATAAGAAGGCGGCCACAGCGAAAGTTGGCAACGAAGATTTTGAAATAATTATGTTGTTTAATAATTTTTTTCTGTGAATTGTTACGTCGCATTGTTAGGCTGTGGTAATGTTTTTTAGAGTTATCTGCCGACTGATCGTTTGTTTAAAGCCGCCACCCTACCCTCGCTCCGCATTGCTTTCCCCCGAACATTGATTACTATAACAAATAACGAGATGTAGAGGCCTTAGTATCCACAGATGTGCAAGTATTCGTTTTTTCCCGTTATGTTACAATTTTTACCACTAATTTTGTGTTTTTTTTTACTGCGTTTATTTGTAATCCACCGTTTCACTTTTCGCTAATAAACTTTTCGAAATTTAATTATGTTTTTTTTTACTATCTCTCAATGCTTTAGGCGTAGAAGAATCCAGCTAAATACCCCACAGAAGGGCTGCCTCATCGAATCTGGAGGAATAAAAAAATTCGCTAGACTGCAACACAACCTATATAGGGTGTATATACAGATTTTAGCTGTGACAGCAGATATCTTGATTATTGTTGGAGATCTGATAAAATGTTGTACAAGGAAAGTTTAATATTCTATTATCTGCCATATTCTAAAAACAATTGGTTATAAAACTATAAAAAAGTCTAGTTACAACGATATATCACATTGTTTGTAATATGCTCAGAATCCCGAGCGTTACTATTAACAACACACAAAACTACGCACTCATCCCAGTTTCATATTTTCGTACACTTCTCGATATTTGTGGATCTCAGAGCAAAAAGCTCTCTTTCACTTTTGCTCTCAGCTGCGTAAATACCGAGAAAAATATGAAAATTTGCTGAATTCGTACTTTTACAAAAATGACATGTAAAATGGCTTTTACATGAATGACGTTATATAGATGAGAGCAAAACCGATGAAGCAACAGGCAACACAAAATTGGTATAATCCGCGACAAGCAAACCAATACACTTACTACGTGTTAGACAAATAGGTCTGGCCTAGGCCTGTGGACAACTTAAATACGATTTCAAAAGCCCACTTTCGATATGTTTGAGAAAAAAGATATTATTAATGTTATTATTAATGTTTTACGAGACAGAGGCTGGGTGATGATGAATGGCTTTTTCTGGAAGAGATGGCAGAGCAATAAAAGAAAATATGACTGTATTAAATTAAATAATTTAATTGATTTATTTTTTTATAAATAAATAATAGAAACACATTGGTTTTAACACAGATCTTTGATAATTAATTAGTTAATCACATTTTTATCAATCTTCTACTTCAATAACGGGACTACTGTAAATTTCATGGGTGATCAATTTATTCCTACCAAGATAAGTATTTAAGGTTTCGTCCGTACAGTAAGCGATAAATCTCACAAACGGTCTTAAATCACCTCGATTAGCTATTTTTAAATAATCGTAATACTTTTTTCGATCTTTTTTGCTAACTATAACAGGCGGATATCCCGACCTCAATAATATTAAATTCATAATTAATCGACTTGTGCGTCCGTTACCGTCCGTAAACGGATGAATATCAACTAATTTGTAATGAGCTAACGCCGCATAACGTACAGGATGCATATTGTGCGCTTCCTCGGAATTTAGCCAATCAACATACGAATGCATTAGTTCGTTCAATTTTTCGGGGGGTGGTGGCATGTGTCCACCTACGAAGACTTGTTGATTACGGAAGTAACCTGCCTCTAATGGATCAGTATGACCCATAACGCGTTTATGTATTTCTAACAATTCGCGAATCGTTATTGTATCGGTTGTTGTTAGAATTTTTATATAACGGAGAGCCATTTCTAAACCTAAAATTTCGTTATGTTCATGTATTGTCTTTCCTGCAATCACCATTCCTGTTTCTAAAAGATATTGAAGTTCTGGTACAGTCATTGTGTTACCTTCTATTCCTACCTAAAAAAAAGTGATATAATTAAAATCTGTAACATATTGTAAGCTTACCGTATGATAAATATGTAAATAAAACAATTTCTTTTTCATTTCAAAATCAAATCCCGATTTTAATCTTTCTTTCAATAACTCTCTTTTTTCATCAATAATCTTAAACATTTCTAAATCAATTTTATCAACTAAATGCGAAGTCCTTCTGTGATTGCTTAAAGCTCCTTGATGATTAGGAGCATAAGTTAAAGCTCGTAAATATAGTTCGTCAGCGGTGACAACGTCTTCGTGAGTTTCTTCTAAATACTGTCCATAATGGATTAAAACTTCTGGGTTGTCAGGGGCCATGGCAGCTGCATGTTCAAATAATTTCAACGCTTTATCTAATTTACCCGATTTTCGGTAAGCTTGGGCCGCCTTTAAACAGTGTTCCACCTCGGAGTCTCTCGTCTGTGGACGACGTCGCTGATGTAAAAAAGCTGGTTGTTCAAAGATGACTTCATCCGCAAAGGATTTTACGTCACTCAGGATTAAATCCGTGAAAAGAGGTTCGTGTAATTTTCCTGTTTGATGACTTTTTTTTGAGTTGAGGAGATAATATTGTAGTATCGTCAACAAAATACAAATAACGCAAAGTATTATTGATGAAACTATTGTCGTTATATGCATTTCATACGTTAGAGTTGCTTGTTAACTGATTTTTGTCGAGCATCATACATTTTATCGGTTGGAATTTTTAAAGTACACGTATACGAAATTTGTTGGTTATCCATGTTATTTTTGACTTTGACATATCTTAAAATGCATTTTTTAAATAAATGTTTTCTACAGTATTTCTCTTATTTTACATTAAAATAAAGTCAATAGATGGCACTGTTTCCAGGCGAAGTTGTTCTAAATGTTGCCGCCATTTGTTGGCGACAAAAATTTGTTTCTGCGTTTAATTAAAACACTAACATACTAATCCTTAAAAGCCGGATACTTAATGTTCTGGGCTGCTTATAATTTTCAGTTAAAATTTCATTTATTAAAGTGGAGTGATCAGATTTGTTTATTGTCGAATGAGGGGCTAACTATCAATAGATGGCGCTGTTGTTTTTGAAATTTTCCGTATTGAAGTTAATTGATAGGGATTTAAATATTATAAGTCTATCTTGCATCCTTCACTGAATACCATTGAACACGCATTCCGTGAATTATAGCAGATAATTGAGCTCCATATCGCCCACTGTTTGCTACGGCGCATCTGACCTTCACCGTCAACATAGATTTGCCAGACTGTATGTAACTTTTGGAAAAAAATCATATCAGTTTCGTTTCATTTAAGTATTTTCAAGTATTAATATAAATCGTAGCGTAATCTTCAATTAAATAAAACTGATAGCGATGATATTTTATGAAAATATTTACAACGTATCGAGCTTTCAGTGCGTTAGATTTAATTTGGGCGTTGGTTTTTTTATTAAAGTGCAATGTTATTAATACTTGCAGCTTTAACCCTAGTTTTTACATATTTATATTTTGTGTTTACTACGCCTTTTTGGGATAAATTTGAAATTCCTTACTTAAAACCGAATCCGTTCTTTGGAAATTTGACGGATGTTGTTTTTCAAAAAGCTAGCTTAGTGGATGTTTATAACAGGATTTATAGGTTTGTCTGAGATTATTCTTAATTAGTAAAAGATTTAAGACATTTGAAATATTTTAGAAAATTTAAAAACAGTGCGTACGTTGGGATTTATATAATAAGAAGGCCCGGAATTTTAATTAGAGATATTGATTTGGCTAAAGATGTTTTAATTGGTAACTTTAGTCATTTTCACGAAAACGATTTAGAAGTTGATCCGGAATATGATCCGATTTTTGGAAATAACCCGTTTACTATGAAAGGTGAAGAATGGAAAATTCAAAGAACTAAACATGTACCTCTATACACAATAGCAAAAGTAATTTTTAATTTTTCAAATTTCGCAATTTCAATATTCAAATTTTAGATGAAAAATATGTTTGAATCGGTAAAGGATAGTTCAGAAAAATTAGTAAAATACTTAAAAGAACATACCGTAAAAAATAGTTGTGTTGAAGCAATGGATATTTCAGCAAAATACACTATTTCAAACGTGGGTAGTTGTGCCATAGGAATAGATAATCGAACATTAGAAGAAAAAAATTCAGAAATGCGTCAAATGGGGAAAGACTTAGTAGAAATATCAATTTACAATTCAATAAAACAATTTTTAATGATTGTTATTCCGAGTGTATTCGACTTTTTCAAGGTAACTTTGGTCCCAACAAAAGTTTACAAAAGGCTTAAAAGTATTATCATTGAACAAATCGATTATAGAAACAAAAATAATGTGAAACGGAACGATTTTTTTGATAATATTCGTAAACCTAAAGGAAAAGGTGCCGAATTAGAAGAAATAATCGCCCATGTTGGCGGATTTTTCGTAGATGGTTTTGCAACAAGTTCCCACGCCTTAAATTTCACACTTTACGAAATCGCCAAAAATGTAGATGTCCAAAGAAAATTACGAAAAGAAATCGACGAAACCATTTCAAAAAACAATGGAAAAATCACCTACGACATTTTAAATGAAATGGTTTACTTAGAAGCCGTTATTTTGGAAAGTTTAAGAAAATATCCCCCTTTAGGATCGATGACGAAATTGTGCACATCACCGTTTACGCTTCCTCCAGCAACTCCGGCCTCCAATCCAATCAAAATTCAAGTTGGAACACCCGTAGTAATTCCATTAATGGCCATTCAAAACGACGATAAGTATTATCCAAATCCAGAAAAATTCGATCCTAGCCGATTATTACCAGGAAACAAAGAATTTATTGAAAAAAAAGCTTTTATGCCATTTTCAACCGGCCCGAGAGCTTGTATTGGACAAAAATTTGCTTTGATGCAAGCTAAAATGTGTATTTTTAAACTTTTGGAACATTTTAAATTAAAAGTTAATTCCAAAACTAGAGAACCTATTATGTTACATCCGGCTGCTGTTTTAATTACTGCTAAAGGTGGGATTTGGTTAGATGTTACTAAAAGGAAATAAAAATAAAATTTTCAGGAAATTAAAAGTATTCATTATTTATTTCTTTACTGTGCCGTATTAATTTAATTAAACGTTATTTAACAATACTGTTTAATATTTAATTTACTATTTAGTACGGAGGAATTTCGGAAATAAACAAAAAAGCGCAAAAGAAACAAAATACTGCTCATAACTGATTATTATTTGGTAATTCTGTACCTAACCAACGTTCGAGTAGCTCATCATAACATATTAGATATTAGATTTGGCGGTATTAGATAGTAGATATCGTTCATTTGATGTCTTGGAATGTGAATCAAGCGTACAGCAGTTGAATAAGAAATCGTTTATCCTCACTCTGCCGAGATCATATATATCAATATAAAGCTAGTGTATACTATTGGTTCTAGCACCTCGTCCGCAAGCCACCTCGGCGATGTGAGGATAAGCGATTTCTTATTCAAGTGTTGTACATTTGGTGCTCTTTCTGGACATCAAATGAACTATATCGTGAGATAACATCGCTGAGGTTGCTTGCGGAGGAGACGTTGGATATACAATTATCGCAAGCGAGAATCGAAATTGGATAGGAGAAAAAAAATTTTTAAATTAACGGAATGTGCTATTAATTGTTAACTTATATTAACAATTTAAAAATTTAATTTTAATATTTAGGGGTATATTTTACTATTCATCGTTAGATGACGCTGCAATAATGTAAATAAACACTTAGGTTATTATATTATTTATAGCCGCAGTTATAACATGGTTATATGTATGTACATTGGGATAAGAATGCTGTAATAGCTACACATTTTTTTGTGTAAATACCATGAACTTTATCAAGAAATATTTATTGTAGCTCAGGTAAAGATCAATTTAAGTGTCATAAGCTTTTATATATTTAAATTAAAGTGTGCAGTAAACAATTTGTTGGTAATTATGTATCTCCATACGTAAATACTGTAAAAGTTGCTGCTAAATTATTGCAAGTTGAAGAATATGTAAATTATATATTTATTTATTTACATTTTGTACACCTGCAACATTTTAAACATTCTTTAAAGCTTTTAAAATTATAAATAATTAAGTATTTATATTTGTTTAATTTTTTATGCGCTAGATCTAAGAAGATAAAAATAAAACCAAAACAACGCGATACAAATATAAAAATTATTTGATTATTTTAAGTTATTAAAATATATATAAATGTTTTATAGATAATTATCATTCGTACTTGTAAAGCATAAAGTTTTGTATAAATTAATGAATAAAAAATTTCCTTTTGCACTTTTTTCAGTATTTCCAACAGTTACCTTTCCTCTAGACAGTTGGTAATTTATCCATTTATCCGCTTTAGTACATTTTACATAGTAACATTTTTTGTCTACCAAATTACTAGACACAACAACAGGTTATAAAACCAAAGTATTTATCAATCGTAATGTGATTCTTTAACAATATCATTGCCAAAAAAACAAATCAAAAATGTATTTTCCACTGATACCTATTTTTCTACCAATGATTTATTCAGCTTCCGCTATGCAAACGGATTTTTGCGTTGTATACGGTGGAAAAATCTGCAAAAATTATATGCGCGATACAATGGTTTATAAGAACGGCACGAACGATATCAACGAGAATATAACAGCCGGTCTGTGGGAAGAAATGGTTGTAAAATTAAAAGAGCCATGTAAGAGTGCCGCCGAAGTAAGTTCATCACTATCTTTGCTTCAACAAAAACCCCATTATATAAAACGTTTTGCAGAAACTATTATGTATGTATGCATTTCCGTTGTGCAACGAAATGGGAAAACCTCTACCGCTCTGCTACGAAGATTGTTTGGTTGTCAAAGAACAATTTTGTTACAACGATTGGTTGTTGATCGAAGCGAATAAAAAGAGGAATGTGACTTATAAATCAAAGGGACATTTTCAGTTACCAATTTGTGATGATTTACCAAAGTATAAAGATAATAATAGTTCATGTTCTTATGCTAATTTAATGGATATAAAACAAGATGAAGTTACATGTAAGTAAATTATGTCTAAAATAAAATCTAATAAAATAAATTCATTTAGATGATTGTGTAAAAGGAAGAGGTCGTTTTTATCAAGGTACTATGAATGTGTCACAAAGTGGTTTACCTTGTCAAAATTGGGAATCGCAAACTCCTCACTCTCACATACACCCACCAATGTTTTTACCAGAATTACAAGGTGCTGAAAATTATTGCAGAAACGCCGGAGGTGCAGAACCAATGCCCTGGTGTTTTACAATGAACAGTACTGTTCGTTGGCAACATTGTAACATAACAAGATGTTCAAACGAGACCAAAAGCCCAAAAGAAGATGTTAAACCCCCAATAACAATGGATCAATATTTAACACCTACTTATATAATAGTTGGAGCAAGTATTGGGTTAATACTGATATTAATTTGTTTGTTATCGGTATTATTGTGTCATCGAATTCATAAACATCGATTGGGTTATAACCCGACTGGAAATACAGATGTGACTATCGATTTGGATAAATTACCAAATAACGCAACATACCATAATTCGGGGGCGCGTTTAAATCCGAAATTAGAACGTTTAGAGTTTCCTAGAAACAATATTATATATATAAAAGACTTAGGACAGGGGGCGTTTGGTAGAGTTTTTCAAGCCAAAGCGCCAGATTTAGTTTCAGGTGAAGAATTTACTTTGGTTGCTGTTAAAATGCTTAAAGATGACGCGACTGAAGACTTACAAGATGATTTCGAGAAGGAGGCGTGTTTACTAGCTGAATTTGATCACCCAAATATCGTAAAACTTCTAGGGGTTTGCGCTATTGGGCGGCCAATGTGTTTACTCTTTGAATACATGGGTAAAGGCGATTTAAACGAATATTTGAGAAAGTGTTCACCCACTTATCTTCCAAGAAGCGTTGATGAACGCGATTCCAAGGAAAACCAATTGAATCATGTCGAGCTATTAGAAATTGCACTTCAAATCGCTTCCGGAATGGTTTATCTTTCAGAACGGAAATTCGTACACCGTGATCTTGCCACAAGAAATTGTTTAATTAACGATGATATGGTTGTAAAAATTGCCGATTTTGGATTATCACAAAAAATTTACTTACAGGTAAATTTTACAATTTATAATTAATAGTTTAATAGAAATTTATTTTATAGGATTATTATAAAGGAGATGAACATGATGCGATTCCGGTTAGATGGATGCCTTTAGAAAGTATTCTCTACAATAAATACACGTTAGAATCGGACGTATGGGCTTTTGGGGTGTGTTTATGGGAAATTTTTTCGTTCGCTCTCCAACCGTACTTCGGGATGACACATGAGGAGGTTGTCAAGTATTTGAAGGCGGGTCATATGCTACTTAGTCCGGAAAATACTCCGGCACCCGTTTATGAAATAATGCGAATGTGTTGGGCTCAAAAACCCGCAGACAGGCCGAATTTTAAAGTTATCTTTAACGCATTGCATAATATTTATAATACAATGATCTCTTTGCCGCAGCATCATTAATTTACTATTATATTGTAGTTTTGTTCCAACACATACACAATTTAAAACGCCGGTTTGAGTATTTATTAATAAGTGTACAGCTTAGTCCAAACTAGAATAGTTTAGATCTCATTTTATCTAAAAATTGGACCACTTTGTACACATTTATCCTACTTAATTTAACACATTCACTTGAGGACACATCTTTATATATATATATATATATATATACACTGGCAGTACAATCCTGTGAAATCCTTGATCTCACGGATAACCTGTCTTCATTCATAGCTGGTAGAGCTCTTGGTATGTATCCTTCATTCGCCTCGCTCACAGATGGGACCGTATATGCGACGAAGTACCTGTTGAGGAATTGCTCATCTCTCACTGTCATCACCCACGTCTCGCTCCCATACATTATCACTGGTCTTACACTGGTACGGTATATTTGGTCTTTGGTTCTCCGCGACAGTAGTCAGTAATTAATATATTAATTGGTGCCTGCACTGTATTGAGGTTTCTATTTCTTGGTATAAACATATATTTTGTCTTCCCCTCGTTAACTGCAAGCCCAGCTCTTTTTGGTTCTTCCTCAAACTGTGCAAAGCTTTCCACTACTTGTCAGCAGATCAACATCTCCAGCTTACCGGTTCGACCAGGCTGTCCCTGGCGAAGCCTAATACCTTATCTTTCCATTACTTGACTAAAGAGGAAAATTTGGTCCATCGTTGATGAAATACCAGTATGTAGAATGCTATGTTTAAAAGCGTGATTCTTCTAAAGTTATCGCAGCTGGTCTTATGTATCGGGCAGATGATTCCGATTTTCCATTTCTATCATACAAGTTCTAAGTCATGTTCTCTTCTTACACCTAAACATTAATACATACCATTACACCACTATAATAAAGTAGTGTGGAGATGGTCCAACAGGGAATGTGTTAAATGTTATTTATTAACTTTTTTATTATTTATAATGGACTTGTTATTTTGTACAATAAAAAGAAACGGCTGCAATTGTGAGATTGCATAAATAAAGATAAAGCTCAACGTAAATAAAGAAAATGTAAATCGCACAAAATGTAAATTGTATTGCTCGTAGATAGGAGGAATTTTATTTTGAAGCTTATGATCACTATGTACTCTCGATTTAAGGAACCATCCTCAGGAGTTAAGATGTGCTAAAATGAAACCAACATTTTCTAAAAGAATTCTAAACCCGAATAAAAAGTACAATTCGGAAATATTAAAATGGCAGCGTGTAATGTAATGAACGGAGGAGTTTTATGTCCGAAAGACTGATTTAAAATGTTTTTTTTTAATTTCATTTCAAGGTTATTTAATGTTTTGACCAAAATAATAGCATGTTATTGTGGTAATTAAAATTACTTTGACCGATTTTATAAAGCTACGATTTATTGCCATTTTATTAAACTTTGACGTAAATTGAAACAAATAGCAAAATTAATCAGACCAAAAAGAACTCGTTATGGTTCGCCGTGTGATAAGATTTCATAATAATGGAAAATTAGTAATGGTTTTAGGTAATGGAAACACCCAACCACACGAAATAAAATTCCTTTTCTTATTTTTTGTGTCAAAATATGCATACAATTTAAGAAATTCGTTACAATCCGTTTCGTGAATTCCAAAATAAATTTTTAGATAAGAAGTTGTGTATATCTGTGAATGTGAATGTATTTCTTTTTTATATTTATACAAATATTTAAGCTTTGGAATTTTTTTATACACTTTGTTTTTTATGTATGTAATATATACCGGAACTGTATGATTTTTCTTTTGAATTTATTGCTCTACCAAATAAAAGTAAATAAAAATCTTGTTTTTAATAACATAATGAAATTTTCATTTTTCCTCTTATAAGTATATATAGTGTGTTTGATTTTAGTTGTCAGAAGAGATATCTCGACTACTGTTACAGATATGACAAAATATTATAGAAGGAAAGTTGCTTCAATCTTATTATTTCTTATATCACGAACAATACTTGGGACTGCCATATAACTCATTTAAAACGACCAGAATTCGGATTCGGATCATAATACAACTTTTAGAACAAAAGTTGTAGCAAATTTTATTCTTAACAATATTGTTCTCTTTCACTTTTGCTCTCAGATGCATAAACATCGAGAAAAATACGAAAATATGAAAATTAGATGAATTCGTAGTTTTCCATGTTGTTAATAGTAACGTTTGGGATTCGGAGCATATTACAAATAATGTGATATATCGTTATAACTAGATTTTTTTATAGTTTTATAATCCGTAATAAGATTGGGCATGATAAAATGAAACATACTGTATATTAATATTTTGAAATTACCGCGTTTTCTTAATTTAATTTAAAAATTTTAAATAAATTTGAGAATTTTTTTTTGATTCAAGTGAGGATGAAAAATTGTCGGGATTTATTGCTGTTTATTGTTAAGGTGAAAAGTGATTAAATTAAAGCAATGTGAAATTATTAAACGAAATTGATATGTATATAAAGTAGTCAGTAGGTTTTCGGACGTAAGTGAAGGTAGGCGCGGAAGATTAAAAAGTAAATAAAAAAAATAAATTAGGAGCTCAACTGTCGGTACGCAGGCGCAAAAATATTTTTGTTGTGCTACGTAGTACATATCTAATTCAGTCATTTACTAATGTAATATAATATGAATATGATTCCTTCACGTCATACCGTTGCCATTTAGCCGAATACGTAGTAGCGCGAGAGAGATAGTCGTAGTGTTTAGCTCTTTTCTCTGTATTATGGTCTGACATCTACACTTGTGCCATGGTATCACAATCTTTTTCCAAAGTTGAAACGCTAATGCAAAATAGGGCCGAGTGTTTTCAAATCTGAAATGTCAAGTATCAAGCTAGGGACAACAAGAGTGTTTTGTGTTAGGTAATAATTCGGACGTTACAGTTTAGGTAAATATACGGGGACCAGTGCGTATTTTTCCGTTTCTATTTTACATGGCACATCGTACTATTTCGTCTCGAGCCTAAGATTATTTCCTCTCTGGCTAATGAGAGCCTTTTATTTTCCAGTTGTTTACTAGAGGATGGCAGAAGAAAACGTAAGTAACCGTCGAAACAAAACATTTTTTCTAAACCTAAACATCTACGTCTAGGTTATGTTGCCTTACGTTTATTATCCCTCTCTCAAAATCTCTCACCTAAAATCCGTTCTTATTTTTAACCTAACCCTACGATTTCAACTATGTTTTAGACTAATGACGAAACGTCTGTTACAACAAACGGCACCAGGCGACCTAGAACCAGCGAAGACTTTTACATGTTTTGCACCTATGTTTTACAATATGAAAATTATGATACGGACAAAAAAGAGGTAAGTTATTAAAATATTAAATTAACTAAAACTTATTCATTTAAATTCATTTAGGAGGTTAGAAACGCAGTGAACCAAAGCCCCCCGTTGGATAGTTCCGGGAGCAGTGTAAACTCAGAGTCGACAAATTCAGACGCCCAACAAGATGATAAACCCAGCGGCGACGACACCGACGATGGGGATTCCTACGATCTGATTACGTGCTTTTGTGGCAAACCATTTGCTGGAAGACCAATGATCGAATGTTCCAATTGCCTAACTTGGATACATCTAACCTGTGCAAAAATTAAGAAGTCAAACATACCTGATGTAAGAAATATTAATTATTTTTAAATTATTTTACCAAAAATTATTTTTTATTTAAACGCTTTGTATCAGTATATTTGTAGGATATTTACCTGTAATGAAATCCAATATTATATTATGATCACCTGCTGATGGATTAACGAGTTTTAGAATGTTGAATATCACTGCCTGTAGACAAGACTTAAATTTTATCCTTGAAACGTCCAAAACGATGAAGTTTATGACTCAAATGCAAAAAGTACAAATAGTATAGGTGTCCCAAATTCGTATATCTTCGAAACTAAAAGAGTTAGAAAAAAACGTACCTTACATGTCATGACCTCATATTTCGAGATATTTCACCCTGTGCGGACAACGAATTTGAGACATCTGTACGTATTATCGATGTGGCGGTTACGACTATATTCTTCTATATTCAATTTTAATAAGGAGATAAATCTTTAATAAAACTCAGGGGTTGATTAACCCATGGATATTGAGGAGGGGGATTTTTTTTTACCCTAAATTGCGACTTGAAAATAGTCGAAATTTCTCTTTATATTGAGGCTAGTTTGTTTAATGACGGAAATAGTGCCTCGAGAACATCGAATTATTCGACAGAAATGCGCAACGAAGCTTAACTATAGAAGCTTAGAAAGCAAGGAAATAAAAGTTAGTAATGGCAAGTCCTTGTTATGAAGAAGCATAGGTGTTTTGCTTTTTCACATCAAGATTCGTCATATCCTGATCATTGCTCGGAATGTATAGTATCTCCTCCACAAACATTTTTGCTCGTCTAAATGTATCTTAAGGTAACACACCTCCCATCACATGAAGCAACAGGTGCGACAGTATTTTCGAGTACGTTTCGAAGATATGCTTCAAAGAGCGCGCAGAAATGTACAAGATCTATAAAATAAATAAAATTGATATTGATTGTTTATTTCCATCTTTTAAAAACAAATACTTCAAGGCCGGTTCAACAGTCGTAAGATAAACTCGGGATAAGCATTTATCGGTATAACTTGAAAGGGCTGAACCGATTTGAACGCGGTGTGATTTGTCATATCTGATATTGTTACTTAACAGTTTATATTTTAGAATATTTTAACTTGATTAATAATTATTGAATTAAAATGGTTTATTTGTTGTTAGGTGTTCCATTGTGCCAGGTGCAAACCCAATAAAAAGCAAAGATCAGCGTCACCGACAAACCCGCCAGATAAAACCGTAAAGCGCCCGAAAAGAACAACGTAAGTAAGTTGTACATAGAGTCTATCGCATAGTAGATATGTATAATAATGTAAATACTCTCATTAATCAAGAGGTACCCTTTGTAAATTGTTTAAATCGCGCCCGATCCGTCAATCGGTCGTTGTTTTTTTTTTGTTCGTGAGAATAATAATGATAATAAAATTAAAACAAGAAAAAAAAATAGAATTGTTATATTTCTATATGGATCCTAGGAATTTTGAAATTTCGTCTCTGACTCGTTGGCTGTTAGCTAGTGGAACAATGTGATAGCTACTACCGGCACTCTGATTTTATTTTCTATAATTTCTTTTCTAATGATAGTGTATTAGTGTTTATTGCCGCTATGTTGTTAAGTTCGCTTTTTAAACCGTGGAACGACAAATCAATTTTTATACATTTAAAGAAAAAAAACTAGTTAACATTTTAAAATTTCTAGGTGTTTTTTTATTTCTTTACTATATCTGTTTAATTTATTTTATTTTTTCCATTTATCATGGTTTAGTTTGTAAACAAAAAACGAAACGGTACGATAATCAAATTCTTTCTTATAATTGTATTGGATTTTTATATATATATATATATATACATATATATATTGTGGATGAAAATGAAAAATACAAATGCAACAATGTCTAAGAGACAACATTGTAATTATATCACCTGTCATACATAATTCACCATCCCCTTTTTATTGTCGCTACGTTTTAGACTCCCGCTTAATGAATAATAATTTTTTTATTGTAAGAGGAAATTTACCTGAACGTTTTCAACTTGGTACGCGTACATTTCTATCAAAATATAATACATAAAAAAATATTATATACGAAATATATTATTGGATACACCTTATATTGTTCTTTGCCATAAATACTGATGAGTCAATGTAGGGAGTATTGTGATATTAAAAAAAATAATAAGAAAAATATATAGATGATGTGATAATATATGATATTTTATTATTGCAATTCGAAATTCGATATTTTTTGAAGATTTACATTGATAATAATTCATTTCACACAATCTCGGATAATATTATATTGATAAAAAAGGTGGGGGATGATCGTAATTGTTGTAAATAATTAGTGCTAAGAGCTTAAAGAATCGGACGTATACGCGCTATATCCAAGTGTGAAAACGACGGAAAAATTTCTTTAATAATATCTAAAAAAAGAAATTCTATTACAATATAAGCGATTAACAGGTTTTTTTGTGATACTATGTACAGATTTTAAGTTAAAACAAAACAAGTTATCGAAATGAAATTAAATCAAAAAAAAATAATAATTAATAATACAGTGTGAATCATAATAATGTATAAAAAAATTATCTTGACTATTTTCAAGCATAAACAGAGGAATTAATAAAAAAAAGAATTTTTTAAGAAGATAAAGGGTGTTAAAAATTGTTAAAAGAATTGAATTTCGAATTTGTTATTTAATTAGTTTGTTTATGTTTTAGGATAATCGGATAATTTCTTTTACTTATTTGCACTCTGTATACAACAAAATTTGTGTATGTTATGGTTTTTAATTTAGAAGTTGGATTTTTTGTGTTTATATGAAAAATTAATAAATGGATTGAAATTAGGAAGATTTCGTATCGACTAATAAAAAAAATTAAACCCTAATAGATCTGCTATGTGAACTGTTTGATAAAATTTTCAGGGTAATTTTTTTATCATTTTCACCTTATTCCTAATTATTTTTTGTTGACTGACCGAAACTAGTACAGAATGGTATATAATACTGTTCGCAACATTTAAATTTAGTATATGTCCATTTTCCTTTCCCAAATTTAAGTACATATAGACACAACCCAAATATTATTTATGTTAATAATTTTCTTTATTTACCGTAATTGCGTTTTAATTATTATATTTTTGTATATTTGTTTTTCCCTTACACATTCTTTCATTTATTCTTATTATTTCTGTTTTGTCAACTACTTATAGTTTAATGGAAATTAATCATATATTGACTGAGTGTCTTTTACATGAGTGAACAGCTACATAATTTTTATAAAATAACTGTATTTGCAATAAAAAGTTCATGTTTCATTATTGTTATTATTTCTTTTTATTTTATTTAATTATCATGTATTAGAATTTTTCCAAGCCACCTCAACATTCTATACCTACCTCTACCTTAACCCAATACAACCCAACCCAACCACTTACTACGATCGCTTAAGGGAGGAAATACCTTCAAAAATTTAAAAAAAAAATCAAATTTTCCTCTTCAAGTAACGTTGAAAAAATTGATGAATCGAACGAGTCTCTATCCATAAAATCCTGGGAAGCAGGGAAATATAAGTTAGCAATGGAAAGTCTATTTCATGAAGAAACAGAAGCTTTATTGTGTGGCCCTGGAATTGCAGATTACTCGATGTCATTGTAAATTGAAAGAAATCATTTTCCCAAAACTACGTTTTTACAACTCTTAGACACGATATCTCAAAAACTATTCGACCAATCTTCCTGAAATTTGTAACACATAAAAATAGTAGTGCCTTTTTCTATTTGAACCTAAAAGATTGTATAAATCTCTTTTTAAATTGCATCTTTTTAATTATATTGCACACACTCCCCTGCTTTGGTCCCTTCTAGTTGATGATCTGATTGCGATAGTCGAAGTCGTTTGTAGTGATGTTACGGATGTGAGTTTAGCGGATGCGGAATCGGATTTTGTAATTCTAATTTTGCGGATGCGTAAGCGGATGCGGATTTAACGGATGCAGAGTTTTTGAAAAAAGTTACGTACTAAAATTTTCATGAAAATAATATTTCTATGGTAATTAATAGTAATTAGTAAATTATTAATTGGTAATTAGTAATTATTTATTGTAACGGAGCTCAGTTAAAATATATGCGGATGCAGATGCGGATCCTCAAAATAATGCGGATTATCCGCAGTTGCGGATGCGGATATCCCTGACATCACTAGTCGTTGGTGTAGAAATACAAGCGTATGCTGATGTTATTTTGTCGTTATGGTGAAAGGAAGCAGTTTGTCGAGGATATCCAAAATCCTCTAGGTGACCCTAGCTACCATTTGCGCTTGGTGTAAGGGAGAGAATCTCTCGACAAACCCGTTGAGACAAGACAATCGTTGCGCCCTTCACCAGAAGACGAAAGTTGGATGGACTAATCCGCCCAACTATTCAAGGTGAAGAAATTCCTTTCTCAAAGGAAGTCTAATATCTAGAAGTAATGCTAGACAAAACCCTCTCATGGAATGTACATTTGCAGGGAGTTTTACAAAGCTAGACTATCCTTGTGGACTTGTCATAGTCTTTGTGGAAAAAATTGGAGTCTTACCCCTGAAAGACTGTACTGGCTCTATGTGACTGGTTAGACCTACGATGAGACTATGAGCAGTAGCCTGGTATAGGAAAGTTCGACAGACTTCAGTTATCAGTAAACTTTCACGAATTCAACGAGTAGTTGGATTGGCAATTTCTGGTGCGGTAAGCGCAACGCCAACTGTAGGATGTTCTGCTTGGCCTATCTCCTTTGCATTTATTTGATTCTGCATTCTCGAAATGCATGCAAAACCGCCACCAACTCAACTTAAATTAAATTTTATATATACCTCTAAATAGCCATCTTGGGTAAATACCCTCGGCTATATATCCAGGGAATTTCCTCACATGACGTATATTTGTTCGGCGCGGCATCTCGGAATACAGAGATTAACAGATTAGTTTTAAAATATGGACAAAAGAAGGACTGTCCTCTCTAAAGGAGGACGATTCACCTTATATTTGACCTAATTTATAAAATGCGTAATAAATAATAATAAAATAAAACAAGATGGCCTCCAATAGTTTTAAACGGTACTAAAATAACGCACCAGGTGGCGCTAATGCGGTAACAGAAAGAGACGATTAAGTGGCACATCTACCTTACCTTCTTTATTGGTGTATATATATATGTATATATATATAATTATATTTTCTATGGAGAGTGGAGAGTATCGTGGTAACAAAAAAATAAAAATTAATTAAAAACGCGATAGTAAGTGGTGATTTAGTTTAGATTCGATAATTAATAAAATTAAAAGAAAAAAACGGTGGCTTCAACTTGATTTATTAGGTAAATTTTAGGAATAAACTCTCAAATAATCGGGGCTAAATCAAAACAAAAAGTTATATTAAATTATAATTCGCAAGAAAGTATTGATTACAAATTTTTTTGTGTTAAATTTTCGTTTTCATTCGAGAAATCTAAGTTGCGGTTAACTTTATTAACGAAGAGAGACAAAGTTGAGGTTATGTTCGTTCGGATACAGTGATTGATTTGTATTCGCTATGGTTCTATTTGGGATGTATTTTAAACGTAAGTAATGTTCTTTTAATATTTTATTTATTAACCAAGTAAACTAAAGGATGATTTATTTTTTTTTGCAAAATCCATTCGTTGTACAAAATTTTGATCAAAAAAAATGTTACCTGCTCCAACCCTGCATTACAATAGCAGTTGTCAAAGCGTGTTAACCACTTGACTTTGAACAAATTACTGTGGATTTAAGTAAATCGGCTTTAAAGAAAATATAACGAACATAACAAAGGTTTTTTAAGAAATTCCTGGGCGATATTTTGTGCGGATGACCCGAAATTGTTGCTTTATATCGTTCGCAATTTATATGTAATCTATTATAACGGAACAGCTGTCATTTTAAGATGATCTGCCCATGTGAATATATTTAAGATATTCGCTTTAAGATATCATTCGACAAACTGTAAGTTTTTAGAAAGCATGATCGTTATAATTGTGTCTCAAAAACGGTTTGGGTTTTCTAAGAAAAAAAAACTAAAAGATTTCGTATTTCCTCCTTTAAAAGTACTTCAAATGCATTTCTAGTAGAAAATCTCCACTTGCCGACTTATATAAAGCATCAAATAGCAATTAAAATCAATTTACAATCGTTTTAATAATCCAAAAAGTTCCAGGTGTAACATAACCTTTTAATTAACCTCTATTTTTATAATGGAGAAAGTATTTTTTGGGCGTTTAATATCTTATTTCTATTAATCTAACTATAACGTTAATTTTTTTTATTTGCAGTATTAGAAATGGCCGGATCAATATATCTTTCATTAAAACCCTTCGAATATAAACAATGGGCTGAGTCGATTGAAGAAGTTAATAAATGTAAATTAATTGGTAAGTTCATTTATTTAATAAAATAAGGCCAACAAATTTGTATTAGCTAAGAATGTAAAAAAGGAGTGATAAAGTGATAAGCATGCGATTAAAAAAATGCGATTTTTCATTTACAAAATTAACGTTACTCATTAATACCATGAAGCCTAGTCATTCATGGAAGGTGTTTCATCTACTTAATTCTTTATGTTACTACCTTTATTTCGACACAATCTTTTTGTTTAGTTTATAAACTGTAGAAAAGGTTGTAAGTTGATCTCAAGGAACCCTTGTACGACCAAAACTGTCTGTGATAGTCTGAAAATGATGATTAAAATTTGATGTTGTTGTCCTAGTATTATTATTCTCATGCGATATACAATTAGTTTATGCTTTTATACATCGTGTCATAAATGACTTGAAGTTATTAAGGGAAACCTTACCAATCATACGGTTAGACATGTAAGTCACAATAAATCTGCCCAACGTTTCATTCTAAAAGTTATTGTGGTAATAAATTTATTGTATGTTTTAAAATGTATTTGAGTGATATATAAAATATCATAACGCTGGGGTTCGCCCGATTTAAATCACTTGATTTAAAAGACGATTTTTTTTTGTGTTATTTCAGATTATCTACAGCAGTGGTCGACTTTTTATATAAAAGTCTTGCCAAGTTCGACCGAAGGGTTTAAAATCTTTTTTACATTTTAAAACTAACCTTCCGTTTTTGGCTCTGAGGTCCAGATACATATATTTCAGATTCATGATTTTGTTGGCGATCGACTCAAAATGCCTTCGCGATCGCCCTTATGGACACCATTGATCTACAAAGACGTAAATGCTTTAAGCTTTAATGGTCTTTTATTATGAAATTTAAATGTTAAATGATAATAAGAAAACGGTAAATGAATAAAATAACGAAAAGGAAACGTTATGAAACATTATCTTTCCATTAGAATACTTCCTTAATATAGTTACATGTTTTACAAAAACCTTAGATGGTTCACCATACCTAGGTCTAAACTGACCCATCATGGTCGTCCATGTTCGTTAAATTATTTTGGTCGTATAAGGGTATTACTTCTAAATACCAGACAAAACTTTATAAACAATCTGTCGAAATAGACGTAGTTACTTTCTAGAAAGGCGCATTTTTGAGATCGCCTTTATCGTAATCTAAATTTGTTAATTATTCTTTTGTTAATAGTTGTGAAATCCTGTTGAGCACTTAACTATCACCAAATTAATTGAAAGTATTGACAAAAAGTAAGTGGAAATAATTATGGTTAATGTTGATATAACCGATTTTAACAATACAAATCAATAGATTTCGGTGTTATCAACGTGAACGGTAATTTATATCTAGAACAAAAATCGATGTTTATGTAAATGATTATAGATTTATTTATTACAGTATTAAAAATGTCAGGATTAACATATCCTTCATTAAAACCTTTCTATAATAGACCGTGGGGTGAGTGGTTTGAAGAAGTGGATAAATGTAAAATAACTTGTAAGTAAAAAAAATATTAAAAAAATTTTCTTTCATATTTTTATTTGTTACATCAAAATAGCTGATGATAAATGTGAAGACAAAACCGTAAATTCCTCAGTAAGCTTGCTACCTAGAAAAGACATCCTCTTGTATGGTACCTGTCCAAAAAATGATGTGCGCGTTTTGTGTCGTTGCGAGCGATGCAACAAACTTTTAATGCCCGTCGCCTATGTGAAACATATGAACGAAAAGCATGGGCCTGATCAGCATCCCCAGTCGCTCCCTGTTGTGCAACCGGGCACAAGTTTGCTCAAAAAGAAATATTCCCATTCGAAGAATAAGAAGAAAATCAATCCACCGCCAGTTCCACCTCCCCCCTTATTTCAGGTACGTTTTAAGTGTAACCTTTCTGGAATCATTTCGATTCGTGTTAACCTTTGATTAATTCTTCATAAATTATTTTACTTTGCAGACGTACGAAGCGCCAGTGCCGGCGTCCCCAATCCAAGCACCGGCCGCCATCTCGGCAGCCTCAACTGCAACGACAACAACGTCAGCAACAGCAGCTGCCACAGCAACGGCCGCCGCAGTCCCGTCCGGGGCGTCCGGCACGACAACCGCCGCCCCGACGGTCGTTTGTGCAGCAGCAACGAGCGAGGGGAAATCAGGTGCCATGCAACCGGTGCACGCTGCGAAATCAGAGCACGAGGTACTCGCTGAGGCCGCGCCAAACCCCGTCAGTCCTGCCGGGGTCGGCACGGACCCTACGGACGGCTACAGCATTGTCGTCAACATCCCGGTCTCTAACTCCACCTCCTCCTCCTTCTCCTCGTCGTCGTCTTCGTCGAAACACAAAAAGTCCAAAAAAAGCTCCAAGAAGGTCAAAGAATTCGACCCGGACAAGCACTGCGGAGTCTTTGAGGGGAATAAAGGACCGTGCTTAAGATCTATCACGTGCTCTAATCATATGGTAATTAAATTATTTTTACAGTTGCTTATCTGCCAGTACGTCGGGAACTTGTATCCCTTTGTTTACGACATTTTTTACTATGGTTAGTCCCTGGGGGAAAAATGTTTCAAATTCATGAAAATCAATAATTGACTTGAACATCTGCAATATATAATAACGTGAAAATTGTTGTTATAAATGTTTTTTTTTTGTGACTTTCCGTTTCTGTACACGTTAAAAGTGATGTAGTCAACAGGGTGAACGATACGTTTAATTCATTTTATTATCTTCGCGTGGAAAGTTTTTAATTCAACAATTTACTCCGGAGAATTAAAATAATATTGTTCTTTCCAATCATTTCTTTTGATAAAGTTGTAATTTAGTGTAAATTAGGTATATACGCGATCGAACATTTAACATTGAAGCCAGGAACGGATTCTATCCCATCTTAATATTACTACTTTCTAACATTGTATTATTTTAAACTTTTAGACTATAACTGCTTCTCTTATTTTGTCAAATTTACGGTTGCAGTATCTTTTTCTTCTTCCATCATAAACCATTTCTCTATGAGATTAACGTTAAAAAAATTAATTTGCTGTCACTATCGATTATAAAGAAACCTTATTATAACTCTCCTATTTCCTCAATCAAAAAAATCATTTTCATTTCGTTATTTCTTAAGTTTCATTCTAGATAAAATTTTTTTAACAATTCATTTGTAGTGTGTTTAATTAATTTGAAGTGATGGTGACAGTAAATTGATGAATTCGATGTAAAATAATGAAATTATTCACCCGAGTATTTAAAAAATAAATTAATTTTCCCGATTAAAGTGTAAGTCGTCGTTGTTCTGAAAAGTAACTCGTATCCAAGCGTATACCTAAAAGTTTTTTGTGTCATGAACAAGTGTAATCGCAAAGGTGTATTAAAGAATATCAAAACATAACTTTGCTGTATCAATTTTACGTTTCGTTATATTTTTATTTTCGACCGTTAAAAATTATTCCAAATAACCGCTTCTTTTTGACTTGCTCTTTTTTATAATTTCTTTTTATTAAACCACAGTGCTATCGTAAAATTAAGTTTAGAAAGATATTAAAGGTAAACCAACGCTCGTCGATTTACAAAGTACCATTAACGGACGAATTTTCTTTGTAGATACATTTGAGAAAAGCGGTGCCGGGACGTAGCAAAGACCTTCATCAGCTTATTGCCGACCATAAGGCATCTAAAGATAAAGAAACTGTTAAGCAGCCCGTATCCGGTATTCCAAAAGCAACGTCGCTCACCACTTCTTCATTGGTACGTATAATTTTTTTTTAATTTTTCTTTATAAATTTATATTAATTAACAATCCTCATCCCGTTTTTTTTCTTTTTTAAATCATTGTGATTGTTTATTTATTAACAGCATCCCGTACAGGCTGTTCCGACGTCAATACCAACGGCTACGGCGGTTTTAACCACTGCAACAACGGCCACAACTAAGTCCTCCGACGTACATGTCATAACGCAACCACTCCATATATCCGTACCCAGTACCGGCGTCAGTATAGTTTCATCTCAGGGAAATAACGAAACTTGTACTTCTGTCGTTTATATGCCTATGAGTCCTGTCGCTGTTGTCTCACCCGTTCAGGTACTAACAATAAAATTTTAAGTAATTTTATCTAATTTCTACGTGTAACTTACTTATGCGAAGTTAGCCCTCGATTAGTTAGGATTTTACATGGATAGTATTTTAATTATAAAAAGAGAACCTCTCAACAGATTTTGATTCGACGATTGATATTTTTGTGTTATTTTCGTGTACCTTCGCACTATTTTGGCGTTTTAGCGGAATTCAAAAGAGATTTCGAATCGGGCAGTTCCACTTTCGTATTGGTGAAGGATGAAGCTTTCGAATGTGGTATCGTTCATCGAATTCCGCTGAGAAAATATATGTAATATCTAATTGGGAGCTACCTTCGCATAGGTGACTAAATTAATGAAAAAGAATTTTTTTTCTATTTTTTCTGATTTTTTAAAATTTTTTACTTGATTTGTTTTTTTTTTTTACAAATAGCTGGGTGGACCTATACTTCGTGTAGCATCCACGCAACCAGTTTTAAGTCCTCCATTAGCGACCCAACCGATTGTCGTGACAATACCAGTACAAACGAGCGGAGCACCTCAATATCCAGCACATCCCAAACCGCTGGTGATGTCGTCTTCATCGACAAGGAAAATTGGAGGTACGTTTGTACTGCAAAACCAGCGGATCGATCGACAACGTAGTGAAATTCAAGTAGCTTCAAACGCCCGTCGAGCAATTTCTAATTCGTGCACGATCGTCAATACCCACCATAAGCCTAACATATTGAAGAATTCCGTTAGAAGCGGAGGAATAAAAACTGGCGGAGGAGTTAAACGACAGGCGTCTGATAAATTGGTTAACGACAATAACAAACATATTAGGTTAAGCGATGTGAACGGGTTTATTTTGCACGCCGACGTTAGCGAAGGTGCTGAGGCACCGCAAACGGCCCAAACAAATAATTCGATACACGAGAAAGTCGCTTTTATTAATATGAAATGAGGTTCCATGTGATTTCCTACGGTTCGCGTATATTTCATTTAAAAGTAATAATGCGGAAAGGTAATAAGAAATAATAATAAGAGGGACTTTTTTTGTAATCGTAGATTAGGGTTATTTTGTCGATACGTCCTGACGACTGTTTATTTGAAAGACTGTTTATTTAAAAAAAAAATGTAAACGTTGTGTAACGATCTTTTTTTTTACGTATACATATATACATATATATTTTTCCACAGATGGTGTTCAATAATTGATGTGTCTGCTTGCACGTTCAGTGGCAGAATGAACTTGACTGTTGTTTTTTTATTTGAAATTTATTAAATGGTACGATTATTTATTACGCAATATATATACATGTATATGTTAGTGTATATAGCCTAATTAATAAGAGTATATTTACTAAGAAGAAGGCAGTCGTATTTCTGCAACTGAACGATATTTATTACTATTTTTTTGTTTATAGTAATAAGAGAACAGTAAAAAATAAAAATGATTAATCGTGTTCCATTATAAGTGCTTGCTACGTTTCGGGTTGATAATGTCTTATCGTTATTTTAAAAACTAAGTAACAAGTATCTTGTATGTCAGATATTAACTGAGGGATGTGGTATTAATGGCTACATTATTTCTTTTTATCACTTTTTTTTTTCGTTTAATCTCACTTTTTTTATGTCCAACATTCGAATTCCGAATCTTTAGTTAAATCGTCGTCGCATATCTTTAGTACAGAGCCGCATCGGATATTAATTTGCTTGTTTTGTGTATAGCTAAGTAGTTTCGTCCATGGCTCAGTAAAAAAGACTTCCCCCTTAAATAGATTTCGAGTATTTATTGTATTTATTTTGTTAACTATTACTATTATTATTTATTGAATGCGGTAAATTTTTTGTTTATCGTCTTATGGTGTGATTAAAAAAGAGAAATACTATGTAATGTGTCAACAAATTTTTAATGAACAAAAATTAATTACTGATAAGTTTTTTTTTCTCATAGACGCTGACAGTTACCAATTGAATTTACATTTCTTCTCCTTCAAAATCTTTAAACATATAAAAATATTGTGTATAGTATATTGTCCGCGGCGTCTAAGGGTCTGTGAGCAGTATTAATTGGATATATTAATTTGCGTTTATGCCAACACAAAGAAGAAGAAAAAATTAGCACTTAATGTAAAGAAAAATATTAGAGAATTTAGGTGTAATTGTGGACAAAAACATTAGAGATTTAGGATTGTCTATCGTTTTTTCGTTTCTCCTTGGCATAAACATTTGTATAACACGTTGTAACAAATTGTTACTTTTGAAAATCCATCGCCATCGACCGGATTGTTATAACTATCGTCCCTATTATACTTCCTCATTGTTTGTGCACTTTATCTCGCCCCTCTTCCTCCTCCCTCATCCTCATATTCCGTTCATGAACCCAACCCGGTCGTTGGCGCGGGATTCCTTGTGCAGATTGTAATACTGTGATCTTCACAAGCAATGCTCTAATGGCTGTGAATATTGCCAATTCCAGGCTGGCAACCTTACTGCCCACGTAAATTATCACAATTACAAATCGTGTAAATGATACTTTACGACAAAAAATGTTTATTTTCTCGTTTACAATAAACCTGTACATAATATGATCGAAATTTTTATTATTGTTATTTCATTATAATATTCAAAACTTTTCCTCGTCCTTTTTCACTCTCGCAGATATCTACCGACTACTGTTCGAGATCTGACAAAATGTTATAGAAGAAAAGTTGCTCCACACTTAATATTCTATTATCTGCCATACTCAAAAAGGCAGGGACCTTCAATTGTGGTAGATGCAGCGAATACATTCAAAATTTTATTACGGATTGTAAAACTACACAAAAATCTAATTACAATGATTATTACAATGAATCTATTACAATTATTTGTAGTATGCATCGAACAATAAGAACAAAAGTTGATGATGTTGAAGTCGGAACATACTACAAAAAAACTTAAAACAAAAGTTTAAGCAAATTTTATTCGTAATAATATTGGTCTTTTTCACTTTTGCTCTCAGATGCATAAATATCGAGAAAGATTTTATAGAGTAGTTTTTCATGCTGTTAAAAGTAACGTCCGGAATTCGAAGTATACTACAAATAGTAATATTGTTGTAACAAAATTTTTTTATAGTTATAATCTCTAATAAAATTGGACACGTTTGTGTTTTAGATTATGGCAGGTGTATATATTCTCATTCCTTTCTTTTAATTTAAATTAAGTGAAAAAATTAAAAGTCTTAAAATTCAAGTGAAAGTAGATGACAGCGCCATCTTTCAATAGATGGAAAATAAAATGAAAGTTTCAAGAAGCAGACAAAATGATATCTACGTATCAAAAATAGAGAACGCAATTCCGGGAAAATTTTGAATTTATCGATCGGTGGTTCAAAATACGACGTATTTTAGTATTTGCCTTCAAGCTGCGGAAAGTTCTGTTATATTATTATGTTATTTAACATAATTAAAATAGAAATTGAAGTCACAAACAATTTAAAATCATAGTTTTAATTCGATTTATGCGTAAAAACCGAATGGAAAATTCGCGCTTTTACGGGTACTTTTTATGTTTGTGTGTTAAATTGAAAGATTACCAACTTTAAGTCTTAAAGAAATATTAGAATTGTTTTAAGTTTTTGAAGTTAATACCAGTATAGTGTGCTATAAAATCGGGTTGTGAGAAAAGAACAAAAGGAATAGTCTGTTTACCCATATATTTAGTCGAAAATCGTTTGTGTATATGCGTAATTTTAGGAAACAGATGTCCGGATATCTCCCTATCGAAAGGTGCAATAGCAAGCGATAGTGGTGAGGAGTGTGGAACGAAGAGATAAGGTGCAAATGTTGTTGGTTCATAGCGGCACGACGCGACGCCGCGGAGACAGACGTCGAAGGGCGAGTGGCGAACAGTGGCGGACGACGTACGACGACGAGCAACGTCGAGTACCGTTAGGAGTTTGTTGGAAGGGAGTCGGAACAATATGAGGGTGTAGGGAGCAACCCTAGCAGCTGCGCGTTACTGGCGTACGCATCACGAGGGCGCATACGAAGGCCCACCTGGTTATGCGCGCTCCCCATTCAACTCGGTATCGACCGGTCGTTCGCGTTTCGTTTTCCGCCTAAGTACAAAATCGAAATCCCTCGGATCGGCGGAAAAAGGGAACATAGGGCCGAGGCCAATCGGGATAACATAAAATTGTCGATCTGCGACGTCGTCGTCGACGATGTGCGGGCGCGAAAGTCGACGGCGTCCGTGTTTTTCGTGTGCGCGTTCAACGATAGAAGAAGCGTCGCGACGGCGGACGCCGCCGCTGTCATAAACAAAGTGCGCTCATGGCGTCCGACCGGTCGTCCATTTTTGCGCGCAATCGGCCGACGATTATCGTCAATTCGACATGCTAGTGCGTGAGGTGGTTCGATTTTCGTCGCGATGATGGATAATATCGGTAAGATGATCGAACACCAGGCGCTGAACGAACAGGGGGTTGATGTTAATGAAACAGTAGACGCGCAGTCCGTACGCATGAGGCTCGTACCGAGGGCCGTTGTCGAGAGGCGGTTAGTGAAGCAAGAGGAGGCCGACGGAGCCCTATCCGTCATCGTCCAGGCCCAGGAGGAGTCCAGGGACTCGGAGCTCCTTAGTCCTGGAAAACTTTCCCCGACGTCAGTCAGCGTCGCCAACATGATAGACACCACCGACTTTCGCACGTTACAACCTGAACCGACGTATCAGACGCTGACGTCCGTTAACGGGAGAATGTCGCCCCCGGGGTACAGCCCCAGTTCGTCTTATGCGACGTTGACGCCGCTACAGCCGTTGCCCCCCATCTCAACGATGTCCGACAAGTTCGCGTACGGACACGCTAGTAATGTTACCGGTTCCTTCACCGTCATGCAAAACAACGGTTTGGGTATCGGCCTGGGTTTGGGAGTGAACGTAAACACCGCGTATGCGATGCCTAACATGGACATCACGCCCCCGCACAACTACTCGTCACCGGGAATGGGCATGCAACAGCAACCGAGCCCCATCAGCCCCCAAAGCGCCTATAGCCAAAACGGATTACCCTCGCCTCAGAAGAGCATGTCGCCCCCGAGTTACGATTCCCCGTACGGGACTCAACGTGAGCTCGTAGGAAGACAACTTCAGAGTCCTCAACTCAGCCCTCCGTCGGCATCTTTGAACTCGCCCGGTGGTAGTTTGGTAACTAGTTTTAGTGGTGCAACTCTGAACGGACTGACACTTCAACACCATCCACCGACGTTGGTCCAAATCGCAGCACCTCCTCAAAGGGAATGTTCGCCCTCGCCGCCAGTTCTAAGTCTCCAGCAACAACCCGCGCAACAACAGCAACAACAGGTCCAACAACAAAACCAACAACAACAACAGTCCGTTCAGCAGATTCCTGCCAAAGGATCCTCGCAGAACGCACTCAACGTGACCACGATCTCAACGGACGTCGAGGAAATTAACACCAAAGAATTAGCGCAAAGGATCAGCGCCGAATTGAAGCGATATAGTATACCGCAGGCCATCTTCGCCCAAAGGGTTTTATGCAGATCCCAAGGGACGTTATCGGACCTGTTGAGAAACCCGAAACCGTGGTCGAAACTCAAATCGGGACGCGAGACCTTCAGGAGGATGTGGAAGTGGCTTCAAGAACCCGAATTTCAAAGGATGTCCGCCCTGAGGCTTGCAGGTCAGTACTTTTTGTGTTCCCTCAAACCTCGCCTTCGACAAGAGGGGTGCCGAATAAGGGCTCTTACAAAACGAGTTTTCTCTTGTATTATTTACCTTTCTTTTCTATTATACATACTCTTACACTTTATTATTGCACAAACGATCTACTTAACATTAGAGTTTGGATATGCTTTCCTTATTTTTGGCCCACACTAAACGACATACGTCCGTAAATCGTCCCCCTTCACATTTTGAGAAACCTAAAAAAAGTAAAAAAAAAGGGCAACAGGAAAACTACTACGGTAAACCGTGAAGCCGCGCGCTTTATTACTAATTTCTCGCAATTTATTTATTGTTTGTTCAATTTATTTTTGTCCCCCCCTTTCCTTCTTTTTGTTTCTCTATTTTAATTTTTTACGCTTCTTCCGGGCCGATGTAGGATTGAGTTATCGATGGAGCAAATCGAAAAACGCACGTGATCGTAGTCTATATAGGTAAAGTATTGATTTTCACTGACGTTGATAATATTCTCATCCCCACTCAAACCTCTCTACCCTTACGACGTCACGAGTGGAACTTTTAAATTTGTTTGTATTTCAATTTCAGTGGCGCACCCAGAATACAAATCTCGAGGCTGTATAATAATATAAATATAAAGAATTATTCTTACTTTGCCAAAACTTTTTATGTCAATAATAGATTTTGGGTGCTCTTCTGAATTTTATAAGATAAAAATAAAATAATGAGAAATAAAAAATGCCGAGAGATGATACACGGATGAAAAGTATATCCAAATACTGTGACCAGAGAGATCTCTAACGTTGTTATTTTAGGACCGAGGATTGTCTTAGCCCTATTGCTTAGTGGTTACTGTTGTTGTTGACTACTCTCTTGTTTTCATTGCAGACTGCCAGATGAGCAATGTAAACGTGAGGGCAGTCAACCCGAATAGGAGAAAATCACCCTCATCAACGTGCTTGTGAGTTATATCTGTCTCTCTGTGGAATGTATTAAACGAAAATTTAAACTAATACTGCATGTAATCATTTATCTGTGTTTCCCTAATGGCGATAACGATGGGTATATCCAAACTCTAATAACCAAATAGCTGATGGCAGTGCATGAACCACGATGAGGACGCTTTAACTTTTTTTGAGTGAGCATGGCTCTAAATATGCTTCAAATTAATTAAAAAATATTAACAATTTCCTACTCCATTAAATGTTACCACCTCATAAAGATTGTCACAATATTCTTTTAGTTCGAACCACGGAGACCTGCTACAAGCTCCTATGACTCACGAACTCGCGGGAATGTCGGAAAATTCCACCTAATTTGTAAAATCGATATATTGATTTCACTTGCAAGTCAGGCATTTCAATGTTGTACGCTATCCTTTCCTGCACTTTAATGTCTGTTCCCCCAACGAAACCCGACCTTACATTTTTATTTCGTTTCTTTTTGACTACCTACTTTTTAGAAGTCGAAACTTATTCAGACATTAAAAAAATTCATTTATTTACTTTTTTGTCAAATCAAATTTCTCTCTTTAAAATTAGTTATTAACTTAATTCTTTTACGCTATTTAATTACTAACAAATTTTATTAATTTTTATTTTTACTAACTTAACCGTAATTAAGATCAAATTGAAATTGAAATGTGACAATTATTAGTTTGAGGTGAAAATAAAAGAAATTTAAACAATATTAAAATAAAATAATTCATCTACGTCCAGTTTTTATCCTGAAGTTTTAAAGCTTCAGAGCTGCGCTATCGAAGGAACATACTTTGCCCCCACCACAAAATGGGCCCCACAGCTGTTCGGAAAATCAATACCGACCGAACTTGTGCGAAATTATAGATACGAACGAAGCCAACGGTGGACGAACTGCACCTGATTTTTAGAAATTAAAAAATGTTTCTTCACACAAATCAAAATTAACAAAATTTAAATTTATTATTTAATTAATTAACACATTTTATGTTATTTTGTTGGGTTAATAATAACATGTTGAAATCATTTTCATTCGAGATTCCATCCGTGACGCTTTCCGTAACATAAAGAGTACAAATAAAGATTTTAGAAAATGTACCTCTTCATGTTATCTTTTGTGTTCATCAAATAGAATTAATAAATAGTAATCGTTTTGATGTTATTTGATATATGTTTCAATTTGAGCTGTATGTTCTATAAAAATCTCTAATTTTGTTTATTAACATTCAAAGAACCCTAGAGGTGCTTAAAAAAGCTAGTTAATAATTAGATAAAAACGAGATAAATGTTGATCATAAATAAGAAGGTGGATTTGGTAAATAAAGTTTTATTTCTTTTCTGTTACAGCTGCACAGATACCTCAACGAGGCAGTAAGTATTAGAATATTGCTATATTTATAAAATATGATGACGGGAGGAACAGGAAAAAAATGGTCTTGGTTGTTCCTCCTGGCAGAGATTTTGGTTACTATGTCAGAGAATGTTATTAATCCAGTATGTTTCTGTCCAAAGACAATGAAGAATTTCTTTGTTCTTCATTAGGTTGCAAGAGGAAAGAAGACAATGCGAATCAATCAGATCAAATACCTACACCCAAGAAGCCCAGATTGGTTTTCACCGACCTACAACGTCGTACACTTCAGGCTATTTTTAAGGTAAAAATGTTAAAAAAAATTAATTTATTTTTTTATTATAACTATTTATTATAGGAAACAAAGCGACCGTCGAAAGAGATGCAAGTGACAATTGCAAGACAGCTAGGACTGGAGCCAACGACGGTTGGAAACTTCTTCATGAACGCGAGAAGACGGTCTATGGATAAATGGAAAGACGAAGATCCGAAGGCGGCGAACACGATTTTGCACCAACAGTTGTCGCCGGGTATGGACCACGACGACCAAGATAACGATGTAGATTTAGACAATGAAGTCGACGAGGATGACGTGTTGTGACATGCGTTCCGTGATCGACAACTATTGATGCTGTGAACATTGTTGCAACACTCGCGTGCGACCAGCAAAATAAAACAAAATAATAAGTATAAAGTAAAAATAAAAGTATAAAATAAAGTAAAAAAAAATAAACAAGGAGACGATGAAAAATAACATGAGAAGACACAAAGATAAAGGGAGGAGAACAGAGAACCTCGTTCGACTGTGGCAGGATGTATTTGACCTATAGGGGTTCACTTGTTTTTATATTTATATGAATCTATGTTAATAGTGACCAGATCTCTAAAAAAGTTCAACGTGATGATTGAAAACTACTAGTCATTTGTTGAGATTTAAAAAGAAAACTGTAATAGATGTAAAACGACGAAAAAAAAACATTCTCGTGTAACATTCCTACGTAAATTTAAATATTTTGTACAACCGGAACGAGATGGACGACTCGAAGTGTTAATTTCTTTGGTTGTAAAGTACACTTGTGATAATATCAGGTTCGTAAATAAAAAAGAAAATCTTAACATTCCTTTTCGAATATTTCCGTTATTGTTTGGTTTAGTAAAGGGTGCTTTAAATATAAAACGGCGATTTTTCCCATTCAGATTGCTTCAAGTACACCATTTTTTTATATTCATAAATATAGTGCGCGTCAAATGTAACCCTTTCCATCAAATTTCACAAACGATTTTTATTTTTTATTACCCCAAATGTTTTAGTAAACAAAATTGTTTGAGTTCAGTTAATCTTTTCTAACCGAATGAAATCTGCAACTTATTTGTTAGTTGCATTAAGAGATAAATAATACTGTACTTTATTAATATGGAAACGTCTCAATGATTAAAGAATTCAGTATTTGTTACAGTAGTAAATTCCATTTGTTTGAAAAGAAGATATGAGGTGAAATTTTTATATATTCCTAAAGAAAATGATGTTCGTCTTATTTAATTCTATTAGAAAATACTGTATGTAATATATAGAGTTTACATAAAAACATTTCACATTAAAATAGCAGGGCTAATATAAAATAGAAATCGACGTGTTTTGGCTCATAACGAAACAATGAACCGTTTTTGAATCAATCATGTGTTAAAATTATGCATTTAGCTACAATGCATAGACAAGTCCACTCGATTTAGAGACTGATATCTTCGCAACCGTTCGATAAAAAAAATTGCGCCAAAGTTTGTTGTAATCCCTGAACATTTCAATGTAACATATGTATGTATATGAATTAGAAAATTTTGCGGCGCCGCGTTTTTCTTTTTATCACGAATTAAATGAAAAAGTACCCGATTTTTGAGGGTATCGGCAACTTTGTCCACCTTGCGATTTTTTTTCTCAAGAACTGTCGAACAGTGGTAGCTTGCCTGATCGACCAAAAAATTACGTCTTTTGGTCGGTTAGTTTTTGAAAAAAAACATCGCAAAGTTGAGAAAGTCGGCTATCTTTTTCGATAAATTCGTGATATAAAAAAACCGTTTAGCCGAAATTTTTCAAATTCATTTATGTTACTTAGAAATTTTCAGTGATTACAACAAACATAACCGCTATTTTTTTCATCAAGCGGTTACGAAAAAATCGACCTCTAAATTGAGGGGCTTTGACTTTGAAATTTTAATTAATAATTTTTCATATATCGGTTTAATTTTGTTCGGGTATGTTAGGAAATGTAATGATTGTGTTCCATCTTGAGGTTTAGTTGTAAAAAGTAAGCATAAGCTGGCTAAAATGAGCTGTTTTAGACAAATCCCGAGGTGGATTCAACTATATTTTAAAATATGTAATGTTTAGTTATTTGAAGATTCTGTTTGGGAAAAAAATATGTTAAACGTTTCAAATCAAAAAAAAAAAAAGAAAAAGAATTAAATAAATTGCGAAAGACAATAAAATAAACGTTAAGCCGTCGTAGTCACTTATAAAGCATTCTGCACGTGTAAATAGTAAAAAAATACTATTTATATATTTATTAATTTATTTATATTATAATATCGTTCCAAGTTTTTTTATATTGTAGTTTTTTTACTTATTAATGATTTATGGGCGCTTTTGTTTGTTTGAAATACAGGGACGTGCTTCCAAAATTAAATACTTAATTTTTAAAATCGGAGTTACAGTTTGTGAAGCGATTTATTTTTTTATTTTATACTGTATTAATTAAAGTTCCAACTTTGTAAATGTTGTGTATGCATTAATTTAGTTACAATTGTGATCCTGATTTTTTTTACTGTTTATTACATAGATTTTTTTCGTTTTTTACGAATAGGTCAAATACAACAAGATAACTTTACATAAAAAATACAAGAAAATAGAACGCAGATGTATTTTCTACACAAAATATGTACTTAGGTGAACAAAAAACCTTTTAGGGTAAAACAAGATTATATTTTAGCACAAAAATTTGGTATATTAATGTCATGGATGATACGTTTTTGTGTAAGGGAAATACCGCGTGTTCTTAAAAAATCGAGGGTACACTGTGCCCGTAGAGCACCTATTTTGCGTACCAAAAAAATTAAAAAAGAGGTTTTCTTAAGAGAAAATGTATTATATTAATTGTATAGCTTTTTTTGTTTTCTTTTTATTGAAAAAATTAAATACTTAGAAATAAATAGAAAGTAAAAAATAATAACAATAATACCAACTATGCTATAGTTGTACACTTGTGATTTAATTATTATTATTATTTATAACTTAGGAGGCTTTATTATTTATTTATTTTTTTAAAGTTTTATACCTCTTTATTATTTAAAATATAAGTTTATTACTTAGACCGGCGTAGTTCTTTTGTTTACACTTCGTGTTTTTCTTAATAATTTTTTACGAGTAGAGAATGACCAAATGTTGTTATTATTTTTTCCTTTTTTTAGTTTGTACATAAATCTAAATGAGAAAAATATGTATATTAAAATGACGTATGATCAGGAATCACTTTTGCTACTAAATTGGTCGAGACGACCGGTCATTTTTGTATGTTGGGCGTAAAACATCCCTTAGCTTTCAAATTGAGCTTTGTAGATATTTACAAACAAGAAACTAATAATAACTTTTGTTTATAAATAAAAATCAGTATCGATGTACGGTTATTTATATATTAAACAAAAATAGACACGGTGACAATGTTTTGGTGTCACAAAATGCCTTAATACCATGTAGATTGAAAGAAAAAAACATTGTTTACAAATTAGTCAGCACTGTCTTTCCTGTAATAGTTCATTTCTAGTCATTTTTAAATAAAAAACGGAAAAACATTTAGTTTAGTGAAGAACTAACCACTTGACAAATAAATACTCTCGAACAGCCAATATTTGAAATGATAATATTGGCTGTCCAACCTGGCGGGTGCTGTATTTTTTTTTAATGTATTGTTTTGTGAACTTTGTGCAATCCCCACCTATTAGTGTTGACAGCACCCTCTAGTCATTGATTGTGTGTAATACAAACTGTTCTGCACGACTATGCACCTTATTTACTATTTATTTTTAAACGTCGACGGTGGACAGATAGAAAAAAATAATAAAAAAAATTATATTCTTAATTATTACGTATAGGGAAGGGAGAATTCCGCAGCCAACCCAAATCAAGGTTTCGTGAAATATTTTTATTTTGGCCACACCCCGAAAATAATTAAAGAAATTACTAAAAGTTAAAAAAAATATATTTAATTTTTAGTGCAATAGTCAGTCAAGTGTATGAAAATGGCAATACCATATCCAATGAAATAAGGTAAAAATGACGATACAAAGTGTATTTCGTGGGCAACACGAATGGACACAGTTCTGTAGAAAATAGCATTGATTAAAGAAATATTTAAAATAAATATTTGTTTTCTTTCTTTTCATATTTCATTTTATTTTGTTAATTCCAAAAAATATTTTTAACTAATTTGAACTAATAAGACATAGATAAATAGTATAAAAAATAATTCGGTATAAATGTCGATGAAGAAAAATTAAAGGTAGGTACAATAATTGATATTGTAGCGAGATTTTTTAAGATATAATAGATCAGCAAATATATAAGCCGAGGCCGCTTATGTTATTTTCGATACTTTTTGATCTTAGGCTTGACTGATCTCAAAGGTTCTGAGTAGCCTTTCGTCCCTCTGTGATAGGACCGGTCGTATTAGAGTCCTACGCAGTTGGTACTTTATAGCTCACAATAAGCCCAAATACTCAAACTGTACAACGTTCAAAGTTGAGTGCGCCTACCGTTAGGTTTTGCAGTTTGCAGCTGTCCTAATTCCTAATTAGACCTAATTAATATTTCCATTAGTGACATTAGTCCACTTTTCATCCCTGCTCTTTCTATGAGGTGAAATGCTTCTATCATATCTCTTATCGTTCTAGTAATTATATCGACGTCATCCGTAAAGGCCAAGAACTGGACGCTTTTGTTGACTACAGTCCCTCTTAATCCCTCTTAGTTCTATCAATAGACCTAGAAGTAGAAACATTCGGGTTTTTGACGTATCATTACGGAATCGTTATTTTACGATGAAGAAGTTAGTAATAAATCAGAATTTTCAAAAAAATGATTAACATTTTTCAAATACTTAACTATACTACTAATAATGTGAGAAAAAACAAAAATATATGTTTTTGTTGATTCGAAAACAATGATGTTTTTGTTAGAGGCTCTCGGTGTTAATAAGACTTGTTGACCTGTAACAAATTTGTTGACTTATTACTACAAGGAGACGACGACTGATCTATTATAATTGTATTGTGGATATAAGTAACGTTAAAGTTAGGCAATGTGATAAGATCAGGTGTGAAGGTAAGTAGTGGAAAGTCTAAAAATAGAATGTAGCTGAGAGGAAGGAATTTGGTAGAGTAAAACGAACTGAAGGCGAGACTGGCGAGAGTATAGATTTTCGGAGCATCAAGTGCGTCCCCATTAGCCGGATCGATGATACGTTTGAAGGGCTTGCGCCAGAGTCGATCTGGCGTCGTCGCCACCGTTCGGAGTCGGCGTCGGCGTCGGTCGCGGGACCGACGGCAGCTGCATTATCCGCAGTGTGGCTCGAGAGCCGGGAGCCAACATGGCAATAAGCGTGCCGAAAATATACCGCGATCCGCGTCATCAGTGTTGATTATGCTCGAGCGCGACAACAAACCCAAACAGGTTAACCGCGCGACATGGGTGTAATGTTGTAGTAGTAAAGTCAGTGTACGAACATTCCTCCACATAGTATGGCGTCGGTCGCCGCTTGGCTGCCATTTGCGCGGGCGGCGGCCATAGGATGGGTTCCCATAGCCACCCATCCGCTCCCACCGCCGCCCGTTCCCAAGGATCGTCGGAAAGCCGACGACGAAAAGCTGCTCATAAACGTCTCGGGACGAAGGTTTGAGACGTGGAGGAACACGTTGGAGAAGTACCCTGACACTCTGCTCGGTTCTAACGAGCGAGAATTCTTCTACGACGAAGATTGTAAAGAGTACTTTTTCGATAGAGATCCGGATATATTTCGACACATCCTCAATTATTATAGAACTGGAAAATTGCACTATCCGAAACATGAGTGTTTAACTAGCTACGACGAAGAGCTAGCATTTTTCGGCATTCTTCCGGACGTAATCGGCGACTGCTGTTACGAAGACTACAGGGACAGAAAACGAGAAAATGCAGAAAGACTCATGGATGACAAATTATCGGAAAACGGCGACCAAAATCTTCAACAACTAACTAATATTAGGCAGAAAATGTGGAGGGCATTTGAAAATCCTCACACTTCAACAGCGGCGTTGGTCTTTTACTATGTCACCGGATTCTTTATTGCCGTTTCGGTGATGGCAAACGTCGTGGAAACGGTTCCGTGCGGAAAACGGCCTGGTCGAGCGGGTCCTCTTCCGTGTGGTGAACGTTATAAAATAGTTTTCTTCTGTTTGGACACGGCCTGCGTAATGATCTTTACCGCCGAGTATCTACTCAGGTTATTCGCGGCCCCGAATCGGTACAAATTCGTTCGTAGCGTGATGAGCATCATAGACGTTGTTGCCATAATGCCGTATTATATTGGCCTCGGCATCACCGATAACGACGACGTTTCCGGGGCCTTTGTCACTCTTCGCGTGTTTCGCGTTTTTAGGATCTTCAAGTTCTCGCGCCACTCCCAAGGTTTGCGCATCCTCGGTTACACGCTCAAGTCTTGTGCTTCCGAGCTCGGCTTCCTCGTCTTTTCGCTAGCCATGGCCATCATCATCTTCGCCACCGTTATGTTTTATGCGGAGAAAAACGTTGGTGGCACACCTTTCACTTCAATACCCGCCGCTTTTTGGTATACTATAGTCACTATGACTACTTTAGGGTAAGGAAGGATTTTTTAAATTATCCCTAATTATTAAGGTTTTATTTTCTGTTTTTTAATAGTTATGGGGATATGGTTCCGGGGACTATAGCGGGAAAAATCGTCGGTGGAGTTTGTTCTCTTAGCGGCGTCTTGGTAATCGCTCTTCCCGTTCCGGTTATTGTTTCGAATTTTAGCAGAATTTATCATCAGAATCAAAGAGCCGATAAACGAAAAGCGCAAAGGGTGAGTAACAAGATTACAACATTGAGTATTGTAAACAATGGAGAGCTGTATTCGACGTCGAGATATTATATATAATGGTTGTTTAGCAAGATTAACTTAAGCACCTTTCCTTTGCCAGAATAATATAAATTGTATGCTCGAATCAGTTCCAAATTACCACCATCAGGAGCGATGACAGGTTTATTAACGTCAAAGAATGTATTTTCACTTATTAGACTTATCGTTATTTGATCTTGAATGAAAATCGTAAAAAAAAAATAACAAATATTTAAATATTAACACGGTATCAAAAAAAAATGTTTTAGAATCGTAAAAATTTTTTCAAACATTTTTGCCTACACTAAAGTGTTTTTGGCAATAAAACTTTTATGCCACGACTGCGTTCGGGTAAGCCTATTTTATGTGTTTCTTGTTTGTAACTCTAAATAATAATGGTTGACATGAAGAGAATAGCGTAGGAGTTACGAGCCAACGTCCAAACTCTTTACATACAACAACAATCCCGATCAATCGAATCCATTCATGACGAAACTTTAAATACAAACTTCAATTCAAATCGGTTTTCGCGTAAAAATTATTTTTAAACTCGTTAAATTTTCAAGTCGGCTAAATTTCGTTTCGATTCGAAAATAAGTTGTTGTGTTTAGACGGGAATTAAAAAGAAACGAAGAAAAGAAAAAGATAATAGCAATTCAACGTTACATTGTTGTATATTTTTATTGAACTAAAACTAGAACTAACACCACCCAGAACTGGAATCTCGTCGCAATCTCTGGAGCCGTCTTAACAGACGTACGGCTAAATCCGAATGTTTCTACTTCTTGGTCTAGTGTTAGTTCGAGCATTTGCCAATTTAAAGTGTGAAATAGTAGTTGCTTGTGCACCTCTTCCCGGGATGTAGCAATCCTCTTAGATTCTACCGTCCTTGGGTGTGAGATATAAAATTAAATACACATAGAGCTTTCGTGATCACGTAAAAATAAAACAAAGCGACCGGAACTTAATTTCGGCGTTAGTTTAGGACGACATCGAGAGAAATCGATTTTTTATTATTATTTTGATTTATTATTATTAGTCAAGAAACTGCCTGCTCTAAAATCCCGATAACAACATGAACCGATCCTCAATTTATACGAACGCTTCTATAGAAATGAATATCTACATAAATCTCGCGTGTTGATCTTGTGCCAACTTTTATGAGTCACGTGTTTTGTTTTTTCTTCATGAATCCAAGTTGTTTACAAAATTTTGCTTTGTTATACAAATCTCTATTGATTCTACGCTTTGTAACCGAAAGATTTAAAGGAGATTTAAAATTAAAATAATTTTACAAATAATTTTTTTTTAATTATAGAAAGCAAGATTAGCAAGAATCCGTATTGCAAAGGCATCATCTGGAGCTGCATTTGTCAGCAAGAAAAAGGCTGCGGAAGCTCGATTGGCAGCCCAAGAATCTGGAATTGAGTTGGACGATAATTATCGGGAGGAAGACATTTTCGAGTTGCAACACCATCATCTTTTGAGGTGTTTGGAGAAGACGACTGATCGCGAATTTGTTGAACTGGAGGTTCCTTATAACGGACATCCAAAACGACCTGGATCGCCATCGCCGTTGGCGAGCCCGGCGCATTCGGCGGTATCTATAGGGCTTTTGCAGTCGTGTTGCGGAAGATGTTGCCCGAGAAGGTATCAACAAGGTTGCGGGAAATATATGCCGGCTACATCGGCCGCTCAAAGTAAACAAACTGGTGGCGGTATGGATGGGACTTATTTGGTTGAGGCTTCGTTTTAAGCCACATATCACATTTCACTTGATTAATTTTTTATTAAATTTTAAAACTAAGAAGATAAATTCTAAATATTTAAGTTCTTCTTTAACGATTATTATTTTTCGAGTTTTTCAATATTCTAAATAGAACGGAATTTGTTAATAAGTGATTGCAAAAAAATCTTGTTCGAGTTTGCGATTAAATCATTATTAACTGAGGGGATTAACTACATTTAAAATTAAAACATTCCCCGATAGTTAATTTGTTCAATTAAAATAAGAAGCAGTGAACTCTAAATGAACTTTTTTTTCGTTTTGATGTACGCGAATAAGTATAAATTTCCAATACTTCGAGATGTGTAGTATAAATAATGTGATATAGCTTATAAAAAAAGTAAAAAGGAAAAAGAGAAGTAAAAAGTTCGTTACAGTACTTGCATGTGTCTTAAATTTATAGTCATTGTTTGTAGAAGGTTAAAAAGATAAAATCCTCGACTAAAAAATAAAAAAAAAGCTTAAGAAATGAATACGCTCATTTAAAGGTTTGTGAAATCTAATTTGAAACTAAAAAATTCATAAAATAGTCGAGGAAAAACCCGGAAAGCTAAGTAGCTAAATATGAAGAGATCAGAGATCTATATAAATAAAATATTTTAAGAAATAGCTCTACACGCGCACGAAGAGAAAAAAATGTAAAGTTAAAGGTAAAAAAATATTATAGATAATAGACTTTCTAATTCTAAATAAAATTAATTAATTAATTATTATTACTATCATTTATTACTTCTAACGCGTTATATTTTTATTACTACTAAATGTTTCCGAGAGTTATTTTGTTAAAAAGAGAATGAAAATCAGAACGAAAACGAAAAAACGTTATTGTAATGCAACTTCTCGACCCCCTTTCGCGAAATAAAGTTTCCTCGTCGAAAATCGATAATTATTTTGTTTTATTTCCCTACAAATTAATAAAAAAATCATTCCTTTTTTTAAGATTTTTTATTTAAGTTTCTTTTTTATAATTTCGTAGAAAAGTCAGGAAACATAATTTTAAAGTTACTTGTGAGTGAAGTTGTTTATAAAGATTTGTTTACGCGGAGATCTGCGTAGGTTCGGCAGTGAAATAAACCAATAAAAATGTTCGAGTCTTGTCAACAATTCCGTGAATGCTTTATAAATTATTGGCTGCTTATAAGAGGAAGAGGAGTCGATAATTGAGAACGTTTCCGTAATTTCGAACTCATTCTCTCGAGTACGTCATTCCCAAAACGAAATTGAACCAATAAAAATTTGATATTTTCAATTTTTTTTATGTTGATTTTTCCTGAAGACGTTTTCGAACGAGATGAATCATATCGGGTGAAAGTAAAATTTTATAGCCGGAATGTTGATGTATATTTTAAATCACTAGTACATAATTCATTACAAGTAATCTAAACATTATCTAAAATTAACCTTTTTGCTTTTAATAGGTATTTAAAAAAAGACTTGTACATGCATTTTATTATCCTTTTATTCTTTTTCTTTGTCTCTCATTTTTTCATTTCTTCAAGGGTTGCAAACAAGAAGATAAATGTCGTTTCGATTGTTGATTGCTTTTACAATCGATTTCACGACTCAGATTTCAGACATTAGACCATTAATCATACCGAAAACAAATACTATTCTACCGTTCCAATTTCTTGTTTACATCTCATCTTATTTATTTTAACTTCAATTAACATTTCGCGCTTTTTAGAAATGGAATATCTAGGGGCCTGCGTTGAAATGAGACTGGTTCTAAGGATTTGTTCGCAACATCTTTGTTGTTGCCTTCATCTGTTCCATCAAAGTGTGAGTCTTTTGCATCTTGATGCTATGAAGTCCTAAACGATGTTACTCCCAGCCATTTTCTGAGACTTCTCTTGGAGTCACGGCAGTCTTTGGACTTCCAGAAAACGACGGACTGGAATCTCTACAGGAACTATTTCTTAGTCACCCTGACCTGGCGAAGACTCAAAATCGGGACACGGTTTACGTGGGACACCATTACCTGAAAACACACAAAGAAATACTTTAGATTTTTGGAGGAGCTTTTGGAGGAAATAATAAAAAAATAATAATCAAACAAAAAAATCAGTACGCATTTATGAATGAGAGTGAGAGAAGAAACATTGTTTGGGTTAATAAAAAAAATTAAAAATCAAACTATAAAAAATGACCACGAATTTATTTAAAGAAACGATTTTTATATCAAATTAAAGAAAAAACATTTCTCTTTAAAATGACGTATAAGGACCATTTTTCAAAAAAATTAATAATGAAATTTTAAAAAATCGCTACGAATTTATTGATGGTAGTAAAAAAAACGGTTTTTATATTAAAGTAATGAAAAATGTTTTCTCTTTACAATGATGTATGGCAATAAATAAATTTAATTCCCTCATCAAGCTTCTAAAAAAACTTTCCGCTACGTAAGTAAATTTCGTAAAAAAATCGCGATTTAAACGAAAGTAAAATAAAACGGTATAGATAGTGACAAACGTAAACTTTTAAACCAACCTTTAGAAAGATCAACAAACCGTTCTGCGGCAAAAAAAGAAAGAGCTTTAAATCAACCAGCGTAGACCTATGCTGAACATAAAAATTAAATATTGATTAATATTTATCTTAATTCACTGCCATTTGGGAATTTTTAAAATAAAAATACTTTATGTGAGTAATATAAACTCGAGAACGAGGTAAATAAGTCCTGGTATTTAATTTTGGATACACTAACACATTTTACTTATTGTTGGACGATGCCCAAGTGGTATGAATATGTGTTAGATTCTTTAATTTAAAACCGCACCTTACTTTAATTAAGATTAATGACATTATATATACTTTTTTTTTACTTTTTTATCTCTTACAAAAATAAACCACTTTTTTAACCAAATTTATTTTATTTTAAAATTCGCGCGTATACAGCGACATCTATTAGCAATAACGGAAACCAGCTTTCAAAACAAACCGTAAACGTCAAAGTTTAGTAACTTCATTGTAATGAATTTGGATTAAACCTTGTTGAAGATGTTGGAACCGTCATTGATTGCAGAGAAAAAATTTAATAAAGAAACCGAGCGTAAGCGTAACCTAACTTCAGAAGTAGCGTAATAAATCCATTTTAAACGTTTAAGGGTTAATCGGCCAAGCTCAGTTGCAAAGATACGGAACGTTTTTGGAGAATTACCACAAGAAATTGAATTCTTTTAAGAAGAAATTACAAAATGATAGAAATGTTAAAATAAAACCCATCTCTTTAGAGTTTCAGCCTAAGGAAAATATCAAGTTACTTCAACTTATCCACTCGGATAATAAGATTTTAACTAAAATTTTTGTTAGCTTACTCTCTGTTTGTCAGGAAATAAATTTACTCACGGATGAAGCTCAAGAATTTTATGAACATTTTATACTTTACGAAGAAGGTAATACAAATGATTATAATTGTTAATAAAACACACAAATAATAATTGTTGTAGAACAAGGTAAAGCAATTAACAAATTCAGCAAACTCCTTGAAACACTCCAAAAAGTTTCATTTTTTATTAATCGTGCTCACCAAGTAATCGTCTTGGTTTTGCGACAACTCAGTGGTATTTTAGGGAAAGGTTTTTATACGGGAAGTGCAACTTGTTCTTTTCCCGAACCGTTAGATTGTCTCTCGGAACTTTTAGTTTGCTTGGCCGTATTTGACACCCTCTTAAATCGTCCGATTATCAAGGAACATTGCGGGTTATATCGAAGATCTTTACGATATATGATGTCATCACCTGGGGATTACGAAATGACCATGGAAAATTTGCAATGCTTATTCCGAAAAGTTAATGATATCGAAAATATGTTGTTATCCGGAAATATTTTGCAGGTAATTTTCTTTTTTATTCCAACATGATAACTAATTAATGTTTTACTTTTTGTCTTAAATAAGCACGTTATGGAAAAATGTTTAGAAGAATCATTAATAACGTCCATAAAGGGATGCAGCTTAGCAAGCGAATTTTTGTTGTACACCCAACAGCTTTTAAACGATTTAGAAAAAGATGAAGATGGTATTACGTACACGCAATTCTTTTTACAAGCAAATACTTTGGTTGCTTTTCAAACGATCCTCTTTGGATCGATGGATAAAAGAATTTTAAAGCGTCTCATGGACATAAATAAAAAAACAACTGTTTGTACGATTTACGGGAATGTTCTTTGGTATCCAGAAAAATTTCTCACAACACACCTATCAACGACTGACAAAATTGATGTAAAAATGTTCCAAACGTGTCGTTTAAATCAAATAAACATACGATGTCAAAACTTGCTAAAAGACACAAATTTGATTTATTTACATGCTTACAATTGGATGGTTGATATAAATTCCTTGACTAAAGTCAATATGAGTCAATTACAAGTCCACCATTTAAACGAAGCTTGTAATCTTTTAATAGATGGTGTAAAAATGTCGAAAAAATTTTGCGAACTACTAAAATGGATCACTAATCTTCATGCTGATGAGGGAAAACCGATGTCGAAATCGGTTTTGGTCGTTTTATGTAAATTAATTGAGATCTTAAAAAGTTTTCAATTCATTTTTACTAACCACCAATTACCGTTAACTTACATTCTTTTAATGATTATGCAACATTTAAATCATAAAGCTTTGAGTATTTTAATTAACATTAAGGTAAAAAGTTCAATTTTTTTATTATTTTTATTTAATAACATTTTTAGAAAGGTTTAAAGACTGATAAGGCTTATAAGGAACAACATTTGGATGTTTTGTCAGCTTTAGTCGTTGCTGAACATGCTTTAAATGGTAAGTTAAATTTTTTAATAACATTTGCTATATTTCTGAACCGCTGTGACTATATTACCTCATAAAATAATACTACCTCTTTCATAATAAGTGAGACATTATTATTATTAATATTAATGTACCCTCATCTTCAAAGTTTAATCAAGTTTAATTTGTCACAAGTTAAAATGTTATAACAAAAAATAATATTATATGATAATACCTTTTTAGTCTAATAACATACTTTTTAGGTCCTAACACAAAAGAAAGAATTTTACTAACAAAACTAGCATTATCAGCAAGCGGTCTTTCGAACGACGTTCTGCAAGAAATTCGATCTACAATAACAAAATTAGAAGTAATAACAAACATTGGATATTTAATGGCGAGATTATGCGATTGTTCGTTTCTTTATTGGCATCAAGTACTCTTACCGGTCTATTTCGGAAAATTAATCGAAACAAGATGCGATTTATCACGGACTTACGTATATCATTATTATTATTTTATTATTTACGCAGCTACTAATTTTTAATTTTCTTGTAGCTATTATTAAAAGCTTTAAGTGATTCAACAAATATAAACAAGTCATTTTCTTTAACCAAAAGGAATTTAGTGAAACAAGAGTTAATTAATCCTTTAACGCAACAAGTTGAGACCCATTTACGTTTGCAAACGCATTTGCATTTACAATTACCGCCGAGCGATCCGTTTCAAAATCCGCCCCCGTTTTCATTTAAAAAAATTTTCCCCGGATTACTCGATAAAAAATATTTAGATATAAAAAGCGAGGTTGAACACGATTTAGGTACCACTTTTTATAACTTAACGACCGTCGCACAACACGATTGGAAAACGTACGTAGAAATGAGACGTTTAGCTTATTTACAATATGGTTTGGAAGCGGTAGAAAGTAATTTACCGATGCAAACATTAGAACAAGGTCTAGACGTTTTGGAAATAATGCGAAACATTAACATTTTCGTTAGTAGATATTTATACAATTTAAATAATCAAGTTTTTGTCGAAGAATGGAGCAACAATAAACATTTAAATACGATTAACATATCACACGTTGCAAACTCGATAAGAACACACGGAATTGGGATAATGAATACCACCGTGAACTTTACTTATCAATTTTTGCAAAATCAGTTTTTTGTGTTTTCGCAATTTATGTTCGACGAATTGATTAAATCGAGGCTATTAAAAGATATCCGTTTTTTTACCGAACACAAATCGGAATTAAATCAAATGTACCCGTTCGAACGTGCCGAAAAATTTAACATTGGAATTAAAAAATTGGGCTTAAACGAGGAAGGTTTAAGTCCGTTGGATTTATTTCGAAAATTAATCACACAAATTGGAAATGCCATGGGTTACATAAGATTAATAAGATCCGGAGGTCGACGATGTTTATCAGACGCGACGTGTTTTATTCCCGATTTAAAATCGGTCGACGAATTCAATAACACGCTTGAAAACACGCCGTTTAATGAGAACACAAAAAAATCAGCGTGCCATTTAACGAGAGATGTTAAAATTTTAGCCGAAAATTTCGAAGAAGCAACCGAATATTTTCAGTTATTAGTCACCGTTTTTGCATCGGTTTTTCGTAACCCTAGAAATATCCATTTAAGAAATTTTTACGTCATTGTTCCCCCATTAACAATCAACTTCATCGAGCATTCTTTAGGGAGCAAAGAAAGGTTAAATAAAAAGAACCGCGAAGGCGCCGCTTTTACAGACGACGGATTCGCAATGGGATTAGCGTATATTCTTGAATTATTAGATCAAACAAATCAGTTAAAAACTTTGCATTGGTTCGAATCGGTTAAAGCAAAAATATTAAATGACCGAAAAAATTTAAAACAACAATGGGACCTTGCCAGTAAAGATGATCAAAAATTACAACAAACGTTATCTTTAACCGAAAAAAGAGTTAATTCTTATGACGCGGTATTAATTAATAATTATTATTAATAATCAATAAATAATATCTTTTGGTTTTAGGAATTCCAACTTTTATATTATAATTTGAGCAGTGCTAAAATATTTTTTGAATCTTAAATCAAGTTGCTTCGTTTATTTGTTAATAAATATAAATTGTTTATGAAAAAATTATAATGTAATGTTATTTTTTAGTGTCAAAAAGAAAATTTTAATAACCGTTCCTATTGTGTTAATTATTTTTAATTTTTAAATCCTTTTATAACCTTAAAATATTAAGTGTGGCACCTATTCTTGCCACTTGTTCAGTAATTTCAACAAACTTTACCGCAATTTTTTTTTATGGAACGTTTGCGAAGATATCGATCTCCAAAGTGAGGGGCTTGCCTTTTGGCATGGATAGTAGATGATTTTGTCGATTTTTATAGCGAAGTCGAAAAAGAATAAAGAGCCGCGGCAGAAAATTGGGACCAACTATAATTAAAGTGAAATTACACTAGGAAGCGTATGAGCTGAACATCATAGGTACATATCCCAACAGATGACACATCTGACGACGTATAAGACAAATACTTTGAAGAATCGTGAATACACAATCTAAACAGTACGTGGATCAGGAAATACGGTTGCGATGCCGCTGCGGTTCCATGCTTTAGTAGTCTAGGCCATATAATACCAAAATACTTTTACATACATGTTCACCCTTAAAAGGAACTTAAGAAAAGGATTGTTATATTTGTATTAATTTCAGGTTAAATTAGAGGGCCATCTATTAACTAAAACCTTAAGTTGATTTGGGTGAAATTGAGTCAAATCAGCACTTATTATTTAATTTATAATAAAATATTAATATTACGCTTATGGAGTATAAATTAAAAATTCCTTATTAAATATTTTAATTATAAAAAGTGAGTTTAATCAAGATATAGTAATAATTAACGACGAAATAAATAATTGTTGGGACTTTATTTGACCAGTGACGTCTCCGCGTATAACTTCACACCGAACACCATCTTGTACTCTCTCTTGTTGTGTATGAGTGGTGCGGTGCACATTGCTCATTATGAGGTAAGTAATAAACAAAGCTTATTTCCTACTTTAAACGCAAAAAATTGCATCTCTTACTTTAATAAACATATTATAAGAGTTCCTTTATCTATTTCGTGCCGATTAAGCTGAAATACCAAAATTATGCACGTGTTGCTCCACATGGTGGTATTCGGCTATTAATAACGCTAGTTTTTTGAGCAATTCCACCCAAATTCTACAAAAAGAAATCGTTTTTAACATTTCAATCATTGAACACGATAAAGAGCTCAGTTCGTGCTACTTTAATATATTATTCGAAAAATTAAATTTGAGGTTATGTTTTGCGTTTTTTCTTTCCAGTTCTTTAAAGTTACAAAAGAGGCTTGCAGCCTCTGTTATGAGATGCGGGAAGAAAAAGGTTTGGTTAGATCCAAATGAAATAAACGATATTGCAAATACAAATTCCAGTAAGTATCCGAGATTTGGGGAATATCCTTGTACGTAGAACGTCTTGTTTGTAGGGCAAAATATTCGTAAACTCATCAAGGATGGGTTGATCATCAAAAAACCTGTCGCCGTCCACTCCAGGGCTAGGGTTCGTAAAAACACTGAAGCTCGTCGTAAAGGAAGGCATTGCGGTTTCGGTAAACGCAAGGGTACCGCCAACGCACGTATGCCCCAAAAAGTAAGAAATTTTTTATTAAAATAAATATTGCGCCATGTTTTGTCAATGTAAAGTTATAAATGGATTAGCCCCTCTTAAAGAATTCTAAACCACAATTAAAATTAATTAAAGCAACAATTTCTTTTAAGGAATTGTGGATACAACGCATGAGAGTATTGAGAAGACTCCTAAGAAAATACAGGGATGCCAAAAAAATCGATCGTCATCTGTACCATTCATTGTACATGAAGGCGAAAGGTAATGTATTCAAGAACAAGAGAGTCTTAATGGAATATATTCACAAAAAGAAAGCTGAAAAGGCGCGTGCAAAGATGTTGAATGATCAGGCTGAGGCGAGAAGGACGAAGGTTAAGGAGGCGAAGGAACGCAGGAAAGAACGTATCGCGACAAAGAAGCAAGAGGTGCTTCAAAATTACGCCAGAGAAGATGAAGCCGCGGCAGCGACGAAAAAATAAACATGTTATTTTATTAACTTGTATGCGGTTAGAATAAATCTTCTCTATGGTTAAGTAAAAAATCTTAGTTTTATTAATCCCTGTTGTTGATTTTTGTATGTTCACTTCAATTAAATTTATATTTATAGAGTAGAGTCCACAGAAATACAGGAACCAATGGTATACAAAAAACTTTTAGATTGAAAGTTGTGAAAACTACGATTATTGTCGTAGTTGAAAAATATGAAAATCAAATGAATTCATAGTTTTCCATGTTGTTAATAACAACGCTTGGTATTCTGAACATATTACTAATAACAATAAATAACGTCATCTATCAGTTGTGACAACTAAAATCAAATACGCTGTATGTGAATTAACTGGAAATAGTAGTCCAGTTAGTATTAATGATGTGTTTTGTAATTAATACTTTATCTATTAAACCAATTTTGAATTAACACTTTTTATTTACAATTTTGATTAAATTAATATGAGTTGAAATGAATCAAAACAACTTATTTATTTAAAATTTATTTATTTAACAAGATATTTATGAAATCAGAGTGAAATTAACTAAGTTTTCTTATTTCACAAATTTTATTCCTTTTTATCGTCATTCTTTGGATTCTTTGAGTCATTTTGTTCCTCTGTATCTTCATAGCCGAAATTAGTCGCGGATACTTTGGCAATTATAACTTCGTTATTTGGTAATGTTACAATTTCAAAATTCATCGAATCATCATTATCTTTAGTTTGGAATCTTTTTTCATCGATTTTTTTCGACTTTTCTTCTTGGCTGTTATCGTTTGAATTGTTTTGTTCTTCATAGCTCATATTATCTACAGAATCTTGGGAAATTATAACTTCATCTCTCGGTAATGTTATAGTATTAAAATTCTTTTTTTCGTCGCTTCTTTTCGGTGTTTCTTCTTGGTTGTTTTCATCTTCACTATCAATATAAGCCAAATTAGTCATGGAAACTTCCGTGATTATAACCTCATCATTCGGTAATGTTACGACTTCAAAATCCATGGACTCAACGTTGTTTTCGGTTTGCGAATTTTCTTCGTCAGTCTTTTTCGGGGTTTGATCTTGATTGTTGTCGTTTTCTTTTTCTCCAACAACTTTTTTTTCGTTCAAAATCGATCGCTTTTTCATGTAAATGTGGTAAAAGCCCAAATAAAGGAATCCAGAGATACCACTTATACCCGAAAATACTTGGAAAGTGCCTCTTATTCCGATCATTTTGATGAAATAACCCCCAACTAAACTTCCAAAACTCTTACCAACCCCATAAAATAAGCCCCCGAATATTCCCTGAATTGTTGTGTCAGTTCTTTGCGTGGATAAACGCGCGGCGTAAGTGACAGCAGCCGTAAAACACAAAGACTGAGTAATACATTCCAACCCCTCAAAAATCAGCGCCAACCAAGGGTTATAAATCAATGAATAGCCCAGCAATCGAATCACATAAGCAATAAAACCAATGAAAATCACATTTGCATGGCCGAGTTTTTTAATCAACGGCCCCGAAACGACAAGAATTGGTATTCCAAGTAACCCACCAGTCGTTATTGTTAATCCCATTAAAGATTTAGAACTACCCAAATCTTGGAGTAACCAAAAAAGAAAGCTTTCTATGTAACCCCAAGCTGAACCTAAAAAAACAAAAACTTAAATTTACTTAAAAACACAAAAAATAATTACCTAATAAAAATACTGCAACAAAAACTGAAAATAATTCAACGCTTAAAATTGATCGCACTTCCGAAACGACTTTTTGAGCTGGAGCTTTAAATTTCAAATTAATAAATAACATCATAATCCCGCTTAAGACTTTTAAAACCGCGTAAAGGTAAAAAACTGGGCGGAAGTCGGTGTATTTTTTCCCCATGCTTACGTAATCAATTAACCATCCGGACAAGGGGGAACTTATTACGCCTCCTAAAGAAGCATAAATCTTTTGTAATCCGTAATCGGCTTTGTATTCCCTTAAAATGGCAATAACGGCACCCTCGAACATTGTGTAAGCTGTTCCGCCTATGATTGCAATAAAAACTCTCACGGCTAGGTAGGTCCAAAATGTGAATGAAGAATTAATATCGACCATTTTAAAACTGTTTGTGCATAACTTATTTCTTTCGGTTGTTGCGATGCACATTTTTTCGCACATTTCGGTAGCGTAAACATTTGTTTGGTTGTCCACAGCGAAAACATCTATTGAAATAGTTTCGTTTTTTAAAATTTGAAATCCATCACTACAAATTGGCGAATGTTTTTTCCCTTCATTAAAGTAATGCACATTGTAAGTGGTTTGATCGTCGAAAAAATATTTTTTCGATTGCAAGTAAGCGTTTAATTTAGATCCGTTCTTCCAATTTCTTGAGTATTCACACGTATTGTTTGCATCATAGCAAGATAAATCAAAAACTTCTTTTCCTGGAAAATAATACACGCCATCTTCAAACTTCCTATACGCACTAAAATACTGTTCGTTGATTTTCAGCGTTTCATGAGATTCGGGGTGAAGCTCTTCTTTAAGAAACTCAAGATCTTCGGGAGAGAGAATATAATCTTTTGATGCTTCATTCTGTTCACTATAATAATTCGTTACGTATCTATCAACGGTTATATTTTCCGCATTAAACGATGTGGGACATAAATATCCGCAAGATACTATGCTCAAAGAGACGTTATCGACGATAGCTTGTCTGTATGTTGTACATTCAGTCGCATTTGGGATTATCAATTCCAAGGGTAGTCGTGAGGAACACGATAAACCAACGACAAGAGCCGAATGATAATAAACTTTTATTCTCCCTACCGGCACGTATAAGAGTAGAAGAGCCGTAATTCCTCCTACTATAGAAAATCCTGAGAGTAAAACCTAAAACAGAATTAAGATATTACATAAACATGTATATAAATCTTGTTTCTTTTGCATTTAACTCCGGATGTCATGTAACAAAAAGTAACCAAGTTGTACGTTAAAGGTTTATGTATGTGCTAAAAACTTGTATATAGAATATATTATTCTTATTTTTTTGTTTAAAATTTTATTTTGTATCGGCATCCAAAATATTGCACGCGAGTTATGAATCACTCTGTATATATAATATTGCGTTAAGTTTAGTACTTTGAGGACATTTGGTTACGTATTGTTTTTGAATTCCAGATTTGAATTGCAAAAGATAAAACTTAAATTAAATAATTATTTATTTTACTAAATAAAATTTTTGTCGAATATTAATATTTCTCGCTAATCCTTTCTTTTTAAATCGGTAAATAAACTTAAAAGGTTTTCGATTTAAAAATTCATTACGGAAAAATAACGCTAAAATACTGGTTTGATTTTTCAATCACCGTTTATACAGCTAATTCAGAAAGAATTCCTTTATTAACAATTACATTTTTTATTGAAACTTTACTCACCGAACAATCGGCTCGTTATCGGGTTAACGATAATTTGGAAAAAATTTTAGAATGCAAAAACAAGCGTATATAATGGATTATTACTTTTTCTTTGCAAGCTCTTTTTGATTAATTAAATGGAATTTAATTTTTTTTTCTGCTGTGTATTTTTAAATAACCTTTTGTTTATAAAAGAAAACAATATCTACAATGTATATATATTTGCCTCGTAATTAAGAAGACGTTTATTATTGGTTACAAGTTAATCGACGTTGTTCGAGCTCAATAAGAACTGAGAGTTATGTAACAAAAGTTATGTCAATTTTGTGTTATTATCCTAACCATGATTACATTGCATATTTAAAATTATATTACAAAACATTTAATTAAACTTACCTTAAAATTACCAATTCTATCTGCCACTATTCCAGAAATGGGGGGCATAACTATTGTTACAATAGGCGTTACAGCTGACATAATGGCAGTTTCTTCAACGTCAATTCCTAATTCTCTCATGTGAATTGTTAAATACGGATATAAAACGAGAATAGCTTAAAAAAATAAAAATAAATAAATTAAGAATCGACGCAGTTTTTTTCTTACTCGACATTTGCATAAAAAATAATATCTTAACTGGTAATAATTCCTTCAATTTGAAATCGTCGGTGATTCTTCTATAAAACATTTTGAAGTACCTCATGCTGAATCAGTTTCTGGAATGAAACATTACATTATGAAAAAAGATTACTTGATAATTAATATAATTATGTTGAAATTAAAATAGCGCAATTTTCAATGAAAGAATCGCAATGTTGATGTTAGCCAAATTTTATTTTAATACCATCAATTTATATAATGGTTATTTAGAATTTTTTTGTTATACATACCACGTAAATACTTTGTTTTAGTACATATTAAAACGAGTGTTAGCGCTACGAAATTGTATTGAAAACTACACCGTAATAATTATTGTCGATATTTAAGTGAATTTAGGTCGTAATCAAACCGCATCAAAAGTAAATGATTATTAACAAAAAAATTTAAACGACATAAAAAATTATGCTGTATTGTAATACAATCTTTTTTTTTTTTTTTTGGAATATTTTAGAACTGATTGTCGAGGTATTCGTTAACAATATGTTGGGTATTACGTGTATAGAATTTCAAATATGAGCTGTCGGAGGAGGTTGATTCAAAGTGATTTTATTAAAAAAAAAAGTGATAGTGTTCTTTACATTGATTAAAAGACACGCATGGGTTAAAGAGATAACTTTGTCTTTTAAAGAAACTATAAACAATGTAATTAATCGTATTGTTTGTTAAGTTACGAGATAAAAGAATATTTTATTTTTTAGATTATATTAAAGAAAAAAATGTTATCCATGTTCTTGCCGCGAATAAACGTTATTAATTCCAAAGTGTTTAGCCAATTTGACTAATAAGTTAAGAGGAAAAAGCAAAAATATTTTTCAAAAATCAAGAAAAACAGGGTATTGCTTTTTGGCGAACACTGTATTGCTATGTTCAAATTAATTTATTTAATTAATTTTCAATATTATTTATTTTGAATGATAAAGATCGAAACTTAACGAAACGGAATGCTCGGTATAAACTAGTTTTTGAACTAGGACGTTATGTATACAAAAAATTAAATCTAACGGTAACGCAAAATTAATGAGGATCCGAAGGATTCCATTCGAAAACGAGACGAGTTTAAAAACTTTTGTTGAAGGTTAACACGAAGATGTTTCTCACTTACCTGGGACTTTTTTCGACTAATTTGCGACTTATTATCTTACGAATTGTTTTTCCGTTTAAATAATTTGATTTTGTTAAAATAAATTTTTTTATTCAAATAATTTTTTGTCTAGATATCTTTTTTTAATTAAAAAAAAACTAAGTTCAACAATAGACCATCACTGCAAATTGTGCACTATTGGCGATGTGAGCTATAGAACAACTATTGCCGTCCACTTCTACACACTGTATAACCGTTTTATTCAACGTTTCGATTATTCGTCGATGATATTTCATTATTTTTAGTTCACATAGTTCTTTTTATCGCCAATTACACCGCTAATAATAAAATTCCAAAAAAAGGAATTTCAATTATTTCAAATATTTTGTACAATGAATAATTTTGGGAGCGATAATTTTTAGATATTTGTGTATTTTAAGAATAAAACTTGATAATTTTAATACAAAATAAAGATGAATGAAATTAGCTCTCGGTGAGGCGCACGAGAGAAAGCTTATTCTAGTAACTTTAACAAAATATTAATTACTTCAAAACGTTTTTTAATTTGAAATAAATTCAATTAATTATTTTATTCTTGAAGAAAGGTTGAGTAATCTTAGTAAATGTTGGGCAAGAACATCTTTCATGTATGTCACCGACCTACTTAACTCGAGCTTAACAAAAAGTCGACGTTAACGATAAACTCATCGAAAATTTTTAATTAATTAAGATTAATTTTGATGTGCTTCATTAACTTGATTTATTTTAATTAGGATTTCAAGCTTTAAAAATTAATTGCCATCTCTTGATGTTATTCAGTAATATTGCAAAGAATCCTAGAATGAAATAAGTGAGTATGCAACTAACTTGACTTTATCGCTAAAATTATAATTATTTATAAATACAAAATAACGCGAAATTTTTAAAAAATCATATTGATTGTATTTTTAAGAATCTTGATATGATATGTATGTCAAATTGAAGCTTAGAGATTCTAGTTTATGGAATGATATAAAAACTATAAGAATATTATTCAAATTGCTAGGAAAAAATTATTACTAGAAACATAGAAACATTCGGGTTTAGGCGTGCGGCTCTTCTAGTTCTAGGTCTAATATTCATTCTAACAATTAAAACTAGAACTAACATTAGATCTAGAACTAAAACGTGCTGACTGATCAATGTAGCAATCCTTTTAGATTCAACCGTCGTTGGGGTAAGAACTAAGAACATCTTTCATGTATGTCGCCGACCTACTAACTGTAACCTTAACAAAAAATCGACATTAACGATAGTGTGCTTCATTGACTTGATTTATTATAATTAAGATTTGAAGCTTCAAAATTTAATTGCCATCTTTTGATGTTACTGAATGATATTGAAAAGAATCCTTGAATGAGTATGCAACTAACTTTACTTTATCACTAATTTATTCCTAAATATATATGTATATAATTAATTATTAAATTTCAATTATATTATTTAATAAATGTGTATTAATATATGTGTTATTGAGTATATAAAAATAACATAGACAGATATGGCATAAATCATATGCGCGGCAAAGTGCGCGATCGTTCCGTCTGGTTCCGTCGGGGAATTGGAGGCGATTGGAGGAATTGGAGAGTGACAGAGAGTGAGTTTACTGGTATTGCTTATATTTGGTTGTTTTCATCTGTCAAACGGGAATCAAAAGAATTCTCCTCATTCCGCAAAATTAAATTTATTCGAAAATATGAAATCAAGCCGAGTATAAATATGAGAATACTTTAACATGTCTCAAATTTCGAAAAACTGGTATTTTCCTGGCTTACAAAGAGAGGAAGCAGAACGCAAACTAAAAGAAGGTAGAATTGTAAACTCTTTAAATGCTTTGTTTGATAATAAATGAATTATTTTAGAATCTCGACAAAGTGGCACCTTCTTAGTACGGGATAGTACATCTTCTAATGGGGACTTTGTGTTATCGGTTTTACACAAAGATGAAGTCACACACTTTCAAATACGTAGATGTACCATTGATGATGCGTTTTTCTCTATAGATCAAAATACGAAAATTCTTGGCCTCGATAGCCTTATCGAACATTATCAAAACTCCACCGATGGTGTCGATGGAACTTTTAAGTTAACGGAACACTGCCTCGGGCAACCCCCGCCTCAAGATGCATGCCTCTTAGGTCGTGAAAACTTATTACACAGAGCGACAACGCAAGGAAATTATAAGGTTGTTACCGAATTGATTAAGAGTGGAAAAAATTTGGAGTTTAAAAATCAACGCGGTCAAACAGCTGCTCATATAGCTAGTATACAAGGCAAAAATGATATTTTATTAAAACTAATCGAAAGTGGAGCTAGCGTAAATTCACGGGATACATCCGGACACACTCCGTTACATGTAAGCTTTATTTCATTTCATTCATTGTAATCAATTCATAATCAACATATTCTTTTAGTACGCTTGTCAATATAACTACCCGTTAACAGTACGATTATTAGTCCAAGTGGGCGGCGCAAATATTCAAGCCCGTAACACTGAAAACGGCCGAGTAGCGCTTCATGAAGCCGCTAGTCGCGGTAACAAACAAGTGATTCAAGAATTACTAAGTTTGAACGCACCCTGTAAACCCCGCACCACAAATAAGCAATTCCCCGTCGATTTAGCCAGAGAAAACGGCCATTTAGATTGTGTTTCAATGCTACTAAATTATAAGAGTCCAGTGCCGAAAACGAACCGAAACCATTGGTTCCACGGAACGATGAGCCGGCAGGAAGCGGAAAGACTAATCAACGAGTACGACCCAGCAACTGGTACTTTTTTGGTTCGGTTTAGTGAGCGCAATAAAAACACTGTCCTAACTTTAAAAGCTGACACTTGTTATTACAATTACATCATCCAAAACGAAAGGACGTATTACTTCATCGACGACGGGCCGTACTTGGATTCATTGGAACACGTTATTGAGTATTATAGTTTTATAAGTGATGGTTTACCGACAACTCTTAACAATCCAGTTCCGCCTAAACCAAAACCTTCCGTTCCCGACGTAAGTCTTGAATTATTCTCATCAAAACGAACTTTAAAATATTAATGTTAATAATATTAATGCTTTAGTTTTCAACAATTCCACGAACAAAAAATAAAAAAGTATTATCTACATCGATATCATCGCAAGATCTCTTTACAACGAGCATAGAGCAGCAATTTAACAGCATTTCATTTAAAACGAATATTTCGGGAATCAATAACAATAATTACATGCAGTCGGAAGCAACAAATTTAGGGTGTAGCTCAGAGACCGCGGAAATAGTATCGGAAGAACCTAACAATGACTACATCCTATACGGAGCGTTGGAATTTAACAGTAAAATCGGACAAGGCGAATTCGGAGCCGTTTACGAAGGGATTTACACAAAATCAAACGGCGACCGCGTTACGGTCGCTTTGAAAACGTTACATTCGACTGAAAACGGTATGGTACTTCAAGAATCGTTCGAGAAGGAAGCGCAGTTAATGAAAAAAATTAATCATCACTGTATAGTTAAGTTTATTGGATTGTCTAAAGGTCCCATGTGGGTTATGGTGACGGAGTTGGTTCCTTTAGGATCAATGCTAAATTATATTATTAATAATAAGGAAAGAATCATTCCTGGATATGAATTTAAAATATGGGCAGCACAAATTGCATGTGGTAAGTATTTACACTTTCAAATCATTCAAAAATCTATAATATTCCTGCCAAAAGTCCCACAAATTAAGAGATCGATATCTTCGCAACTGTTGAAATAGTTGAAATTGATTATTGTTGGAGATACGACAAAATGGTATAGAAGGATATTGTATTTATGATACTGTTTTATCATGAAAAATGATTAATTTTAGTCGTTTAAATAAGTGATCCGTCAGTTTACAAATATGTAACAATTATATAATCAAATTAATCATTTTTATATAACAAACATATATACCTACAAAGATTAGCAAGAATAGCTTTGTCAGGGTGATGTTTTTCAATAAAAGGCTGCACATCATTCCACTTACTGCAAATATCCTTTATTGCTGCAGTTGAACTATCTGGCACCTCATGTTATTTTGGCGAATGCTTCTCCTCCACAACTTTCATCTGCTCAAGTTCTTCTGGAGTGAGTTCTTAGCTGTGGTTCTGCAGTAACTCCACCACATCATTCTTGATGATTTCGAACTCCAAACTTTTGTCAATGTTTACAATGTTTGGTAACACACCTGCCTCCTCCACAAAATCTTTAAAATGTCTGTCAGGTACAGAAGTTGACCAAAGGTTTCTTCATGCTGACTACAATGTACGGCAAAAGATAATTGTTCCAGGCTTCGAAGTCGCCAAAGATTGTTTCTTACATCACGAACAATACTTGGGGTGGCCGACGTTTACGAAGCAAACAAAGATTTTCCCGTAATTTTTTACATCGAACGGTTGCGAAGATATCGATTTCTAACTTCACATTTGGCACGGATAGTACAAATAAATACTCACTGTACTTTTAAGATGGTACATATTTGATTTCCTTTGGTATTTTTTTAGTAATAGATGGATAAATGATGTAAGTAAAAAAATGTGCGTTTTGTTCGTTTTATAATATATTTACTTTCTTTAAAAAAATTACCTTATTATTAATTTTTTTGATTTTTCTTTAGGTATGAAATATTTGGAAGAACAAAGATTTGTCCATCGCGACTTGGCGGCAAGGAACATTCTTTTGTCATCAGCAAATCAAGCGAAAATCAGTGATTTTGGTCTATCCAGGGCGTTACAAGCCGATTCCGATTATTACAAGTATAGATCAAAAAATACAGCAATAACTAAAAGAGACACGAAAAAGATTTTTTTTTATTTTCATAGAAATGTTTGTGGAGGAAAATGGCCATTAAAATGGTACGCCCCGGAATCGTATAATTACGGCGTCTTCTCTCATAAAAGCGATGTATGGAGTTACGGTGTTACTTTATGGGAGATGTATTCCTTAGGAGAACAACCTTACGGTGATATGCCCGGTCATGAAGTACGTTTCGTTATTTTTCGTTTCGTAAATAAAAAATTTTATTTTTTAGGCGATAAAATTGATTGATAGAAACGAAAGGCTGCAGCAGCCGAAAGATTGCCCAGATCACGTTTACTCCATAATGTTGCGTTGTTGGAAATATGACAAAAACGATAGGCCAACGTTTGAAGAGTTACAAGAAATGTGGGAAGCTGATAGCATGTATACCAACATAAGAGAACTTATAGAGGAGAGGAGTTTAACGTAGTCTATAAAATATTATTAAAACATTACGAAAGTGCCAATTTTTATACTTATTGAAATTATATTGATACGCATATATTTTATACGATTGTTTATGGAGATAATAATATATTTTAACTATGTGATAATTATAGCCAGACGAATTTTTAATTAAACATTTCATGTGACGCAAAATTGTTGCCGTCTTATTCAATTGATTCTAATCTATCTTTTGGTGCAATATGTCTGCTTTTAATTCATTCCATTAAATATGGTCAATAAGGTATTTTGTTCATGATTGTCATTCTATACTGTAATTTAATAAAGAAATTTGTTGAATGAAAAATTATTTGATTTTTATCATTTAGCGAAGAAATTCTAATATTCACAGAACAGTAGTATAGAGAAGTGCGCACTCTGTGTTAAAATAAGAGCAACACTATCCCCTCTAGATTATATTCCTAATATTCCAAGGTTGTTCCTGTTCTCTGCGTATAACATGACCATCCGAACATTTTTATTTCGGTAGTATAAAGTTTTTCCATATTAGTTATGATTTTGTATGCATTTTATGCAATTTTTTATATTAACCATTTTGGGAAAACCCCACTGACTGTATGCTCCACGTCGGCTTCCAGCTTTAAAAGGCATATACCCTTTTTTTATGTCAATATAGCGGAATTTCGAGAAAACCCGCACTTTCTAATTCAAGATGGCGCTTGCGTCCCCCTATCGGCCATCTTAGAAACCTGAAAATACTTTCCAGGATTTTCCCTTACAATTAGCCACTTTAGATATTAAATGTTTTACCGCAAGTCTTTACAACGAGCAGTTCCCGATATACAGTACTTTGCACGCTTATTTGGCCATTCTGTACATTATCGTATAGGTTTTTGTATTCTTGATAGCTTGATAGCCCAGACGTCTGGTTACTTGTATGGCTGTGCGTTGTGACTGCTATGGCTCTCTAATAAAGAAAATTTTTGTCTTAATCAAAAGACTTTTTTTTATAAGTTACTTCATTGGTAACTAATTTATTAAAAATAAGTTGTGGAAGTATAAAAACATATTCATATTATTTGGTTATTGTATGTGTTAAGTTGGTACCATGAGTTGGCAACATTGTAAGCTAGAAGAAAAAGCGTTACCGTCGAGAATTTGACATTTCTTTGTAGGAAGTGTTTTGCTGTTTATTTTTCAATTTTCCTAATAATTTTCCGATACAATATGGCCAATGCGAATGGGGCAAATCAGCCTCCCGAAAATGCTAATGAGGATGTGTTTTTTCCCGTACGTGAAGGAAGTTTCTTCAAACAAATCGGTGAAATTTGTGGCTTATACAAAACGATGGGTAAGCAAACTTTTTTTTTAATTTAATCTCTATTTTATAACTTTTTTTTAAATTTTAGTTGTTGTAAGTCCATATACTTCAATATATCTTTACGGCGTTGAAGTGGGAGCAATATTATACCTAGACGATGGAGAGACAGTATTGGGAAGGGTTGGGGAAATTGTGCGGCCTTTACGATTCTTAGTTGAAATGTCCACCCACAGAGAAGTTACCGATTTAGCAGTACGGACACCAGTTTATATGCGAAAATTCTTATTAGCTCGAAGTCAAAGGAATACAGCAGTAAGTGAATTGACTAAAATTATTATTATCGAAATTAATTATTTCGTCCAAACAGGTTTTTGAAAGAGAAAGAACCTTGCAATGTTTTTATACAAAAATCACCAACACTTTTTATGGTGCCTATCAAGTTGAATATTCGGATTCAACTGCTCGTCAACTTAAGCTTCGTGAGATGTACAGCGAGTTCCTTGATGTGTTCCATGGCCATGGAATACAAGGTTCTAGCGTGAAAAGTACCATTGCTGGGGAAGAGCCTGAAGATAAATATGAAACAAAAATTCATTTAATTTATCCTGATTAATTATACTTTGATTATATTTCATTTCATACAAAAAACAATTTAGGACAATTTCATTCAGCGAAACACAAACATTTTTTATATTATTAATGTCAAATTTTTGGTGGTTAACAGTAAACTTTGATTTACTATAAATGTGGTTTTATTTACTTCACTAATTTAACTTTATTATATTAATATATTACATTTTTTTATTGTTGATATATTAATTAAACGATTAGAAATTCGAAGAAAGAGGCTAAATGTATCTAAGGACAAAAGTGGTAAACTTCTAACCAAAGAGGGGGAAGTCATGAAGAGATAGGAATGATATATCTCGGAACTGTTGAATGTATGCGGAGGACACTGCTACTTACTGGGTAAGTAATAGAGGTGTAATATGTGTATAATAATATAATATTATGAAATTAAATCATGTTTATATAAAAACGGATAAACAGGGAATTGTCCTTAATCGAAAGTAGAAGAATTAAAAATGTATTACTTTAAAAAGCCCGCTTCGACATTGTTACCAACTTATTGCTGTTGTTCCCATATTTTGATATTTACAATATAGAGATAATATGAAGGGGGAGAGTATTATTTTTTATAAAAGCCTTATTTATTTATAGTTTACTATTACATCAATATTAAAATAAATTGAACAATTTCGTCGATTAATAAATGTTTATTTTATAAAGAGCGGTTTAAAGTTCCCGCGCAGTGTGGTGGCGACCTCTTGTAAGCGAAAGTTGGTTAAGTGTAATAAGAAGAACTGGTTAACTGGAGTTTGCCTCCCATCAAACTGTGTTTAGATCGTCGCCATTCGATAATCTTTTCTATTTACAGAGAGAAAATGAAGGTACGTTAGAGAATAATAGTTACGCGTCGAACAACGAGCGTACGAAAGATATGAGATGGTCGAGAATCGAGGTTAAGAGCTCGTCCGTTGTGTACAAGGGAACGTATACAAGTTTCTATGCGTATCGTACATCGTCAGGGGATGAAAACAAACCTATGCGTTCGTCAAGTATTTAAAAGTTTCACTGATTTATCTAGAAATATTAGTGCGGGGATGTGCAACAACTCTGGATGTGCGTGTCTGACAACTAGGATATCTATGGAGGTAGTGAAATGATGCGTTTATTTATTTATTTTTTTTATATTGGATGTAAAAAAATGTCACGGTATTTAAGTATTATCTGTTAGTTATAAACAATGTGCTAAACGCGCGACGAAAAGTGCCATACATGTACGAATGTTTATTGTGCATGCATTCTACACGTTTAATCATGGTTTTTGGGTGAACCTATCTATGCGGATATGGACCGCGAAATACCTAGCGTTCCTATCACCACATTAGCAGGGGTGACAAGTCTCAGCGACTGTAAGTAACGTCTATTAAAGCGTTGTTGTTTTTGTTTTCATCAAAATATCTCTAAATCGTAATTGTTATTTATTTTAGTGTTACCCGAAATGCCTTTACCCACTCCTCTACCTCAAACGTTGAGTAATAAATCGCTACTTTTTCATCCAAGGGTTGCTGAAGAGGCTCTTAACCTACTTGGCGTTCGAGACGAAACTCTTGTACCCCAATTAGTTCAATCGTTAGTTCAAACGTCAGCCGAACACATGTAATTAACAAATAAATACATAACCGTAGCGATACTTATTAGCAAACCCCTTTTTTAGAGAAATTAAAGATAACTATGCTACAACACAACCCCCTGTTTATCAACAAGAGGGAATTCCAGAATTGTTACGTGCTATGATTGACACGAATCCAAATCTTTTTAATGGAATTGGAAAAGGTAATTTTTTTTTTAACTACATATTATTACTAACAGTAACTTATTACCCCAGCAACATCTCAATGGAACCGTCCCGCAAATCATCACCAATCAGCGGCGGTTCACTGTGATACACCCCAACCAACGAACGTGACGTTACCAAAAACCGGTCAAATGTTGATCACCGGAAATCAACGTCTATCTACGGCGCCCGAACAACTGCAACCCTTACCCCAAAAAGTACCCAACAGCACCCACATATCAAAGGAAGAAAATTTTCAACAAATTTATTCCCACGAAACCAACACCACCGAATTACGACAATTACGGCGACCAATGAGAGGTAAAAAAAATGAATTTTAATTAATTCTATACTATACTTAAATATTTATATATTAATAAATAATCTTTTTTACTAGGTCCATCACCTGCACAAGCGAGCGATGCGCCATCTCAATCGCCCGTTCCACCGACGGAAACTCACAATACGAGATCGAAAACAAATAAAGACGAAACATTAAACGAGACGACTAAAAAAGAGCCAAGTCCAGCCAAAGAGACACCGAACGAAACGGCGCAACGATCGAGATCGAATTCGACGGAAACTGCTAGGGATAAAGACAAAGACACGTTACCTCCCGGTGTGATGCTGCCGATCGTTCGATTGCAGCGGATATCGACCGAAGATCAACAGCTGATGCAGCTCAGCTTGTCAGATTTCGCGGAGAATCGGCCGAAATTAGCCAAAGAACTGGGTATATTACCAATCGCTAATAACGCAGCCGGCGACTATTACGCCGACAAATTTTCCGAATTGGTCGGGAATAAAAGGAGATGGAGAGAGGATAAATCTGAACAAGTTGTGGTTAAGCCCAAATTGAGGCGGGTTAAAAAGAAATATGTTCCGGTGTTGGAAAAATTATCCGGAGAGGAATTAATGGAAACTAACACGTTTGATAGGTTCAATAGAAACTTGGAACACGTTTTGAAAAGTTCCGAAGGGTTCGATTACGCTGAAATAAGTGAGTTTTATTAAAATTTCCGCGATAGAGAGAAAAGTTGTAGGAAATTTAACAAACAAAATTTGCTTCATCATTCTTTGCATGATTTTGATTCATTCTGCAATGTCCCAAAAACTACAACCGAGAGGTATAGGGACATATACTGGTGAAGATTTGTAGAGAATAAAATTCTCTGTCTGATATTCTAATCAAATATGGGGTGTTCCATTTAGAATAGTTACCTTTTTAAACATCTTGTATATGATAGATCGATGTAGCCAATTTTTTACCCCTGGAATGGTACACTTATTAACTGGTCTACTACATTATACTAAGTACAAGTGTTCATGGTGTAGTAAATTTCCTACAACTTTTCTCTTAATGCAGTTTATGTACTTTGCTGCTGTACAAATAAATTTTTTTTTTATTTTAGCGGATGATGGCGTTGTTCCAGCGGAATATTTATTAAGTAGACACACGTTACAAGAACTCACCACGGAATCTGCAAAATTAAAAATTTTGGGGGCTACCGAAATGATACCTGCCGAAAAATTAGTTCAATTATTGAACGTTTTGGAAATTAATATAAGAGGTGGCGATCGAGTGACGCCCATAACTGACGTAAAATAAAAATAAATTTAATTTGTTTAACTCAATTTAACTAAACATTTTTGCAGGAGGAAAACGAAAGGGTCCGACAAATTTGGGTGGAAACGGCGATGGAGAGGATAATGGGGGCGGCGGACGCTTGTTTAATAATTTTGTACGTTTTGACGTCCCCAAACATGCCGAAACGTGTATACATAGAAGACGTAATCGAGCGGGTTGTATTATTTATAAAATATCATATGCAAAACACAATATTTCCATCGTACGATTCAACGTATCGCTTAGATAATAAGAAAAAGGACGGTCGAAAAAAGAAGGCGATACATGTATTAGAAAAATCGGTAACAGGCCTTTACAGTAAAATATCGGTACTAATTAATCTGTTATCGGAGCTATTAAACATACAGATCTTAACTGACACGTCGGTTTTACACGCCTCATCAATGGGGGTGTCCCCTTTCTTTGCGGAAAACGTAAACGAAATTCAATTAGCTAGTTTAAAGTTGGTTACGACAATTTTTACGAAATACGAAAGCCACCGTAGGTTGTTATTGGACGATATCTTGGCTTCAATCGCTCGCCTTCCAAGCAATAAGCGCAGTTTAAGAACTTACAGGTTAAATAGCGAGGAACACATACAAATGTTAACCGCTTTAGTATTGCAATTGATCCAATGCGTCGTCGCTTTACCCGAAAATTTAAACAATAAGACTCGATCGATCGGCGATACAACTCAAAACGAAAACGTTAAAAACGTCGATTTAGACGTGCTTATTTGTAACAAATACGAAAAAGCCACTTCGACGGCGGCTACGTTCCTCACGGTTTTCCTGAGCAAATGCGGAAATAGATCTGAAGATATCGATTATAGGCCGTTGTTTGAAAATTTTATTCAAGATCTTTTATCGACGGTCAATAAACCCGAATGGCCGGCGACAGAACTTTTGCTCAGCATCCTTGGTAAAATGTTGATGAAAAATTTTACGAATAAAGGTACCGATATGTCTCTACGCGTCGCTAGTTTAGATTATTTGGGTGTAGTCGCGGCTAGACTTCGAAGAGACAGCGTTGTATCCCATTATAAATTAAACACAATCGATCAAATGATAAAAGAGATCAAATCGGAAGAAATGAAGGATAACGACCGAGACGATGATGACGACGTGGACGACGACGATGACACCGACGACGTTGACGCGAATAAAAAATCGGTTTCGAACCCCGACGAAGAGAGAACGCAATTTTTACAAAGGGTTTTATTAGATTTCTTGGCCGTAAACGCCCAAAATGAAGAAGCTCACCGATACGCGCGTCATTTTTATATAGCCCAATGGTACAAAGAAGTCGTTAATGAAAAATCGCAATTAGCCACCGGCGAAAAAAATAATAAACGTACTGGTTCTAAAGAGAACCATAAAAATCGTAGTAGGGTCATATCCGATGATGAACATAGTTCCGACGAAGAAAAACATCGGAAAAACGAAAAAATGTCGCGAGATCAAAGTAACGTCGAAAAGTTTCGGCTGTTGGAGGAAAGAAAAAAGTTTTTATTAACGAAAATTCGACCGTTTCAAGAAAAAATGTCCGCTGGTAACCGGATACAGGTTTTTCAAACTTACATCGATTACAACAGCGCCGAATTAATCGCTCAATTCCTCGCGTCAAAACGTTACTTTTCTCAAAGTTTCGACGTCTACCTTCGCGCCATTTTAATCGTACTTCGCGAAACATCCATAGCCATTCGGACTAAAGCTTTGAAATGTCTCACGATGATCGTGGAAGCCGATCCAGCCGTTTTGGGACGACACGATATGCAAATGAGCGTAAATGGCTCTTTACTCGATCATTCGACATCCGTTCGAGAAGCTGCCGTCGATTTGGTTGGAAAATTTGTCCTCAGCCGACCCGAATTGATCAACAAGTATTACGAGATGTTATCGGCGAGAATTTTAGACACAGGAGTTAGTGTGCGAAAGCGCGTCATTAAAATTCTTAAAGATATCTGCATCGAGTGTCCCGAGTTTCCCAAAATACCCGAAATTTGCGTCAAATTGATTCGGCGCGTTAACGATGAGGAGGGAATTCGAAAACTGGTTATGGAGGTTTTTCAAAATATGTGGTTTACGCCGAATAAAAGTACACCCTTAATTAGGAAAGTTATGAATATTACCGATGTAGTTGCATCGTCTAAAGATATTGGATTGGAATGGTTTGAGCAGTTACTTATTAGCGTAAGTATTTTTTTGACTTACTTACGGTTGTGTAGTTCCGATCGGTTTGATGGCCCAAAGAAAACTAACGTTAATGTGCCTCAAAACTGAATTTATATCATTCACGTGACTAATATTTTCTCTTACTACATTCGTTAGTTATTTTATCGTTTTCATATCGCAAATTTTGATAATCACTCAAAGGAAATCCTACAAATTCCCAACTGCTTGTATTGCCTCCATTTTAATTTTATGTAAAGATAAGATCATAACAACTCGGAAATGCCATTATTAATTTTTTTTTAATAATTTGTCAATCTTAACTGTTTTAATTTCCGTTTAGTTATTTAAACCTAAAGAAGATAAAGATGATTCGACAAAAATACAAGTGGAACCACCAAGAGCGCTCCTATTGGCTTGTAAACAAATTGTGGATTGTTTAATAGAAAATATTTTACGATTAGAAGAAACGAACGACAATAACACGGCATCCCAGAGGCTCGTTGCTTGTTTGGCGACGTTGTATCTCTTTGCAAAAATCAGGCCTCAATTGTTAGTGGCGCACGCGTTAACGTTACAACCTTACCTTAGCTTGAAATGTCAATCGAAAGGTGAGACGCAAATTATTTGTAACGTTGCGCGAATGTTAGAGCTGGTTGTACCGCTTATGGAACATCCCAGCGAATCGTTTCTCGCTCAATTAGAAGAGGATTTGATGAAATTGGTGATTCAACACGATAGAACGATTGTTTCTAGTAGCATATCGTGTTTGGGTTCGATAGTGAACAACACCACGCGAAATTACAAATTAATTCGCGAGTGTTTTGATAAGTATTATACATATTTGCTACGGTACAAATCGCGGTTGGAAGTTCATGCGAACGATCCCGCCATTAAGAACAACATCTGCCGGCAGTATTTCCGTAGGGCTTTGTTTATCGTCGGACTTTTATTGCGACATTTCGATTTTCGCGATTCCGAAGTAATAGGGGATCTTTCCCCAGACATCAAAGATCAAGTTTTTAAAACGATGAGTTTCTTCTTGCTACAACAAGAATTTGATATACAAGCGAACACTTTGAAATCGATCGGCTCGATATGTATCCGTCATTACGAGTTTATGTTGGAACCAGAATTGAAATCGTTTTATCACAAAATGTTGACTTCCGATGATGTTCCTTTGAAGATGAAAAGCGAGGTGCTTATTAATATCGAAAACTATCTTTTGGAGGAGGATAAACGCATGATACAACAAGATTTGGAATGTACGTTAAAAGGGTTTTTTTAAATTAAAAAATATATTAATTAATAACGTTTTTTAGGGGCTAAAAGATCGAAAGGGGAAAATTTAAAGGAGATGGGCGACGTTTCATCGGGGATGGCCAGTACGGTTATTCAATTGTATTTAAAAGAAATTCTGCAGTCTTATCTACACCCGGCTTTAGGGGTCCGCCAACCAGCTTTAAGAGTAATCCAACTTATTTTGCAACAAGGTCTTGTTCATCCGGTCCAGGTAAATATCGATATTAATATTTTCATTTTTGGGTTATCTTGAATACATTTTATTTTTAGATTGTTCCATATTTAATTTGTATGACAACCGATTGCGAAAAAGTGGTATCTCACAGCGCCGATAAACTATTATTAGAAATAGAAAAGAAATATCCTGGATTTATCCACACGAAATCGTCATTGGGCGTGCGACTTTCGTATCAGTTGCAACTGATCTTTCAAAGTAGCGACATCATTAGGGGTTTCGTGGTAAAGGTTCAAGGCGAGTACCCCACCGCCCTTAACACGTATTTATACTCTATACTTCGTAATTCGAGACAGCAGAGACGTGCCTTAGTTTTAAACATTTTAAAACAATTCGACGATCAAGCGGTAAATAGCGTTTTATTCCAATTTTATTTTCGTTTATCAAATTTTTAATTATAGCGTACGAGCTTATCTTATATGTTGTACCTGGCCGATAATTTGGCATATTTTCCGTATTTGGTACAAGACGAACCGTTATTTATCGTACATCACATTGATATAATGATATCGGTTTCCGGTACTAATTTACTTCAAACATTTCGTGAGGTAACTTAAAAAAATAACCCCTTTTTATTATTTGTTATTATATTTAATAATTTTTGATATTAATAGGGTCTTATGATGCCTGAAAATCAAAAGTTAGCTTCCGACAACAATCCCGAAGTAAATATTGCAATATCAGCTTTAGACGAAGACGACGATGACCCTGAGGCACTTGTTGAACGTGTTCCCGAGGATACATCACAATTACAAGCTTGTATAACGGCCGCGCAGGGTTGTTTTCTTCTCTTAATGTTGAAACAACAATTAAAAGACGTTTATGGGTTAAGCGATGGGTAAATTAAATATCTTATTAATTAACTTGTTTTTAAATGAATTTATTTTTTAGTAAAATTCAACAATATACACCTTCCGAGCCGGCTAAAGTTTACGAAAAAACCGCTTCTCGTCGAAATAATGCTTTGTTCAATCCAACGATGACGTTAAATAAACTTAAGGAAGGGGCACCATCCGAGTTTTTGGATCAAGAAGGACGTAAAGATCTCATAAAGCAATATTTAGAAGTAAACTAATCAATATTTTATTGATGTATTTTTAAAATTTCTAATTTATTTTTTTTAGTTTAAACAATTAATGTTACAACTCGATCCTGACGATCCAGATGATGAGGAGGGTAACAAAGCATTAACAGCCTTGAGTACAGCAGGAACCGGGGCGAATTCGCTTTCTATGAATGCTAGTTCAGCTACCGTTTTATCAGATGCGGATAAAGTTGCTTTGACAAATTATAAGGTAACAAAAAAAAATTTTTTTTTTAACTTTTTGAATCTCTAAAGCTTCTTAAGGCTTACATAGTTAACTTCCAAATTTGATTTTGTTTTTTTTTTTTTTTATATCATAGGATAATTTACCACCAAAAGTGCCCAAGTTAGTGATTTCAAATAGAAGGTTGGACGGTGAACATAAACGTACGCCGCGACAAAAACCTGAAAAGAAAAAACATCGGCACAAGAAAAAGCGACGAAAATTTGTGAGTTCGTCGGGCGATGAAAGTGAGAACGATTACAGCGATCCCGACTATATGGCTTAAAGCAGCAATCGTAAAAACAAATAAAAAAACAAAACTAATGGCGGTGTGAAAAGGCGATTAAGTGAACGTGAAAAAAAAAAAGACAAATTTAATTACTAATGAGGTGTACAGTGAAAAGTAGTGTTAGTTTGGATATTGTAAGATTTATCAAAAGATTTTTTATAAGAACTACATAGGAAAAGAAACCGGACATTGAGGTTTTTTTTAAGATGCACTTTTTTCCGTTGACGGTAAAAAAAGATAATACAAGGAGTTTTGACGTTTAGAGATGAATATGTAACGATCGTTCTTTTGTTTTCATTTTTAAAATGGTTTTTCTAGTTATTTTTTTTTATTTTTAGTTAGAATAAAGGAACTATATTTTACATGTCGTTCTGCCGTTAGTTAATTGATATATATGTAAAATAATGTTTTCATTTTTTTTATAAATTTTCTGATCTCACATATTTTCATATTTATTTGTTTTAAAGGACTATTAGTCAGCAGTAGATGCAATTTATTAAAGCTCTCTATGGTTAAGCAATAAAGCAACGTTATTGCGGAGTATTTTGTTTTGAAAATATAATAAGAATTCAGATAGAGTTGAGAAATTAAGTTGTACATATATATTAATTAATGGTGATAAAATTTAACTCTTTTAAATCGAAATAGAAAAGTTTTGTAAAATATTGTTCCGGGAAAAAAATGAAAAAAAATAGTTTAAAGACCAATATGTACAAATATACTAAAAAGAAATGCCGAAACGAGTCGCTTCTTCTCGAAATGAAGCTAAAAGACCAAGGCTTATCAGAAAAAATAATGATCCCAAAAAATGAATAGAAGCACAAAATAATATTTCCGTTATTTAAATTTATTTTTTAGTAACGTTAGGTTTAGCAGCTTCTGTATTTTTACCTAGACTGTGTAGGATGTTCATTTTTTGACAAGTTTTCTTATTCGTGATAGATTCATTCGCAATATTATTTATTATTATTATTATTTTAATATTGCTTACTTTAAATAACCTGCTCACAAAAATTTTTTTATTCTACACCCACTATTCGTTTTTCAAATACTTTTAGAGCTATAATTATTTCGATTTATATCTAAATAAAGGACGATAATCTCACTAACATCAAAAAGATCATCACATCCGCATTCATTTTAGATCATATATATTACTGAAGCAGGTTATTCATGGTAAAAACAATATTTATCGGTTTCTAGATTTTTCGATATAATAAAGAAAAAATAAAGCATCTGGCATAAAGGCATTTGTCAACAGTCGTTATTTAAATTCATTTCTCGTTGTATAAATTAAAAGTACTAATATGTAATAAAACTGATCCACATAGAATGTAACACTATCGGCTGCTGACAAATTAACTGTTAGACGTTTTTCTCTTATGTAAAAGTCCGATTTGTATTTAAATAAATTTATATTTGTAAATATTTCATTTAAACTGACCTTTACTAATACCTATTTAATCGAATCCAGAACAAGTTATACCAAAAAATTTAACCCTTTAAAGACCAAAAAATAGACCACAGCAGGCAAAACGAGCCCTCTACAACGGATGTGTAGAATTACAAAACGGCGTCCTGCGTGGTCTTATTTGACCTGAAGCTAAATTGATGATTAACTTAATTAACTTACACTTATTTAAATTTTCGATATGGCAGGAAGAACTGCGACGGGTCTCTAATTGGTTATTAATGATGGGTGCCTTGAAAGGAGATTGAGAAAATGGACATTTAAAAGTCCTAAAGAGTCCAGACTGTGCTTATTATTGTAAAACAAAAATGTTGTAGTAAATTACGCCCCCCACTGCAGTCTCGATTTCAGCGACGTAAAACGTTTCGTAAACAGTGTGGGCTCCGTTTATGAAGGATGAAATGACGACCGAATTTGTCAACAGATGGCATGATAAGATAATCGTCGACTTCTTTTAGTAGAAATAAAAGTAGGTCTTCATGGGTATTACTATTAATTATTTATTGACTTTCATCAAATTGCAGTAAAATATAATTTTTTTTGTTAACTTAATATATATGCCGTGTGCTTCATGCCACATATATGTACATAAATATGCACATGGGTATAGGTACACCATTTGAAGATCGCCTCGAAATGTAGCGACCCAAATGGGGTGCCTGTACCCTTATATACATGTAAAAAAATGAATCGAGAAACGAAACGCCGATCTCTTACAAAATACTATGTATTTTAATTACAAAAATAGTTAAAGACATGAAAAGGCTTATTTTTATTGCGAAAGAAATGAGAATTACATTTAATCTCCATAATTTACCATTTAAACCTTATAAAACTATTAAAAAATTATTTATTTTCAAGAAAAAAATCTTACTTCAAAGATATGTGTATACTATAATGTATCTAACAACATTGTGGATATACACAATTTCGAAATTTATCCACAAGAATATATTTGATTCAACATTAAACCAATCATATACAAACGTTAAACGGAAAATTTTTAAAACATTACCAAAAGAAAAATTGTTAATATACTACTGGTTTGTTTTTGTCACTTATTTCGCAACACAAGATACAATTCACTGCCAAAGCAGCTATATTACTCTCAAAAAAAATAAAAATGGGTAAGAAAACATGAACGAAATAACTTTCGAGTATACAGAGTATTGATAGCAATACGCTACAACAAGCTATACAAACTGGACACCGCGAAATCTACGTCTTTCATGGAATCCACGTTATCATTAATTTAATTTTTTTGTATTTCCGTAAGTTCGAGTGTACAGGGGCTCCAAAAATACATACTGAAAACTACAGGGAAAAAAAAAGTACGTCCGAGAGTTATTTCTGCAAATGCTTTTTAGGACACCTGTATACGAGCGCACTTCCATATTGATAACTATTTCAGTTTTATACCACTTGTAATTATTATTCACACACGTCACACCACACCTATACTGTTATATATATATATTTATATTATGTATATAAATTACATGGCAATCATTCCCTTTTTCTTCGTCGATGATAACTAATTTACAAAAAAATTTGTACGTATATAAATACAATTATCTGAGAAGGCGTTCGCATTCCGATTATTTAATCCCTATACTTTCCTCACATAGCTATTCGAACGTGGTATTAAACATATTTAAATCCTCAAACGAAGTCGCCGCACTCTGGTCCAACATTTGTAGCATATCTGACAGTTCGTGCGGTTGCGTTTGTTGGGGTGGCCCCGAGCCGCTCGACCCGGGGCCTCCGCCGTCCGACGCTTGACTTGTCGTTTGCCAAGTCCATTGATAAGGCGTCGGTGCCGTCGTACCGCGCGCTCCTCCACTTAGTTGCGTGTAGGTCGGTCCCGGCGACCTCGGACTGGGCTGGTTGAACTGGTAACTTTCGGCCGTCGGCTGTGGTTGTCGAAGACTCCACGGCGCCGCCGCCGGCGTGGGGCTCGTTGTACTACCCTTCGTCAAACGACCCAAAACCGTACTGCTACTGCTCGTCACGTTCGTCTGCGATGGAGAACCGTACGTTATCGGAGATGGTGTTGGTTCGTACGTTGTGTACACGTTTTGACCGCTACTCGGTCTTGGTACTTGTTGAGGCGCTGCAAAACAATGAAAACAATTTTATTATTAGAGACTAAAAAATAAAAGATTAGTTTGAATGATATTACTTTGGATGTGTGTGGGAGGTATCATATGCGTATAAAGTGTGTCCCGACGTTGTAAACTGTAGTCTAAACCGGGTTGTTGTTGGTAAGAAACTTGCTCGGGCGCATCCGTGGCTGGCTCATTTCCGGCGTGCAACGATTTGGCGGTGCTGTTTGTGCAAACTATATACTCAACATCGTCCGTATAAGGATTTAAGAAGGCGTACGCTGATGTGCGCAACCAAACCCACTCTCGATTTTTGGCTCGGAATCGGTACATAACTGATAATACTTGTCCTTTTAATTTTAACACTAAAAATAAGCAACATTAAAAATAAAAAAATCGATTAATTTCAATGTATTACTTTACCTTGTTCAAAGCTATCCTTCATATGGGTTTGATCTTCTAAATGAAAAAACTCAAAACAGCTCTTCCCTAAAAGTTCTGTGGGCGCGTAACCTAAAAGTCCGATTACACGTTGATCGACAAAACTAAATTTGCCGTCTATCGAATGTCGCGAGATGAACTCGGCGGTATTATTGGATCCGGATAATTCGCTGGTGTTTGGTGTTGAGGTGACTTGCAACCGGCCGATCGCGACCAGACAACAATGGGACGAGTGAATCTCTTCTTCCGGCTGCCGCTCTAACTGAACACCTGTGAACATATCTGACGCGTTTCTACTTAGCCCTTTGTACACTTTATCTTCGCTCTTTAGTTTAAATTAATTTTATCGGAAGTTATTTCTTCCCGATAAAATTATTTAAAAATAAGTGAGAATAGAAAGTGTTGAATCTTACTTGCGCTATTGCTTTTACCTGTAGGTGGCCAATTTTTAATGTATCCCGTACAATGTACGACAGCGTAGTTTTGTCCATCCCTTCCGGGACCCAAACTATTTCGTTGCTTCAGTCTGTTCAAGTGCCCCACTGCCATGTTTTCCGGTGTTAAATTTCCTACCTTCATCCGACAAATAAAACCCCTTCGCGACCCCATACAAAGTCTCATTGAAGCTATAAATAATTACGAATAAAATAATCAATTAAAAACGCAAAAAATACTTACATTGATGCCCCTCCTTCTTTACTGTTCCCGTTTTCAAATCGAGTATTCTCCCGCTATTTTGAGGTTCCTGCGTAGATAACTGCTCGCGAACCTTCTCCACGTCTTCCGGATGAAGGTTATCGTAAATACACGACCCGTACCAATCACTTTGGGCGTAATTTAACACCGGAGCCACCGAATCGGATACGTAGATTACTCTTCCTGTATCACAACTTACTACAAACAGGAAACCGTCGGCCGCTTCAAGTATCAAATGTTTTAATTCTTGGTCGGTTAAAAATGATGGCTTATATGTTCCGTCTGTACTTGTATTCCCGGTCCCTACAAAGAAACAAATCGTATTTTCTCAAATCATCGATAGGAAATTTTTGAAAACACCCCGTTTTCAAAACCGGCTACGTTTTGTGCTACAACGAGGCGCATAGGGTTTACGAATTCGTATTTGAACACTGGGGCAGTAGGTTTACAACCCCCTCGTCGATGTTACACGACCACCGCCTATATACGTGTTTACGTTTTCGCACGGAAACGTGCATTTTGCTAATCCAAATATGGATAAACGCGGCTACGTTTTCCGCTCGAATCACCCGAAAATATAATAAAAATATTATCTCGCCAAAAACTTGCTTCCCATTCTCATCCATATACAGTGTGATTGATTTTAGTGATCATAACTGATTTAGCAGGTATAGTCGTACACTTCTCAAAATTTCTCTCAGATGCATTAATATTGAAAAACATATGAAAATTTGCTGAATCACGTGAAACCAACTCTACCCTGCTTGAAGTTTATGGAATAAAATATTGTTCATGATACTTGGGGCGGCCGTATTATTTCTCATATCACAAACAATATTTAGGATGACCGACGTCTACGAAGCAAACAAAGGTAAGAAACTAACGTTCTAATATAACTCATTTAAAACGATCAAAATTAATCAATTTTTCTTGATAAAACACTCGGCATTCGGGGTATACTACAAAAAAAACTGTTAGAGTTTTGTGGAAAATTTTGTTCTTAGCAATATTGCTCTCTTTTACTTTTGCTCTCAAACGCATAAATATCGAGAAAATACGAAAATTTGTAAATTTGCTGAATTCGTAGTTTTACAAGGTGTTAATGGTATCACTCAAGATTCGAAGCGTGATACCAACTCTACCCTGCTTGAAGTTTTTCGAGTAAATAATCTCGGCCGACTTCGAAGACGTCGGCCGCTCTAAATATTGTTCATGATACTTGGGGCGGCCGACGTCTTCGAAATCGGCCGAGATTATTTCTTATATCACGAACAATATTTAGAGCATCCGATGTCTACGAAACAATCAAAGGTAAGAGCATAAGATTCTAATATAACTCATTTGAAACGATCAAAATTAATTAATTTTTGAAGATAGAACACTCGGGATTCGGAGTAAACGACAAAAAACTTTTAGAACAAAAGTTGTAGCAAATTCTATTCTTAGCAATATTGCTCTCTTTCACTTTTGCTCTCAGAAGCATAATTATCGATGAAAATACAAAAATATAAAAATAAGATGAATTCACTAGTTGTTAACAGTAACGCTCGGGATTCGGAGCATATTCCAAATAATGTTTTATAATCCGTAATCAAATTGGGCACGTTCCATTTAAAGTTTTGAATATTCGGTGTATCTAACACATTTGATGCTCAATTGTTTTTTAGAATATGGCAAATAACAGAATATTAAATGTGGAGCAACTTTTCTTCTATAACATTTTGTCATATCTCCAGCAATAATGTAAACATCTGCTGTAACAGCTAAAATCAAACACTGTATAGACTTTTTTATTTTTTATTAAAAAAATCTCATCTAAATAAATAAATTGACCGTGAGGAAAGTAAACGATGGTTCCCTAGTATCGTGGTAGTATGCAAAAGAAAACGACCATTTTGTCAACCCGACGTGCATCATACTACATTCTTTATACGCGTCGTTCAACTGTACTCGTTAAAGAAGACAATGCTTCATGTAAATGCGACTAATTTTTATTCACGGCCCGTTCCGCTCATCCGGTAACATAAAATTCTTAAAATATCGAATTAACATTTTCAGAAACGGTTGGAACAGTTTAATAGCTTTTTTAAGACTTTTTTTGCATTGTTATTAAAAGAAATCACCAAAACTTACATATATATATATTTAAATATAAAAAATTAGTAAAAATAAGCAAAATAAAAAAATTTGATAAATTAATTTTGATATGTATATCAAGGGATTTGATGGAGATAGTGATGATATTACTACATCAGGTTAAATCAAAGATTATAGCGCTACAAATAATTCTGATTCGTTAATATTCCATAACGGAATGATACGTGATTATAATCACTATGCATCGTACGTCTCACGAAAGAAAGTTATTCAAAATGGCCGTTCGAACGATGTACTGACGTTATAACACTTTATAAAACTATTCGTAATTGTTAAAAACATTTATTTTATATTAATCAAAAAAAAATTTTTTATCTTGATGAAGATATCTTACCCCTTAAAGCTTTCATATGAGCCACTGCCATCCTCAAAATGGTCAGTTTATCGGGTTTCCGGGCTAAGGCGCTGCAGGTGGGCACCATATCGGATAATTCCGTAATGTACGCTGTCATCTTGTTCCGCCGTCTCCTTTCGATTTCGCAATGGTTCTCCCTACAGTAATTCGAAAGCAAAACGATCGGTCATTACAACTTCGTCTACAATGTTCCACTTGTTATAAATCAAAAGGAAACGAAAAAGACAAAAAAACACAAAAGAATAAAAAACAACGGTTCTAAAATACCATTATAGTTCTCCGGTTCAAACATAGCAGTGTATGTACGTCACGAAGTTTTAGTTTTCAAAAATAGTACCGACATAAACATGCCGGGTAAAGTATTGAACGAGTGACGAGAAAGTAGGTGTAATGGCACTTTCAAAAGAGAGTAAAAGTCATAGTGAAATCACCAAAAAAAAAATTAAATTGGAAAATTTTCGAAATACTTTTCGAAACAAAAAACAGGCAAAAATCATTAGCGTTTCAGGATTCTCCAAGAAAGTCAGCTTAGCCGCAAAACCGCGAACAATTATAGAGCACTAAACGAGCGAATAACGCGCTGTGAAACATTGTTAAGTTAAATTGCGCACGCGTTCTTGTACTCATCGAATGAAGTGTTATTAAACCATAACGTTATTTTGATCATTTTTTGATTTTGAGTTTAATCTAATATACTAAGATAAAAATGTCAAGATGTTGGTGGAGGTGACGGTCATTTATAAAAAGTGTTCGAAACGGATTTTCGTTGTTTCTGGTTATCCTTTCGAGTTAGTAGTGGCGTTGCGACGACGTTCACCGCCGAGGCGAGCTGGCGAGGGTCGCGAGAGAGTCGAGCGAGCGTCTGGCGATCGTGACCGGCCGCGGGGGAGGCGGCGTCGGTCCGCCGTCGGGCCACCGTTCCCACGCTGCTGCTGAGGTCCCGCGGGCCTTCCGCGGGCCCCCCGCGCCGCCGCCCCTGCTTCGGCTACGGCCCCGGCCCCGACCGGCATCATCCTCTCATTTCCTTGTGTCGCAATCCGACCTGAGAATACGAGGCGCGCTCGAAACCTCCTCCTCCTCTTTCTCCTCTTCGGCTCTACTCGCTTCTCGAGCTCCGCAATACGCTAATAAAGGTTACATACCTAGACCACTTCTTCTTCTACTTTTCTTCTTCTTATTCTTCTTTACTCTCCTTTATCAATTTATTTATTCTTATTCTTTAAAAACTTTTAAATATATGGATTTATTTAAATTCTCATAAGAAGTCAATAATGAGATATTAATATATATGCAAGGTGTTTCACTTCAAATTCCCATGCCAAGTATCTCTGGAATGGGTTGAGATATATTAGTTATGTAAGAAATTGTTGTTAGAGTACGTAATTGACTTCAGTCTAAGATTATCTTGAGACCAATATCGATTGTTTTGCTTAGATAGTATTCCATTATTATGGAAACAACTCTCCTTGCAGTACAGAATGTTATTGAGAAAGTTCTCTTTATGCCAAAACTGAAATTTGTTGTATAATGTATAATATATGTAATGTAATGTAGTTGCCGTTTATTTTTATACAATGAATAATACCAATACGTAAGAACTGAAATCATTTACGAACTCTAGCAGCAACTTCTTACAAAACTACTACATCTCAACCCATTCCAGAGATACTTGACATGGGAGCTTTAAGTGAAACACCCTGTATATCAAAATAACGAAATCGGTATTACATGTAACTTTGATATTTAAAATGTTAGTAATAAATTACGATTGGGGTCTCCGATGGTTACATTAACACGGTACGTTTTGAATGATCTTATTGCGTTGCAACATAGTGATAATTTTGTGTTGATTAAATTTTGTATCAGCCGTAAAATATAAGGCAATTTATACAAAAAATAAAATATTCTACAAAAAGCCTACGGCTAGAAAGAAAAAGATAGAAAGAAGAATAAATAGATACCTTGCAAATCGTTCTTTATCCTGAATACTGTCGTCTTCCATTCTTGAATATTTGCTACCGCTCGGGTCGTCTTCATCGGACCTGAAAAACAAAAAGGAATTTCAATAGGGTGAGCGGAGACGCTACTTTGGTTCTTCTTCCACATTGTCGAAGGGGCTCTTTGTTCTGGAAACTTATCTGTACCGCATCTCCTAACCTATATATCGCGTTTTAAGTAGTCTCTTTTTTTCACCTCGAGCTCGGCTTGCTGGTTTATTCGTTCGTTGGGTCGTTCGCTTGCGGTTTTTCTATATTACAAAAATGTCGCGCTCGTTAATTAACCTCTGACCCGGCGGCTTAAAGTGAATTATCGGTAATAAATATGTTATTTGCTCGGAGGGTAACGGTACCTCTATTATCCGATTTACGGTTTACTAATGAGGCCTTTATCAGTGCATCGCGGCACGTAACGTAGATTTAGTGTTACAACGGAGGGGATGACGCCCGATCCCGGAGTAATTCTACCTCAAATATCACCCCCTGCATGCGCCCTTTTCCCCCTATAAACGCCCTCAAAACTGCACCAGTTATTACCCACCACAATTATTACATTTTAAACTTATTCCATCTTCGAAACCGAATATAATCTACCGATAATAATTCCAACAATTGTATCCATTATACAAATAACTTTAATCAAATTAGCAGAATATATACGCTAACAATGGCAAGAAAACGAAAACGAAAAAAAAAAACCTGTTCTAAGAAATAGCCTAAAGCGAGGATTTTTTTTCTGTTGATAGAAATTTATCGGAACGCACATTAATAATAGAATTATTCATTGGGAATTTTCGTCTTCGATAGAGTTTTTATAAAAATTTGTCTTTAGATACTTGATTCGATTCGATTCTTTAAAGTGTTGACTAGGCGATTCGATATCAAAATTCAACATTGTCGCGTGTTCGCAGTAGTAGTATATAAACAAGTCGACTTGTTATTATTTCGCAACTAAATGTATAGTTAACCCAATAAAACAACGCCGATAGGCTTTCGACGTGTTGCAAGATCGACAAGTTGAACATTCGGATATTTTAGAACAGTATTGTAATCTTGTAAATAATACGTGTATTTGTGTAACTCGCGTGTGGTCGACAGAACGAATACGATACAGGCCTTAAACTCTGTTTATAATTAATTTAATATTTTGATTCAACTTCGCTTATCGACCGATTATGATTGGCTCCCGGTAATTTTCCTAAAAGGGCCCATACCGAACCTGTTTTTAAACATCGCGTGCTGCAAAACCCACGTTTCTTTATTCGCCGACGGACGAGTTGAAAATTATTATCGGATTTAACGCAAAACAATGTACAGACGCTATCTACCGAACCGCGTCGTTAATCTGCATATTATTCATTTTTATCTACGTACGTGCCAATCCATGCTATTCTATTATATACAATTTTTTTGTTATTGGAACGCACGCAAAAAATATTTCCAAGTGTTTTGTTATTAACGAGCGCCCAATTCGTTATTAATATTAATTATTTTCTTTTTTTACAAATTCTTCGAAAAACTTTTATAATGAAATCTGAGTATCCTGTTTCATATACCCAAACACAAAATAAATAAATTAAATAACATAACATGAATGTTTTGGTAATATTATTTATTTATTTTATATATATATATATACAGGTTGTATCAAATGTCTGGAATATAGCCAATAACTTTGCCATTTGTGATTTTAAAGAAAACTGTTTCATATAAAAGTTTCTTTACTAATTGTGGCGCATTCTTTGGCGATATTTGCTTGTTTGCATTGTTTTTTGTTTCGCTGCTATGACAACCAACATTGCTATTTTAAATGGGATGCATATCTTTATTTTGCATATTTTGATAGAGGATAAATCTCTCTACGCGACGAACATATCAAATCATATGGTTGTATAAGATGAAAATCGAGAAAAAATGCGTTTTCTGTAAAAATTAAATCAACAAATTACAATCAAGTACACAATTTTTTAACATTTAAAGCTATCAATGGCGTTATTTCAGCACCTACTTTATCCTCTATCAAAATACGCAAAAAAAAATATAATATGCATTCCATTTAAAATAACAATGTTGGCTGCCAATAACCAAATATCGCCAAAAAATGCACCACAATTAATAAAGAAACATTTATTTGAAACATTGTTCTCTAAATCACAAATGGCGAAGTTACTTGCTATATTGAAGACATTTGATACACCCTGTACAATACACAGGGTTTCCCAAAAGTAACGGATAAATTGGTTAAAACAATTAAAATCGGTTTATGGAAAATTATCTTAAAGTTTCATGATTTTCCATTCATTTGAAATAGCAAAATAGCAGTAGCCATGCGTAACCAACTGTTTCAGATATCAAAAATTAATCATTCTCAAATGAATGGAAAATCATGAAACTTTAAGGCGATTTTTCTCGAAAATTTTCTTATGTAGCTAACATTAATTTTAGTTGTACCAAATTCAGAAAAAAATCCTCCTTCATATTCAGTAATAAAAATGGGAGATTTCTATTTGAAAAAATTAGCAATGACGTCAAAATTGCAAAAAAAATTAAATCCTTAGAGCCGTCTAAGCGATTTTTCCATAGACCGTTTCTAAATGTTTTAACGAATTTATCAGATACCTTTGGGAAGCACTGTATATTGGACGAAATTCGAGCAAGAAATGTAGAGAGTAGTGAAGAAATGAAATAAAACAAAACGGCGCAAACCGCGGAACGGTAAAGTTTAAGGCCGCAGAACGGATCCGGGGAAAGTAAACAACAGTAGAGTGTGTGCGCCAATCGGCAATCGTATAAAGACAGGAAAGTACTGTTACTGTTACGTTCAAAAAGAGTATACTCTAAAACCTCAACATCAACGTCCCCGACGTTTACCTGTCTTTTTGACAGCCGACGTAGGTAGGTAGAAAGAAGAAAGAGATTTATATACGTTCAGAGCAGACAGGTGGGTCTGGAATACCAGGAAAAACGAAACGTCACCGCGGGCCACGTGTTGAACGGTACTAATTAAAGAGTGAGACGTCACCTCTTTCTCTTTGGGAAATGGGGGACGGACGGCGACGCCTGATCTTGGGGTATCCCCATCGCGGGCACCTGGGGATGATGAGGGGGCGGTGGCGGCGGCGGCTGAAGGTACGTGGGGGGCGACGCGTAGTGAGGGGGGCCGCCCCCTGACGCGTACGCGTACATATCCACTTCTGCGACGTGGTGGAAAACACTGCCGATTCAACGTTTCTTCTTTCTATTAATTCTTCCGCCAATATTATAACTTGCACAGCGAATTTTTTCGAAATTAAAAAATTTCTCTCGACGCACACACTGCACTCTCAAAAGTATTTAAAATCTCGTAAAAACGGATGTTTAATGTTATGTTAGTTTTTGGATATATTGCCGCCGGTACACGCATGCTGGTCCACGTGCACACGATTTACGAGTACGTCTCGACGGCTCGGCGTGCGGGAATGGACTGGACGTACGCACGGTATGGTTTGCTTTTGGGACCATACAACAGTTCCAAAGCAACAGCTTTTGTATTTGGAGGTGGGGGGTAGGTAGCGCGACCAACAGGTAACTGCCGAGAGAGCGCACGTTGAATATGACACTGCGTTACAAACTGTACAAAAGATGGGTACAATGTATTTCCATTCGATGCTGTTTTACCACACTTCGACTTTACACAATACCCGTACACAAAAGGTCTCTGAAAACACTTGCCCAAACAAGCGTCGATTGAAACAATTCTCAATTTTATTATAAAAATTGAATATTTTATTATTGGCAGAACGATAAAAATCAGTTCAACTCTCTTCTCGCCGGTTTAAATGGCCGAAAGATCGTAAACACGCAGATCGCTGCCGCGAGAGCATCAGTATTCATAGCGATAAGCTCGGTCGATCGGATCTTAGGCAAAACGAGCCCCAAGATTTTCCGGCATATCGTACAACTATTTGGGATAACGCGCAAAGCCTTATAAATGATGTCGCGCTACTACTTTCAAAGCGGACGCGACGTCTTCTTCATCGTCGTCTTATTAAGACCTCTTTTTATGCTTAAGAAAAGAAAAAATGCGTTGTTTTTACTTAGCTAATTGTTGATTTATAACCCGAGATTTACGTGAACCATAAACAACGAGTTTCTCCCAAAAGAAACGCTTTGTAACAATCACCTTTTGTATTATTTTGTGTTATATTAGCTCACGCTTGTTGGAAAACATTAACAATTCATAAGTACAAAACGCACATTTTTTTTTTGATCACGAATTAGTTTATATATAATTAGACCTACAAGTAAAAACATTCTGATTTAGCCGTCTTGAAAGACGCACTGCTAAACCTAAATATTTCTAGTTATAGACCTAGAACTAGAAACATTCTGGTTTAGCCGAATTGAAAGACGCACGGCTAAATTAGAATATTTCACGTTTTAATTCTAGGTCTACTGTTAGAACGTGAAACATTCTGGTTTAGACGTCTTGAGAGATGTAGTACGGATAAACCCCAATGTTTCTAGTTCAAACACTAGACCTAGAACGAGAAACATTCTCGTTTAGCAGTTTTGTAAATCGCATGGCTAAACCCGAATATTTATAGTTCTAATACTAGACCTAGAACTAGAAACATTCTGAAAAACATTAACAATTCATAAATACAAAAACGCAGATTTTTTTGATCAAGAAATAGCTTATATATAACTTTGATATTTGAAATAATCAATAATAAACATTGATAAAAATCATTTATTAAAGTTGTCTGTCCAAGTATTTGTAAACAAACTGAAAGTGGAGGGCTAAAAGGAAGGCTCGGGCGCCGTCATCATTATATTTAACCCAAGAGGCGGCAACGCCACCTATTATTTATTAGCTGATAACCTCGACTCAAGCCGACAACGCGCCCTATCATAATTGAATCGCACCCGAACGAAAAACAGCGACTGGAGGAAAAGCAACTTCTCTCTCCAACGACGGAGACGTTAAATAATATTTTCCAACCAAAAAAATAAACCCCAGAAAATTTTCTTGATACCATGCTGCATGCTCGTAATGATCCTCAGCCCTTCACTCCCCTCTCAAGCCTAAATAAGGGAACTCCAAAGGAAACAACTGTGGGAGTCTTTAGATATAATCATGCTATGATTTACAACGAAAACTTAATCACAATAATTTTAATTAAGACTTCTTCTTAAAAAAAATATATATATAATAGTATATATATCTTAAGTAATCTTGTTATAACCTTTACAAATAATAATAATGTTTTTTTTAGGTTAAAAATATATCGAACAATAAAAATAAGAAATAAATCTAAAACTCACCCTATACTGCCTCCTCTTCGTTTCTGAATACCCTTCGTAGGGTCAGTACCTAAAAATGCAAAAGGAATCAAGCGAACTGATAACCAATACAAAGAATATGTTTTCATAAACAAGGTTGCCTTGTTTTTCTACAAAAATAAATTTAATTTTTGTTATGATTGGGTACAATTTGATATAGGAAAAATATAAGACTTAAAAACTAACCTGATATGGAATGTGTCACTGCAGACATCTGTAAAACAATACATGCGTACTATCGGTCATTAAATCACACTATTAATCATCGATCGCACAATAAATTTAAACCAAACACCTTAATTATTTAACTTGTCTTGGATTGGTAAATATTACTGTTTATAAGTCACTACCGCCATTGCAAAACCAAATAGCCGTTTCAGGGTAGGGTAGGTTCAGCCATTTTGGGATTAAGGGTTGTTCACAAAAACACCCTGTTTCCGTTAATCGTAATCAACTTTCACGACGTTTAATTTATCGGGAAGCAGCAGGAAAAACGAAAATAATGCGTCCCACTAAGCCTCGTTCCTGTCAATATTTAGTTATTCGTTACCAACATTGAAAAATTAACGGTTGCATCCAAGAGTAACTTACAGCGCTCCTTGTCACCACGTTACTGTTACATCCGTTACACGCACTATTTAAAATCATTTTTTAAATAATCGTTTACCACCTTTTATTACTTGTATCCAGGTGTAAATTAATTTTAAAATAAACAATATATTTAAAACATCATAAGACTGATTAATATTCTAATCATAATAATCAATCGCAATAACAACCATAATCAAAGTCTTTCGAATCGTTTCTGTGGCGACATCTAGTAATCAGAGGATAATATTCACACTTATAGATAATATAAATAGATGACTAAATCGAATTTTTAAGGTTTTAAAAATATTACGTTTTTGGATCTTTAAATAAGCCCAGATATAATCATACATTTTCTCTTGCTACGATTATTAATGTTATATATTACAACGCTGTTCGTTGCTCCAACATTTGCCATTCTTTGTGTGGAATCACATTTATATGATATTATATAGTTGTGGTTAATCTTAACTTTGATACAACTTGAAATTATTTTCCAATTCCTACGAAAGGCAGAAATGACTGTTATATCTGTGGTAGTATTTTTAACGAAATTCACTGTATATTAAATGTTAATAATAGTAAAGTCATAAAGGTGTTAAATAACATTTAGATATAAAAGATTATAATTTAAAAATAATAAAAAAGAAATGAAGAGAAGTTTCAAAGTTCATTAAGTAAGTCTAGATGGCGCAAGAAGTAACATTTAAAAGTTGTTTCGAAACGTTCCAAACCTAACCTCAAAATATCTTGAAACATTACTCGACTATTTTGTCGACCGCGAAAACTTAATGTTCCGAGTCTCTTGGTTAACCTTAAATGTGGATACAATTTAATTGAAGCTAAGGAAGATGTAAGCACTTCATACACAATTAATGAACGATTTAAACTTTTTATTTCTATAGTTGTTCAATGTTAATTATGGAAACACCCCATGTAGATGGTTATGAGCTTGGGCCGAAAGTTGGAGGCGGCAGTTTTTCGACCGTTTATCGAGCATTCCCAAAAGGCGAACAAAAGGTATTGAATATTTTCTTGTTAAAAGTCAACACAGTTTCTCACTTTGTTTTTTAGGCAAAGGATGGAAACGATGAAGTCGCAGTAAAATGTATTCATCGGGATAAAAGGGCTGGTATCGAGATAGCTGTTGCGGAAATAAAATTAATGAAAAGTTTAAATCATCCGAACATCGTTAGGTTTTATGATTTTGGTGGGGACTCAAAGTAAGAATTGGTATCTTTGACGCGAATTTTTTCTAATTTCCTTTTTCGTGCAGATATATTTATATTATAATGGAGTATTGTAACGAAGGTGATTTGTCGAAATTAATAAAACAACGCTACAAACTAGTTGAAACGTTAGTACAAATGTTGATGCAACATTTAGCTTTAGCGATGAAGTACCTGAGGCAACATAACCTTTGTCACATGGATTTAAAACCCCAAAATTTGCTTTTAACCCGTAACCCTGGCTTAGCCTTGAAAGTCGCTGATTTTGGATTATCGAGGATTCTCTGTGAGAGCAATTTAGAAAAGAGTCGTTTTGCAGGGTCAGTTCGTTACATGGCCCCCGAAAAATTATTAAATATGAAATATGATTCAAAAATCGATTTATGGTCAGTCGGGGTGATTATGTTTGAATGTTTAGTAGGTAGGACACCTTTTGGTAACTTAAAGAATAAGGAAATGTGCGAGTTTATGAGCGCACAACGACCAATGCCGGTAAGTTCACCCAAATAAACAAAATATTCTTTTTAATTGGAGCTTTTTAGATTCCAGCATCTGTTAATGTTAGTCCTGTTTGTGAAAATCTTTTATATAAATTATTATGTTATAATCCTCAAGAACGCATTGATTTTGAGGCGTTTTTCGAGCACGAATTTTTAAATATTAACTATTGTCCGTGCGAAGAAAACTTTTCGAAAGTTCGTCAGTTAATGATGAAGTCTTTTGAATTTGAATCGGAGGGGAAACACAAAGAGGCATTATACGTATGCCAAAAAGCAATATGCTACATGGAATGTTTCGTAAATTTCGAACCAAATAAAGTTCGTAAACAACTCCTTTTAATAAAATTAAACGATTATAAAGAATATGAAGAAAAACTTCGCAATGCTGTTGCGAATAAGACAACTATGATGATCGGAGCTAATAATCATTTTAACTCCTTACAAATGACTTTTAGAGGGACACCTCAAGTTACAACCGCTGTCGAAATCGGAATGGCAGCTGAAATGTATTACTTAGAAGGCAAAAAAGAGATTGCTTTAACGAAATTTTTATCCGCCCTTGATATATTAATGCCTTTGTTACATACGGAACCAAACGGACCACGTAAAGAAATTTTATCTAAGCAAATCACCAAATGGTTATCGTTCGCCGAAAATTTAAAAAATGGTGATAATTCTTAAATATTTTTTTAATAAATTTGCAAAGTTGCAAACCAACTCTAGTGAGATTTTTCAGTTTAAAGAAGACTTCCTGTTTTATTTTGTGATGATTAAGTTTCGTTTTTATGTTTAATACCGGTTGTATGTTTAGTTTAATGAACACTGTTATTTATGTTTATTTATATATGAAGATAAAGGAAACTTATATAGTTTTATTTTGTGATGAATCAAACTTTTAGTTTGATTTGCATTTTTTCTAGTATAGTTAACAAAGTAAAAGAAGATTTATTTATGTTTGTTTCAGTTCTGTTTTAAGTAGTTTACTTGTAAACTTTGTTTTATAAAACAGAAACTTTTAGTTTGATTTGCATTTTTTCTAGTATAGTTAACAAAGAAAAAGAAGATTTATTTATGATTATTTCAGTTCTGTTTTAAGTTGTTTACTTGTAATCTTTGTTTTATAAATCAGAAACTTTGATTTAGATTTATTTTGTGATGATTTAATAAAGGTTATTTTTTAAAAGATGGTTTTTATTTTAAATGTTTGAGAATGACCCGCTGTTGCTTTTGTTACCTTATAATTTGCCAACTGTAAGGTAATAAAAATAGTTTTAAGTTTAGCCGTCTTGAGTGACGCACGGCTAAACTTGAATGTTTCTAGATCTAGAGTTAGAACATTAAGTGTTGTTCGTGATATTAGGGCCGGCCGACGTCCTGGAGGTCGGCCCAGTTTATTTCTTATATCACGAACAATACTTGGCATACTTTGGGAGAACAAATCCTAAATTTAAGACAACTCATAGAAAAATGCCTAGAATTCAATATCCCAATGGCCTTCTGTTTCTTGAATTACCAAAAGGAGATGAAAACCTAATTCTAGAACAATATTTCTTAGCTTTTTAAAGACGCTAATAACTTCTTGTTGGTAGAGGGGTTCTAATTAGTCTTGGGTTGGAGACCTCATTTCCTGTTATTCTCCCTACTTTAAGTTGCAATTTTTACGGTTAATGAAAAAAATCGGTATTCCGAGCGTGATACAGAAAAACTTTAAAAATAAAATTTGTAGCAAATTTTGCCCTGAATACATTGCTGTCTAACACTTTTGCTCCCAGATGCATCAATTTGAAGCAAAACTGAACAAATCTTTGGCTTTTATAGTATGGATAATACTATTGATATTATTTTAAATTTCCCGCAAACTGCCAGCTGGTTATGTTTACAATCAACGATTTCGACGAATCAGAGAGCAGATAAGAAGCGGGGTTTTAATAAAGCGCAAGCGCATTAACGACGTAGATGTAGTGTGGAAATGTTGAAGTAGTAATGTGTTAAATGTCCTCAAGATTTTAACTAATTCTGGTGGTATTTTTTATTAAAAGTTTTGTAAACTCACTTTGAAATTACGAATCGAGGTACGTAAATGTGAATTAAGAAATTTTTGGAAAGACATTTCTTGATTAAGCCTTGCTAAAAAAATTTCGCGGAATCATTGCGACCCCCTGCGTTAATACTTTAATTCGCGTATATATTATTAAGTTTTGCTTGTTTAACAATCGTTTACGGTAAATTTAAAATGTAATACATTAAAAAATGTTTCTAGAAATATAAGAATCTTAGAAATTGAGGAAATTAGTGATTGTAAGTTGGCGGGTAAAATTCTAACCTCTTCGTCGTGAACAATCGTGGGTTTTGGTGGTTTCAGCCCATTTAAAGTAAGTTTTAAGTAATATTTTTTCGAAATAACGTAGAAAACTATTGGGGACGGCTATTTCGATTCGAATTTACCTTAAAAATCGGGAATTACATCGACTTTAACGTGTGATTTTTGGCGGGCAAATTTCGACACGTATACCCACATTTTAACCCCTATTATTCATTAACTTTCCGTTATTTCCGGGTTTATCTTAAACACATAATCAATTAAAACAGCCTTACCTTCGTTTTCAGAATGGCTGATACGCATATCGAAAATAAATTGGAAGAATTCATGGAAGGAATTAACTGTATTAAAGATATATCAGTTGGATTGGACGTCCAGTTTAATAAACCAAAATCTAATATAGTTGATGTTAATCTTGAGAATGTTTTGTCTGATACAAAAAGTCCCTCAGCTATTACAGATATTATAAGCGATGAGACGGTAAGTTTATGCAGTGTGTTTGATTTTAGCTGTCACAATAGATATGTCAATTATTGTTGGAGAGTTAACAAAATGTTATAGAACGAGAGTTGCTTCATATTTAAAAATGTGTTAGATACAGTGAATACATTCAAATTTTGAAATGGAACATGCCCAATTTTCTAACGGAGTATAAAACTATGAAAAAATCTAGTTACAACGATATATCACATTATTAGTAATATACACCGAGTAAAATTTAGAATCAGGGTTCGATTGATTTAAATCAAAAACAAAACTGAAAATGCAATATCAGTTATATATTAAATATTAGTTATTAATTTACAACATTCACAGAAAAAGTATGCTAAATTTTAATTTTTTAAACAGTGGCAAAATACTGGTTTTATGGTGATAATTGATAATTACAAAAAAAGATGCTAAATACTATTTACCTAAACTAAATTAATTTCTCAGTTTCTTGGTCTGAGGTCCTCTCCATCAGAGATCCTGAACTTGCGCTTCTCATGGTGTTCTTTCAACCTTTGAACTAGTCCTTGTATATTTTTTCCGCAATTTTTGCAAATTGCTCTGCTACCGGTCTTTCGTTTTCCCACTTTTTCTAAGTAATAATTCCAAATTTTGTCTTTTTTTCTTCCGCTCATTTTATTTTATTCACTTCACTTCTACAGTTTGTTAACACAAACTAAAGATCTTAAATACGACACAACACTTTTTATATGGGAAGAACAAAAAAAAACCGAACGTTCGATTTTATTAAGGGCCTCGTCGCGACACGTATTTCGTTTCGACTACCATATTAAAAAAAAATTTATCTTGTAACACGTACAAACGTGTTCTTAAACGAGAAAACTAGCAATAAAACACTAATAATCGCCCGTTTTATGTTACATAACATAATTGATCTAAAAATTTAAAAAAATCATGATTTATTCGAAACCTGCTTAGAATACCGGAAGAAATTTTGAATACCGGTTTTCAGTGTTTAATCAGTGTGAATCCCGGGATAACAGTATTCATACCGGTATTGACTTTTTTTGCTGAAACTATAAAAGAGAAATAAAAACCAAGCAAATTTTATTTATTGCACTATAAAACTTGAAACGGACAAAAGTAACGAATGCATTTAGCAATTCCAAAGCAATTGAATTTTCTTGTTCAAACAGCGTATCTACCATGAACTTTAGTGAAGCCTTAGCAGTTAAAAGATATGAATCTCGCGTAGCGCATCTGCTGTCACTTTTACAAGCACCAAACTGCTAATAAGTGCGAATAACAAATTCATTTCATTTTCTGAAAATTTTATATCGCATCCTACATCAGTTAACGGTTTTTGAATGTAATGTCGTAAGTCATAAAATTTCTCACATAATCAACAAACCTCCTAAACAATCCTTCACTAGAGTGCACATTAATATTCTTGTAAGTCCAGTTATCGAATGTTATGCTGAATCATACACTTTCCTTCTACAATATTTTGTCATATCTCCAACTGACAACAAAAATCAATAACTGTATACAAAAATGATCTTAAAATGATATTGGAATTTGTATTTAGAGTGATAATTCCGGTGTAATTGAAAATGAGAAAACCCCTCATTCCATAAAACGCATGGTCAACGCAAAAAGAACAAAACAACAAGACGATATTCAAACGGGAAAATGTCAAGAAAGACTAACCCCTCTTCCCGTATTGAAATTTGCTGATTCAAACGCCGTTTGGCTTAATATGATTTACAAAGAGGAAGCAACGTTGAAAATGCGCAGCCCAAAAATATTTTCCGACCGTTCGGCTTACTTACCTCGAATGCGGGCGATTTTGCTTGATTGGCTCATGGAGGTTTGTGAGGTCTATCATTTAAGAAGGACTACGTATCACTTAACAGTTGATTACATCGATCGTTATTTAACTATTCGATCTTCAGTACCAAAAACCCAATTACAACTACTCGGTGTTTCTTGTCTTTACATCGCTGCTAAACTGGAAGAAATTTATCCACCTAAATTATCTGAATTTTCTTATGTTTGCGATGGGGCTTGCACTGAAAGTGAAATTTTAGCTTGTGAACTTTTATTATTAAACGTAAGTTTGAAACATTTTATTTAATACATAATTTTATTTCATTGAAATATATTTTAAGACTCTCACATGGGACGTAAACCCAATGACACCTACATCCTGGTTAAGTTTATATATGCAAATTTTACAAAACCTCGATAATAACAAAAAATTACTTGATAACGATGGAATAGATGATTTCCAATTTCCCCAATATTCAGCTTATCAGTTTGTTATGGCTTCCCAATTAATCGATTTATTTTCAATGGATCCAGGATATTTAAGATATAGTTATAGTGTTATCGCAGCTGGAGCTTTTTATTATATTTATGGAAAAGAAGCAACTATTAAAGTATCAGGTACAAAGTTTTTTTTTTCACCGGCGCATCCACCAATATTTTTTTAATATCCATAAATACATAAATATTTTTTTTTCTTTAGGTTTAAGTTGGCCGCAATTTGAGGATTGCGTTGAATACATGGCAGTTTTCCACAAAGTCTTGAAGAACTCCAACGATCCACGATTAAAAACCACATTTCCTATCCAAGATTTAGAAGATAATAGCAACACCTCTAGCTTAAGGTTTTTAAAAAAACGTGTTCCTGGATTAGTATCTGATGAATTACATTGTTTACAAACTCACGTCGTCGACTTAGATTATTTTGTAAGTTCACCACCAAAATATTTATTTTAACCTTATAAAATAATAATTAAATATAAGTAAACCTAGAAACATTCCGGTTTAGCCATGGGTCTCTTAAGTCGGCTAAACTCGTATGTTTCATGGGGAACGTTTTTTCACTTTTTCAAAAAATTGTGTTACTTTGAAGTAGTAATAATGAAATAAAATGATTTTTTCCAGGAAAAATCAACAATACAAAGAGTAGAAGATCTTGGGTTTAGAATTGAAAAGGTTTACATGAAGAAAGTAAAGAAGAATGGTACAAAAGATGAAAAGGATAATACTGAGAAGGATGAAGAAGAACAGGTAGAAGAAACGACAGTGGTGGTTTATGAAATAGAAAAAATAAATGGATGTGTGGATAAAGATGAAGGAGAGGATGAAGAAACGGACGATGAGAACGTATTAAACCTATTGAAAGTAACGAAAAAAGCTGGTGCAAGTTTCGACGCGATTTTGGGTTCATTACATAACGATTGCTATAATTCAGAGAGGTAATTCAAAGATTTTAGGTATTGTAAGGTTTTATTATTAACAAGAATAGACTTTTTCTTTATTGTTTAATTATTTTGTTTAAATAATTCAGCGTGGTGTTATTAGGTTAAATAATGTTGATCTCATGTGATAAAAAAATAACTTGGAGCTTTAGAACTTACCAAGATACTTCTTTACTCAGATAACATAGGAAATTTTTTATTTTGGCTGACATGTAAAATATTTCTTGATATTTATCACTCAATAGTTTTTTTTAGACTACTTAACTGCCGTGTACTGTGATGATGTAGGTGTGTTTAATGATAAAAGAACTATTTCATCTCCTTTCTTATTTAAATAAATAGTATAAAACGTTGGTTATAGTACAAAAGCGTGATAAGCGGTAAAGTTATTATGTATTATTAAAAAACGTAAAAAATATAAATAAAACAGGATGTATAAATATTTAGTTATTTTTTTAGTACTTTTTAATAAATTAACTTTTAATAAAATAACTGGATTGTTATTTCGCATTCAAACCTTCCCGCCATTCCTGAATCAAATTTCTTGAAATTCACACAGATGGCGCATTTTTTATTTACAATCATTTGACAGGTAGTTAAAGATGTGAAAAGTTGAATTAAAATTACAAAGAAAATGGCATACAGCCGGGATAATAAATTAGAAGTGAAAGTGAAAAAAGGTAAAGCATTTCTGGAAAACTTGTATTTTTCTAACCTCACTGTTTGTCTCAGCCACTGAACGCATATCAGAAAATATGCATATTGTGGCCAATGAGCCCTCTTTGGCATTCTATCGGCTGCAAGAGCATGTAAGGAAAGCTATAAATCCTATGGTGGATCGCCGAATGGAAGTTACCAAACTATATCATGAGTTACAAGGAAGGTGTTATGATATGGAATACGCAATTGGGTAACTTTTTACAATTTCTTTTTATTAATAATTCTCAATTTATTTTTTAGAGCAATAAAAGCAATGGATAAAGCTGAAAATAGCTTCAAGTTTATCCAGGATAATTTAATACATTCCATATTTTTAAAGCAACAATTGAAATATGAAGAATCCAGAAGGAAGAAACCTGATAGCGGTTCTGTTTATAAACGATTGTCCGCTCATATTACTATAGATTTACCTGAACTTCCTGAATTTTCAGATGTTGTTCGAGAAACAGCTAATAGGGTTGAATCTATAATGAAAGCATCACATTCATAATTTATATGTGCATACATTTATTATCTGTGATTCATTCTAATAATAAATACTATTAATAAATACTAAATAATTATGTTTTAACCCTTGAGTAGCGTTAGAATTAGAAACATTCTGGTTTAGCCGTGCGTCGTCGCACGGGTTAAAATTGATGGTTTATGAGTGTCAATTTAAGTACTTCACCCGGTATTAGTATATTTAATAAAATAAAAAATGTACAATATTAAATATTAATTGATAAAATTATTAAATAATTAATCATTTTAAGTCATAATTCAAAAGATAACATAAAAATTGAGTTTTTTGTTGCTGTGTTTCCCAACTTAAATATTTATTTGTTTGTGATAAGTTCTGTCAAACGTTTTAGTTTTATTTACGTTCTCATATTGGCAGCAGTTGGGAGCTGTCAAAACGTGTTTAGTGTGTTTACTTTCGTACGTTAGTGAATGACTGGTTAAATCTAAAACTATAGTGCACTATTTATATATTTCCACGAAAGGTAAATGAAACATTTCGCTTCACAAAAATCAAAACATACTTTCGATTAACAAATTTAATCAAAAAAACGGCGAAAACCTCATCGCGAAACGTCATTATAAAAGTTAATTTTTATTAAAGCTAATTGATTTATGAATGAATTTTTTAATTATTTATTGTTATGTTTTTGTCGTGTATTAAATCGATTCTCGTCCGAGATCGTATAGTGATCGCATTTTGAGTCACAGGTTTGCGCTCAATAATTCCGGACATCGACTGATTGTCCCGGATTTGCGCATGCGTGCAAGACATTTAAAACGCTTAAATGCCAAGTTAGCACGAAGTTTATATTGGAAACGATTTTAGAAATAAATAGCTCCGTGAAGTATATTCTTGTGTAAAGCCCACGCGTTCGACGAAGTAGACCTTTTTTCGAGGGGACCGCGCCTATCACAAAGCTCGCCCCCCTCGCACGGGGTACAATAATATTGATTTTGACGTGCCGCATCAATTAGAAGTAGGACCCTTTCAAAAGCTTCTCTTAAAGTAAACGTATAAACTTATTTAGTTTATTAGAAAAAGGCGACGAGAAAAAAGGTGAAGTTTTATTAATGATCTAATTTTTGGTGTCATCCGTTTCAAAGTGAGTCATCTCAGTGTGGAAGAACTGTAGCGAATATGGATAAAACCGATCGGTAATCTATCTATTCGTTTTATTTTAGCGAAAAAAATATTGTAAGTTTATTGGTAAATTATTATTTTTTCGATCACGCACTCTTCCACACCTTCACCTTATTCATTATTTTCTATATACAGAACTTAATAGAAATTTAGTAATGTTTAGCAATTTCGCTTAAAAATTGAGGGATAACAAGAAAATAATCGAATTTGCTAAAAAAAGAACCAATCCAATCGACAAAACTTCTTATAATAATAAGTATTAATAGTAATATAATGTTATATATATATATATATATATATATATATATACAGTGTCTTTGATTTTAGTTGTCATAAATAATAAATATCTCGAAATGACGTTGAGAATCGTTCTCATACGCAAAGATGTGATCTATGGGGACGTTTTTTAACTTTATTATCACTTAACTAAGAGGCATGGATTTTTTTTTTTTTGCCAGAACAGGTATGGGTTCGTATCTCGACCAGTACCTGTTTGATGTTGAGTTCCAGGACACTTGTATATATATTGTATATATAGGTGTGCTATATATATTATATTATTAGTTAATATGTATACTTTGACCAGTATTAAATATTATTTTTTAGTATCGCGAGAAGAATAGGAAATTATAAAATGAACGGTTCCTGTTAATGATAGGTTCATCATTTCACGCCACTTCTGCACCTTTTCCGTTTCTAGGTGTATCGGTAATTTTTCGATGGGACGTTTTAGACAGAAATGACCAGCCTGGCCCTGGCGTTGGATAATGTAGACGTAAGTGACAGCACGGAGCAGATAAGTAAATTATTTCCGAAGTGCAGACCGAGAAGTGACATTAACTTGAACCCGATACTGGGCTCCGCTCGTGAACATGATCTCGTTCCCGACAACGCTACCATCGGTGTAATGAGTATCGATAGAGATAACGATAGGTACGCGGCCCGGCCTGTAGTGTACGCTCAAATAGACTCACACCGATCGTTCTTGCGCTAGATGGATTTCCGAACCCACAATCAACGATAGGGACAACAGGCATTCCACGGACGACGATGAAATGGGGGGTAGCTATAAACTGCGCGACTCTAGGTACGCGTTTTCTTTCTGATACTCATTTTTATTGTTTTTTCGTTTCTTTTCCGTTTTTTGCACACTTGGAAATAATTTATTTACGCTTCCTTTTCGTTATGCACTACCGAAGATGCCGTTATTTCACTACATTATTTTTTCTTCTTCATTTTTCGCCACTTGTAGAATTATCGAAATAGCCGGCGGTCGCGAGATATACTCTCAAAGTCGCAGCAAGGCCGTTCGCAAATCACGAAACCCGAACGATGGTGGTGATCCAGAAAAGAAGAAGCCCCAGAAGTCACCGCAAGGCGTCTGGCAATTGCGCGGCCGTTGCACGGACCCGAACAAACTGAAGGGTGCTCGCGAACTCACCGAGACGGTCTTCTCATCGGAGGTCCGTTCGGTCACGTACCAGCAGCAGGAGAATGAGGCGACCGTCGTCGTGAGTCCCAAAATGGCTAGCCCGCCCAGCGAGGTGGTGGTTTTCGACGACATCGGAGGCGAAGCGTGGCGCGACGAAGCCAAACGTGAAGACACCAACACTGCCCCCGTTATGTACAATCAAGAGGAAGCCGAAAGGGTCACCAAGGTAATCGGCAGCTTACCTATCGCCGTTTACGAGGGCTCTCCGCGTCGGTACGGCCCACGACAGGTCGAAACTTGCTCCCATCCTCAGCTGCCTAGTGCCCAAAGCTTGTTGGCTTCTCCCAGCGTTTACCCCCCGAGGCCAGGCTTTCCTCAACGCGTCGTTTGCTCTCCTAACGATGTTGAACCTCCACAGCAAAATGACACTACTACCACTACCTATAACGTGAGTACTTTATTTATCAGTTTTTATGCATTTTAATCATATATCATTTTATAGCGTAATAGCCCGACATCTCCACGTGGCACTACAACTTCATCTACTTTCGACTATCTTTACGAATTCTCGGAAACTAGAAAGGTTCTCGAAGAATTTTTCAAGTGTCCGCCGCCCGATGAAGAGAATAGGTTGGAGACTGAGTTTCAAGACTTGGAGTACGAGTTACGCAGGCAAGGTTCCGAGTCTGGAAATTCATATGTCGGGCAAAGATTAGCTAAAGGTCGACCTGACCAATCGGATTTTTGCTTACGTATTGAATCACCAAGGAAACATACAAATCCAACTCTCGTTTTACAGGTAAAAATTGTTTCAATTTATTCGTTAAGTATTATATGTATGCTAACATTTTTCCTTAGGATCATGATATAACAGAACATGAAAATAACTTCTTGGATTTAAGTATCGGAACGGGCTCAAGCGGAGATTTAGGTGAAACAGAAGTAGGTTTACAAGTTGGTCATAGTCGGAACTTTACTTTGTCTCCAGAAACTACCGATTGCGATTCGAATTGCGGCGACCTAGATAGCGAAGTCTCCCTAATGCTTATGGAAAATGAGTTGGGCCCGTCATCTGGTCTTTTAGGTTTGTCACTTTCTCTTTTTCAGCTATCCATTACCTTCGTCACTTTCAGGATCCAGTGGTGATATAGCTATTCCAAGCGATTCTTTGCGACTATACTCTAGCATGCCTGTTTTGGAGGACGGCTTATCTTCGGGTCACGCCAGCGACACTGACAACAACAATCCAACGGTCATGCTTATGAAACGGCAAATTACCGAAATTGAACGCGAAATCAATCAGACTATTGGGCGAAAGAAATTACAAGAAAACGGGGTTTCTCCGAATAAAGAGAGATCTTCGGTGTCACCAATTGATATTAATGGTTGCTTAAATAACTTCGAAGATCAACATTCTCACACGCAAAGCGAATCTTTAGGTACATTAGGGTCTTAACCCACTATCTACATGAGCATATTATATTAAAGGGTACGTTTATTTTGTTGTTAGAAAAAACACCACCTCCTCCAGCTCCAGCTCCACATCGTAGTTCAAATGAGAAACCAAACGACGTCGAGGCGGCTATTAAAGATATACGACTGACGTTACAAAGAACGAAAACGCTTCCGTTGAAATGTCATCCCGAGGAAGACAGCGAGGAGAACGCCACGAGCCCCGTGTGGGTGCCCAGGTAGCGACGTTTAAGGGCACGTAGGCAACTATGAGCCTTCCTCCTACGTACCCTTAAACAATTTCTCATTATAAAACGTCAACTTTATTGGTTTAGACAAAGAGGGTTATCCGCGACGAGCGGCGATTCCGACCGAAAGGTTCAAAGTGGCGAAGAAGGCGGCGATGAAGAAGAAGCCGATACCGATTTAGAAACGGATCGTTTGCTTGGACAACAGCGTACGGATGATCAAGGTTTCTATGACGACAAGGTAAGTTGAGCTTATTGAAATGTAACTTTTTTTTTTTGAGAGAAATTATTTAGTAGTATTGAGATTTTTGTTTTTTGTTTATATATTGAATTAGATGCGGAAAGAGAAGCATGTTAAATCGCTGGTGGTCTAATCGTCTGTTGTATTTTTCTGTTTGTGTGATAGGGTTGGAGAAAACCTAAAAGCCGGACAATAATGCCTCCGCTCAGTTTATCAACCCCTAAAATACACGCGCTAGAGGAGGGGACCGTACCGTTGGTCCCCTCCGATGCACGTGCCTCCCATCCGCCATCCCCTACAGTAACGTCCGATAAAAGCCAGTCGCCCCAAAGCCAAAAGGGATCCGTGTCGTCCGTAAAGCTAAAAAAGGTGTGAATTGTAGACCTAAACAATCGTAGACGGTCGACTGCTGTCTCCGTTTTAGAACTATTTAGAGTTATTTAGATGCCTGTCAGTGTAATAGGTAAAAACTTATTCGCTTCGCTCTCCGTTAGAAGAAGATTCTTTATCGCTCGGTATAGAATTATCTTCTTGTTGAAAGTAGCCACCTTACTACATAATAATGATGTTTAACGTTATAAAAACTGTTATTACAAGTTCAAGATAACAATTGATTTTATATTGTTATTTCAGTTTGAAAAACGTCACACATCATTTTTTTTGAAATTTAATTAATTTAACTAAAAGTAAATAACTTATTGTTCTTTGTGTGGCTTCTTTCGTGTTGGGACTGCAAAAAAAAAATATATATATATGTGATGATATGCAAGAATGTTCGCGCGCACACCAAACAAAAAATAGCGTCCAATCAAAAAAAAAAGTAGGTAACAAACATATAATTTTTTCTTGCAGGAAAAAGAGAACAAGAAGAAGGGCCGCAACAAGGAAGGTAACGATACTTACACAAAACCCATTAAAATTTAGCTCTTTTACTAACCGAATGTACTTTTTTTTAACAATTTTTCTCTTTAACTTTTTTTGCCTGGGTCTATATCGGGTGAGTGGGTGCGTCCTAATTTGTTTCTTTCTATATTAATGACATTATTTGTTTTTAGATATCTTGGATCGTTCAGTTCTAATAGAAGGTGTGCTATTTCGAGCTCGGTACCTTGGTTCAACGCAGTTGGTATGCGAAGGACAACCAACGAAGACCACGCGAATGATGCAAGCGGAAGAAGCTGTGTCGAGGATCAAGGTAGGAATGGCATGGCGCTATCACTACACATTCTGTTGAGCACCAACACACCCTGCTACTACTCACAATATAAACACTTGTCATGACAAATTTATACAATTTTGTTTTTATTTCTTTCATAATTGTGGTGGGCGGGGCAAAAGTTTCTCAAATTTGAAACTCTAGTGTAGCTCGATTTTTAGCATTTTAGAAAATTTTTTAGTATCGAGTACTTTTGTCCTCCAGATTCGCATTTTAAATTTTTATTTAAGTGTTGCTGGTGGCATGTTAGTGACGAGAGCCGAAGGTCTATGATCTTTTGTAATGGCGGTAATCCATGATCGGTAATTGTTCAAAAGGCCCTCCTCCCACTCTTTTTTTCTCTCTTTGTTCACTGGCGTGGACCTAACGTGCCGTAACCGTACAGTGGTTGGTTGCCTGCTCCATGTTTGTGGTACCCTTCGATCTGTCACCAATCTGTAGCGCACCTTATTTTTCGCTTTGGATGTTTTGTACTTACCCCCAGACGTTCCCCCCTACTCTTCTGTCTACTCTTACTATGTGTCAGATCTTGTACATAACACGGGATTAGATTACGGCGCTTCCGGTACTACCGATAGAGCTAGGGAAAACCGGCCTAGATGTTACTTTTTAGCGTTAGATGTGGCGTAGGCAGGGGATAGAAGGGATAAGATGCGGGTAAACTTGCAGGAGGCACCAACCAACCGTACGACCAGTCCCGAGAACACGTGTTTCGTCGACCACGTCGACGACTCCGAATGCGTTAAAGAGATTGCGCAACCTACTACACATGGTGAGCTGCATTTTTCATATTTTTTCTCCCACTTAACCATTCTAATACAAACCTCTTACAAAAATCGGATCTAATTATTGAACTAATATTTCAACTTTATCGCATATAATCGGTACTAAAATGATTCATTCTTGTATGGGCATCGTGTTAGAATGGTAATTTAATTCGGGTTTATATTCGAAAAAGAAGAAAAACAAGGGTCTGTGTGTCTTGTTGAAAGGCGGGGACCGTGCGTGTCACGTGCCAGCGGGCTATGGGGCTACCGGCACCGTCTTTCGCCTGCAATTTCTCGGATCCGTCGAGGTCGACGAAGAGGGGGGTCGTAAGCGCCGCAAACGGCTAAAGAAAAACATGGTTGAGGTGGCCGTTACTAAGATCAAGGTCTGAGTGCTCGATCATTAAAACAACAATTTCGCCCTATTGTCAAAATTTGCCTTGTTCCCAGTGCAACTCTTTAGCAAAATTTCCGTATCGGAATGATTTCTTTTTGTTTTAGAATTTGCAGCTTTTATTTATCACTATCACCACTGGCTTGCTAATGATTGCTCTGCGAACAATGTTGAATAGTACCTCTTTTCTGACCTAATTACACATTAAAACCTTGGCTTTTCTTTAACTATAACATTGACGATTTCCTTTTTCATAACATTTTTATCTTCCACGCTGCATACATTTTTTTCATTCAAACTAGGCATTGGTAAGTTTACAAGTTTATAATTTAAGTAAATTTACAATAAAAGATTTATAAATTTTATGTTAGGCTCCTGATGGTGAGTCCCAACCGAGTACTGAAGTGGATTTGTTTATTTCAACGGAGAAAATTATGGTTTTAAATACGGACTTAAAAGAGATCATGATGGACCACGCGTTGCGGACGATATCCTACATAGCAGACATCGGAGATTTGGTCGTATTAATGGCGAGACGCCGATTTGTGCCCCACGAAATGGAGGACGCGCCAAAAATTAATCGAACACCAAAGATGATTTGTCACGTTTTTGAGAGCGAAGAAGCTCAATTTATAGCACAATCCATTGGACAGGCCTTTCAAGTAGCCTATATGGAATTTCTAAAAGCTAACGGGATTGAAGATCACAGTTTCGTTAAAGAAATGGATTATCAAGAAGTTCTTAACTCGCAGGAAATTTTTGGGGACGAACTTCAAATGTTCGCGAAGAAAGAAATGCAAAAGGAAGTAGTCGTTCCGAAAGCGAAAGGTGAAATTTTGGGGGTGGTTATTGTTGAATCCGGTTGGGGATCGATGCTTCCCACAGTTGTCATTGCCAATTTAGCACCGGCCGGGGCGGCAGCTCGGTGCGGCCAATTAAACATTGGTGACCAAATTATCGCCATAAACGGCGTCAGTTTGGTCGGGTTACCACTTTCCACTTGTCAGAATTATATTAAAAACTCGAAGAACCAAACTGTCGTTAAACTCACGGTTGTACCCTGCGCTCCCGTAGTTGAAGTTAAAATCAAACGACCTGATACAAAATACCAGTTAGGATTTAGCGTACAAAACGGAGTAATTTGTAGCTTACTTCGCGGTGGTATTGCGGAAAGGGGTGGTGTTCGAGTCGGACATCGGATTATTGAAATCAACAATCAGAGTGTCGTCGCTGTTCCTCATGAAAAAATTGTTAATCTTCTAGCTACATCTGTTGGGGAGGTAAGAATATAATAATTTTTTTTTATTTCGGTTTTTACTCTTGTTCTATCTAACACATCTCCAGCAGTAATCGAGATATCTGTTGTAACAACTAAAATCAAACACTGTTTATATAGTTTTTTTTATATTAATTTTATGATTGGTTTCAGATATTGATGAAGACAATGCCTACGTCGATGTTTCGATTGCTGACGGGACAAGAAAACCCGGTTTATATATAAGTGACAGTTTTGAAGTGCCTACCCGTAGTAGAAATACCGTACGCTCGATTGGTCATTAGACGAGCGTTCGACCCCTTATTTATGTTTTTCCGTTTCGTCCGTTCGCGCTTGGATCGCTAAGAGGGTTCCACGGTTTCCCGTTAAGGAAACCAACAATAAAAAAAAATAAATGATTAAAATAAAAATAAATGATACATCAATAAAAAGACAATATAAATAATGATGAGGTGCGTGTGCCTCGAGTGTACTACTTCGAGAAATAACGTTGCCCTGAGCTTTCGTGATATATAATATTCGCTACATTGCATCTAATTACCGCTTCGTCTTTATTTTTTCGGAAGATTAAACGAAAGGATACGAACCAAAGAAGAGCAACTCTGTTTAGTTTCCTAATGCAGTGCTTGTTATTTCCTTAGAAAGGTGAGACAAATCCGGAAGCGAGCGTGCTGCGTTTGTAGAATTAACCACGTTTTTACGAAATGCTTTTATAATAATAATGTGTATCCATTGGATTCCTTCTAAATAATAACGCTTATTTTGCGAGTTGTGATTTTTAAGTAAAGCTTTTCGTTCACCGGTTTAGATGGAACGACACCGAGGAATTATATAAATGGCTCAAAATGAGTAAAGAAAGAAAAAATGATAATGAAATCAATGTAGCACTGTGTCTAGTCAGATTTAATATTTGTGTACGTGTTTAAGTTGAATAAAATAGGAGTGGGGTAATGAACCCCGGGACATTTCGACGACGAGGTCTATAGCCGTTCAAAAAAAAATTATAAATAAATTACGACATATATATTGTATATTTGCATCTACATAGTTACTGATGAAAAAAAAACAGATTTAACGTTAGATTTATATGTTTTTAACGTGACGACATATATTTTTGCTATATTGGTTTTGACCAAAATCTAAATACTCTACGTTTCGTCACCTTCCCTTTCCGTTTTTAAACTCTCCTCTGTTTGAAATTGACGACGTTTTTGCGATTAGGGTTTATTTTTGAACTCGATGTAGTTATTTGTGCCTGCCCGAACAACATTTCTATTATTCCCTTAACCATATCAACGATACGTCATCACACACTGTTTCCTATTTTCCTTTTACCCTTCTCTCTCGATCTCTATCGCTATCATTCGTTTCCCTCAACGACATTTGTGTTAACTTATTCTATCTATACGATAAAAATTTAAAAAAAAGAAACCTACATATATGTAAACAAATATGTACAAAAACAAATTAATGACACAATACAGTATCCCACAACAATATCTTTGTTTTTTTTATTGACTTTTATTAATTAAAAAAAAATCTAATTAATAATTAATTAAGAGCTATTAAACATCCTTGGAGATCAGATCGCTAATGCACGGAAGAACACCAGGAATAGACAACAATTGCACAGGCTATACACAGTCCAATAAATACACTACAAAGACAGCCTGGAGATAGGAAAGCAGTTGGGAGACTCAGAACATGTTAAAAGCTGGAAACTAGAAAAGAGCATCAGAAGACAAAGGTGAATGGAAGAGGAAAATTGTATTAATTAAAAACAAGTTAAACTCATATATTATAATTATGAAATAGAGACATTACAGAAAATACTTGAATTGTTTTAAATAAAAAAAAATTTGTTACAAATAATAGGAATTTAACAAGCTGGCAAACTAGGAACAAATCCTTCCTTAGCAACTGCCAGTTTTTGTTTAACCAAAAATCCCGCTACGATATCTGCAACATTGCCCGGCTGATCCTCATGTATGGCATGTCCGCTTTTTGCCAAAACCTGCAGTTGAAATTTGCCCTGCATTTGCCCGATCGTGAGGGTTGTATCCAACCCGTAAATATTCGCCAAAAGTAATACTTTGGGCATGGCGATGTTGAGGAATTTCTGCGACAAACCTTTGAACCAACCGCTCCAAAAACTTTCAGTTTTACTTAAATCAATGCGCCATGTGTAACTGTTGGCATCGGACGGTTTTACAAATTCTGTTGTAGAAACATCTTTTTCTACTTCTTGTGACGAACTTTCACCAGGTGAATCTTCTGATCGTGAATCTTCGTCTACTTCCGCGATACAATCCGCAGACCTTTGATGAACTAACTTATATTGGCGTGGTTCTGTTGAGCTTTCTTCCAAATCAATTTCTTGCGTTGCTAATAAACCTGTTTTTGAACTGATTTTTTTATATATTAGAAATAGTAGGACTTTTTATTAATTTAACTCACTTTTTTATTTGTCCTGGCATCGAAATTCTTGCTGCTTCTAAATTATGAGTTTGACCACTTCTAAAACTAAAAATAATTTTGTGAATATTAATTTATGATTACAAATATTTATTTACCTCCACTGAATAGCTTGATCTATGGTTTTAAAACTATTAGGACGACCTCTTAGGATGCTTTGCATAGCCGATAATGATTCCATTGCGCTACCTTCAACAACATCTATAACGCAAAGTGCAACAGCCGTTTGAATTAAGTAAGCCGATTCAACGGCGATTGCTCCACCCATACTATGTCCAATTAAAACGACTGGGGGTATATTTTCAGTAAAGATTGTCTTAATGATTTCATCAACATCGGAAGCTAAAATTTCTAAGGAGAGATTCATATCATCTTCGGTATTTGTTAAACCATGCCCACGTAGATCAATAGCTAATACTTGACACTCAACTTTTCTTGTTATTTCCTCCTAATTATTAACACAAACAATTAAAAATAATCTTTAAAATGTAAATTTTTTGCTAACTTACGGTAAATAAAGCCCATGTTAAAGCCGAATACCCTCCACCATGGAGCATAGCCACTACGGGACCAGAATTACCTTTCAAATACACATTGAAAATGCTTTCACCTATCTTCACATCACGTTTACTATCAAAATACTTTTCCCATTTCGTTGGCGAAAAATCTTTAATAGCTCCAGAGGTGAATCTTAAAACAATTGGGATTATTTTCACTTTATTTTTTACCTCTCATAAAATTTAATTGTACCTTTTTGACCCTTTCGAAAGAAGGTTTTTTCGCAGTGAAGACATTGCTACTTCTTTTCAAAACCCCAAGCTTCGTGAATACATACGCGAATCAATGCAAAACTTAAAACGTAGGCGTTAAAAACATAACCTTCATTTCGCAGCCCCCTATACGCGAATTTATTGCATCATTTCGATTTTATTATAAAATCAAATATAAGTTATTTCATTAGAATTTGCGCTGTTCTTAACTAATCAAAGTATTTACCGGTGAAAACTTCTTGTTTTTAAAATATTAAACGATAAAAACAAAACGCCAATTAGTTACCAATTTTAATAACAGAGTGCGCTGATGTTCTGCTTCATAACAGAAAATGACATTTCAAGTATTCAAAAATTATTACAAATTGTTTATTTGACTTAAAATTGAAATATTAAATTATAGATTTTATTGTTCAATAGATCAGGCTTTGAATTTGATTGTGGGGAATCTGGTTCCACTCTTCTTCGGAAATCATCTTCTGTTCATTAGTTGCCTTGGTGTCTTTCTTACGTGAAGAGGACTCTGGCAAGTATTGGATTTATCTTTCACTTTTTTTAATATTAAATAACTCTCAAAAGCTATTGTACTTCTACGATTATAAAGATAAGTACAAAGACAAAATTTAGTTTTGTTAATATATTTTCCTTGAAACTTTATACTTAAAAGATTGAGATAAAGTGTGATTTTTGGTTGCCGGATTCGCAAAGTTTAATTTTTAATCAACGCGATTAATTGCGTTATCATGTTTGTACATTTACGTCAACTCAGATATAATCGAAGTCCTCAATGATCAATATTTCGAGGTTAAATATTTACAGGATTAAATTTTTTTTTATTCTGGAGAAAGTATAAAAGAATTAAGTCTATTTGCGTATTCGTACCTGCTTTCTTTAAACAGTGACACCTATTGAATTAACATTGAAGTGATTAAATTAATCGTAGAAACCTGCATTATCGTTGCTTTTAGAAAATGGCGGATAGGATAAAATGCTGATGTGAAAATGTTTTTGATACCAACCAATTTGATAAATATTTACACACGTTCGCAATACACGAACATAAATACAGTTTAGTGGAAGCTTAATTTTTATGACATAGCTAAAAAAGTTGGGAAACCTATATAGAGAGAGAAAACACCGCAATCCGCAATGGGCCCAGCAAAGGGTTTGGTTCTTTCACTACATTGACTATTTTACATTTTTTTTTCGAAAGTGCGCGACCAAAAAAACGTTTATCGAGTGTTGTGCGCGTTCGAAAAATGTTTAAACAAATGTGTTAATCATAAACTATTAACAGGAAACGACTATGACTAGTCATAATCTACACAACTCTTCTCTTACACAGGTAAATCATCCAAAATTTTTTGGAAACCCCATTTTTTACGTACTTTTTGTAGAGGTATCAGCCCCTTGATTATAGACACTACCAAGACAACGGCGACCAATGGTCAACAACTAGTGCACCACCAACCGTCCCTGCAAGGGGTATTAAAAGAAATAACCCAAACGATTGTACACGTAACACCGATATAAATTCTAGAGTCATGCTAGAAAATTGGGTAAATTCTTTAATATTTTAAACTATAAACATATTATTTATTTATTTACATTATTATAGCATTCTGATAATAATGCCATGGATATGGATGTTTTGCCTCAAACTCAAATTAACATGAACATCGACTGCAACAATAAAAACCAAATTGGTAATAACGAACATGACGTTAATGTGAATAGAGTGCAAACACCAAATAAAGTGGATGCCGTCTTTCATACGATGCCGTAAGTTGCAAACTCGAAATGAATTTATTTATTATCTTAATTAATTCTTTTTTAGTTGGTTTCATGGAAAAATAACTAGAGAACAAGCCGAAAATCTTCTAAAACCACGAATAGACGGTTTATTCCTTATTCGCGAATCAACAAATTTTCCGGGTGATTACACACTGTGCGTTTGCTTTCAAAATAAAGTTGAACATTACCGCATTAAATACCACGAGCGAAGTCTTACGATCGATGACGAGGAATTTTTTGATACTTTGGAGAAATTGATCGAACATTATAAAAGTGACGCAGACGGTCTTTGCACAAAACTAATCAAATGTCTCTCTAAGGAAACGATCACTCCTAAAAGTGACGATTTATTTATTATACCAGAGCAAGATATTGAGGTAAAATTTTAAAAAGGTTCTTTTTGGGTCTATTGCAATTCTGCTTATTAAGATATTTTCAAAATGGTCGCTACATTTAATTTTTACATTTTTAGATGTGTGAACCAATAGGGAAAGGCGAATTTGGCGAAGTAATGTTAGGTAAATGGAAGAAAGAAAAAGTAGCCGTAAAAATGTTGAAAGATTCGAGTGAAGCGGAAGCGATATTGATGAAATCGCTTCGACACGAGAATTTGGTCAATTTATTGGGCGTCGTTCGCAAAAAGGGTCAGATCTATCTGGTGACGGAGTACATGAGTAAAGGCAGCTTGGTGGATTATTTGCGGTCGCGGGGTCGACTTCACGTCACGCGGAAGGATCAGATCAATTTTGCGTACGACACCAGCGCCGGAATGGAGTACTTGGAACGGATGCACGTCATCCATCGCGACCTCGCCGCGCGAAACGTCCTTATCGCCGAAAACGGCATTGCCAAAGTTTCCGATTTTGGTTTAGCTCGCAAAGAAAAATATCTTAGCGTTGAATCAGCCAAATTACCTATTAAATGGACTGCACCTGAAGCTTTAAAACAAAATGTAATATTCATAATTATAAAAATACAAAATTTTTATTTTGTATTTGTTTCATATTTTTAGAAATTCTCGAATAAATCCGATATGTGGAGTTTTGGAATTTTATTATGGGAAATTTATTCGTTTGGAAGAGTTCCATATCCACGAATTGTAAGATTTTCATCGTCTAATTTAATTTTATAAATTTGTATGACTTTTTTTTAATTAGCCTTTAGCAGATGTGGTGAAACACGTGGAAAAAGGGTACAAAATGGAAGCGCCCGAAGGTTGTCCGTCAGAAATTTATGAAATAATGCGACAAGCGTGGGATTTGAATCCGGAAAATAGGCCGAATTTCGAAGAAGTTAAATTGAAATTGGAGGTGCTTCGGCAACAAACTCCCCTTTGAGTTACTCGAAATTAGTGCATTTTAAGAATGAGAATAAAAATACAAACGGTTGCGGTTCTCCTAAGATTACATTCGACCGACTTTCGTTAATCAATTTAGAAAAAAGAAATTAAAAATAAAAATGATATGGTTTGTCTGCACTGTACGTGATTAGTTAGAGGTATTGTTTAAGTGTTGTACATAAAAAAGTGTGTGGTGTAGCACCAAGTAGCCCCACTATCCTGACTAAACAAAAAATAACTTATTCATTTTTAAATAAAATTCTTCTCGCTTTCCTTCAACCCACCTTTTTGTATTATACTATTACAACTATAAGAATTTTATTTTTTTGTTTTTATTTTGGCCAGCTTTTATTTTTTTATTTTATAATTTTACATTTATGTAAATTATTGTAGTTATATACATTTTACTGTACTTCACGTATTTTTATTATACTTGAATATAACTAAGTGAAGAAAATCAAAATAAACAGATTTTTGACTTTTTTTTATTTTATAATTCCCTCAATATCATAATTATTATCTGAGTTTTCAATTTTAGTAGTTAAACCCGTGTGTTTCTGATGAAACGACGAGGCGTTTTTTTCGAGACAAGCCAGAAAAGAACGGTAACATCGTGTTAGAGACTCAACAAGCTTGGTTAAACGGATGGCGGTAAAAAAGCAAGGAAAGGTAGATTCTTACAAGACACGGTAGACCCAAAACAAACACCCTGATTTATCAATATGCAGACTAATTGAATACAACTAAGTGAAGAAAATCAAAATAAACAGATTTTCGATTTTGTTTTATTTTATAATTCCGTCATAACATCATAATTACTTTATCGAACTTTGCGTGCTACTTCTACTCGCTGAGCGACGCCTCTTCAATTCCTCTTGTCTACGAGCTTTCGATTCCTTTTTGCGTTGAGCCAAAAGCTTGGCGTAATTATCAGCTTGCTCTTTGCGTTTCAAACAACGTTTCTTTTTCAATGCCAAACGATGTCGTTTTCTCTAAACAAATAATATGATTTTAATTAAATGAGTTTTTTATTATGATTAATTCGATGTATAACTTACTTGTAAAACAGAAGGAGTGATTAATCTTTGTATTTTTGGAGCCTTATATCTTTGTTTTTTACCCTCTTTCAACGGTAAAGGTCTCTTAATTACGTATTGACGCACATCATCTTCTTTATTCAAATTATATAATTTGCGGATTTTCGATGCCCGCTTTGGACCCAAACGACGTGGTACTTGAGTGTCTGTTAGTCCGGGGATTTCTTGTTCGCCTTTACGGACAACAACAAGAGCAAGTACGCTTAAGTTGCCATCTACAATACAACCACGAACCGATTTCCTTTTGCGCTCACCAGTTCTTCGAGGTCTATAGCAAGAATGACCCTTTGAAAGTAGAAGACGTACTCGCGCTACAAAAATTATTTGTTAATTGAAAGAATTAATAAAGAAATTTATATGTACCATTAGTTAAAACACCCTGTTTCATGGGAAATCCTTGTTTGTCATTCCCACCAGTAATTCTTAACACATAACCTTTCCATTCATCACCTAATGAATCTGCATCAACTTCTGCTCCCATACGCTTTTCATAGAATACGCGTATTTTGTGTTCATCCACAACTTCAATCAATTTTTGAGCTCCCGTTGCCGGGAACGAAATGTTTAGCTATTAAAAACGGTTCATGATTTAAAATTAACATTTTTATAAATTAAAAAAAATATATATTTAATAGATATATTTATTTTATTTCGGGACACCCAAAAAGATATTTATCGTCCACGAAACATGTTTGATTTTTTGAGACATATTGGGGCGAGGAACGGGCAAAGTTCTTGTATCCGTTTCAATCCGCCTCAATTAACTTTGGGATAACATAAAATATGGAAAAAAGTATCGAAAATTATATGCGATAAGAAAATTCCGTGATATTTTTCGATATTAAACAGATAACAAGGAAGAAAAAGGGAACTTTACAAACCTTCATCGTGAGTACATCGACATAACCTCAGCACCGCCAAACATAAAAAGAGCTCGCTCGGTATGATAGATATCGTTTTAGAATTATTTCTTTCCACATCAACAGTGCTGACATCTACCAGAAAATTATTGAAATGAAACTTATTCGTTTCCATTTGCGATGAAAATAAATTATATTAATAATTGTTTATATATTAATAAATAATGTGAAAATATGGTTGTTTTAAAATCTATTTGACGTTAGAGGGCATTACATATTGCGGATTGGTAAGATACGAGATTCTCATATCTCAAATTCAACAGTGATACCAACTTTGTCTTTTCTTTCTATTTACAGCCTTCAGGAATAATTTTGCAGTTAGCTTTTATGTGCAGTAATTAGAGATGGAAAATTCTCGAGAGAAAAAATAGAATATTTTCGATTTTAAGAACAACCTTTTAAATAGAACTGCATTCATATTTATGGGATTAATTACTTATGGAGGACTTATAACCATTTTCTCCTTCTTTTTTATCTTTATATTATTTTGTTTAAAGTAAATTTTAGATCTTTAGATTTTTCTCCATAGATGGCGTCACTCTTAATGAAAACAATAACCTTACAAAAAAAATGACGTAACAAAACATAACCTCAAAGTTTCAATTTATCGCATTGTGAAGAGAATTCTGAAAAAAATGTTCAAAAAGCCGTTCCGCGTGAAATCAAATACACCAATAAAAAGCTCCGAACGGTAAAAAACAAATGTTTTATTTGATATATTACAAGGTCGAATATAATTTGTAATGCTTACACGTTGACGCTTTTTTTGGTATTATAATAAGCGCTTCAGGATTAGTTCGGCCTTGATATAATACATGTTAATTTAAAATAATATTCTTTCAGAAAATCACTCAAAGAATCTATTCGAAAGCACCTTCCCTTATTAAGTGGAACAGACGTTGATAATCTTTTCCCGAAGAAAGAAAACGCATCTTGTATGAAAATCATCACCTCAGATAATATAATTGTACAAGTTTATGTAGTTCAAAAACGTGCTGTTGCTTTTGAATATAACTCGATTATTTACCCAACTGTTTATGTATTATGGAAGTATGATAATATAGCGTTGAATTTCACAACGAATTCGTTTGTCTTTTCAAAAATATCTGGTGGGGCTGATTTAATGTTACCAGGAGTGAGTTTAAATCCAAGCGGTTATGGCATTTTCACCCAAAATCAAATAGCCAGTATTAATACTGTAGAAAATAAAGCTTGTTTAGCTGTTGGCGTTACGGCAATGTCCTCAGATCAAATACAAATACATGGAAAAGGAAAATGTGTTATCGTTTACCATTTTTATGGTGACAATTTGTGTACTATTGAAGATATGCCTCTTCAAAAATTACCATTATTTGGACCTCCCGCTTGGTTAACAACTGAAAATATCGAAGAATCCGTTAATGATGAAACCACTGAAGAAGAAATTGAAAGCACTGAAGCTACCAGTTCAGCAACAATAGTTTCTTCATCAAATGATGATACGGATAAGTTATTAATGGACTGTTTTTTAACTGCCATTAAATATTCAAAAACTATCGAATTACCCATATTAACATCTTCGTTTTATAAATCACAAGTTTTATCGGTGTGTCCACCCGATAAAGTGTTAGATATTAAAAAAACTAGTTTTAAGAAAGTTGGGGTGTTTCTTAAACAAATGTGTAAGGTGAGATAAATTCATTATTAAATGTAATATACAAGTGTTCATTAAGTATGGAACCGGCTTAATATTTGCAAAAGTAAAAATTTGACTGAACAAAATCTTTTGTTAACAACTAAAACTAACAGTAAATGTAGAACTAGAAATGTTCGGATTTAGTCGTCTGCCTAAACCCGAATGTTTCTAGTTCTAAGTCCAGGTTAGAACGAAACACGTCTGTAAAACACGCGTCAGTTCTCTCCGAAGGTAAAATTAAAACTGACATCGCTTCGCTGCCGTCTTATCGACGCTTCATTCTGGAGCCAGACTTTGGCGCCCCTAAGTCGCGAACTCAGATGTTTCTTTTCTTCTATAAAATCGACCGTTACTCCAACTTTTCTTTTTCTTTCTTTTCCTTTTTTTTGTTTTCTGTTACACTCTTAGTTTCCCATAGACTACACATTCTGTTTACTTCGTTTGTTTGATATACAGGGTGAAACCCGAATATTTCTAGTTCTCGGTCTAGTGCTATGTTTCATGTTCTAAGTCTACTGTTACTTCTATACTAATGTTAGTTCTATTTTAGTTCAATTAACACCAGCCTTGGTGAAAGTTTTCATGCTTACATAAATATAATGTGTTTTAGGAAGGAGTTATTGATATTAAAGAAAAGAAAAAAGGAGTTGAAACACTCGAAGGGATTAATCGAGATCATCAAATGTTAAAAGAATTTTATGTTGAGATTGATAATCGTCCTAAACCACAACAAGACAAACCTGATGCAAAAACCGATGTGCCAAATCGAAATATCATCGAAACTTATGCCATTACAAGTTCCACAGAACCTATATTTAAGGAATTTCAATTAAAGTAGTGTATATTAATTATTAATCGTTGTTTATGAATTAACAATTTGTTTTAAATTTTAGAAAAAATGATACGTTAACAAAATTAGAAATAAGAAAATATATAACAGAATATGTAAAAAGTCATAATTATCAGAACGAAGACAACAAAAGATTTGTTAAAATTGAAGGTGATTTATCGCATATTTGTAAAGGTGAAGCGATGGTGACTTGGGAAGAATTAATGGAGAAGATTTGCGCTTCAATGAAACAGTGCTTTAAGGTAACAACAGGTGTTGAGGAAATAGTATCAAAAGGTAAGTTAGAACCCATTGTAATGACCGTACAAAGACGGGGCGGTAATAAAAAAGTGACGCTCATTGACAATTTGGAACTTTACGGTATACGTATCGGCGAGTTTGCCAAAGAATGTCAACATGGTGTAGCGGCTAGCACTAGTATTAGTAGACCACCTGGGAAAAAATGTGAGGAACTTTTAGTACAAGGCAATCAGGTCTTATTTGTTTATAATTTATTAATCGATAAATATAACATCCCAAAAAAATATATCAGGGGCTTAGAAAACGCGCCTAAAAAGAAATAAGCGCCCCGTTTTTTACGGTGTTACTGTGATATTTATGAACGTTGGATGTCTTTGTGTGCCTGAAAATATAATTGTTTAACGGAAAAATTAATAAAATTGAAGGATAATAATATTAATAATAAAGAATTGAAAATAGTTTAAGACATATTTATTGAAATAAACATTCACTGCAATACAAATTGCAATTTGTGAGGAATAAAATAGAATTCTGTTTATAAAATAAATAAGTTGGGCGAATAAAAAGCTTCTTTTTATTATAAATGTATTTAATGCACAATAACTAAAAAATAAACAAAAAAGCAGTATTAACTTTCTCGAACATATAAATCTAACGGTTATATTCTTTTTAGAACAAACCCATATTAATTAATATATAATAATAATAATAACGTCATATAAGTAATAACTTTTTCTTTAATATAAATTCTTATTTACAAAAAAAACTTGATTTGAAGATATATTTTTAAGGCAATATAAAATAAAGATAAATTCGAGAAAGTTAACTTAAGTCAATCAATAATTAGAGGTTAGTTGGTGTCCCTTGAAAATGGCAAATTAACTGAATTAAAAATAAAGGAAATAACCATCGCGAACCTTCAAAAAAAAATAAACATTTCTTTTTAAACTTCGACTTTGAACGGCGAACCAGGAATATGATCATCTCCCCATTTTACGATAACGATGTAATCGCCACGGTCTTTAACCAGATAGCTGACTTGGTACTGATTATGACCCGAATGCTTTATATAAACTTCATCGCATGGCCCTTTTGGTCCATGTACACCAACAAATAATATATTAGTACCTAAAATAATACATAAATAAACTTTCGTCTTAAAAAATGAAGAAATAATGCATTTTTCTCACCTGCATCATTAGCAGCAACTGTAAATTGGTTTTGTTTACCGAGATAAGCCTTTTTAAGTCCCATTCCTTTGCAAGTAACCTTTGAGGCGTTACTTTTAAACGCAGGCATAGTCGGACCTTGTTTTACGGCTTTTCCGACTTTAGCGATTGTTTCGACAACAACCGATGATGTTTCTTGGGAACCAACGTCAACCATTGTCGATTCGCCGATGCTGCGGACCTTAAACGGCGATCCAACGATGTGATTGTTGTTGTATTTAATACTGACGAAGTAATCTCCGGGCGCTAAAGGCGTATAACGGACTTTATAACCTTCTTCGACTTCCGTACAGTCCATCGAAACTTTACTAGGACCGTCAATTGTTACTGCAAGAGTTCCAGCTCCCGCATTTACGGTGTCAATTATAAAATCGGTTTTGGTTCCTAAACAAAAATTAATTAAATCTGAAATTGGAATGTTTATACAGTGTTTGCCAACAGTCAGCAGTTTCTGAAATTAAACATATTAAAAAATTTTCCAGTTGAAAATATAGTCGGTATGATTTTTTGAAAATTTTGTGTTTTCCTGAAAATTTCAATAATATTATCTCATAGTTTTTATATCATTTCGTAAACTAGAATTTTAAGCTTTAATTTAACATACATATCATATCAAGATTCTTTTGACTTGATAATTTTTTTGGCCAACGTAGGTGTAATAAAACCGAAAGGAACAGGTATTTGCTGACTTTTTGGCAAACACTGTATAAAATGATTATTACCAGTTTTAATATTGTCTAATCCAGCTCCAGAAGCATGAACGGCGGCTGGATCGGCGGTGTCTTTGCCGACTTTTACGCTGAATGGTGAACCAGGAATATGAACGCCGTTAAATTTGCAATGGATTTTATGAACGCCGTTTTCGCGGGGCATAAATCTTACGGAGTACTCCTCTAAATCGATCATTTGGATGAAGCAATCGTCTTCGTGACCGGATGGACCAATGACCTTGGCGTCTAATTCTCCGCGCGCGCCGTTTGTGCGCACCATAAACTGAGATGGTTTATCCGCTTGGATAGCTCCTTCCGGAAACTGAGCCACCTCTAAGAGATGAGCATCGCCGACCGCCGGCGAAATGTAGACTTTAAATGGAGAGTCTGGGACGTGCTCATCGTTGAATTTTAACCCAATTCTATATTCGCCTAATAAAAAAAATATTTTCTAACTTTTTATAATCTAGGAAAAGTAAGCGGATGAGTCGTTTTGGTTAAAATTAATTTGGGTTGCTTAAAAAATATAAAACAGAGAATTTTGAATGAGTGCCAGATGAGAATGAAAAACAGATGTGACGTTAAATTGCGGATTCGAGTCGGTTTATATATCCAATTACAAACACAATTTGAAGAATTTATAACCCTTACAAATTATTTTATAATAAGATCTTGGCAATAATCACTCGTATCAAGATTCATTATTCATTTTCTTACCTGGTTCTGTAACTCTATAAGAAACATCGCACGACCCATCTTTGCGATCGGTAAAATTAATTTCAGCTTTACTTGGACCTTCGACTGAAATGGCTAATTGACCACTTCCAGCCTCACGCGTCCAGACGTTGAACTCATTCAGTTCACCCTGTTCGCCACGCTCTAATCCAACACCTCCAGCTTTAACCAAATGGGCTCCGTGATCTTTTAAAGGACCCACGGTAAACTGGAACGGAGAACCTTAAATGGAAAGGAAATATTTTTATTGATCCTTAATAATGCTATAATTATCAATAATACCCGGTATATGAATATCCTTGTATTTGACAGAAACGGTGTGAACACCCAATTCTTTCGGTATGAAATGAACGGCGTAAAGACCGTCTTCGATTTCATTGATAACGGCATCTTCAGTGACTCCGCCAGGGGAAGTAACGGAAGCGCTTAAATCTAACGAAGTGATTCCGGGCATTTTAAAAGTAAGTTTGCATTGACTTCCGACCTCCGTAATCGGCACAGCTTCGCGAGTGCGTTGAATCTTTTCTCTTTGCCGATTGGAACCTTCCCCGGTGACTTTAACGGTAAACGGTGATCCGTCGACATGATGATCGGCAAACTTCAAATTAACGATGTAATAACCCGGCTCGGTTGGTTTGTAGGAAATATTCAAAGTTCCGTCGTCTTTATCGGAACATTGAATTTCCGCTTTGCTTGGACCTTCGATTGAAAGCGATAAACCACCGAATCCGGCGTTACGAGTGTCAACAGTAAAGGTGTTATCAACGTGAGTTTTGCCTTCTTTCAATGCTTGCCCGGAAACTTGAACTTTTTTAGCGTCGCCGACTTCGCGTTCGCAAACGTTAATTTTAAACGGCGAGTTAGTAATGTGTTTACCCATTTTCTTAACGGAAACGACGTGTTCGCCAATTTCTCTTGGTGTAAACGAAATTCCAATGTTTCCGGTGGGTAATCGTTTCAAAAAGCACGGTTCCTCCAATCCGCTGGGAGCTTGAATCGAAGCGTTTAAAGATCTTATATCGGCGTCGGAAATTTTTCCGGGTAAAGAAACCTCGGAGCAAGATCCCACGGAAATTTGGTTCCGTTTTCGACCTTCGCCCGTTATTTTAGCATTAAAAGGCGACCCTTTGATGTGTTTATCGCCGAATCTGACGGAAATTTTGTATTCTCCCGGAGCGGTGGGAAGATAAGAAACGGAAACTGTTCCATCTTTGTTATCGTGACAACTTATTTCGGCTTTACTCGGACCTTCAACGGCCATCGATAATCCCCCGGCTCCTGCGCCTTTTGTTGAAATTGTAAAGTTACTCGGTTCGCCGCTCACTCCGTGAGTTAAACCTGGGCCGTAAGCCGTCACGTAACCGGAACTTATCGAATCCACGTGGAATTTGTATGGAGATCCTTGCACGTGCTCCCCATTATATTTAACGGAGAGCTCGTGAAGTCCTTCTTCGCGCGGATCGTATTTAATGCTAACCGTTCCATCACGATTATCTTCAATTATGGGTTTATCTACGTTTCCGCTTGGCATTTTAATATCGGCTATAAAAAATGTTATTTGATTAATTAATTAATTGATAAATTTTGTTTTTATGTTGTTATAATATAATGAAAAATGAGTAGCCACGACTCATTGGCATTGTGCCTAAGATACAATGACCGGCTTTATTCATTCGGAGAACGTTGGTCTGGCAATAAAATCCTAACGTGATTAGAGGTATGAAAAATTATAATTCACTTTGTAGGAGCGTACAAGTAGTCATGCAATTGTTACAATTTATAGGAACTAAAAAGGAAGTGTTTTTTACCTTTGTGTGTTTGAATGTGAAAGCAAGACAAAAATGTTATAGGGCTAAATTGTATTCCGCCGAATCCTTTTCCGCCAACGGGCAAAGAAGGTACAAATTTGGTGTAGACGATCGGTCGTTCTTCGCGATCGATATCTGAATACGTGACGCACTTATACTTTTCGACAAAAAAACTGGCGATATCGTTCCAGGTAGCTTGGGGTATTTCAGGTACGTTTAGCCAATGATACATGGTCGTCCTGCGGGACGGTAAAGCGCACCTTTCGATCGCGTTCTTCGCGGGGTTTTACCACGAAAAGAGTCGAAAAAACCCAGTACTGAGACCGTTTTAGATCTATCTGGTAAACATATTAGAGCTAATGTCCCAATTACATTTCGGTGGTGTATATTTTTGGAAACCAGAAGATGCAGTTTATATATAAAATTGTGGGGGGATATAAAATTCTAAAAATTACCTAAAACTTTTTAAACGGCTCAAAGAGAATTTAGATTAAAACGGTTTCACCACTCGCTAATTATTTTTTTAACAGAAATCGAAAGGTGCGGTTTACAATTTACTTAAGGTACACTTAATCACCGCGAAATTTTTACTAAAGCTCTCACGAGATCTGATGACCAACTGGCACTAAACCGTTAAGAGCTTCTTTTCTAAATGGTTCGGTTCGTCATGATGTCAAAAATGATATTAATATGCGAAAATAGAAATAGACCGCGTACAAATTTAAGGTGGTTCATGTAAAACTATAAATAAGTGATGACTTTCTGGAATCTGAGATTCCATCGATAGTTTCATTCGTTTTTCAAAGTAATTTTATGTTTAATACATATATATTTTATTTTTTTATTGACTTCCTCTGGAGACGAATTTATTTTAGAATGTTATAGCTTTATTAATAGACCAAAGAATTTGCGCATTTCTATTACATAAATTTTTTTTTATACAAAGAATATTTTTTTATTTCAAAACTTACCAGCAACTAATCCTCCTGTTGTAGGTAACGGGATGTTATCTAAATGAACGGATCTGTACGCCGGTTGTTTTCCACTGGATTGACTGGAAGTTGTGGAAGAAGTTGTTTTTTTAACGGCGGATTCAGTTTGAGTTTGCGTTTGGGTTTGTGTTGTAGTTGTTGTTTTCTCTGTTGTTGTTTTGCTTGTTTCTTCAGCCTAAACAAGACGAAACACATTTTTTTTAATTTTTATAATCGCCTTTTAACTTAAAAAATGCTGAAAATAGTGAGAGATGATTGAGAAATAGACGACAGGTGTATGGGATTAACGTAAACATTCAGATATGTTCAGAATGATCAAACGAGAAAAACTTCTGATTTACAGCTCCGGGTAAACTGCGCATATAAATGTATAAATAATTCGGAGCTCCCGAGGATGGACCGAAAAAAATGTCATTAATTATCCAGTTAGTTTGATGGCCCATTTGCGGGCGGGTACTAAAATATTCAATTTTAAAATATACGAGGACATATAATTTTATAAACCCAATTTATTAAAATATTAAATTTCCAAATTTTTTTAAAATTCAATTTAAAATTAAACGAGTACATTAAAAACAATACCATTTGCTGTGGATAAATCTCAAACTGTCGCCACATTAATTAGAGCATTAATTTTCTTGGCACTTTTACTGTCTCGTCGCCTCTAATCATTGTTACATTTTATAATAAATCAAAAAAAAATTAAAATATTTATTTCTCACCCAAAAACACACCCTCTTCAATCGTTAATCAAAGAAAAGTTCCCCCTTCGCTGTTGAATAGCACATCCAAACTGATCTGAATGCAATCAAGCACTAGTGTACTAGTCGTAGACAATCGACAATATCTGTATACTTTTAGAAATTCCGACTTCGTGTCGGGTGGGTGCTTCAAAATATAAAGGATTCAACGTCGGTTAAACTCGGGCAACTTCGTTAAAGTAACGCTACATTAGCATGTGTTGATTTTATATCAAAAATAATTATTTTTCATTTTTTCTTCGAAAAGATTTGATTTTGAGTCGATGGTGAAGATGAACATGACGACATATTTGTCAACCGCGCTCTAAATACGTCATGCACCCGTAATCTTAAATTACACCAAGCTATTTCCGTAGCAATATTAATAAAAACGATGGCGAAAAATCGCGCCCTCATATATCCGGTGATGAAATTCCTACGCCAGAAATTTTAATAAACATAGAATTTGATTTCTTTTTTGACGACCATTTCAAAAAAAATTTTTTTAATGTTAAAAGTTGATTTCTTTAAAAATAAAAAAACGTAGATAACGAACATTTTGGCTGCGTTCCATTCACCGTGTCCATTTTATTGGAAATACAAATGTATTCGATTTCAACACTTAGTTGTTCTAAATCTTGGAATCTTTCCAATTTTATGGATTAGTATCATATTCTTTTATGATTTTTAAAATTTACATTTTACAATTTTAAAATTACATTTAAATTCAACTTGCCAAAAAAAAAAAATTCTTTATTGCGGAAACGAAAAATACGTTAAAGTAAAATTAGTACTATGTACAATATTCTCTAGTACCGGTCTCTAATATCTATATTTATGTTGGCACACGACTTATGTGAGAATTAACGCGTTTTCTCTTCGATATCAACACGAAATTAGGTCGAGCTTTTGTCTCATCCAGATTTATTACGAAATTTGTTGAGCAACCCAACCAATTTAGAATAAAAAAAATTGAAACTTACCGTAAATGTGTAGAATCCTTCTGGAACCGGTTGACCACCGAATTTAACACTAAGGGTGTAATCCCCAGCGTCTTTAACGTTGTAATAAATGCTAAATGTTCCATCTCCGTTATCGACTATATCAATATCCAAATCACTACTAAACAAAAATTAAATTTAAAAAACTAAAATTTTTTTTGGGTAAACATACCTTCCAGATGTAGATCTGATACGGCAAGTAACAGCCCCGTATCCCGCATTTTCAGCATTTACCGTTATACAGTATTCTTCGCCGCTAGTTAAACATCTTTGAATACCTTCGGTTATTTTACATTTGTCAGCCTGTTATAATAATAAGAGTATTAAGAGAGGATAATCAAAGCGTATCAATGCCGAAAACCTCAAATTCAAGATTTTCAAACATTTAATTAACATTTTTAATTTGTAACTCCACGAGCCGCAATGATATGATTAAAACGAATGTGGGACGCCTATTTTTGGGTGAATATATTCTCCCCACAAAAATTAATCCCAAAAACTGACAACAATCACTGTTACGTGATGGTGTTAATAATTGTAAAGATAAAATTACATACGTGTCCTGTTGCAACCGCTTGAACTTTTAATGGAGCGTTAGGAACATCTTTTCCAGCGTATTTGATGACTACAGTATAACGTCCACAGTCATCCGGAACGTAAGTTGCGTTAAACGTACCATCACGGTTATCGACGAGTGAAACTCGCCGTGAACTTCCATCCGGACCCTAAAAACCATAAAAGTCAATTTAAAAAGAACCGATTATATAACAAAATAACTAACCAAGACGCTAACTTCTAAATCACCATATCCAGCTTCGTTAGTATCGATTTTAATTGTAGTAGGTAAAGAAGCAGGGACACCTTTTTCGTTAACGCTAGGTCCGCTTATTTTAATTTTGTCAGGTTCAGCGTAAGGTTTAGTCTTCATAGTAAACGGAATGTTAGGCACTTCTTTACCCCCAAAAGTAATTTGTCCTTGTATAGTTGCTCCTTCTTTTGGCGGAACGTAAGCGACATCGTAAGTCCCATCGCCGTTATTAACAACTTCGGATTTAATTATTGTCTGGTCTGATTTAATGTAAACACCCAAATTGCCTTGGCCGGCTTTGGACGCGTCAACTGTAAATTTCTGAGTCACCCCAACGCGACATTTATCTGCATCCAAACCCGGTCCGTAAGCTTTGATGGTGTTCACATTTACATCACCCTCAACTTGGACTTTAAATGGCGACCCAGGAATATGTTGTTCTGCGAACTTAATAGCTACATCGTACTCTCCCGGTTCCGTTGGGACGTATTCTACCGAACAAGAACCGTCGCGATTATCTTTACACGTCATTTTTGCTTCTGATGGTCCCTCGATTGCCAAACCCAACCCTCCGGTACCGGCACCTTTTGTTTCTACCGTGAAAACGTTGGGTTTATTAACGATACCTTTTTCTAAACCGGGTCCGTAAGCTCGAACTTTTCTAGCATCGCATCCGCGACGCACGTTCACCACAAATGGCGATCCGGGTACTGGCATATTATCGTAGAAAATATCGATGGTATGTCTACCTTCTTCGAATGGCGTGTAACTCACTTTGTAAGTGCCATCGGTTAATGGGGTTACTAATTTTTCAGTTTGCGCCCCCGATGGGTTTGTTATCGTACATGTTACTTTGCTATCATCGGTTGTTGGTAAACCGCGAGTGTCAACCAAAAAATCTGTTGGAGAATCGATGAATACACCTAAATAAAAAAAAATTTGATTAATAATTTTTATTAATTTTTTATTAACTTTGTATTTGCTTAAAAAACGTAAAAAATGATGCGATTAATTGCATAAAAATTATTAGGGGTAAAAATCGATGATTTTTTTTACAATTAGCATTTACATAATCAAAATTGTTAATTAGATTAAAATAAAAAAAACAACATTAAAAAATGCAACGCACACCATTTTACCATGTAACTGAATTCCACTTCCAGAAACTTTAATTTTATTAATATCAATTTCCGGTAAAATAATCGCTTGAAATGGACTACCGGGAATATGCTGATCATTAAATGTAATATTAATACCATAATCGCCAATTTCCGTCGGTAAATAAGCAACGGAACAAGTGCCATCTCCGTTATCTCTGCAATTAATAGCAGCTTCGCATGGGCCTTCGACGGTTACACCGAGTCCGCCTTGTCCGGCGCCTCGAGTGTCAATCATAAACTCGGCCGGTTTATTTACAACACCTCGGTACAATCCAGGACCCGAAGCTTTAACTTTAAGAGGATCGCTACCCGTTAAGCAAGTCAATTTATACGGTCGATGACTGATCGGTTCACCACCAAACGAAATACCCAGTAAATATTCGCCCAATTGCGTCGGAGTAAAATTAACCAAATATCCTTCGTGGGTAGGAATCACGTGAACTTTTACTTTACTTCCAGACGGGCTTGTAATCGAAATCGCGAACTCGGCTTTACCGGCGTCTTGGGTTATTACGCGAAATTGTTGCAAACTATTTACGGGGGCGGCTGAATAAGAAATGTTTATGAAGCGAAATTTCATTTTCAAGGAATAATCAATTTACTTAAGATTAAGTAACACTTACTTGGTTCTAATCCGTCAACTTTTATTTTTGAAACGTCCACGTTTGGTTGAACTCTATATTGCGTTGGGGTTGTGGGAACCTTTAAGCCTCCATAATTGAGTGTGCAAGTGTATAAACCCGGGGATGGTGGCTCGTAATCTACCGTATATGTACCATCTTCGTTATCAGACACTTGTACGGCTACTAATTCTTTAGTATCTTCGTTTTTAATGAGTACTTCTAAATTTCCGGGACCTGCGTCTCTGTCATTTAAAAAAATATATTTATATGTAAATATGTGTATCTTGATTATTGCTGGAGATATGACAAAATGTTATTGAAGGAAAGTTGCTCCACATTTAATATTCTATGAACAATCCTTGGAACGGCCGACGTCTTTGAAGTCGGCCGAGATTATTTCTTCCATAAACTTCAAGCAGGGTAGACTTGGACTAGTGACACCATTAACAAGTTTATGGAAGAAACAGTCTCATCATCAGAACTTAAGATTTGCATTAATTTTTACCTTGCATCAATATTAAAATGTGTAGGAACATTAGATTTAATTCCATTTTGAATGCCAGGTCCAAATGCGTGTACGCCAGAAACGTCTAATGGTTCAGACACATGTACTCTATATGGTGAATTTCTAGTCGCAACACCACCGTAATTTACTTGAACTGTGTGTTTGTTTCCTTTTGTTGGTGTGTAAGACCCTTCTATCGTTCCATCTGGTTTAGGAGTGAGCTTAACATTGACGGAGTTACAATTTGAATCTAAGACTTTAACATCAACCGGGGCGGAACCAGCTTTTCTTGGATCGACCAAGAATTTTGTTGGCAAACCTTTTTGAACGCCGCTTTGTTCGATTCCGGGTCCGGAGACTTCGACCTTATCAGGGTAATAATCTGTGTCGGGTAATATTTGAGCTATGTAAGGACTTTTGGGAATGTCTTCGTTGTCGCATAAGATGTGAACGGCGTATTCCCCCGGTGCTGTGGGGTAATATTTAACGTCAGCCGAACCATCGCCATTATCATGACAAACTATTTTTGCCTGGGACGGCCCTTGAATACTAAATCCTAAAGATCCAGTTTCCCCGTTTGTTTCAACCGTAAATAATGCTGGATAACGTACTACTCCCCCATTTAAACCAGGGCCATAAGCTCTAATTTGAGTATCTTTAAAAGGAAGAACTTCCACTTCAAATGGGGATTTATAAATTTCTTGTCCCGCGAATGTTACTTTAATTACGTGTTTTCCTTCTTTGATTGGACTATAAACTGCTTGGTAAGTCCCTCCATCCAACTGAAAAAAAGCGATTATAATTCAAAACTTAATTAATTTATTTTTTAATACCTTTTTGATTTTGCATGGAACTTTAACTCCGCCAGGTCCGATTACGAGGACGTCCGGTTGACCTTCGCCGGCACCATCGGTATAAACTTTAAAATCTGCATCATCTTTCACCCGAATCCCAGCAGGTTGGAGGCCCCTTCCGCTGGCACGAACTTTTTTCGCATCGGAAACCGGAGATATCCGAACTCCGAATGGACTATTTGGAATGAAGTGTCCGGCGAAGAAAATATTTACGGAATGTAATCCTACGAACGACGAAACGTACTCGCAACGCCATATATCCGGCGAAGTTTGTCGCACTGTTACAGGAACGGTTGTTTTATGACCTTCAGGGTCTAAAATTATTACCTCTGGAACTCCTCTTCCGGCTTCTACAAATATTTTTAATCATAAAGTCATCATTAAAATATAATGTGTCACTGGACCATGAAAATCATTTTCCGTGACTACATTTAATAAAGAAATATATGTTTCTTACCTTTAGTATAAATATCAAAATATGTAACCCTATTAATACAAACTCCATCGGCTTGTAATCCTGGGCCCGAAGCGGTGACTTTAGTTGGATCTCCAGCGTGTCCTTCCACTAAAACCGTGTAAGGACTTTTAGGAACTTCCCTTCCTGCGAATTTAACGGAAACTTTATGAGGTCCTTCCATGGTAGGGGTGTAGGAAACGGAATAGGTAAGGTTTCTGTCCTCGTTAAATCGAACTTCGACGGGTTCCTTTTGATTCTTAGGATTTTCCACGACGACGTCGACTTGTCCGCGTCCCGCTGAAAACGTTTCCACGGTGAAATTCGCCGTGGCACCAGCTATCGGTCCGGTTGGTTCAATTCCGGGTCCGTACACTCTTACTCTAAAATTTTTTTATATTTATTAAATTCGCCATAAAAAATTTATTTAAGAATCATGCATGTTAAAACTTGTCAAATCATGCACGTTAAATTCCAAAAATGTTTTTAAAACCCACCCTTACAAATTGACTTACCGAGGGGGCGGAAGACTAAATTAAAAAATGCAAGAAACATTCGTGTTAATTCACTTAATTCATTTTTTAATGTTTATTTACGTTTTTTTTGGTGCGACTTTATTGCTTATTTTATGTATTTACCTGTTTGGATTAGTTCGTGGTCGTAGTGGTGCTCCCGTTTTGAGCTTAGCGTTTGGATATTGTGATAGGTAGGTCATCATCGACTGCTCATCTATGTTTGGATTTACCATTTCTTCCGGTTTGATTAATTGCGGTACGTTTAACCAATCGTCTGCTAAACCCATCGCTTCGGATGCGTTTTGTACCGAATCCTTTGGATCCCAATCCTTAAAACAAATAATTTTAGTATTGATAACCATCGATATAAGAAATTAAGCAAGGAAAAGGATATCTTATGTATTATTATCTATGTAAGGAAGCCAGACTTAGATGGCTTGGCCTCTCCTCCAAGATCCTCCACATGTGGACAAGCCAAAAGCCACATGGAGAAGCTGTCGGAGGAGAGGCCCAATCGGAAGTGGAAGAAACCGTACCAAGTACCAATTATATGATGAACCACCCCTTTCAACCGAAGTATTAATATATATATGTATATATATATATATAAGATTGGGGAAGTAAGATAATCCTCTCCATGTGGCCAAAAGCTACACGGAGAGAATGTCGGAGGAGAATCCGGTAAGTAGAGTAAGGTAAGGTAAGGTATTGATATTAATTTAATTAAGATTAATAAATATTACCGGCCAATCTGGGCATAAACCAGGTGCTACCGCGTCAACTAACGCCCCAACGGCTTTTCCACTATTCCAATCGGTGGTAAAATTACTAATGGGTAAATCGGGTACTTTGCTTTGGATCCAATTCATTAATCTTTGTTTTGGCGTTGGGCCTTGTCCACCGTTTTGTTGATCGTCTTCGCCTTCCCACATCGGAAGCGAGATGGAATAGTGTAAAATTAACGTCCATATTAACCCTAATATTAATTTTAATTTGCAATCGACGATGTGTGTTGAATCTAAAAATTATAATAATACAAAAAATTGAACAATAAATTGCAATAAATATCGTGTAAATTTTATTTTTAACCGATGACGGAAAGGCAATAAATCTTACATGTTATCGATGTGGAATTTATGTCGTAAGATAATGAATTAGCAGTTATTATTAAAAATATATAATAATAATAAACCTATGCGAAGTTAGCCCCCAATTAGATAAAATTTTGAATGTAAAAAGAAAAATAAAACAAATCGTGGCGTTTTTTATATGACGAACAATACTTATGGCGGCCGACGTTTTCGAAGTCGGCCCAGATTATTTATTATATCACGAACAATACTTGGGATACCGTGTTTGAAATTTATGGAAGAAATAATCACGGCAGACGTCGAAGACGTCGGCCGCCCTAAGTATTGTTCATGATACTTAAGAATTCTTAAGAATTAAATGTGGTACAGCTTTTATATTAAAATTTGTTTCTAACTAAATTAATTTTTGGGAAAGAATTGAGTTTTGCGAGAATCGATTTTGATAATAATCAAGTAAGGCCCTTAAAAATATGAACGTATAAAGAAAACGAGAAACTATTACAAGGTCGCATTACATCATCGCCAGACGGTGAAGGCGAAAAATGTTTCATCTCGTATTCACCGACGTGACAAAAACAAAAGGAACGAACGTGATTCTTGGAGAACTGACGTCATCCATTCCATGACACTATGTCATATAGGTGGAGAATCTCAAAAACCGATGATGTCATCGCCTCATTTTAAAGAAATTCTTTCCTTATCTAACTGATTACTCCGGAATTTTAAGTTAAACCATGTTTAGAGAAAAAAAGAGTTGCTTTGAAGAATTACACCATAAAATAAAGGCTTTTTATTTCTATTTTTTGTGGGTTACGTAAAACATTTTAAAGCAAAACCGGCTTTGGTGTAAACTATATATGGCAAGAGCAAGGTATATTGTTAAATTTGCAATCTAGACGTGGCCGTTCTTAAAACGGACTTAAATTTCTGTGCCACATTCGAGATCGTTCACCTGTGCGAACGGGGCGCATACCGCACTTTTTACTTTTGCTTTTATTCTATCGCCAATGCAAGCGCAAGCGCGTAACCAAAAGGATAAAAAATCTTAAAAAAAGAAAGAAAAAAAAAAGCGATAAGGTTTTTGCGATAAAGAAAAAACCTCAATACGCGGAAGTTTTTGGTTTTGTTTATTTCCTCGATTTTTTAGAATTTAATTGATAACAAATTTTAATCGAATCTTATTGGTTGTAGACTAAACTTTACAAGATATGAATTTATTTCTCCTTTCAAAACGAGGTAAATGTACTGATGTTTTGTAAACACGTTTGGGGACCTCTGTATTTGTTGATATCATCGTTATTTTTGTACGCCGTTTCCAGTCGACTAATTAATTTTTTTTTTCACAATCGGTTTAACTCTAATTAACGAACAAGTGTTATATATATATATTAATTTTTTTATTTGCTTTACGTGTTTTTCTTGGTTTTAAAAAACATAATGCGGGTAAGTGCAAATAGAACGTGGCATTTAGATCGAATCGAACGGTTTCGAACGTTACCTTTTACCAAGATTATCAAAAATAAATATTGAAATTTTCTTATCTCCACATAGAATTATTGAGAATTTTTTTGAAATAAAAATATTTTTGTTAAAATTTTTAAACTTACCTATATTAACAATACGGATACCCTCGTCATCTTGTAAAAATTTTAACGCAACGGATACATTTTCCAATTTCTGAGATCTAAACGATGGTTTCTTGTTAAATTTGCCCATTTTCCGGCCGGAAAGTACTTCGATCAGCGTGATCAGTCGAAGACCATCGCTGAGGTCTGTTTCCAAGTTGCCGATATGTTTTTCGACGGTCTTCAGGTGTTCGTTGGCCCATCTCGTAAACGTGTTCTGTTGTATTTTCTTCCACTGCGCGTCTTCGGCCAACTCGCGCTCCGTAGCCACCATTTCGTCTTCTTCGACCTCCGCGAACTCATCTACATGACGAGAATCCAAGACCTGATCCGATACTACTCCCTCCATACTATGTGTTTATTCCACCAATCGCGTTTGCTTCGAATTTCTTAAAAACCAACAACGTTTAATCGATTTATTATATATTTACACATTACTAAACTTATAATTATTGCGTTTGCTCACATTTCTCAACTTATTTACTTTTTTGTTACTTAGTACTATTTAATATCCTCCTTAATTGCTTAGTTAATTGCTTAATTACAATAAGTAAGTAAGAAGAGAGAATGAAGTCATTACATTCAACATAAACATCACTCCCGATAAAAAACCTTATTTGCGATCTTAAATAAACTTGAGTAAGAATACATAAAATATTTCCGATGAAAACTTCTTGCTACAAAAAGGAAACCACACCCCAGATAAAAAGTTGCGAAAAAAGGAAAAAAACTGATAACATTTTAAAACAATTTTCAAAATCACCTTGATCTATTGTTTCTTAATCTATTTTTAAATTGATTTGGACTGATATCAAAAATTGTTTCTTTTATTTAACCAATCGTTTTTACCTCGAAAGTAATGACAAAGTAGTAGATTTTGGGTTGTTCTTAAATGGTAAAGTTTTCGACCTTTTCTGTTTTTCGCTATGACTAAGAATCAAAAAATATCTATATGATACATTAAATGTAAAGACTTACCTCGGACTGAAATTAAAAATGAAATTTCGATATTTTCACAAATATACGAATATCTGGCACATTGTGGAGAAATTATCTTTTTTTAATATAGAATGCCGTGAAATGTATTAAAGAATACACCGTGTGTTGTACACCTCTAGAATGCTAAAGATATATGCGGGCTAATAATAGCGCGAACACGTAGTGCGAGTGTTGTTTATAGAATGTTCTTCCAGTCACTTCTTTACTTAAGTTCGTTCTTTTTTATCCCAACCCGAGCACTTGGTAGTAATACTTATTTTTTTCTTACCAATAGCACGTTGGTTAAACCACCCTACCATTCTCATTCTGTTTTGAAATTAACTATTTTTGACGCGACTTAACGTCAGCGCAAGCGCAAACACTTCTTCGTGCACTGTAAACGACGATTAAGCACGATTCAAATGTTTATTCACAATCGGTATTATTCGGTTTTAAGAAACCACCATGCATTTTTCTTTTACAACTAAAAAAAATCATCAAAATAAATCATTAAAATAAATTATTAAAAGAAAAACTTATTTTTTGCAATTTTTTTTGCGAGTTTACCCCAAAACCTAGATTATCGAGGAATTGTTCTTACATTAAAGGGATTTTGATAACATCTGCTTTAGTGGAATAAACTTTCTTATTGTGCAATCGATTACCTAAAAAGGAATCGGTTTGGTCTCACTTATATTGCGTAAATTATGTACATGTAAGGAAGTGAATGTGGGTTTATATCCAAATGAAGGATTTTTGGTAAAATTTTTTTGAAATGCGTTTAAGACGTTTTTGCGCGCATTATTAATTTGATAATTATTTTAGGTTCATGTTACACTAAGAATTGCTTAAATACGCAATTGGTTGCCATCGTAACACAATTACAGTTAACCAATTGCAATTTTTGTAAATAATTTCTCAATAGTTTTTGCAAAATGGTTAGAATTTTTGCTGATAATAATTTTAAAGTCAAAAAATATATTTTTTTGTATTATTTTTTCTTTGGATTCTAGTTACCAGATAATTTGAAAAGTATTAATCTGCTCTATTAACAACTCCTATTGCGTCTCCTTATCATTTAAATAAGGAGACGCACAGCTAAACCTGAATGTTTCTAGTTCTAACACTAGACCTAGAACTACAACTAGAAACATTTGAGAGAAAATAATTTTTTTAACAATATCTGTTAATCGGTTAATTTCTAATTTCGTATCTCGTGTCCATTAATTTTCCTCATATCTTATTAAATCTTATCATATTTTATTAACTTTCATTAAATTTAAGTGATGACCTAAATAATAATTTTTTTTTCTTCTAATATAGATGAAATAAATAATTAAATCTGATTGTTCTTTTTTTCAATACTGACTCATATACAATGTATGCAAAATAGATTTATGCAAATAAAAATTGGACACGCTGTACGAATTTGAAACGTCAAAATAATCGGTCAGCTTTACGGGATAAACAATTTTACAATTTAACCGGAAGTTGAACAAAGGAGATGCAGGAAGTAATGTGATACATGGTCGCACGGTTCTACAAATAATTTGTACAGTAACCGCGTTAATGTTGCAATGTGTTTATTAAAATGTTAAAGATACTCGTTTTTCACTTTGCTGTTGTGTATTCTCAATATTCAACTGATCGGCGGCCAACTGTGCAAATAAAGCAAGGAACTATTACCGGTGTAAGTAAAGGTGGTGTTGTAAAAATTTCGATTTTTAATCTTTTTTGTTAGATTAAGTTGTACGGTGAAGATTTAAAAGTAGTAGATGCTTTCTTAGGAATACCGTACGCATCTCCACCAATAAATTATTTAAGATTTGCACCACCAAAAAAACATTTAGGTTGGAATAGAACTTTCGAAGCCACCGAATATGCTTCCCAATGTCCTCAATTACCCATCTCGAATAAATATAACGAGGATTGTTTGCGTTTGAACGTTTGGGCGCCTGCGAATGCCATCAAAACAGGTCCAAAATCAGTGGTGATTTTCATCGAAGGAATCGAATTCCAAAAATCATCCGGAACTCCTATTTCGGGTCAAGATTTGGCCATGGAAGACGTTATTGTCGTTTCAATAAACTACAGGTTGAACGTTTTTGGATTTCTTTGTTTGGGAATACCGGAAGCTCGTGGAAATTTGGGGTTATTAGATCAATATCTAGGCATATTATGGGTTAAAGAAAATATTAAATATTTTGGGGGCGATCCAGAAAAAATTACGTTGTTTGGGTATTCAGCTGGAGCTGCCAGTGTAATGCTTCATGTAACATCACCAAGAACTTTAGGTAAACAAATAATAAAAAAATTAATAATTTTCATCAAAGAATAATAATATAATCTGGTAGCCCTTTATCGACTTGACATATCTCAGAAGATCTTTTTCTAACACTAAATCTAGATCTTGAAACATTCTGTGTTAGAACTAGATCTTGTTGGGGTTAACGTTTTAATTTTAAGGTTTATATCAAAGAATAATAATATCTTCTGGAAGCCCTTTATCGCCTTGGCATATCTCAGAAGATCCTTTTGCACCCAGCAAAAAATTAGCCAACATTTTAGGATGTTACAACAAAGATCCCAAAATCGTTTTGAAATGTCTTCAATCAAAAAGTGTTTATGATATTTTAAAATCTTACGAAAATTACGTCAAGGTACAATAAAAGTTATATTAAAATTATTTTTTTATCAAACAAATATTTTTTAGATGGGAAATCCATTATTTTTACCAATCGTAGATGATTTTCTCCCAGAAAACGATAAATATTTGCTGAAAAGTGCAGAAATAGCATTACAACACGACACCAAACAACAAGTTCCCATAATGGTTGGGATTTCGAGAAAAATTTCAGACTTTCAGTACAATAAATGGCACGATTTATCAAATCAAGGTATCCTACAGTTACAACAACACATCGATCACGTTGAAATCCCCGAAATTATTCGAAAATATAAATTAAACACAAACAATAAGGTACATATTATGGAACTTTTAAAATGGAGGTTTATTTCGTCGAGTCAAAGTCATCTTCAGCTGCTATTAAAACAATTAAAAGATTTAGATTTTGAGGCGAAAATCGAAGCACCTCTTTATTCACTTTTAGCAACGTTGGAAATGTCTCATATCGGCCCGTTGTATGTTTACTATTTGAGTGATTTAGGAATTCATTTAAATACGACAAACGCAACGATTACGTCTGATATGTTATTGTTATTTGGGCCGTTGCTATTCAGTCAGTTAGGAAAGAGAAGACTGACCAATAAAGAATATCGACTTAGCGTTCAAGTAAAGAGTGCTTTTAAAAATTTTATTATTTTTGGAGATCCAACTCCAACACATGAAAACGAATGGAAACGATACACATCAAACGATCATTACGTGGAAACTTTCCAACCAAACATTTTTAAACAAGAAGATGACATTATTGATAGAAATAGGAGGATATCTTTTTGGTTAAATTTGTTACCCGTTATTTCTCAAAGAGATCAAGTTATTACGACTAGCCCAAAAGAATTTTCTGGATTAGGTAAAAAATCCCAAAGAAATATTCCCAATAATTTTGTTTTGTGTTTAAGATCCAACAGCAAGTTTTAAGCATGCCATTTACACTTTGGTGGGGTTAGTCATAGCTTTGCTTATCTTATTGGGAATTTGTATTATTATATTAAAGAAAAAATACAAAGAAGAGCATAGAAATTTCCATATGGGTTATTAATTTTTTAAATAGGATTTAATGAAGTGTTATTTTAGTTGAGTAACTTGTTATTTTCAATAAAAACGTTATGATAGTTTAATTGCATAATAAACATTATGGATATTTGTAAAATACCATTGTTTTAATAGTACTGCGTTAAGGCTAAACCCTAATGTTTCTAGTTCTAGATTTAGTGTTAAAAGTATAGAAATTTCCATATGGGTTATTAAGTTGCCTAACTTGTTGCGTTAAATAAAAAGGTTATGTTAGTTTGGTTGCATAATAAATCTTATGAATATTTGTAAAACACTATTGTTTTAATGCTACTGTTAGGTTAATCTGAATTGTTCAAAAACTCAATCAAGGCTTATCTTAAAACCTATTGAAATATAAAATTACAAAATGGCCACGTCTTAGTTGATAACAGTATCCGTTATCGTTAGATGTCTACGTAATGGTAGGCAAAATAACATTCAGTTGACCGGTGAACTTTGGTTCTTAGTTTTCGTTTGGTTTCAACGCTTAGCGAAAAAATGTCATCCCTCTGGTCCACTTTAAAGCGAACAACCAAAAGTTTAAATGTCGCTAAAGTAAGAATATAAACAAAATCCTATTTATTTTAGTACCTAATAACTAACCTCACTTTTTTTGATCTCATTAGAGGCAAGTCAGATTTTTAAACTTGCTCGAATTCCAAAGCAAGAATTTGTTGAGAAATAGCGGTGTGGCTGTTCAAAATTTTTGTTTAGTTGATGAAAAATCTTCAAGTGAATTTGAAAATTTTAGTAAGTTAATAATACTAAATTAATTTTATTATTAATAATAATATTAACTTTATTAACACTATCATTAGAACTAACACTAAACCTAGAACTAGAAACATTCAGGTTTAGCCTTGCGTCTTGATACTTGACTTCAATAAAAATATACTACAACCTAATGCTGAATAACAACTAAAACTAGACCTAATACTAACACTAGTACTAACACAAGACCTGGTATTAGAAACATTCGGGTTTAGCCTTGCGTTTTTCAAGACGGCTAAATCCAAATGTTTCTAGTGCCAACACAAGACCTAGAACTAGAAACATTCGGATTTAGCCGTCTTGAGAGTTTTCGGCTAAACCCGAATGTTTCTAGTTCTAACACAAGACCCGGAACTAGAAACATTCGGGTTTAGCCTTGCGTCTCTCAAGACGGCTAAATCCAAATGTTTCTAGTTCCAACACAAGACCTAGAAACATTTGGGTTTAGCCGTCTTGAGAGACGTTCGGCTAAACCCAAATGTTCCTAGTTCTAGATCTGGTTCTAGGTTTAATATTAGAACTAGAAAGATTCAGGTTTAGCCGTCTTGAAAGGCATATGGCAAAACTTATATTAATTAATTTTAATATAATAATATATTTTATTTACTATAGATGCAAAAGAATATGTAGTTAAAGCACAAATCTTAGCCGGTGGTCGAGGTAAAGGTCATTTCGACAATGGTTTTAAAGGTGGAGTTCAACTGACTACCGAGTAATTCCCTAAAATAATTAAATATATCCAATAAAATAGAAACTTTTTAGTCGCAACATCGTTAAGGATTACGTTTCAAAAATGTTGGGGCATAACTTAATCACCAAACAAACCCCAAAACAAGGAATTCCAGTTAAACAAGTTATGATAGCCGAGAGTGTGAATATCACGAAAGAAACTTACATTTGCATATTAATGGATCGAACTTATAACGGACCTGTGATCATTGCTTCCCCCGCTGGAGGAATGGATATTGAGGGTGTTGCTGAAAAGACTCCAGAATTAATCAAAAAAGTTCCAATAGATATCCATCAAGGTAAATTTATAATAATAAAATTAAAATGTAATCATTTTTTTTTTTGTACAAACAGGTGTAACTGATAAAATAGCAGATGATTTGGCAGCGTTTTTAGAATTTAAAGGCGAACCGAAGAAGAAAGCAGCTGAAGAAATAAAAAAGATTTGGGAAATGTTTAAAAAAGTTGATGCGACCCAATTAGAAATTAATCCTTTAGCGGAAACGGATCAAGGATTAGTAATTTCCGTTGATGCCAAGGTCAACTTTGATGATAACGCCAAATTTCGACAAAAAGATGTTTTCTCTTTAGAGGATCACTCCGAAACCGATCCTAGAGAAGTTGAGGCTGCTAAATATAACTTAAATTATATTGGAATGGATGGAAATATTGGGTAAGAATTTTCCAATAATAATTACAATTTAAAAAATTTTTTTATTTATTAGTTGCATGGTAAATGGTGCTGGTTTAGCAATGGCAACAATGGATATAATAAAATTACATGGCGGTGAACCCGCGAATTTCTTAGACGTAGGCGGAAGTGTCCAAGAAAATCAAGTACGCGCAGCTTTCAATATATTAACTTCCGATCCAAAAGTGAAATCAATTTTTGTTAACGTTTTTGGGGGCATCGTGAATTGCGCAGTTATCGCAAAAGGCATAGTCGCTGCATCCAAAGACTTAAAGATCCCTCTCATCGTCCGATTAGAAGGCACCAACGTAGCCGAGGCAAAGAAAATTATCAGAGAATCAGGATTAAATATCCAAGCATCCGACGATTTCGATGAAGCTGCTAAAAAAGCTGTGGCCAGTGCCAAATAATTTTTTTTATTATATACTTTGTTATACTTAACTGTTTTTTATTAATAAAAGCAATAAATTTTCATTTTTTAATAAACTAATAATTTCTAATAGCTTAAAATTAATACTCAAAAATCGCAAAATCTATTTTTTATAGGTAAAATAAAAGAATAAATTAAATAAACGCGTTTTATTAACAACTTAAATAACTCAAAATATAATAAAAATTATGAACGAAAATTACATTAAAAAAATAAACGATTCTTTACGGATTACGAAAAATTCCAATCAAAGGGAAACCTAAAAATAAACTCAAATTAAAATTTGAACTAAATGGTTTTTGTGATTTCTGATAGTTTTTATAACCACTGTTTGGTTATGTTATAAAAACCATTGGAGACCTCAAAAACTTGATGAAAAAAGTTTTAACTTACGAAATATCTTGATGAGTAACTCTGTAAATCTGTATAAAACGAAGAAACTGCGCAACAAAACTTACAAACTATACAAATAATCTGGACGCTATTACTAAGTAATACTGTACCTTATTTTGGTTCTGAAAAAGGATATAAAAAAAAAATAATAAGTTAAATGAAAAAAAAATGGTTCAAAAACTACTATTCGAAAAAAACAGATTGTTTTGTCGAACTGAATTTTATTAAACCCAAAATTTTTGTTTACAAAATAACAAAAGAATCCTACTACCACTTTTTTTAATGAAAATTGATGGGAATTCTTATCATAAAATGTTTATAGTTAATAAGGTGAAGTTCTAATTAAAAGTTGTTGATTATCTTGCGAAGACGTGAATACTTCACCCCTTTAACTAATCAAATTTTTTGAAAGTCCATTTATAAAAAAAAAACTGTAAGATACAATGAGTTTTTTTTTTTGTTTAACATAAAACAGGGCAAAACAAGTATACCATTTTCATAAATCGGCCAAAGGAAAGAAAATAAAGAAGATGACGGGATATTATAGGTTGGTTTATATTAATTTGACGTCTATACAAAAATTGGCGACTTATCAAATAGGAAAAATCGTGTATGTTACAGCTCGTCTTTCAGCCTACGATCTCTTTCATTTACCTAAGTTTCAATTTTTTGGACCATTTGAAAATCTCCGCCGGAATGACCAAGCGCGAGATCATCAAACGATTCGTTTTTTTTTTATATACTTGTTTCGATTTTTATATATTTTTTTTGTCGAAAAAATTTTGCGATTTTTTTTATTTTATAATTCTTTTTATAACTGTGTATATGGGAAATACCTAGGCGATAGTATACCTACTAGACAAATAATTGAAAAAATTTCATACCTTTGACTTGCCTTGGCGATGAAATATTCTTTTAAAAATCATTTCATTTTAAATTCGCAATGAAACCGGAGAAAAAGGTGAGGAGGAGGAGGAGTTTTATTTTTTTAAATTTTATTTTTTTAATTAATCTTTTTTGATCTGTGTGGCTGCTTGTTTGGCCTGGTGAGCTTGTAAAACAGCCACAGCTTCTTCCACCTTTGCTTTTAATGACTCGTTATGCTCCAACATATGGAGCAACTCGGAATTGTCAATTTCAAGTAACATACCAGTTATTTTACCAGCCAAATCTGGATACATATGTTGAATCAATGGGAATAAACGCTCTCCCAACATCTGCTTCTGCTCTTGTGGCGGCGCGGCTGCTAACATGGTGGCCGTCAACGGTTCCTGGCCCTGAATGTGTACTGCTTGCTGTACTTGCGGGGAAGTCGCAATATTCATGGTTTGCGGTGGATTCCTCATGTTAGGGGTGTATTTAAAGTTTGGCGTACGTGTATTTCCAGATACAACGCTTTGGCCTGTAAGTTGTCGTCCTTGAATATTAGGCGGTTGTTGTCCCGTTATAGGTCTTGGGACGCTCATATTACCACGCATTGATGACGCTTGATTTGGCGGCCGCGGTGCGGTTCTATAAGTGTTTTGCAACGCCGAGTAAGTGTTCCCGCTTCCCTGTGGTCCAGGTCTGACTGGGCTCTGTGCTGCCCAACGCGGTGTAGTCCTCATTTGAGTGACCTGAGCTGCCCCGTAGTAGCGTTGCGGTTGAGTCAAAGTTGGCACGTAGAATGTTCCAGCCGTTCCAGCGGGTTGTAAGTATGGACCCATTTGATGCATTCTCATGTTAGCTACACGTTGCATGTATTGTGAAGTTAAATGAGCTTTGCGGTCTTCTTTACGTTGGGCTAACGCGACATATAGTGGCTTCGAACCGACTATTCTACCATTCATTTCCGTTACAGCTTTAGTCGCTTCTTCTGGAGATGAAAAACAAACAAATCCAAATCCTTTGCTTCTACCTTCCTCCATCATAACCTAATTTCAAAAATAAATTATAGTTCATATTTCAAATTTAATTTAATACTGATCAAATTTACGCGGTTGGAACAAACGTTAATATTACCTTGGCTGATGTAATTGTTCCAAAAAGCGTGAATTCCTTACGAAGGCGTTCATCGTCAATAGTATCATCCAAATTTTTGACGTATAAATTGACGCCTTGGTAACGATTCATGCGTTCCAGTTTTAATTGTTCGAAACGTCTCCTTAGTTCTTGTTGGCGCTCGGCTTTCTTTTGGGCTCGCCCAACGTACATCGTTTTTCCTTCTACGATTTCTTTTCCGTTCAGATCTTGCACGGCTCTTTCAGCGGCTTCGGGGTCCTCGAACGCGACAAATCCAAACCCTTTAGATTTCCCATCGTCTTTGCTCATGATTTTATAGCTGGTAATGCGGCCGTATTTCTCGAACATGGTTCTTAACTCTTCGTCGGTCAAGTCTTCGCCGAAATTCTTCACGTAGACGTTGGTGAAGAGTTTAGCTTTTTCTCCCAATTCCTTCTCGCGTTCTTTACGTGGGATGAAACGTCCAACGTAGACTTTTCTGCAGTTCAACAACATCCCGTTGACCTTCTCGATGGATTTATTAGCAGCCTCTTCGGTCTCGAAATGAACGAAACCGTAACCTTTGCTGACGCCGTTCTCATCTTGAGCCACTTTGCAACTCAAAATGTTACCGAAAGCGGAAAACGTATCGTACATAGCTTTATTGTCAATGCTTTTGTCCAAATTTTTTATGAACACGTTTCCTACGCCGGATTTTCGCAAAGACGGGTCGCGTTGAGACCACATAATACGAATTGGACGTCCTTTAATTGCATCGAAATTCATTGTATCCAAAGCGCGTTCCGCTGTTTGATGATAAAAGGGAGATTATATTAAAATAAAATCAAATAAAGATGCTGATTTCGATCATCAACCGAATCAAAGCTTACCATCAGCAGGTTGTTGAAAGTTAACATATGCGTAGCCCAAAGATCTTCGTGTAATCATATCGCGACAAACGCGAATTGATAGTACGGGACCAGCAGTGGAAAATTTTTCAAAAAGCATTGCCTCGGTGATATCTGAATGTAAATCCCCGACGTACAACGACGCCATAGGATAATTGGGCGCCCCCGGATTCATTTCGAATAATTTATCTCCTCTTCACAACTTACGGATTTCCACAATACACAGTTTTAAACTAGGTACAAATAGAAAAACATATGAAACTCAATAGCATAACCGATAGTTGATTATTTTAAGTTTTATGATTTGTTTTGCGATTTTTTTGTGTTTTTATATAGATTTTAAAATTTTTTTTGTATTTTTATAAGAGTTAATTCACTTTTTTTTTGGTGGGTTGTGAAACCCTTGTGGAACACAACCACACACGCACACAACTACTCAATGAAATGGGATGACAGGCACGTTGGCGTCTTATATCTACTAAGCGGAAGTGACTACGCCGCCATTTCCAGTGACAACTAACACCGGGTCACAACAATTTCCGCACTATACTTTTCGCACAACATAAATTAATTAAAAACAGATTCATTAACCAAACAATTATGGCCCACCAATTACCATTAATTACGTTCCCTTCCCGAGTAATGCGATTAGAAAGTTTAAATCAAAAACAAAATGGCCGCCCTCATAATATTACTACGCCTTCCGGCTGTTGCAAACTCCTGATATGAAAAAAATTACGTAGGATATCAATGCGACACTATTATCAAAGACGCAATTTCGCGACAAATCGCGATTATTGTTCAACGTTTTTATATTTCGCATTTTTTTTTGAGTCATCATTCTTTCATGTTTTATTTCATTTTATGTCGAAATCCCTTCTTTGTTCCCATACTTTATAAGCTAACATTTCCATTAAATTAGATATCACCTAAATAATCTCGCCTTATATTTGTTATTATTTAAACAATCGATAGCAAAATTTAAATTTGAATTGTCAAGTGGTTCACCGAGTTGCCGTTAGATGGCGACGCGGCATCAATGTTATTTAAACTTTAAATTAATCAAAACGAATTTATTAAAAACCATGAAAAGTTAAATTTAAATCGATTAATTTAAATTTAATAATAAAAAGTAGTATGTTATGGTCTTAATAATCTAAGAAGAATTAATTCATTTAAAATAATTCTTAATTTAAAAAAAAATCATGTAAAGTATATAGAACAAAAAGAAAACTTATTTTAATAGTTTTATCGTTTATAAAATTGTGTAGGTTCGCGAAGAAATCGCAAAGAAATACAGTGGCGGACAAAAGTCTACATACAGCATTGAATTATGAGGTTTTTGGACAACGTAATAAGATGACAGAAAATAAACACAAATCACTCAACAGCTACATACTAAAAATTCAACAAATAATACAAAAATTAGTAGTAGTAGTTACATATACAGCAGTTTTTAAGTAAAAATAAATTATTAGGTCTATGTGACGACAGTTTTTAAAACTCAATATTTCCTTGGCCCCCCATGAACTTCTATAACAGCACGCAGGCGTCGTGGCAGTGAAGCAACTAAGTTTGCTGTCTCTTCTGCTGTTATTTCAGCTCAAGATTCGACTAACGCAGATTTCAGTGTTTTCGCATCTGTGATTTTTCATCTTACGTTCCTAAAACTCCCAAACATGCTCGATCGGATTCAAATCCCGACTCTGAGGAGGTGTATTCAACTGCCTGGGTGCATAATATAGCAACCAATGTTTGATAAGGTTTGCGGTATGCTCGACGGCTTCAAGTTTTGTTCAAAAATAGTTTTATATTTATACAGATCCATAATTCCATCAATGAATGTCAGTTTTCTTACACCAGATGCTGCTATCGCTTCCCAAACCATGACACTTCCTCCGCCGTTGGTACCACATTTTTCAACTCCATCTGTTGCCATGTTTCGTTTCCTCAAAATTTTTGTCCGACCATCACTTCCAAAAAGGTTGTATTTCGAATCGTCAGTAAACAAAACCCTGGATCAGAAATTCATTCCCCTGTCGTCATGAGATTGAGCAAATTCTAGTCGATTCCTTTCTGAAATCAGCGGTTTTCTTCCGGGTGTCCTGCTGAAAAATCGATTATCGCGGTTCTTGGATGTACAGACTTATTAGATAGAGCCGCAATGTGGTTGGCTAATTTTGGTACGCTAACTCTACGGTTCTTGCTCACTTCTTTTAATATGGAGCTAATATCTCTTTGGCCGGCCTGTACGAACTTTGCTAGCGAATAAATCAGTCTCATTGTTGACGATGATCTGGACTGTTGCTCGGCTTAGTAATTTCGCCGTAAGATTTCTTTTCTTTTCGATGTTTTATCACCAACTTTCTAATTTTAACAGATATTTCTTGTGCACAGTGACGAAACACAAACTAAGTACTAATAACTAGATCCGTAATCCCTACTGAATTAAGAAAAAAAATGTAATGCCAGCTACTTTATGCAACTCCTACTTGATTTCTTTAACTCAAGTGCATTGTATGTAGATTTTTGTCGTGTTAGTTTTTGTATTGTTTGTTGAATTATGTAATATCTCTAATCACACTGTAATACTACTTTTCTATTATCTTATTATGTTTTACAAAAACCTCATAATTCAATGCTGTATGTAGACTTTTGTCCGTCTCTGTAGGTAGAAATTGCCGTGGCTTAGAGTTAAGCGCCTGCGTTGAGTTGTATAATACTACCTCGGTTTTAGTCGATGTATACGGCAGTCATCTTACATTCGCCGTTGAGTTAGCGCGGGTACCGTGCAAAAGAAAGTTTTCGATATCAAAAAAAAATAGATATACATTCGCGTTTAGTGTGCGTTGTACTAAAAGATGTGGTACCCTGGCGACGAAATCACTAAATAAATCCCGATCGTAAGTAAACTAACAAACAATATTCGCCTTTCAGTAAGTAAGGGCTTTTAAACTCTTTTTAACATTTCCTTTTTTTGTCGTTGTTAATTTATTCGCGATCAAATACTCAAAGAATTTACTTCTTTGTACAAATAAAAAAAAATATTTAATAAAAATTTAATTATTTTTTGTTTCGTCTTAAAATAGTTACGGGTACTGAACTAGTTTCGCTGAATAAAAAACTGATACGGGTTTAAACAGGAAGTTTCACATTGGACGACGGGGTAATTTCGAACACGTCCTCCTGTGCGAAAACCCCATCTCTTCAATTTGCAACTTTTCGCGGCTCTAATATCACGGTTTAATTTAAAGGCCGCTTCTCATTGCTATTTCATCGAAGAAAATGAAACTTCTCAATGAAGCTTAATCGATCTCGCGTAATCGAAAATCACAATTTTAGTTTTGAAAAAAAACTTTTCTTAAGAAATGAAGTTTTCTGTTATAAATTAATAGTTCTTAAGTATCTGAAAATTTCTCGCACGAGGAATTATTATGGAAATGTGGGAGCAAAATAATTGTTAAAATTTTCAATATTCCGCCATTTTGATTAATGCATAAATTAATCTTCCAGGAGTAATTAAATAAGTTTAAAAATTAATGTTGGTTTATAAGTAATTCTGAATCAATTCTAAACTATGTGGGTTTTGGCCTTCTTTAGGCTCTGAGCAGCTAACCCAACCAAATCCTAAAAGAAAGAATTCAATTCCAAACTCAATCCAACCTCAATGCAAATTTATCAAATCTCAAAGTAAGTCAACCACGCAGTAATTCATCTCCAAAAGAATCAACCTCCAAGTATTGTTTGTCATTCTTGGGGCGCCCGAGGTTTTCGAAGTCGGCCGAGATTATTTCTTCCATAAACTACAAGCAGGGTAAACTTGGTTTCACGGTCTGAATCTCGAGTGATACCATTAACAACTTGTAAAACTACTAATTCACCAAATTTTCATATTTTCGAGAGCAAAAGTGAAAGAGAGCTCGTTTGCCATATTGAGTTATGCATAAATTAATCTCCCAGGAATAATTAAATAAGTTCAAAAATTCCATGTTGTTCAACATCTTCCATGTCTTTTGTGGCATCCCTCGTCCTCTCCATTAAGTTGGCAGTTTCGCGAGTTTACCATCCTCATCATGCTATCCAGCTCGTGATTCATCCTGATTCTCCAGCTACCGTCTTCCTGGGTTCCTCAAGCTTCTCCTAAAACACTCTCAGCGTGACCTCCTTTTTGCGTCATCGACCACGTTCCTAAGTTATTACAGGTCTTATTTGCGTTTTATACATTTTAAACTTGGTCTTAAACCTTCTTCCGCGATTCATCAAAGTGCTCCAAATGAATTCTTATTCTATGAGAATATCCTTAGCTTAACAGACACATCGCCTTTAAGGAATGGGGATGCGCTAAACAACACGATAAAGTCCAATACTCGTTGGAACACTTGATTAAGCTTTATGTCTGCGAAGATGATTCTGCAAACCTGAAAGCAACCCATCCTCAAAGGAAATTAATCAAATCCCAAAGCAACTCAACCATGAAGCAACCCATCTCCAAATCTCTCTCTCTCTAGAGAGAGAGAGAGTAGAGAATATATATAATTTTTTTTTCGTTATAAAACATTCTAGTAATGACAATTTTCTTAAAAAGGAAACCGTAGAAAGTCATGGAAAAGTTAAAACGTGATCAGGGCGTTGATTCGTAACCCAGAATTGATTTGTGTTTGTAGAGCAATTAGTTGAAACGACGGGAAATGTCGATGACGAATTTGGATAAGATTAAGTGTAGAAAATGTAAAGTTTGTGAAAATGATTTTACTTGAAACATTTCCTTTGTAATATGAATCCACAATGTATGGATCATTTCACGGTTCGTTTAATTCTCTATTTCATTTTCTTTAATGACGTGATATTTTTCTTCCTGGATCTTAATATTCGTTTTCGTTTTCACTTTTTCATTTACTCTTCACGTTAACTGTCTTATATATATATAAGAAATAGTGCATATATTTCATGACTATTTCATGGTTCGTTTAGTTCCGTTCGTTTCATTTTCAACAATAACGCTAAATAAAAAGAATAGTTTTATTCTTTTAGCGTTAATAACTTTCACTCTTTGTGTATCTGTGTGTTTTCTCGGGTGGTCGATTATGAAAAGATTTGATGTCCCACCGCCTTTAATAAATAAAATAAAACAAATCGAAAGTATAAGTCGCTTTCTATCGATGAGCGCACCTCGATAACTCTTCCAACGGTTGCTTTCTAATTATATAAGCACCGCGGTCGAAGTTCTCCATTCTGTGTATTTAGCGAAAACAACGTCCTCGACGAAACAAAGAATATAAAGGAACCTTATCATTACGTTTGTTATGCATATATGTTTGATTTGTTAAACAACGATCGCGATTAAAGTGTAGTCAAGAAGTCGTTACTCGAAAACGACCACAATCAGGAAATGCACTCCGAGTTTAGAGTTCGGAAGAAGGATTTAATAACCAACATGAAATTCTAAACTAAAACCAATGTAATTGAATCTTAAAATCAACTCATTTGATTTTGAGGAATTTTGTTTTAATTTTTTATTTTGAATTTCGTTAATAGGTAATTAAATATTTGTTAGTATGAATCGACCTGATTGAAAGTGCAGAGTTAGACGATTGCCCAACAAAACGCGTTCTAAACATAATATAACGGTTAAGGTATTTACCATTGAAGGTTTATAAATGAAATGTTTAAAGAGAAAGTCGCATACCTCTTCGCGTATATGTAAGTACTATAAGAACCTGAAGTCGTGGCAATTTCATTCTATTTTCCGATCGTTTTTCCTTCTGGTTCGTCGTTTTGTCCGCGCGTTTCGCTTCGGGCTTGCGATACTTTTCTGGTTAATTTACGATATTATCTCGGCAAGACCAGGTGTAATAATAGCGCTCGATTCCGTTAGTATTCATGCACCAATAACAACGCGATTTCTGTTATTAACCGTTGCTCCGGAGCGTTGTACTATTACTATTTATCCGACAATTAATTTGTGACAATTAACAAAATTAAATGATTAAAATAACACAAGACTCCGTTGGGATTTCTTCGAAATTTTTACCGGAAATTCCATTCTGTTTGGCATAACTTTTTCTCTTGGAATTCGTACGACATCACCGAGATTTTCGATGTTACAAATTCTCACAAAGTCTCTTCACAATGACTTGAAAACTAATAAGGCAGGATTTACACCTTACTAAAAACTTGTAAGGATACCTCTGTTTTACGAGTTTCAACGAGCTTACATTTTATATTAGGCAAAAGGTAATAATCGTACTAATTACTTTTCTTTCGGTGGCGTTAATTTTTTTTAACGTCTAATGTCCCCTCATTAAACTCAAAATAATCTGTCTCTGACGATTTAACATAAAAAAAGGAAAAATTTCAAACGAACAAAAAGAAAAAGAAACCCCTCAGCGGTAGGATCTCTCGTAGTTCTTGGTCCTTGACGTTAGCTGTGAGTCATTTTAAAGATATGCATGGGACGGACAGAGAGGGAAAAGACGAAGTGGACGTCGTCTAGCGAAAAAAAAGTGAAGAATACAAAAAAATAAATCAGAAAAAGAGAACTAATTTAAAGTTACTATGTTGGAAAAAAACATTAAAATGTAATTAAAAGTTTCTTATCGAAAAAAACGATCGGTTCTTCCAAGTAACCGTTTCTCGCCGCGTCCTTGCAAATGCCATCGAGAGTGAAATCCGAGATGATATGACTGAAAAGAGCCGCAGGCTTAATATGACATAACTCGCGTGAATATACGGTCTTTATTTTTTTTTTATTTATTTATTTTTTTTCGAACCCAATTTCGTTTACGTAACGCGTTCATTCTCGAACTTTTTCGTAATTGGTTTTTGTAAACCGGGACCCATGTAATTCGTATGCACATTTCGTTGAAGAAAAGAACCGTTGTTACCTCGAAACAACAAGACATCAACCTATTAGGTTGCTACATTTTCTTGCTTACAATTCAATAAATATTATTAAGTATAATTTGATTATAAATGAATTCTTAATTTTCTTTTTTGATGTAAGGAAAAAATAAAATAGGAAACGTTCTACGGGATAATTGGAGTAAACTAATTACGGCTGAAAGGAGCGGTGAGAACGCATAAAGTTATTATAGGAGCGTAACGGTAACAAGAAGACGCGATACATGTGTCAATTTTATTCCATCGCCGAGATCTCGATTCGGAATCACATGCGAAACTCTCTCGTCATTAAAAAAACAATGCTCGTGTTTTGCAAAACCACCATTGTTTTGCAATAAAAGAATACATTTTTTTAATAACCATTTTTCGATCGAACCAAAACGAAAATTTCAACTTCTCGGAGAAAAGAATTCTTTTTAATTTCGACCTTGACGTCGTTGACCTTGTCTTTTATATTAATAACTGCATATACTTATATTTATCGGTTGATGTAAGTTGAAAGTACGTTCTGAGATGCGTAAAACGTTCCGGTAATATACAGGTCGATATACACGTAATTTTTTTTGCCAACAACTAAATGGCATCTATTACGGGTAAGTGCAGAATGTGTTCCAGCCAGACTTACCAGCTTACTGCGGTCCACGCGACGTTCTTCCTTCCAACTACCGGGCTTCGGCCTCTGGAGATACACGCTGTTCGAAATGATCACCTTCGTTTTTAGACTTTTAAAACCTGGAAATAAACAAGATTCTTAAAATGAAAAGTTTTCATTCATTTATTTGATATTATATATAATTTATTTATCGTTTCCACAGTTAATAATTAAAATTTACGAATTAAAAATTATTTATAGACACAGTGTCCGCCAAAAAGTTAGCAACACCCTGTTTTCTGAAATCTTTAAGCTTCAATTTCACATACATATCATATCGTATTGTTTCAAAATTTCGTTTTATTTTTGATATATAAATTTAATTTCCTTAAAATATAAACAAAATATCACAAGATGTAGCTGACTTTTTGGCGGACACTATATAAATATAAGAAAAATCTTTTATGGATATATAATATATATGTATAATCTTTTAAATTAGAAATTAAAATCTGTTGATTTAAAAATTTCGTAACCTTTCTGTTTGGTGAGCTATTTATTGATTTACAGCAATTATATTGACCGATAAACTCGAAAATTCTGCTTCTCGACCAGAAGTGGATATCCTTGAAGAGTTGAACTTTCATCATTTTTCGATCCAAACCCTTACGTTGCGATTTGCTTTTGAAACTTGTGTACGCACAGTAATATTGAGCGAGTAAAATTTTAAAATCATTTTTTTTAGGAAAATGCGTTGGTTTCGAAAGCAAGGAGATTCACCTCGACTACTAAGTTTATCCCCGCTGCGAGCTGAATCACCACGACGTGAATTTCAATTACCGAACACCAACGAAATTTTAGATGGAAGCATCAAATCAACGACTTCTCATCGATCAAGAATAGGTAAGATAAAAAAAATGTATGAATTCAAGTATTACGTTCATATTAATTTATTTTAGGAGCATGGACAAGGCATCAAAGTTCAAAAAACGATAAAAACTGTTATAATGTCGAGGAGAGTGTGATAATCGTCGAAAAAAACGATAAAAAACGAAACAAGTCTCAATCACGAACCAAATCCACCGATCATTACACCAGAGAAAAACGAAATCCTTTATTAGACAAAGTAAAACATACAAGACTATCATGTTTTAGAACGGCTTCAAATGCTTCGCAATCACAGGGTGAGATGCCTTCGACATCTCAAAGTGATATGAATTTAAGTGATCAATTAATAGCTCAAAGTACAGATCTTCTCGATGAAAGTTTCGGGGAACTTATTTCGAGTCAAAATTATGACAGCCTTCCAAGGACTTCCTGTTTCAGCGCGAAATTACGAGCAATGTCCGAAAAATATTTACATTCCTCCACAAATAAGTTCCTTGCTAAATTGTATAAAACTTCCGATGGCCCCATTGGAGAATCGACTCCAAATAAAATGACTAAGAGAAAGTCGGTTCGGGCGAGATTAAGAAGTTTTTCGTATGGAGCTTTACCTGGTATCGAGGAATTCCAGAAAAAACACAATCCTCTTTATGATGACGATACAACTTTGGATCGCGAAGATGAAGAAGAACACGATGATCACGTTCTTTTGTTGGACGGTGAAGACACCGATAGTGGAATATTAGTAAACGATTCATCTTCATCGTCCGTTTTAGAAAGCGATAGTTTTCGATGCGGAAGTTCGTCTTCCATACAAAATACTTGTTTTGATCTTGATCGATCTCAGAGAGCTTTTTCTTTAGATAGAAAAGATTTTTCACCGCCGGCTTTACCGGCGAAGTCTTCCAAAAGAAAATCAACCGTTGTTGTTGTCAGTTTAGTTAAAACTTTACCAGATGAAGAACTTGGAATTTTTATTTCTAAAAATTCATCTTCCGATGCTGGTGGTTATCTTGTTGCTCATATTGTTGAAGGAGGAGTTGCTCATCGGTAAATATTACAATTTTATTGTTCCATTATTTAATTATTTTTTGCAGAGACGGTACTTTATCCATTGGAGATGAAATAACAATAATAAATGGTAGACACCTTTCAAATTTAGGAGTTGTAGAAGCTATGCAATGTCTGAGTACTCAAACATTAACGGTGGATATTGTGATATCACGGTCATTAGGACAATCAAATTTTCAACAAAGGGCTTTGAAACGAATGCAAGAAAGTTCCGTAGATTACGAAAACACGTCCCCATTGAAAAGTTCGTTTCAAATGGCGTCGTTTTCTAGCCCTTTATCCAGAAGACAACATTTCTTCCAAAAGAACAGCGCAAGCCATAGTAGCCATAATAAAATGTTTAGGAAAGCGGGCACTCAAAAGAACTGCGAAACCCCATTTCCATACAGTTCATTGCAACTCTTAGAGTATTCTTCGAAACTTCAAGTATACTGCGATAAGAGCGAAGAGAAAATTTGCGAAACAGAACGAAATAAGACTGGTTTTGACGAATTAAACGCTACAACGAATTTTTGTACGCTCCCTAGAAGACCTAGATCGACGTTGTGTACGTTTCAAACAGTAATTCTTGAAAAGGGGCCTGGCAAAAAGAGTCTTGGGTTCACGATTGTAGGAGGACGAGATTCCCCCAAAGGTGCTTTAGGGATTTTTATTAAAACTATTTTGGCTAATGGCCAAGCTGCTGATGATGGAAGATTAAAAGCGGGTAAAGTCTAAATTCTTTGTAATTTTTTTTAAATAAATAATTATAATTAATAAACAATATATATGTATATATAGATACGCATCATAAGTAATTCCAATTAGAGAGATATATCGTCACGAGCCAAAACACGTCGATTTTTTTTATTAGCCCAAATAGTAAAATGGATGATTTCATGGCACTTCATTTAGAGAATTGAATAGCGTTTGAAGTTTGTGTGCGGTTATACCTTTAAAAATCCTGTTCAACGGTGTAGCTAAGTAACGCCTAACCCCGAAGTGACCTTAGTTAAATTAAAAAGATTCTACATTGTGTTATCACACACAATTTGTTATATTAAAGCTCAAGACGATATCATCTCGAACCGTTTTCAAATTAGACCATAAGTCTCATAAACGTCATAACGCGGACTTTATATATAAATATATATATATAATATAAAATTAATATATAGGTGATGAAATATTGGCAGTAAACGGTCAAGTATGTCATGATATATCCCACGCAGAAGCCGTCAACCTTTTTAAAAGCGTTAAAACCGGACCTATAGCGTTGCACGTGTGCAGGAGGATGAAGTCGAAGCAATCGTGAGTTATTTTTTAATTTAAAATAAATTTTCCTAATACATATGTATGTTTAATTTTAGGTCCGTCAAAGCAAAGTCATGTACAGATCTGATACAATCAGCAAACAGCGAAGGTTGATGATCGATGAATTTCCCGTCCGATTATGACATATTTAGCTCAATGTCGCCAAATATTTATTATTAGGTTATTTATTATAAGATGTACAGAAATTGTATATTATGGATACAAATATAAAACATTTTTTTAAACTATAAATTTGTTTTTTTTTTGTGTTGAGTATTGATTTGTTAATACGAAGTGTATTTATTGATTTTTACGATTTTAAATATTTTTTTTATTAAATTATTTTAATAGAAAACTTAATATTTAGTTCATCCTAAAAAAATACAAGTTTAAATATTAAAAAATATATATTNTGAACGTGTGGGTTGGGTGAATATATAACAGCAAAAATATATATTGCAATAATGGTGTTTTATTTGTGTTTTAATACGGATTGCATGAAGGGTGGGGGTTTATTGATTTTAGTTTGTCTTTCTCTATTAGGGGTGGGTATGGCGGGAATAACGTACACGTGTATTTTGACGGATGTCAAAGAGGAAATAATAAATTACGACGTTTCCAAAGATCGCACGATTTTCGAGAACATCTTGATCGCAAAATCAAACTTCATTCTACAAGGTAAGCGCAATTCCACCATCTGATTGCACCTATTTCGCCGATGACGACCGTTTTTTCAACCGCAATCTTTAGGGATGCATGAATTAGGTTTTTAAAAAACTACGCAATAGAAATTGTATAAATTGTAGCTATTCAGTGTGTGCGCAATAAGCAGATATTAGCACAGAGCTTTTTAGTTGTGCTGCAGGGATGATTGCTAACCTAAGACCCACCGATTTTTATGTTGAAATCGTTTCTTTCACGCCAATCAATGCGTGAAAATGGAATTAAATCTTTTTCGTTCTTGCCGCATTTGTTCGATTGCTTACGAGAATGCCATCAACGTCTTCAGTGATCTTGGAAAAAAATCATTTTTACAAGCTAAAATTAAAAAATATCTTCATATCACGGTAAGCGATTATTTTTACATAAATCAATTATTTTTATTTACGTTAATTTTTTATTTCATTTAGGTGTCTTTGGAAGATAAACTACCTAAAATTATTTGCGAAGGATGCTACAAAAGACTGGAAGGATTTCACAAATTTGCCACAATGGCAAATCGAACTCAAGACAAATTTACCAAAATTCTTATCAACAATAACATAGCTGAACAAAAAAAATCTGAAAATAAAGGATTATTACATTCTTATCTTACTAAGGTAATATTAATTAATACTAATTAAAATTTATTAATATCAATGAAATCGTTAGGGTACAAAAGAAGACATTGAAGTAACAGAAATGGAAGTCCGCGTAGATCCAATGGTTTTCCTCCAATGTACACTGGAAGAAGACGAGACTAGTTGCGAATCGGAGACAATGTCTTCTGAAGAGGACAAACGCGAAGTTGAGAAACGAAAAAAACCAGTCGAATTGGCTCAAACGTCCAAATTAAAACGTATACTGGTCATGAATTACAATAACTTAGTAGTGGAACGTGACGAAGAAAAAACAAACGTAGCCCATAACGAATTCAAGTCTGAACGGGAATCTGATGGTGAGATATCCGAAAGGTACAATTGTCCAATTTGTGCCAAAGTTATTTCGACGAAAGGTAATCTAAAGGTACATTTGGAAACGCATCGTCCTAAAGGGAAATATGCTTGTGATATTTGCGGAAGAATGTAAGTAATAAAAAAAAATATTAAAAAAGTTGATGGGGGTTTTCTTGTAGTTTCAAAACTCAATGTAATTTGCATCGCCATAAAGAGTATCACGGAGGAGTTCAATTTCCGTGTTCAGTGTGTGGAAGAGTTTATCCAACAAACAGCACTTTACGCGCTCATTCGATAACACACAGTAATCTAAGGCCACACAAATGTCCTTTGTGCGATAAAACGTTTAAAAGGAACCAAGACCTAAAGGTTGGTTTAAAATTTAAAATCTACTCCATCAACATTTTTTTCAAAATTTAGTTTCATATAAATCAGCATACAGGAGCCAGGCCGTATCAATGTCCGTATTGTCCTAAAGCATTTGCGAGTTCGGGAAATTGTTTTTCACATAGGAAAAGGATGCATCCTGTCGAGGTGGAACGAGACAGGGAAAGGGCGGCCAGTATAATACGATAAGTCAAATTTGATTTCGAACGTACAGGGTCTTTCGTCAAATATAAATCATTTCGTTTTGTTATTTTTACTCGCTCAAAAATAATCAAAAAACAATTTTTATAAAAATAACAACATAAAAATATCAGACTGACTTAAAAAAAATAAATAAAGAAAAAGAAAGAAATGATTTGGATTTCTTTTTAGGTTTTGAACGGAATAATGAGAAATGAAACATAAATGGTAATTAGCTTTAATAAGAAAAAAAAATGGTCTTGTTTTATAATCGTTGACGTTTATTTGTTTTTGTGTTAGTTTTGCAATACTTTATAGGTGTTACATTCTGTATATTTTTTGATATATTTTACTCTATATATTGATATTGGGGTGCATATTCGAAACATGTATCTAAACGAACATTTTAATCAAAAATGAAAAAAAAAACAACTACAATGTATGTTTAGATGTATCAATGTTCTTTCTGTTTGAATTTTAACATATACATATATATTATAAATATATAATATAGAATAACTGTGATCTTTTTTGTATACGATATTATTATTTAGTTTAAGAAAGATAATAATACCGACGATAGACAACAATATGTAATTAGTGAGATAAATATAATACTAAACGTCTATAGGTAACAGGATTTTAAGAAAAAAATAACTGTTCTTTGATTTTTAATTATTAGCAATAACAATTATTTTCTTACTTAAGATTTTTTAATTTATTTTTAAAGCAACAGTATTACTAGAGTTAATGTACGTGTATTATTGTGATAAAATAAAGCATTTTCATGCAGTCACTTTTGTATTTTTTTTTATTGCTCTTTTATTCAACTCGCGAAGTTATCGCTTTAACATAAAAAAGTAAACAGTACATATGTCAACTCTGATAATGATAAAGAAAAAAATTTATGATAGCTTCCTTGTTTTATTTCGAATTAACATTTCACCTTAATTTCAAATTCCTTTCTTTTATAAGTCAGACTTTAGATTAATTATCGTTCCAGAAATTATTATCGTAGTTTTGATGTTAAAAACAGTTCTGTATTTACAAATAAGACGTTATCAGAAAATTATAAATAAATTGTTTAACATTCATTTAACATTTTATTACTTTAAGAAATAATATATAATATTATTTATACAGGTTTTTTACCACACTGTATCTACAATATATTAATCTACTAAATGTGGATTGAAATATCTAAACTAGAGCAAGGAAAGTTAAGGAAAGTTCCAAAACATTGTCCTCGAGGGCAGCAAAAACAATCTTGGAAGATTTGATAAAGGAGCGTTAAAAGATTGCTAAAAGGTTTGAAATACGATAATACAGTAGCCGAACAATTCTAAAAAGTCATCGTTGAATATTGTGCACAATATAGCGGCTAAAAGGAGAAGTCAACCATCACCCAAGGCTATTCATGTTCTAAAGAAGGCGGTGATCGGTAACCATTTTTTCTGAATCACCATCATTTTAAATAGCGACTAAATCATAGGCATTTTCAACCTGAGAATGAAGACCAATTATTTAATTAATTCAAAACGACAACTTAAATATTAACTGTTTAGAGTATATTTGAGAATTAATTTCTCAGAAAATTATCATTATATCAAAGATCGTTATTCCGCGTTAGATTCCTTAATTAATTTTGAATAAGACAGCAACATTTAGTTTGTTCACATTAGTGAGAAATAAATTTTTTAAAACAAGCCTACAAGACATTAATATAATTATTTTTATAAATTTATTTCTCAAGAACTAATCGAGGTATGAAAACGAGGTTTGAAGCTTTAGAAGCTATATCGCACTGAATTATACATAACCATTAATTAAATTTGCTATTTTTCCCATTAATGAAATTAAAACAAAATAAAATTTGGATCATAATGTAACTTGATCCTGCATGCACCAAACGCAAATAATTACAAAATTAATTCGTCTGCAATTTTCAGTCGTTTTTAAGTTTATATCATCACAATTATAAAAGAGATTTCCGGTGATTTTTGTATAACATCATGGGAAGTCCCTGTTTACAAATTATTGATATATTTTATAACTTAACAAACAAAGGAACAAGATAAGAATTGAAGATATCCGGGGATTTTTGTATATCATAAGGGGAATTTTGATATTATTGCCGTATTTTATAATTCTGTAAACTCATTTTATAGTATGCAGTACATCGCAAACAACGCGATTGATTCAACATAAAAGTGGTGTTGAAATAATTTATTAATAGATAAACGTTGGAAACGTAATATCGATTATATTGAACGTAATTAAGACGAAACGTAAGTAGAAAAAACGAAATTTATTCTTAAATAAAATTAAAATGATTAAATGAATGTGTTTAAAAGAAATTAATAAATTATATATCGAAGTTGTCGTTAATATTTGTGACTTAACCTTCTCAATGACCCTTAGAATCAATAGCGTATAGTTGAATCAAAGTGTATTTAGTGTGTCTACGGCAGTGGCACGCGGCAGACCGAGCTGAGGCCGCCAAATGTCAGTGTGTCGACCTGCATAACAAACATAGTGTTACAATTTAATGGAATTATGACTGAAAAAAGCGTTATGGACGACAAGAGAAATGGTCAAAATGGGATCGTACAACCTCTTCTTACGGGTAAATATGAACTTTTTAAGCTTTTTCGCACAACTCGTATATTATTTTTTAGGTTATGTTTTTAACTCGTATATTCTGAGCTATATATTAAAGCCCGATTATTATAAAATTTGTATTACACGTGCGAAACGTTTCTATTGGTCAATACCTGTGTCGATCGAAAAGTGATCTGTTCGATTTTTAAATCAATTTAATTTACACATTTTTTTTATCTAATTTTGAATAATTCATTTAATTTTAATTCGTAAAAAAAAATTTTTTAAACTATATCGTGGCATTGTTTTTTCAACCTAAATTATCAAATCGTATAGTTGATAAGACCTTTTGTGTTTCAGATTTATATCAAATTACAATGGCTTACGCGTATTGGAAATCCGGGAAAACCAAAGATTACGCCGTATTCGATTTGTTTTTTCGAAAAAACCCTTTCCAAGGTGAATTTACGATCTTCGCCGGCCTGGAGGAGTGTTTAAAGTTTTTGGAACGTTTCCATTACTCGCTCAGCGGTACGCCCCTCCATTAAAAATTATAATATTTAAAATCTTTTTCATTCGTTTTTTCGTTTTTCATAAATACCAAGTAAAAAAAAATTTTAGAAAATATGTCGCAACATGTGATGTAATTTGTTATGAACGAAAAAATCCAATGATAATAATCTATTTTCAAGGTTGAGTTAAACGTTTAGTGGTCAGGAAAGTGGGACTATTTAGAAAAAAAAGTCATTCTCTTACTGATAAATAAATTGAAATCATTATATATACATATATATAATATCTATACTAATATCTATATATAACATTATACATATATATAATAATCACATTTCAGATTTAAATTATTTAAGATTGACATTATCACCTACAATTGAGGAAGAATTTTTCGAATTTTTAAGTAAATTAACTGCAAAAGAAGTTACTTTGTATGCCCTGGAAGAAGGGTCAGTTGCATTTCCAAGGTAAAATAATTTTTATTGTTTTAATAAATTATAAAATCGGTTTCATTCCCAGAATTCCGCTATTACGAGTTGAAGGTCCGTTAATAATCGTTCAATTGCTTGAAACAACGTTATTAACTCTCGTTAATTATGCGAGGTAGGTATTTTTCAATGGCAAGTGAGTTTTATTTTTGATAAAAATTGTTGTAGTTTGATGGCCACGAATGCGGCAAGATACAGAATGGCTGCGGGTGAATTAAAGCTATTGGAGTTTGGTCTCCGGAGGGCCCAAGGCCCTGACGGTGGTTTATCCGCATCGAAATATTCATATATCGGTGAGTTTAGTAGGAAAAGTGGTGCGATGTCGTACCATGGCACCAGGTCATTAAATTGAACCTGTCGGAAAAGCCGTTGAAATTCGCGGTTCCACCGCAATAGATGGGGGGTGTATCGATCAACCCTCCGTGTATTTGGTACCATTCGGTGCTACCTTATCAAACTTCGGTTCTAATTTCCTATTTGCACGAACTGGTGCAACTTTTCGCCCTTCTAATTAACCTATTTTAATGTTAGCATCACCGAATAATAATAATATAAACAAACTCATTTAAACTTTGTGTTACAAAATCAATCTTTTTTTCTACTGTTTTAGGGTTAAGGTTAATTTGAGCTATTTACCTTTTCGTCGATTTCTTTTGGTTATATAACGGCCTCTGCATCTGCAATATCACTTATTTTAGCACTTTTTCACTACTTTTAACTAAGTTTTACGGAGAAAACACTAAAAACGCCACAAAATTCGCCTACGAAACAAAAGACGGTTTTGTATTTTGGATGTCGGTAACGACACAAACTACTTTACCATCAATTCGAAATTACTTAATAAAATGATAATTACATAAAATAAAAATGATAATTAATAAATAAAGGAATGCAAGAAGTCACTAAGTGAAATTTTAGTTCTATTTTAATGTTTAAATCTTATATTTATGTTATCGATAAGATTGTTGTGTCCAACACTTGTGTCCGATTACTTCGAAGAGGCATACGTAGGGCATTATTTCACTATTTAAAAATCAATGTATATGTAGAAGTAAATTGAAGGGGCCTAAGATTAGCATACAGGAAGACTTTACTGCGTGGAATCATAATCTTTCGAAACAGGAATGAGCAATTCGTTGTGAGAAAAAAGCTTTTATTGAACCGATCCGTATGATGGAAAGATCTTGGAAGGTTTCATGTGGAAGATCTTGGGAAAATTTAATTTTCCACCTGGTTGACCCTGATCAACTTATTTTTTTCTAAATCTAAATTTTTCGGATTTATTAAGTTTCTACCATATCAATCCACTAGTGTTGGTTCGGATGATATTTCTCAAGATATGGTAGTGTTGGTGAATGTTCTTTGTCATATTTTATATGTATGAAAATGTGGACCTGTTTCTAAATTACCATCCTTTCGCTTTTGTCTAAAGTGTTAGAGAAGATTAGATTTTGAATAAACTTTGACTTATTTATTTATATATTACTTTAGTACGATCCGTATAAGATGTGCACGAGTTAATCTCGTATTAATCAGTTCATAAAATATCATTAAAGGCGATGCACTTCTTATCTACTCTGTAGCTGCGCTACGTTATAATTTATTATGATTACAATTCCTTCATTATTTGTGAATCCGTGCTTTATCGTAATACGATAATGATGTTGTTTCTTTTGAACACTATTTTATAAACAAATGATATATTGTTATAGTAACCTTTAAAATTATTTCTAGGTGGTTTTGATGGTACAAGTAACGTACTAGCCGGAAAATTATTCAACATTCCAGTAAAAGGAACGCATGCCCACGCGTATATAACTTCGTTTACAAACTTAGATGAGTTGAACAAACATTTTTTGGTCCCAAAAGGAGGAGGGGAGCAAAAAGACCTGATGGAATTGGCAACGAATTGGAGATTATCACTGGTGCCGCTATTCAAAATGGCTAGTTGCGAAGCTAACGATGGCGAATTGGCCGCTCTAATATCCTTTGCGATCGCATTTCCGGATGGATTCATGGCTTTAGTCGACACGTACGATGTTAAGAGGTATCCATGTCGCATGCGTCACGCCATCACCTTGCGGCCTGTCACCCTACCAAACACCCTATCGCATAACGAGTACAGGTAATCTGCATGCCGTTACGATTAGGTTAGCGCCTAGCGCACACCTCAAATACGGCTAACCTAGTATTATTTTCACAATGAAATCAGTGTATTAGAGGAGATTTTGATGTATTCTTTTTAAGATTTCAGAAGTAATAATCTAATGGGATCTCCTCTAAAAGGTTAATAAGTAGCTGAAATAACCGGGTCGATGTAAATAACGGGGTTCGTAAAAGTTATCACTGTAAATACATGGGCAAATTATCATTTTTTTACTTTAAATTGGCTAAAAAAACCTAAAATATATTAAAATATAACCATGTTATTATAGGCAATTTTTTTGGTCAATTTATTGGTTTAATATTTTGAGTTACTGATTTCTTTGTGCGCAAAATTGGATTTTTAGGTCAGCAGAAACTACCTGTGCTGGCAATGCGGGGTTGGTACACTCTCGCACAGTATTTACAACAACAGCAAGTGCACTTTTCAGTTCTTTCTGCTGGTCACTAAGATTATTTATTAAATTATTTGTTTATTATATTTATTAATTATTTATTTGTTTGCTATTTCTTATTAACAAACTGCTTTGTTTATTCCATTTTATGAACTAAAATATTTTCTTTAATTTCTCAGTCATGTTTTGCTTTACTCATTACTCAACATAAAAAAACGCTTTGTTATTGTCTTTCTAAAAAAGGGCTTATTCGATATATATAAAGGCATTTTTCATTTATAAACTCATTTTTAGGAGTGGTTTATTAAATTTTTGCGCTGTCGCTTTGGCTTTAAACGAATTAGGGTATAAAGCGATTGGGATTCGTATAGATAGCGGTGATTTGGCGTATCTTTCTAAGGTCGCCCGACATCATTTCGTTGAAATCGGTAAAAAATATGATATCCCATGGTTTGGAAATTTAATGATAATGGCATCGAACGATATCAACGAAGAAACAATACTTAGCTTGAACGAACAAGGACACAAAATCAATTGTTTTGGAATCGGAACGCATTTGGTAACGTGTCAACGTCAACCAGCCTTAGGTTGCGTTTATAAAATGGTCGAATTGAACGAACAGCCTCGAATAAAGTTAAGCCAAGATGTTGCTAAAGTTACTATGCCGGGGAAAAAAGATGCGTATCGTTTATATAGCGAGAGTGGTGATGCTTTGATCGATTTATTACAAAGATCTGTCGAGGATCCACCTAAAATTAACGAAAAAGTTTTATGTAGACATCCTTTTGAAGAATCAAAAAGAGCGTATGTTATTCCATCGAAAGTTGAAAAGTTGCACAAACAATTTTGGGCTAACGGAACAATTGTTAACCCGTTGCCAAGTTTGGATCAAGTCAGGGAAAAGGTACAAATGTCTTTAAAGACTTTACGACCGGATATAAAACGAAATTTAAATCCTACACCATTTAAAGTAAGAAAATATGTTTATTATTAAAGAAGTAGTGTTTCAATAATTTTTTAGGTTGCCGTTAGCGACGCCTTATATAATTTTTTGCATCAATTATGGTTGGAAAACGCACCAATAGGCGAGTTATCTTAAAGAAGGAGAAGGAAACATTTTTGGGAAAACAAAGAATTTTACAGTTGAAGATTGCCAGAAAATTTAAATGAAACGGCGTGTTCTAAGAAGTACTTTTTAAGTCTTGAAAAAGTTTAATATCTGTTGGTTATTAAAAATATATATTTTTTATAAGTATATTGATAATTTAGTTAATAATTTTGTACTTGTTGAACTTGTTACAGTTTCTTTTTTTAATTTATTTTTTACTTATTGTTAGTTTTTTTACTTAAATAATTAATCTATTATTATTGAAAACTTGAGATGTAAACGGAACGCAAAGGTAAACGGAAATATTAAACATTTTATTAATTTTCGAATATCTTCTACAAGCCTAAGCAAACACACACAACAATTAATGGTACAAATCGCAAAAGTTTATTTCTAGATATTACAAAGATATCTAAAGCACCAATAAGTCGCTATTAAAAACATAAAAACATTTGCGTGGCTGTGAATGTTGTAATAATTTAACTACATACAAATTGTTACCTAATAAAAAGTGTTATACTTATTTAAAAAAGTGAAAAGGAAGCACTTTTGCGGAAACTACTTCAAAAAATGCTGGTCAGTGCTTTTATTTAAATAACGCTTCTTTTTTTTAATCACGTTCTACTTCACCTTGGCATCTCTTAATTAGTGGGTATATTTAAATAAAGGCATTTGACAGTAGCCTTAAATAAATACAAAAAATATATAGAATAAAATAGTTATTAGAATATCTTTTGCATTCAAATGTATTAAGTCTTTTATATAGTTTTTTCTTTATATATTAAAAAATAATAACATTATAAATATAATGTTTTCTAAAGAAATATTTGAAGTTTTTTTTGTTATAGCATTAGAACTAGAAACATTTGGGTTTAGCCATGCGTCTCTCAAGACGGCTAAACCCAAATATTTCTAGTTCTATATTCCTAGTGACCAAAACATTAAGGTAAGGTAAAGTTTAGCAACTTTCGTTTTCATGGTAAATTTGATCAGGGGATTTTGCGAGTTCAGGTGGTCTAGTAACCCCCTGGAATGAGTTTCTGACGAAGAGCATCCACGGCATCTTTGACTGGTACTCTGGTAAATAGAGGGCGCTAGATGGGATACGTCCATGATAACACCCCGAAGAGAACATTTAAAACAAACTCCCAGCGGAACCCGACACAGTGTTGTTGGGTCATATATGATGTTGAGATGATAAACAAGTGATAATGAATTAAGGTTTTAAATAAGACAAAAATAAAAAATGTAGTGTTTGAGTCCAAAGTTTATTGCTTATTAAAAAAAAACACATAGCCTTTTTAAGATCAAATTATTATTAATTGTAATTAGTAATTGCTAGTTTATTTACATCAGACTAGAAAGAAGATTTAGCTTTTTGTTTTTTTTTGTTTTAAAGTAATCCACATTTAAATTAACAAAATAATTCTATATACAAATAAACCTAAATTAAGTAGTAGAGCATGAACGGTGCAATTCAAATAGAAATTTGATATATTAATTAAAAAAAAAAAAAAATGATAACGCAACAATTTCTATTACTAATTTTTTACGAACAAAATCCAAAATTAAATGAACCAGAAAGATAAAATTAAAAAAAAAAGTTGCCGTTAAATAAATTACATAAAAAAGTACATTGTTACTATCGTTCTCTAAAAATTATGTAATCTGAGATGCTTGATCAATATTTTTGTTGATCTATCGCTTTTTAGAAGGGGGGATTATTTAAAAGTGAACCGCTTTCGAAACAGCCATAGTTATAATTATTTGGTAACACTCACAAATGCTCAAAATATATTTGGTTATAAATAACAGGATCTCAATAAATTACCTCCCAAAAAATAATAAAATAATAACAAATTTGGTCGAACCCATCTAGACCTCCGTTGTTTTAGCTGCCGACATCGCACCACCACCACTACCACCATGTTGCTGATGATTTTGATGCTGCTGTTGTTGCTGCTGCTGCTTTTTATTAAAGAAATTACCCAGGAACGACGAATGCTGATAATGCACCGATTTGTTGCCGCCTTTAGTTTTATCTGAACGCGAACATGTGCTAGCTGAAGTCGATTGGAATGATACTGACATCCCGCTATCTAAGGATCCCACACTCCCACGACGTTGTGCCTTTTCTCCTGCAACTGCACTGACATCACCCACATGACTTTACTGTTTACCTTAAGTCTAAATATTTATTGAACACTTACATTGCTCGTGAATATCCAACAACGAATTACTCAATGCTGAACGTTTTATTTGAGATTCGTGCGAAACCGTTTCTGAAGTCTCTTCGTTTTGTTGCATTTGTTGGTAAGGATATTGACACGGACATACTTCTACATCAGCTACACCGCTATCTCGATTTTCAGTTCCTATTATAAAAAAATCTTTTCCTAATGTTTTATAAAAGGAGTAAATACATGTACTACATATCGACTTATAACGACGAATAATATTAACAACAACGCGCGTTATAAATCGATTTCTACTATAATAATTGAGATATTTTACCTGAACGATTTCCTCGACTTGATTTTTGCCTCTCCAACTCCGCTTCGATACGAAGATTTTCCATTTCATCCATTTCGCAAACGGATTCTTTTAAATCTTCGGCAAACTTGATTCTATCGTGTTCGTTGCGAGCGTTAAATATTATTAATGTTTTATCGTCTACGCGCTGGGATAAACGTATACCAAATGGATAATCTAAAAACAATATTTTAACTTCAACTTTATTTTAACGTATTTCATTTAATTAACTTACGTTGTGCTTCGAATAAAGTAACAGCCATCCCACATAACGGATAACTATTTCTAAAAGTATAGGTAACCGACGATTTTTTCTTGCTTAATATTTTAGTAATAACGAGTAAATCGTTAAAGAGGAAGACCTCCCGCTGATGAACACCCGGGCGTTCCTTTTTATTAACATCTGGAATCTCGTAAAGTCGACAATAACACACCAATCGACGATGTGGAAGCGCCATATTCGGTTTTTTACCAACAATTGTCGCTTGAACTTTCATTACTTGAGTCACATGATCCGAACCCGGCTTAAACTCGTTTGCTTTAACGCGCTCATAAATTCCGGTCAACATGTCGCTGTCAATATCATGGCAATCATCGATCCCACGCAAATTTTTTATGAAATCCTCCAGTTTCATTCGACGTTCCGGTTTTATGTTTGGTGTGTGTAAATCGGTGTTGAGCATTATTATTGCAAAAGCTAGCACAAATATCTAAAAGAAAATAATTTGTAAAAATTTTTCGTTTTTTTTTTTATTAATTTAGTTAGTTGATCTTTTTTCAATTATTTTAAAAAAATGATTTCAGAAAAGGACGGTCCTTTTGTTACCAAAGCGATCCCATGACGCCTGACAATGGTTAGAAATGACATTAATTAATTAATTGACAAATAGGTAAGAATTAAGAAATTATAAAGATAATTTTTTTCGTAAAACTTAATTTTTATGGAATGTTAATTAGATTGTTGAAATAATTGATGATTCAACTTTAGTAATAAGTCATAAAAAGTTTCACAACTTATTTCATATAAGGGATTTAAAAGTATTTCTTTCTTACTTACGGTATCTGGCGATCGTAATCTAGCAACTATATCAACATTGCATTGACAGTAACGTTGCGAAAAGACTTCCATGAGTCGTTCAATTTTCTGGGCTTCTCCGGGCATGCGATAGTACTGTTGGAATTTTCTCAAGGCTACATCAACCTGCATACCGGCCAGGTCGAGTTCTAAAGCGAAACATTCTAGTACTGCCATGCAGAAAGGGTTTTGAAGGTTCCCCAGGTATTCGCCGATCATCTGTTTGCTGAGACCTTTTCGAGAGATTAAGAAACGTGCCACGCCCGTAGGTGTGTTTTCTAAAAACCCTTTGCGAATTAAATAGGTGATCCCGCGTTCGGGTTTTTTGTTAAACAAATTTAATCCAACGCGATATTGTCGTTTACGAACGGTTTCCGATATTTTACTGCAACTTGTTGTCGTCGGCGGTTCGGTACGTTCAAGGACATAAGTTGCACTTGAAGAGGAAGATATATTTCCTAAACTAGTCTCTAATGTGGGTTCAGCGTATTCGGGTAGATGTGGTCCACCTTTACGTTTCCAAATTGGCGAATATTCACATTGAACTCGATCAGCTGAAATACTGCTATCGCTTCCCGAGCTTTGCACGCTCGAAAGTGACCCGTTTTCCGTCGTTTTTGTCAAACCGCCATTCGAACGGTGCGAGCGTGACTCCAGCGACCTCGAAGAGATGCTGGAGGTGCGTTTGGGAACTTCCGGCGGTACCTTCCTACTGCTAACGCTGCTTCTTGATCTAACGTAACCATTGTTACCCGATGGTGTGCTATTCGCCGAATTTTGTAAGCTCATTGGTTGTTTCATCTCAATTGGAGAATAATAATGAGGATGTTGAGCGTGTGGCGAATAGTTGTCCCAACAAATTGTTGGCGTACCCGATTGACTCCTTGGTATTGGGGCTGTATCCATATTTCTGCGTTCTCGTAACGACATCGACCTCACGGGCACAGCACGTACAATTAGATTTTCATGTCCGCTGTTGAATAAATAACATAAATACAGGCTTAGAATAAAAGACGCCGTGCTTCTTTTGCGGTTATTAATCGACTACTATTTGCGATTTAATTCACGCACATTTTTTATCAAAAGGAATGCAAGGAATTTATTTTGATAGTGATTTTAAGTAAAAAAAAGTGAAAATGACTGGAATCGCCGGCGAAGTACGACCTGTCTTTGCTAGATATATTCAATGTGAGCCTGCATTTAAAAATATTTAAATAGGATTTAAACTTACTTATCAAACGGTCGGGCGTACTCGGCTTCAGATTGACCTTCGCCAATAGTGCTCCTATTATCGTCGCCGTTACTCGGAATACGTCGGGAGGTGCGTTTTTCGGCTTTAGCCATTGCCGTAATCGACGCAAATTTCTTACGTAGCGTATACCTTCTAAATGCTCGTTGAATGGTAACCGCGGCTGTTCGAGCTTTAACACCACCATATTTTCTTTCCAATAATTCTATTTGTTTATCCAATATATCTTGGGAAAGCTCATAACTAAATTTTAATTAGGTTAAAAATCCAAGTTGAAAATATAAAAATACTTACGTATTTTGTACCCGTCTTTTGTGGACGTCACCGTTTCGCAGCGATCCTTTTTTGTGCAAAGGTTGCTGGACAGAAATATACCCTGATCCGTTTGGAGAAGATCGGGCATAAATCGGACTTGTGGCCGGAGTTGAGTAGTTTTGTGTTTGCATGTAGGTTGGAGCTTGAATATAAGTTTGCTCCTGAATGTGTAGGTGTGTCATATTTGAGGAAACCTGCGGTCTATCCATCTTTTGTGGAAAACTATAATAAAAAAAAACCAGCACTATATATAAATTCAATAACTTTCTTTATAAACACACCTTCCCACTATAAACCCTGATATACATATAATCATTTTAAAATTAATATTTAAAAAAATTAATGTTTCTCAAAACCACCTCAACACGATGAAGAGAGTTTTGGTTCTACCCCTAAGCGAGCAGCTGACAGACTGAAGAAAGTTAAGGTTGCCCAAAAGATTTACAGGTAGAGGAGGAGAGGATCAAAACATTTTGGGTTCACGTTGCTGTTACACACCAAGGTCGATAATCGGCTCGTACTTACATTCGCTAAGCGCTAACCTGTCGAGCTCCTTACATAACGAACAGTTATTAAAACATGTTCTCCTTGACGTACAAATCGCGTTTATTACGCAACAACTTCGAGATGCATCAAAAAAATGCTAAATCCAAAAAAATACCTTTCTAATTTGATCGAAATCGAAATTGTTTCACAAAAATGAGCCAAAAAAGAAAATAATAAATAATTTGTAATGACTGAAAATGATCCGAAAGTGAAAGTGAATGTACCTTTTATATAATCAAAAAAAGAAAACATTGTCATTGACATTTAGGATGAAATTTACGTACATTCTAAGCTAGAACGAAAGACGCAGGCGCGCATTTTGTTAAGAACATCGAGATCAGGTGTGGGTGATGCATGAAAAGGATGAAACCTAAGAATACATCACATGTGGGCTGTCAGCTGTCGTTTTTTGGGTAGCTAAAATTTCATTCAAAACGCATTTTATGTATATATATATATATTATTTTTTAACCAAAACATTTTAAAAAGATCGACTTCCGTGTATCGTTAGTTCGTTTTGTTTGTAAACACACAAAGTCTTATAGTTCTTCCTAGAATTTCTGGTAAAAATGAATAAGGGAATTTCCGGGTAAAGTCACAATTCGTTTACTAATTGGAGGTCGCTTTAAAGTTTTTATCCGGTTTATATACAAATAAATATGCCCTTTTAGTTAGCAAAAATAACGAGTCGTGAACAAAGGATGTGGTTTGGTTGTTAACAATGAGCCCGCTTAGAGATATCAAACAAAATTATTGTATCCAATTACGGTGCTTTAAATCCAACTTTTAGTATACGGAAAACTATATTAAACATTTTACAGGTATGTGAGCTTTTCTTGTGGAAAAATAATCGAAATAAAGCGACGGCAGATGTTCGTATGAGATTTCAAAAAAAAGAATAATAACCAAGAGAGGTGGAATCAGAGTAAATTCGGGTACAGTTCCGTCAAGGTATCCGAAGCCTTAGTAGACCTTTTGAGCACGTGGTCAACGAAAAATCGTCAGCAGGCAGGTGGCTGCTGCCGTCGAAGAGCAGATGTTCAAAAATCTGGTTGATTGTAACCACCTCTTTAGTAACACACGTGTCTCGCAGCTTCACAACGCCCCAAAGATGCATCTCAGTTTATAAAACTGAATCATAAATTCAATTAATTACCATGTAAAGTAATTGCGTTTCATATTAAAACGCTAAATAGACTCGAACAGAGGAGGTTTAAATTAAACATACGCAGAAATATTAAATTCCTATTTTATTACTATTATTATGAATGTTTTCGGTTTGAGAAAAGTACCATGACCATGTATACCGCTTGTTAAAAAATTAAATTAAATTTTAATAAGGATATCCAAGGATAAATAAATTAGGACATTGTGCTAATGGAGGAGTAATTAAATGACGCAATGACGGAATTGAAATTGTCGACGATTTGCGACACTTTTACGTCCCAAATGCTTTTAATTTTACGTAAAAGTTTTCTAAAATGTCAACACTTTATAAGCGGGCTATTTTTTTATGGTGCAGTTTAAAAAGGTTTCAAGATTGATTATGATGAGAGGCCATTATATGTTTTATTCTCCTCATCGAATAACAACTTAGGGAACACGTTTTCTTGAAATTTCTTGGAAGGCGAAAATTTCGCGTCGCAAAAGCGTAAATCGGGATAGAATGCAATTGATACAAGTCAATTCTTGGAGCTATTTTCGAATATATTGTAAACATGTTTAAATCGAAAATATTGGTGAAATTCAATAACAGGAGCAAGTTCGGTTATTGCGCCACCCACGCATTTCTCGTGTTGTAAATAAATACGTTCACAAAAGCCCTTTTAAGACGGAGTTCTTTTCTATGAATTATTTGACACGTTACTTCCCCTGCATTCGACTGTACAGGAAATCACCCGTTTAAACCAGTGTACGTGCAGGTAAACATCTCTATTTCTCTCTCTCAACGAAATATGAACGAGAGAGACATTTCGATATACATTTCGTAATTCCTGGTTGCCGTATCGGTTCCAAAACGAAAATTAGTTATCCGCAATATGCGATCGAAACGGCACTAATAATTTGCTCTAACGAAATTATTTGCTCTTCTATTACCGGAAGAGCGGCATCTACGCGCTAGTCCATCTGCGGTCAATTAGTGGCCGTGGTTGCTAGTAGTTATTGATTGTGTATATAAACTTGAAAATGGTCATCTGGACCGTTATTGACGTTGTTAAAAACACAATCCATGTATAAATTTAAATTTAGATTTCTAAATAACTCTTTTTTACAATCATTTTTATAACATGATTGCGTTGATTACTGTTAAAGAAAGTATCTTTGTTAATAATGTTTTTTTTACTAAATTTGATTGGAACTTCTTTGAGCTTTCTATGAAACATGTTTATATGCAGTTTTCACAAAACTACCCGTTCCAGAAAAGCGTACCTCTGGGTAAACATGTTTATTGCGGTATATATCAATAAAAATATTTACACGAATAACATTTTAATAAATACGTTGAACATTATTTTTTTAAATCAACTTCAACTTGGCTTCCTCTTTATAAATATATGTTCCCCATGTTAGGTTTAGACTTTTTATATCATTTCATAAACTAGCGGTACTACAGTCGATATCATTTTTTAAAAATTTCTTATTATTTTTGACTTATAATGTATATTTATGAACTATTTCTATATATTTGACAATTTCTTCTTTAATAACTTTTTCTTGGAAATTTCAATAATATTATCTTATCTATAGTTTTTACGTAGAATAAATCCCCAAGTTTATGAGTATAGGTTAAGAATCATCCTGTATTTGAATAATTGGATAAAGAAGGAACTTTTTAAATTATATTTTGGCATTCTGAGAAAAGGAAAGATTATCTTTGGCATAGTTTTTATTGTTATTCTTACATAATTTCGCAATGAAAAGAGAAAGGGATAGGAATGAAATAAAAAAAATTGAAAAAAAAAGGTAACAGCATAAAATCCTATCTAGCAATTAGACATTTTCAGCACTTTCACTTAGAACGTAGTAGTTTAATGCTAAGAAATCGCGCTTTTGTTCCTCGATAAAACCGCATTGAAACTCAAACCACCGCGGACACGTATTTTACATTATAAGTCGATGATAGTAAAATTTATCGAGGCAAGCCTCTATAAACTTTCTAATTGCTTAGGGTCGTTCGTTAACTCGTTTGAGTATTTCAAAATAATCCTAAAACCTAATACTGAGCGAAACCGCGTCGTCGCTTGTCACAATTTTAGTTACAGGAAATGACTCACATCATGTATATTGTTCAATTCGTTTGTTGTTCATTTACACAATGACTGTTACAGAACGGTACTAGTTTCATGATAAACAAACCGCCCGATCAGGAGGCCGCTGTTGAAATCGGACGCGACCAACAATATCGGCGATACAAACTTAACGTGTGCTTAACCCGGAAACAACTCGTACAAACGGTAAACAACGTCAGACACGTATTCATAAGGAAGTATTTCCGAATCGTGACTATGATATTAATGATAACCAAAATTTTTATATTCAATTTTTATCTTTTTATAAAAACTTCATTTAATTTATCTTGAACACTTTCACATCCTCAACGGCACCAATTTCGTATCACCAACTGTGAAAGTATTAAATGAAATTTCAACTATAAAAAAGGCATTAAATATAATTACGCAAATAAACAAGAATTATTGAATTCTGTGTATCTCGCAATTTCATTGTAGAGATATTTACGTAGTTATGAATACTTAAGCCCACATTAAAAATGTGGAAACATAAAACCGATATTACTAGGAATCAGAACTATAGAAATTGAAGCATTGTTAGTGGTAGAACATAAATCCGAGTGGGTGAATAATTGATTGTTGGAATATGAACTAAATAAAATGAATTATTTGTGAAAATTAATATTTTTCTGGAACTATTATGCGCATATACTTTAATGGGTGCTTAAATCTATAAATAGCCAATGGAGCCCACTCAATATCGGAACACAAAGCTTCGAACCGGGAGATTCAACAAATCTACAACGTGCTTGCAACAACATACGGTTCGAATAATCGATGATTCGGCCAAACATACACGTCGGATCATGCGTCGACGAGATACATTTATGAACAGGATTACGTGTTGAATTCAGTTCGTTTTGGTTTGGAACAATTTGACGGATTCCTTGTTGCCGGGACACCGTAAAATCAATTATCGAGCTCTCCATTAGGACCAAAACATCCGAACCGTACTTAGTCTCTTTGTTTAGCGAACTTCCATTCTCTTGGAATTAACACGAAATCATTGGAAACAAAATTCTAACCGAACCACGCTTCGCATTCAACTCGAATATAGACTAAATATATATACAATAATATATTTAGTTCATTATATATATATATAAACTTATTCCAAATTGTTATTACTGTTATTACAAAAAAAACAGGTTAAAATTGTGCAATGATTGCATTGTCCTAGTTTACGAAAGGTAATCAAATGAAGGCTACCGGGTTAACGTGTGCAAAAAAAAAACATCGTCGGTTTGTAAACTAAATATTAAAGTAACAGTAAATGCCGTTGGCTTCCCAACAAGGTTAATATTTAACTGAGCCATTATCATCCGGTCAAGTCGAGCGTTCTAAACCAGTTGAAAGAACTGTAAAGCAAATTAAAACCGTTGACTTATTCTAATCGCATCAAAAGGCGAGGTTGTTCGTATGAACTTTTACAAAGCAAAATGTACTTGTTTATGTCGCAGTTTGTGACATCGTAGTATTGCCCCTGTTAGTGTAATAATAACCTTCTGAAATGGATGTTAAAGCTGTGTCCTCGTAAACAAACAAGAAATTGTGAAAACGACATAAATCGTAATAGTCCACGTAACATCGCAGGTTATCTTTAAGATATTGGCGAAAGCATGGAGGTTTAGAGCTCGTGAAAGTTCCCCGTCAATAACCTCTCCTTTTTCCTATAAATGTTTCTAATTATGTATCGGCTACAATTTCTCCCCACACAACAACAATAAAAATTTAATGAAATATAGACTAATTGTAGCCTTTTTCATTTAACATTTACAAAGTTGTAGTAGTTTTAGTTAAAGTGAAATAATTTGTAGGTCAGGTACGTTGTTATTTACACAGTGGTGACCCAATAACTTCTGTTCCGTTGTGTACGACACTTCCATTTTGATGTTTAGACCTCGTTTTCGGATTTAACCTGCTAACGGTCGAGTTTAAACGAACTAAACCGACTCTCGCCATTCAGTTGCGCAACGCGCAATAATGAAGCGGACTGTTTTTACGAAATCGCGCTCGCTTTCTTCTCTTGTAAACCTGCTCTCTTAAAAATCTATTCCATGGGATTCTCTTCGAAAATTTTTACAATTTCCACTATTATAGCTTGCCACTCTTTTTCGTCACCGAAGCGAATTTCCACAAAGAGAAAACAATCGCCAAGTTCCACTTTAGATGAACATAACATTCTTAAAGCTACTTTTTTTTAATTTCACACATTCAAGTTGTTTTAGTTAAGGTTGTAAAGTTTCACAAATCCTGTTTTACTCTTGTGAGTTTATCTTTAATTATTCAAACCACTTTCTAGGTGATTGTTATTTATTTTTTTTATTCTATTTCCTTCCACATCGTTTCACTAAACACCGTCCGAATATCCTGTTTACTCTCAACACACATGTCGCCACCGTTTCTGTATCCTCGTTAAGCTCAAATCACGATTCGCGTCGACCAATTGTTGACTCCTTCATTAGTTCCATTTTAGATCAAAGTCCAACAGATTGATATAACAATTTCGAGTTTCGGATAGACAGTGATAGGCGTCCAAATATTAGATTATAGTTTCGGACGTGATTTATCTCTTCGTACCATCTATATTGTTGTTTACAATTTTTAACATTTTTTATCCTTATCAAACAATATTTGAAATTGCAATGAATTTATTATTCGAAAAAGAAGGTATTGATGGATGTAGATGTATAAATTTACCTGATGGTGGTAATATGTTTTCTAAGGGGTGGAAGAGCTGCGCAAGCATCGGAAACGGTGACAAAACGGCTGGTATGATGATGTCGCGTGGTACATACAACCCGGAACCGCTCCTGGGCCCTAGAATGGTGCACCCTAACAACGGTTCTCGCGCTGGGCGCGTCCTTCACCACCAGATGGCCGCGCATGACGATCACTTCCGCTCGTTTCCGTTCGAATGCATAACAACACCCGCGACAATCGTGATCAGCTGACCAAAGATGTCGCAAATGAAAATATAGACATAAAAAGAGAATGTTCTTGTTTTTCGGTGACGTCACGGTTTTCGAGGCTTTTTTGGTTACATCACGATACTCTGCGCAAAACCGTTTCCAGCGACGTATGGAACGCGCACAGTAGACTTAATGGTCGCCCGAGCGGTACTAACGCTACCTAACAATTTCCCGACACTGGCGCGCGGGAGCCCCGCTTGTCTTATCCTTGCCCACTACTATAAACTGGTGTGGGTGAAATGCATTACTAACTATTAATAATTGTCTCTTTTCTTTTTACTTCTTCTTTATTCATTTACAGTCCATAGGAGCGCGCGTTAATAAGTGTAAAGATCGTGGCGGCCCCATCGACAACTGGGGCCTCCAACACTTCTCCTTTTCGATTCCAACTTTTATTACAATAAGCGTGAATCACTATCAAAGGTCTGGAATAAACAAAAATTAGCTTACATTACCATCTGTATTACCTAGAACAGAACAAAGCTCCACAATTAAATAAAGAAATTAAATATACATTTATAATACTGGAAATTACAAACTATAAATTGTCAAAGCATGAAGTATTAATTTTCATTTTAACTCGGTTGAACGCGTATAGCTATATTACGTCGAATTCGCTAGAAGTAAATTAATTAGGAGCAAATTAGTTACGTCCGAAACTACGAATTTGCATTCGAATGTCATTGAAGCGCATTCTAGAAACGCTCCGAAACGTCCATTATACGTTGATGAACAAATATAATGTTAAGAACTTTGTTATTGAAGATATCATTCGAAATGTATTAACACGTAACTGGTCGTGTGTGTGGTCAAATAGACAAAATGTATGTTATGAGAAAACGATTGATGAAAGTCAATATAAATAAAGATGAATGTTGAGAAAGTTTGAAGGCGGAAGTGTCCGTGAAAAGCCGAAAAATCGAAAATCTATTAGTACAGTTAGTAAGTCGGTGGTGAAAGTAACCGGACGTCGTATCACAATTAATGCGAGCATTTCCACCAATTACGCTTTTACGCTTTCGAGTGGCCATAGCAACCGGCCATTCGTCTTTAATTTAATATCAGCATTAATATTAACTTCCTCGGCCGCGTCTACTATTCAAACGACGTATTAGAGCGTGAAGATGGTCGGAAGTACGCGTACCGAACGAACAGAGATGGCGAGATTTCAGCTTGAACGTATTTGAAAATCCCGGACGAGAGATCTCCCGGAGCCTCAGACACGTGCAGTAGACACTTTACACCTCGTTACGGCCTCAAGAGCGCCAGCGACTCGATCGATAATCGCAAACATGTTCTGTATATGATTAAGAAGAAAAATTGAAAAAGCTTACCCCAACGTTCACTCATGTAGTATCATTCATTATAATACGAAACTTCAACATAACAAAATAACATAAATGAACTATTATTACGAGAAAGTAACAGACATAATCATTATTTCAACTGTTTGATTTCGTTAAAAAAACAAGATAACCGTTTCGATATTTTAATATCTTATCGTACACACCGTGTTGTAAACGATGAATAATGCAAGAATTTTATATAAAGTTACATATATGTAATACAAAAAATGGATGTCGAAATAAGCAAGCGCCATCTATTAATTAAGTTAACCATTTAATCGAAATAGTTGATATCAACATTATTATTACATACGTGTAGTGTTAGGTGAGAAACATTCGGGTTTAGCCGTCTTGAGAGACGCTCCGCTAAGCCCGAATGATACTAGTTCTAAGTCTAGTATTAGAGAACTAGCAATATTTGGATTTAGCCATGGGTCTAGCATTAGTTCTAATACTAGACCTATAAACATTTGGATTTAGCCATCTTGAAAGACGCACTATTAAATTAAATTTGGTTATGAATGCACAGATTTTTCCTAATTATCCAATTACTTTGATTAAATCACTCCAAAAGTTTTATAATCCCAATAAAAAAATGTCGTTTCACGAAAGAAATAACAATTTTTAGCGATAATTAAAATGTTACTTAAAGAAACTGTTTTGAAAATACAATTTTAGCTGGTTAAATTAAAAACGGTATTCCAGTTATATGTATGTCACATTAATTAGAAAGTTTAAACAATTAAACGGTTATAAAACTAACGTTAGTTCATAAATATACTAATAAAAACAATTGGTATATTGTATACAGTTACATATCAAGATCAATAAAGATTGTATTTATTGATTATACGTCACAAATTTGGTTAACCTCCGTGTTATTTATTGATGCTTAATAACGTCTACTACGTCAGAGATATTAATTTTAAAGCAAAACTTATTTGGCATTCGATGTCGTAAAGCGCCCAAAAAATTAACTGTATAAATTAAATTAATACAAATTGAATTAATAACAAAAATTAAATAAACAAAATAAATTAAGTAAACAGTAAATGAAAAATTGCGATGTATAATAAATGATGAAGCTTTCTATTTAAAGGTACGTTACCCTAGATAAGTGCTAGAAATGTATTAGAGAACGTGGACGCTCAAGGGGCGGCTCCGTGATTGTTTCGATTGTCAAAGTGTGCGTGCGCGAACAAGTATCCGAGTTCTGATCGGTCGCAACTAGGTTATTCAGTTCGAATTCTCGATACCAGGATCCTCAGAAATTATAATTACATCACCTATAATAAATATTCTAAATCGAAATCACAAAATAAGCATTAAAAAATAAATTGAACGCATTCCTGTATTCTACAATTTTATTAGTTATTGGAAATGTCATTCAGAAGAAATCCAAAGTAGCCTATATCAACCAAACTTTTTTTTTTATTATACAGGTGTCCCGTATCTTCTGGATCAGAGCATTATGCGGTTGAAGGATACATTATTCTGCGTTTAGCCGTCTTAAGAGACGTTCAGCTAAAATGTTTGTAGTTCTAACACGAGATCTGGAAACGCTAGAAAAAAAGCAACTGAAGGTCTTTGATGGAGGATGGCTATTAAATTAAAGTTCCTGAATGAGTGTGGCGTTTGTTGCTATTATTACAGTACATTTCCATGTTTACTGCATAAAATATCGAATTTGTTGTGATGCTTTTTTGCCAGCACTTTCATAATAATAATGGGCGTAAATAATGTTGACAATTTGCCCCTAGGAAAAGTTTGAGTAAACATGTCTCGGGAAATACGTGGTAGCTCAATATTATTTACACCATTATTTAGATCCTATCTTTAAAAATGCAATGACACAATTATGAGGTGTATAATGTAAATTAAGTTTAAATGCACCGTTACATAATTTTACATTTTATTACTAATCTGCGCCATTTTTGTCAAAAGCAATCATTCCCACGAGTGCACTTACTAAAAGGAAAAATATGCAAAAATGAGACTTCATAAGAATGCGACTGGATCATATACAGTAAATCACAAAGGTTCTGCCGGTCAAATGGAGATTGTCGTCATTGAGGCGTCTTAAAGGTTCCAAGAACGATTCGGAATTCTGTATAAAATTATATAGGTGACGGTTATTCGAAAATGTTCAAAGAAATTCTAGATGCCAATTCGTACGGCAATGAAACACGATTGCATGGGGCGTATCAAGAAGCACACGTCTTCCCAACGTCAAAAAGGAATAGAAATCAGGCGGAAAAAAGAAGTTTACGAATAAGTTTATAAATGACCTTACAAAATATCGCGATTTGGCTATGAATAGATATGAAAATTTATTCAACCATGTTTCGGTGGGAACTAATTTGTTTACATCATAAGATATAAACAAAATGTTTAAGGAGCAATCAGTAATTTTACTAATTTACTAACTAAACATTAGAACTGGGAAGTTTCGTCTAATTTGGTAATATAACTAATCATGTCTTGAAGTCAAATTTAGAATCCCTAAATGTTTTTATGTGTTTTTGCTTCTTTTTAGCATCTCGTTCGTGTATATCTTGTTGTTGGAATTTGTTTAGATACAACGTGTGTCCATAATTATCTTGTGTGGCAGTTTAGTTAGTTTCGCCGGCATTATAAATCTGGGATTACAATAACATTTCTTGATTATAGAGCAACCATGAGTGTTGAATTCAATCTATATGCGCTGACATTTAGACTTAAAATATTACATGCATATATCAATAATATGACAAAAACCGTTTTAATGAGGTCCGATATATATTGAGGTTTTACTGTATCATGAAATAAAATATTATATTTAAGATGCCCATTTGTTTATTTATTTCTTACAATACCTAATAGTTATATACCATTATATGTTAATTAAAAATGCTGTGGCGTGTATGATGTCTTTTTGATCCGGCGTATCTTTTGATCCTCATTTCTTCACTTCGTACTTGTTTCTGAAAAATATTGCAGCCAGATGGACCGTATTATTTGATTTTCAGTAACTGTTAAAACCTTATTTTGTGAATTTTCTTGTAACAACCCTAGTAGTTGTAGGATAGAAAAAATCAATATAACGCGTTGTGAGATTAAGAAAGTTTGATCGAATTTTACGATAGTAAACGCTCAGATTATGCAACCAAATACGCGTATGCGTCATCGTGTTTTATCGAATTTTCCGATCATTGTAAAATAAAAACATCTGTTTTTGTGGGTATCTGTTCTTATCGGATAAAAAACGATTTAATACTCTATTTCACAAATTCAATTTTGCAGTACAAGGACAAATGCTGTCATAAAAAAATTCATGATTAAGAAACGTATTTAATTTATGACATAGATTTATTTTTTAAACCTTATTTTATGACTGCATAAAGATGTTAATGATATTATAAAAATGTGTTTTTTAATGAACTTACCTTTCGTCCTGAACTCTTTTTAGTTCGACCATCTCAAGTTCGAATCGAAGATTGCTATTTTCACACAGCAGGAGGTCCCTTTCGCTGGCCAAGCCATCTAGTTCCCTTTTGAGTCTTAAAATTTGTTCCCGCTGGTCCCTTATGATGGTATCTTTTTGGGCTAGCAAAGTGTTCACATCCAGGGTGTCTCCGGGTATGGCCAGGGGCCTCCCACCGTTGTAATCACACATGCTGATTCGCCGCCCTCGTACTTCGCTCCCTTAAGCGTCCCCATTGATTTGATGGGCCATACTTATCGACGTTGCGTCGATTACCTTTTTAAACGATTTATTATTAACAATTTTGACCTGACATAAAAGCTATTCAACTTTGGGGGCCCCGTTTTTACCGTACAAACAACAACAATGACAGTTCTAGCGCGCCATGTTTGTCTTTTTGTCAATTATTGGTCGACCGCTAGAGGTCGCCCTAATTTTTTTTTCGGCTTTATCTATCTATTGTGGTTATGTACAGGTGTTTACAAAAATTTTATACCTTCTTAATAAACAAAATAAATTCAATAATTAAGAAAAAATTACTAATTAATATTATTATTAATTACATTGTAATTAATTCGCGTTTGTTTGCAATGTTTCGACATCTAAAAATCAACAAAAGTAAGTAGACCTTAATAAATAAGTATATATATACATATATTTATATACAGTAAGAAATATATATAAAGTTTTTAATTTTTTATTATTTAACATTTGCTTCATTTTTAATTTAGTGTTAAAGGATCGATCAATATTTTTATTCTAACCTCAAAATGATTGTTTACCGGTATATATAGGTGTTTTTAAGTTGATGCGACCCAACCCAACTCAACCCAACCCCTCCTCCTCCAAGTTATAGCCCTCTAAAGTTAAGGGAAAAAATCTGCAATTTGCCTATCTCTTGACATTTTACAACTAACACATTGTTAGTTTAATCACAAAAAATAAAATAATGCTGAGATCAACTTGACATAACTTCATTTTTTTGACTAATAACCGATCTCTGAATTAATTCACTTGAGCCTGTGTATTATTTTATTTTTTTGTGATCAAACAATTTTAGCAGAAAATGTTAAGAGACAAATAAGTTGCGTGTTGAATCCCTCTATTTAAATCAAGTTTTTAAATAGCAAAATGTAGACGCATTAAAAAGTTCTGATGCAAAGTATTATAGGGATTGATATTTTCAGCTCCTTGTCGTCAAAAAGTGTCATTTTATTAGCAACAGTTATCTACTAAATTTCATTCTTCTAAATTCCTCCATAGTGGATTTATTAAATAAAAACAATTTTTTCCCCTAACTTTATAGTGCTGTAACTCCGTGGGGAAGGACTTTTGAACAAAAAGTTATATGAAAGACCCCCCTTAATTTTTGCTGAAAAATCACTCCTTGAAAGATTTCGCTTCAATTTAGAAACACCTGTATATATAAATAACAGGGTGGTTCAGTTTTTAATCTGGAAACTTTAATATTATATAATAATAAACATATAATTTTATTATATATTTATTTATAATAAACTTTATTATTCAATAATAAAATCAAAACAATAGATATTTGAAAAATCGGTTTAATTAATTCAACCGAGCCTTTCATTGACCACAAATGCACCTCAACTAATAATGGTTTTATTAATAACCATGCCGAAATTGGAAAATTACCGCGCACATACACCGCCGGAATGCGATAATTAAATAGCATGCGTTAATATGAGCATTAGTGGCTAATTCTATCTCTATTCTGGGCAATACTTTTTCATTAACAACCATTCAGTCTACTTGTCGAAGATTTTCCGGGGGTTTTCAGCAATGCTCGCCATTTAAGCCTCTTTTCCGTACGCCAAAATCACCCTGTGCGTTCAAATTATATTTATTGTATACATATATTAACTCCTTTGTATCATTTAATGGATACAGTACTATAAAAACCAATTTAAATTAATTGATTTAATCAATTTAGAAAATGCGTTTTCCTCTGCAAATATCTTCAATATATCCAAATAATTGGTATCCAAAGCGTTGCCTTGTCCTTTGTGCTCATCAATTGTCAGAATCATTGTCTTTAGTCCCTTGGAGGAAACCTTACCTTATTGTTGTTTCTGGAAAAAAATGTTCTAACTGCTATAGGTGTCTTAAAATTTTGTCTTTGTGCAACGAAGGTGTTTCGGATTATTATAAATTAAATAACTGAGATTTCCAATTTTTTCAAGCATGCATATAATTATATAATTTATTACTGAGCTATTAAAGGACCCAAATTGATCGCGTCATTTAAATATTTTGCGAAGCTGGCTTTTTAATTTAATTAATAAATAAAAAGCCGAATTTTTAATTTTTATTTAATGTATTATTTTAGGTGCCTGGTATACTTTTTTTCATCACATTGGAAGAATAAATTTATCTCTCGCGATCGGACAATTAACATTGTAATATACCGATAAATAGAAAGAAAATAATAATACATTTCCAACGAAAATTGAATAAATCCTTTATAAGTATGTTATAATGCAAATATTGGAATCGACGGGGATGGTATAAACATGCTGAATTTCAACAGTTTGCGTGGGTATTATAGGAAGATCGGCAGATGTCGGGTGGATTCGCGGACCGGGCATATGATTACAAATAGAAAGCCCGGCAACTTTCGATAGTATTTGTTTACGATTCGAGCCGATAACATCTAGATAAGATACAACCGTTGCTTGGATAGGTCGACGCTTCCTCTGAAGCTAAGTTGACTTTAAAACTTATAAAATACTGAAGATTTCCAGTTTTTCTGCAAATATGGGTGTTAATTGGCTCGCACACGTTTATGTTCATCATCCTTTTAAGATCATTATCACGATTTCTCTTCTTTCTGGAACTTGTTTAATTCTTCCTTTTGTTATAAGAGATTTTCCGAACTTTAGTGATCCCCAATTGGTAAGTAATACTAAAATTTTATTTATACATAAAATTAAAAAAAAAATCATTTTAGGGCTATCAAACAAGAGGCACACCAATGGCTAATAAGTTGACGACTTGGTTCAATTTAATTGAACAGACCAAGGAGGATGGAATTTTTACCACAAACCCCATGGAATATTTATATAGAAAGAATATTACCACTTTTTCTTTGAATCGCAATAACACAGCCCAAGAACTAGATAACAAGGTTTATGGAAAGGTGCTTAATTCATCTAAAAGACGGGTAAAAGAAATTATTAATTATCATTCTAACACAACAAAACATTATTTCCAAATAACTAACAGCAGCAACTTTCTGCAGGTAAAGATTTATATTTGTTGTTATTTTTCGTTCAATAAACTTTATTGCTCATTTTTGTTAGCGCCATTCGTTTACACAAAATCATCCTCATCAATTTATTCGCGTAATTGTTTTTAATAGAAACTGACCCGCAGCATATTCAATGGAACCTCCCAAGATCACAACTGGTTTCAGTTACGCCTCTTTTTCGTGGGTAACCAAAAACACAAGATCAGCGAAGAGGATTGGGACCGACTCAGCGCTGGCAAATCTGGCTACTTTTGCGGTTCTCCACGTAAGTAAGAAAAGTTAACCAAAAAATTATTAATATGTTAAAGAAAATTTTAAACTCAGATCCGGATTATTCTCATGTCGTCTTGGAATCAGCCTATGGACACGATTTATTCACATTACAATCCCTTCAAGCAATCTGTCGCATGCAAGATGTTTTAACCCAAAATAAACTATTTAAAGGACTTTGTGTTAGACGTATAAAAAGTAAACAATGTTGTCGATGTTGGTCCCTTCCAAATTATGTAGCTCTCCTGAATGATCGTGAATCTTGTCGAGATATTACGGTAAGATTTTATCAATAGAAAATTTGTTTTATATTAATTTTTAATTAATGTAAGGTTAATGATGTAGAAAAAACGAAAGAGTTATTACGAAATTGTTCGCATTATTATCACAGTGCGAAATTAAGCTACGATTGCAGCCAAGAAAACGAAGCATGTCATCTTCCTGCTCATTGTTCAAAACATAATGCTGTCTTTAGTATTATGAATTATTTAACAAGTACTTCATTTTTGCCACCAAATGTATGTATAGAAAAAAAAATTAATAATGACTTGTATTTATTCTTTTTTGTAGAAAACTGAAGACATAAAATTACACCAAACAATAATTTTTATTCCGGTTGCTTGTTCTTCTGTTATGTTAGATTATTACAATGAAATTGTAGTTGCTACATTGAATTTCGATGGAATTTCAATTGTAGCAAGTGAGTTTGGTTTAAAAAGTTTAGTTTTTGAGCAATATTTAATTAGAGATTCTTGGCTACTCAGTTTTGGTGCTTTGTTTGTTTTTGTAACCATGTGTTTTTATACACGATCAATATTTCTTACTATTATGACAATAATTGGCATATTATTTTCACTTGGAGTTTCATATTTCCTGTACAAGTTCGTTTTTAACCTGGATTATTTTCCGTTCATGAATCTGTTGACCATCGTTATCGTTTTAGGTACGACATATTAATCACAATATTTATATATTCATTTTTTAATCATTTTTTTTATTATTTGTTTATAATTGTTTTGTTAGGTATCGGTACTGATGATGCGTTTGTGTTTTGTAATATCTGGAAAATGCAGAAAGAATCTTTCGGGGGTCCTTTGGTTAAGGTGATGTCTTCAACGTTAGATCACGCAATCGTTTCGATGATAATAACATCATTTACGACCGCGGTAGCTTTTGCCGCATCATATATTAGTTCAATAACGGCAATTAAGTGTTTCAGGTGAGTTAGAAGTTATTAAATTTCGAGTAATATTATTTATTTATTTTTTGTAGTTTATTTGCGAGTATTACGATTATGATTAACTGTTTTATGATGATATTTTGGTTCCCACCTTGCGTAATTATTTGGGAAAACAAGTTTCGATCGATGAATAGCACCTCAAAATGTACGCGACCGATTTGGAAACGATTTTCGCGACAATTTCGTCGCCTTAGTCCAAGTTGGATAATTACATTGAAAACTATCTTTATCGATTCAGTTATAAGATTTAGACACACTTGGTTTTGGACGTTATCACCGGTGGCTGTTGCGTGTGGAATTGTTGTTTTTTATTATCCAAAACTTCAGTTACCCAATACCAACGAATTTCAATTATTGCATAATTCACATCCTTTCGAGCAATATGAAATGCATTATAGTAAAATGTTTTGGTTCAGTAAATCATTGAGGGTTAGTTTTACAAAATAATTTTTTGATATTATTTTGATGTTAATTATATTTTTTAGGAAGATCAAAAAATGAAATTACCACTAAGATTTGTTTGGGGAGTTGTTCCCCAAGATAACGGAAATTACCTTGAACCATTATCGTATGGAACTTTACAACTCGACGAAAGGTTTAACATGTCTCACCCAGATTCGCAGGTTTGGTTGTTAAATTTTTGTCGAAACATCCGCGAACATTTTTTTCATGGAATAAATTTGGGTTTGACGCTTACAAATTGTTTTATCGAAACGTTCAAGGAATGGATGAAAAGGAAATGTGAGGATGATATGGAAAACGTAAATCATAGCCCTTGCTGCGAAACGGAAACATTTCCGTTTCGCAGCTGGGTATTCGAAAAATGTGTTGTCGAAGCGATTGCTTATCTTTACAAAACACCACAAGCTTTTCGTTCACACGGTTTTGCAGGCCCCAAATTTTCAAAAGAAAATGATCCCGTTATTAAAGCCTTGGTCATTGAATTCCAGAGTAACTACACATTTTCATTATCCTATAACCACATGGAAGAATTTGTAAATGAAGTGGAAACTTGGTTTATTAATGAATTAGAAACTGCACCAGAAACGATGCGGGGTGGCTTTTTTATCAGTAACACCGACTTTTACGATTTACAAAAAGTTTTGTCCGAAGGTACAGTAACAGCTGTAATAGTATCAATGACTTTGTCGCTAATAGTGTTGTATTTGACAACGCTAAATATCATCACAAGCACTTTTGCTATCATGAACATCACTTGTAATGTTGTAGTAACGCTGGCATTTTTAATTTTATTAAAATGGACCTTAAATATTATTGAATCAATGTCTATATCATGCGCCATTGGTTTAGCCGTTGATTTTCCGCTACATTACACGGTCAGTTACAAATTTCAATCGTCTAATCATCAAAATAGACTCAGCATTGCTCGACAAGCTTTAACGAATATGTTAACACCGGTTACGATGTCCGCTTTAACAACCGGAGTAGTCGGTGCTTTAATGTTACCTTCAAGGGTAATGGCTTACATCCAAATCGGCACGTTTCTTATAATCGTTGTAACCATAAGCTGGATATACTCGACTGTTCATTTAATATCAATGTTGGCTTTGTTTGGACCCATACGCAATTTTGGCCAATGTACCTACAAACGATTATTTTGTAAGAAAACGGAAAGGAGGCCGAACCCTCTTCGAAGAGTTCCTCCGAAATCCGATGAGCACGAGATGGATTTGCTAACGGTTAAACCAAGTACTACAAATATTAAACCTCCCTCTTCATCTTCAAACCAATCTCCTTCGGGTGTCAGTGTAATCACGGTTACAACGCAACCCGAAGAAATTTGATTACAATCGAATTTCCTAATAAAAAGATCCCCGCTTAACTCAACATACGTACTTAACGTATGTTCAATATTAAGAGTACCAAATCATTACATCAATAGATAAATCTGTTAATGTAACTTAAAAGAACTTATTAAATAGGAGTTCAACAATTTTTGTGACACTTCAGGGGTGTTTCTAATGAACATACGATATATCAACGATAAAATCTTGGCTTTAAGTCTCATAACCCATCTTTCACCCCAAACACCTGAATGTTAACTGTGATAATTGTATGCATTTACAGTTTTGTAGTTTTTTATGTTGAATGTAAAAGCGGCTTTTGGAAACGTTCGAGAGTTTATCTTGGTGTTAACCGATAAAATCTTTTAATTTTTTGACAGACTTCGAAAGAAATATTATGATCGTTGGATATTTAAACGTTCTTTAAAGCCGTTTATGCATTTTTGCAGGAGGTTTTATCCACTTTATTCAAAAATATGTAAGTATATACTCTTGACTGTCTATGAATGTTAGATATTAATCTGTATTTGGAAATATTATAAATGTAACATTCCAAATGTACTTTAATAAAACTTAAAAGGCACTTACTTTTTTAATAATACATTTTTTTTTGATCAAATAATTATAATTCAATAATTAAAACAATTTTCAATGACTTTGTCAGTAATAGTGTTGCATTTGACAATATTAAATATCATCACAAGCACTTTTGCTATCATAAACATCACTTGTAATGTTGTAGTAACGTTGGCCTTTTTAATTTTATTAAAATGGACCTTAAATATTATTGAATCAATGTCTATATCATATAGGGTCAGTCATAAATTTGAATCGTCTAATCATCAAAATAGACTCGGCATTGGTTACGATGTCCGTTTTAACAACCGAAGTAGTCGGTGTTTTAATGTTACCTTCATCCGTAATGGCGTATATTCAAATCGGCACGTAGCTTATACGTGTTATAATCATAAACTGGATATACTCGACGATTCATTTAGGATCAGTATTCGCCTTGTTTGGACCAATACACAATTATAGACAATGTTCCAACAACCAATTATTTTGTAAGAAAACGGAAAGGAGGCCGAACCCTCTTCGAAGAGTTCCTCCGAAATCCGATGAGCACGAGCTGTTTGCGCACAATTTTGAATACACTCAAATTTCCTTATAAAAAAATCCCCGCATAACTCCTTAAAGAATATTTCAGACTTACGATCTAAGTATACAGCAAAAAGACTTAAAATGAAAAAAAAATAGTATTCTTGGAAAAATCGTAAGTCGGAAATAACGTATGTTCAATATTAGGAGTATCAAATCATTTTAATTAATGATTGATCCTTATTGTACCTTTAGTCACTATCTTCTTTGTTATTATCATTAATTTATATCCTTTATAACTTAATTTTCTTAAAATTGTCAACAAAATACTTTTGGAGTGCCATGATTTAACTAATACATAAATCTGTTAATGTATAATTATATTAAATATCTTATTAAATGGGAGTTCTATAATTTTTGTGGCTCTTCGGAAGTGTTTCTATTGAACATACGATATATCAATGATAAAACCTTGGCTTTAAGTGTAATAACCCTTCAATTCCCGTCTTTTACCCCAAACACCTGAATGTTAACTGTGATAATTGTATTTATTTACAGTTTTGTAGTTTTTTATATTGAATGTAAAGGCGGCTTTGGGAAACTTTTTTTTATTATTTTGACAGACATTGAAAGAAATTTTATGATCGTTGGATATTTAAACGTTCCTTAAAGCCGTTTATGCATGTTTGTAGGAGGTTTTGTCCTCTTTATTCTAAAATATATAAGTATATACTCTTGATTGTCTACGAATGTAATTAATGTACTTCAATAAAACTTAAAAGGCACTCCGTTTTTTGTTATTAATTCATTTATTTTTAATCAAATAATTATAATTCAATAATTACAATAATTTGATAAATCAATTTGCAATGACTTTGTCACTAATATAGAATACAATGGAATAGTGTTGTATTTGAACCGGTGTGAAGGTAGCAGTAGAAGATCGCAGTAGAAATTCCAAAAGTTACCCGAACGTCCATAGACATCCGCAAAATGGGGGCTCAATATGTTAGGTGTAGAAAACATTACGTTATTAAATTATAAAATTAATCGTGGCAAATTAGATGAGTTTAGACAAGATTTATACATACTTCAGGCGGGAAGAAAGTATTTTAACTGGTTACTACATTGAAGCGCCTTCCCCCAAAGTCCTCTTTAGGACCTGCTGGTAAAGTTTGAGATAGCCAAAGAAACAGTGGTCATTTCAAGATGTCAGAGCGTCTCCTCGGGGTGCTTTAGAGCCTTTACCACCGTTTTCACCACATTTCCCTTTTCCTTCTCCGGAATTACTATAAGGTATTTCGGACTTAAGCCTAGGTCACACGTAACGAGTACAGTGGCGAGACAGTAAAATGACACTAGGCCGAGAGAGTAGCGTGGCACTCGGTCCAGTAAATAGAATAGGGTCCGAGTGACTGTCTCGCCCTGGTACTATCTAGCCCTGGTAATATGTTTATACCAACCGAGGACTCGGCCGAGTACACTGTCTCGTACACTGGCTTAAGCCTAGGTCACACGTAACGAGTACAGTGGCGAGACAGTGTACTCGGCCGAGCGCTCGACCTAGTACCAGGACGAGACAGTCAGTCTAGTGTCATTTTACTGTCTCGCCACTGTACTCGTTACGTGTGACCTAGGCTTTACTGCAGGAGTATCCCCGCCCTACTTCCATCGACATCCTCCCATTCCACAATCTCGTGCCATGGGAATAACTTTTTAATCTAATTTTTGTTGTTGTTATCCTCTATGCCTTGCCCCACACATTATCATTTATTTCTGTGAGCAGAAATAAGCTTCTGTGAGTTTTTGTTGCTTTCTCTCCTGGATTTCGTTACTAGCAACATCGGCATTCTGCCAATACACCCGGTTCTATTTCTTCCTTTTTACCAATAAAACGTTGCATTTATATGTAATCTTCCATAACATTGTCGCAGGTGAGATCGGTTCCTCTTTCTCGAAGAGACCGAAGCATATCTCAATGTATCTCTTTATTGATAGATCGTTCGTGTGCCACATCAGTTGCTCTACCTACAAACTGATTGGTATCTTGTAAGGATACTTTACAACCCTCAATTTAGTTAAATCTAACCTAAATAATTCCACACAAAAACTTAAAGCGTTTTCGTTTGATAAGAATCATAAATTTGAAGAATCTCTGCATAAAGCCAGTTTAACAAATCGATATTCATTATAATCACTCATTAACCTTAGAGTACAAAACTTACCTAAAATTATTAACTTAACAACTACTATAACAATCACATATTTGTTTAATAAATAAAATAGTATAGACGGTCACTTCAATTTATTTCAATAAAAAAATAGCCGAAATTAAAAAAAAAATACAGAGAATTTTGATTAAGCCAAATCGAACGCCGTCATAAATTGACTCTGGCGTTTTTACGTAGTGAATGATGATTATGGGAGGATGTTAGCGATCATACGCGTATTATTGCAAAATTCGCAAGCACGTCGTATCGTCAACAGAAACCACTCCGCAGCTTGGCGAGATCTGAAGTGGAAATCAAGATCGCAATAGCCATTACGTCTATTGCGTTTCACAATCCTTAAGACGAAATCGACCCCGCGATACATTTCGCGGAGATTGTTAAGGGTGATTAAATCCCAAACGTGTCTCACTCTAACTATGGTGGTATCGTCATCAGCAGCTCTTTGCGCATGCGCACGATCTGGTTGTCCGTTAGCAGCCCTGCGACGTTCTCTGCGATTGGCGCGATTGCGATTCCTAATATACAAAAAAAATAGAAAAGGGTTGATGTAATAAATGTTATACGGACCTTCCCGCTTGATCAGGAGCTTCATCTGAGCTTGTTGACGATGACCTGTTCGACACAGGACTCAAGCTTCGTCGTCGTTGGGTTCCCGATCCTGATGCAGAATCCCCACGATCGTTGTTCCTGTTGTTTATTGGTGCCATCGTTCAATCGTTACTAATAATAAATAAATTCGATGAAATAATGCAAAAATGTTAAGAAAAAACCAGTTTTTTTACCTCTTGCAAAACTCAACGTGCGTCAGAGTCAAAAATCAAACTTAAAATGGCGGCTTTGACTGCGCTCGAAATGTTCTAGAACTTTCTAGAAGATTTCAAATAACACCGAAGTTTCTTTTTAAATTTATAAGACGACCTCTTTTTTGGGTGTATTACATCACGTTGTGATAATATACACTGATTTGGTAAATTAACTAATTCGTTTTAAAAAATTAATCTTCCCAAAAATCATTTGGCGCCATCTAACTTTTATAAACCGAACTAAAAATTTTGGAAAGTTGGGTTAGAATAAAATAGATGAGAAATATGTGAAAATTTGAATTAAAAACGGTTTTATTTATTGACCATGAACAAATTTAAATGTTATCATAAACATTTTTAGGCGAAATATAAAGGTTTAGTTACTTTGGACATTGAGTTGGAAGAATACAAGGGCTGTCGTGGCTATTAAGGGTTCTCACATATCCCGGTTCGCATAAGCAGCCTTTAATACACCATCTGTCACACTTAGGATCTCGTAAATTCTCGCAAGTTTTTACGCAATCCCATTGACATTCGTTGATGTATCTCTCATACTTTTTGCATTTTGGAATGGGTACGGTGTCACACATCTTTAGTGGGACGCACTCCAACATTTCGGGCGTTAATTTAATATAACCAGGCATGCAAAAGCATCCTTCCACACACCGGCCACAAGATCCTGATTCCTCGTTAGTTTGGTTACAAACATATGGGATGCAACTGTTACCGCATTTTAGGTAAACTGCGTTTGATCCACATTTACTATCTTGATTAAAATTCATTGTAGCTGAGTCTAATTAATTGAATTAATTTAAATCACAAAAAAGATTTCATTAAAAATTACTTACCGCACAGAACAACCAAAATCGTAACGATGAGAAGTGAAGTGTAAAATTGGGCCATTTTTAGTCTTTTTAAGTACACACCTCGAGTGTTAATGATTTAATGATAATTTAAAAGTAAAATCTTCTTTTTATACCTTAAATTACTCGGCATCAAATTAATAATCGCCAAATCGTGACGAATTAATTTAATTTTAATTCGCAGGTGTTCTAATAATTGATTTGGAATTTTTGATATTTCAAAAATAATTCTTGCTATTACTAATAGCCTAATATCTATATGATAAAACATTATGATTAATTTTAAAATATTTATGCAACTAAATCTACCGCAAACAACGTTATGTTTCTCTTCATTCATAGACGTCGCCCAAATAAACACCATTCAAGGTTGTTCTAATTATGACTCAAACCCCATCTTTTAAGAAATCCACGAACAATTCGCTTACAGGAAGAATTTACACTCAAAAGTAAAAAAATGGGCTTAAAAGAATTTAACATCACGTTCGACAACCCTTATCGAACATATTACGTTGGCCAAACAGTAACAGGAAGACTCGAAGTTGTGTTAGATTCGCCGAAGAAAATCAGAGGTATTTTATTGAAATTTAAGGGTGAGGCCAAAGTTAGATGGACAGAGCATGAATCAAGAACGAATCAAGAAGGGAAATCGGAAACCCAATCTGTGTCTATGACCGGAGATGAGGAGTATTTTAAAACGCAATATTATTGTTTTGGTGGAGCAAACGGTGTGTTTAGTTATCTTAAAAATAGCTCGCTTAATACATTTTGTTTTAGCTGATACGACCGAGTTACCAATCGGAAGCCACATTTACCCATTTACTTGTGTTTTACCACCAAATTTACCATCATCGTTTGAAGATGAGTACGGTTATATAAGATATACGATAAAAGCAATTATAGACCGTCCGTGGAAATTCGATCATGAAACCAAACAAGCATTCACAGTTTTATCTCAATATGATTTAAACTCAAATCCTAAATTAAGCGAACAAGCAAAAATAACCATGGAAAAATTTATGTGTTGCTGTTGGTGTCAATCTGGTCCGTTATCTTGTGTTGTAACGTTACCAAAAGCCGGTTATGTACCTGGCGAGGCCATACCTATTTTAGCTGAAGTCGATAATAACTCTAATGTTACGGTATCTAAAATTAAATTTGAGCTACAAAAAGTTATCACGTGTTATTCGCAATTTCCAAGGAGGGATTCCAAGAAATCAGTGCATGTTGTTGCGGTTTTAGCAATGGGACCGATTAATAATAACAGTTTGCAGCTTTACACTCCTACAATGACTTTACCACCACTACCACCATCTAATTTAGTTCATTGCAATATTATTGATTTGGATTATGCTTTAGAAGTAAATATTTTGATATTAACGAAATTCTAGGATTAAAAATTTTTTTTTAGATAGTTTTAGATATAGATGGGTGCCACAGCAATTTAAGTAAATCCATACCAATTTCAATAGGCACAATTCCGTTAAAGGTATCTCCATCCGCACCACCATTAACCCCACCTCCATCCGAAGGAGGCCCATTGTTGGGGTGGGTCTTAGACGGACAGGGTAAGTGAAAAAATTTACAAAGTATTAACTTCTAATTATTATCTTTTTAGCACCTACTTTTGGAATGTACAATTACGGAGCAACAAATTTACAAGATCGGGATGATAATCAGCACACGATGTTCGATACGGAACCATTTCATCCAATGTATCCAGTTTATAAATTCACGAATGGTCCTCAAAGTTAATCTTTAGAGATTTAAGAGGGGTTTGGTGCTTTTTCAGATTTATTTACCTCAATTTTTGCTGTTGTTTTTTTGATATACTTGCGAAATAAATTTAATAATTTTGCAATGCGTTTTTTTAAGCTACTTAAACAGATATGATGAGCTGCAATTCCCTACCATAAAGCTTATTTTTTACATCTACAGGCTGTCCCGCAACGATTGTACAAAACTACATCAGCGTATTCTATGATCAAAAATAAACAAAAAAAGCCTAATAAACATAGGTCCGAAAATGGACCATTTTCGAGATATTCAAAGATTTAGTTTCATAAGTTGATATTGTTAACATCATGAATTTAAATTTGTTTTTATAATAATTAAGTCGTTACTATGATTACGATAAGTTGTCTAATCAAAAAAAAATAATAATACTTCACGAAATTATTATTTTACTATTTAATTTAATAAAACTATTAAGTATGGCTCCTATTAATTACTCCAAGGAAGAGATGGCGGATATGGTGTATTGTTACGGACTAGCTGATGGAAATGCGTCGTTAGCAGCTCGTCATTACGCGCAAAGGTTCCCGAACAGACGATTGCCTAATAGTCACACCTTTAGCAGACTATTTCTCAGATTAAAAGAAACGGGAAGCGTAACCCACAGCCATTCCACGGAGAGACATTACACAAGGCCGGTGGAATTAGAAGAAGCAGTTTTGAGAAGAGTCGATGAAAATGCCTCAACCAGCATTAGAAGAATTTCTGCACAAGAAAACATTAACAAAACAACCGTTCACCGCATTTTAAGGGAGCAGTTGCTTTATCCTTATCATTACAACACCGTTCAAGCTCTAACAGAAAATGATGGCGAAAAAAGAGAGATTTTTTGTAGGTGGGCCATACAGGAAGAGGTAGTAAACGTCGACTTTCCCATAAACATTGTATTTACGGATGAAGCAACATTTACTCAAAGCGGAATTTTTAATATTCATAATGCGCACGTTTGGAGCGATGAAAATCCCCATGCAATACTAGAAACTCATCATCAGTGGCGATTCAGTGTTAATGTATGGGCTGGAGTTATAGGTGATCAGTTATTAGGTCCATTTTTTCTTCCAAAGAGATTGACAGCCGATGCCTACATACATTTTTTACAAAATGACCTTACAGAGGCATTTGATGAATTACCTCAACAAATTCTAGAAGATTGCTACTTTATGCACGATTATGCACGCGCTACTCGAGCATACTTAAATAACAGATTTGGCAATAAGTGGATTGGCCGAGGAGGGCCACCTCGTTCACCAGATTTAAATCCGTTAGATTTTTGGTTTTGGGGACATTTAAAACAAATTGTTTATTCTGAAGACGTTCAAAATGTGCAGGATTTGAAGAATAAAATTAGTAACGCATTTGACACAGTAAAACAAATTCCTGGTATCTTTGAACGCATTAGAAGTTCATTTAGAAAACGTATCCGTTTGTGTTTAGAAGTAAATGGTGCGCATATTGAACATTTATTATGACATGAATCTTTTCCAATTTGTTAAATATTCGTTGTTTTTATGCTGGTTGAACGATTTTCTTCGACAATCTTTGTTACTTGTTTTGTTAAATTATTAATGAACTGTATTAATTAACTTAATATTATCTTATTATTTATTAAACTTTATCTTAACCATCGTAACCATGGTAATCATATAATTACTGCATCTAAATCGTTAGAATTAATGATGTTTACAATAGGTCAGCTTATGAAACTAAAAGTTTGAATATCTCGAAATTGGTCCATTTTCGGACCTATGTTTATTAGACTTTTCTTGTCTGTTTTCGATCAGAGAATACGCTGATGCAGTATTGTACAATCGTTGCGGGACACCCTGTATATATCACTTGGAAGCCAAGGCAGCTTTGTCGAATCGAAAAACAGACAGTAAACCTGATTTTTTACATTCATGTATCATTTTAAAGTTTGAGAAATTATGCTACTGAGGTAATAGAATGCAAGTCTTCTTAATCTTACATTGTTTATCTGGTCCGGATGTCATATCCTTGTTCACTGCTGTTCACCTGTTATTGTTGAAAACCACATCCTAAGATTCTTGAGCCATCAATTTCTCCATCGACCCAGACCTCGTTGCCCAGGAATCTTCTCCTATATATTGTGTAGTAAACCAGACAAATGAGATAAAACACAGGGATGAGGAAGCTAAAGACAAGAAATTACAGGATTGATTCTATTAAAAATTAAAAGAAATAAAAACATGGGTCACCTACATGGCTGAGCTATTCTAAAACCTACAATTAAAAATATTACCCAAACTTACATCACTGTTAGCGTTTTATTATTATGATTAGCGAGAAACAATTAATAATATTTTTTTGGAAGTATTAAAAAAATTTAAGAGTCAATTAAAAAATCAATAAGTACATATATATTCCATTAAATAATAATGAAGGTTGCTGATTCATGAAAATTTATTCGTTAATCTACGTTTAATAATCTATATTTTTGATAAAATTTTAAGATCTTATTTGTATTTTGTATCATACATCAATCATCGATCGAGGATGGGCAAATTCAAAATATCACTCAGAATTTATTTTTAGGAATAATCAATTTTTGTTTCAATTTAATACTAAAAGACCTTTTTCAGTGGAAATCATTAAGGATTATGAGTAATTTAGCAATTTTTATGGGAGAAAAAATATATTACATTTTAGATATAAAATGATAAATCATTTATCAAGCTTTGTCTGATTCGATAAATGTGTGTTTATCGGTATAATTAGTTTCTAGCGCGATTAATCGTTAGCGCGGTTCCATTTTTTTTAATGTATTTTCGTTACTCTACTAATTATGGAGCTAGGAAGAATAAATTTAGTCTTAAATAAAAATGATTGTGTGTATTCTCCGGGGGATATAATTCAAGGCCGTTTAGAAATTGATATGCCGATTCAAAAAAAAATTAGAGGTAAAATAAGTTTATTTTATAACAACACATTTATTCCTCTGTGATTTGAGTAGGTATTTATATAAAATTTAGTGGTGATGGCGGTGTTCGATTTCAAAATGTTATGGTTATATCCAATACTGGGAAAACTCAAAGTGTTTTATCGTACGCGGATGAAAAATATCTTCATTATAAACACGAATGCTTAAAAAATACGGGTAAGTTTAATCTAATTGTTGTAATGGAACGTTGGAATGTTGATATTTAGGAAGTTGTGCAATATTGGCGTCAGGAAAACATATTTACCCATTTTCTTGTCATTTACCGTACGATTTGCCGTCGAGTTTTCATCACGAATATGGAACGATACGTTATTTTTTAAAAACGGTCATCGAACAAAATAGGGGATTTAAACAAAGATCCTACAAAGACTTCTATGTTAAATCTTACCTTAATTTAAGATTATATCCAAAGTTGCAGGTAAGAAGATTCTTAATAAGAATTTCATGTTTATTTACTTATTTTTTTAAGGAAAATCGTGTAATAAGTTTAATAAAAAAATCGTCGTTTTTGTGGTTAAAAAATATAAAAGTAAAAGTAAATATTAAATTACCCAAAACTGGTTACGTTGTTGGCGAAACCATTTCTATGTACATCGAAGTGATAAACATGTCCGAAAGAGACATTTTAGATATCGTTTTTAATTTGCAACAAGTACTATTTTAGTTGGGGGAAAATTTCTTGTTTATTAATTTGTTTTTAGACCCTCCAATTTTACGCTCATTCCCCGAAGAAAGATTCAAAAACAATCCATGTCACTTTATCTTCGAGTCGTTTAGGTTTACAACCAGCTAGGAGTGCTCAAAACTTTAATCATCAATTGATCATACCGGATTTTTCGCACGAGAGTTTAAGCGGCTCAAAAATAATTAATCTTAGATATTATCTTGAGGTAAGGCTTCTAAAATTCTTTCAATTTTTTTATAATTTTTTTTAGATTATTGCTATTCGTGGTGACCACGAACAATTTTCAGAAAAAGTACCGATTACAATCGGAAATTGGAATGTTTAGGTTTATTTAAAGTTATATGTATGAATAAATGCGATTACTATAAAAATAAATAGAAAATTATAGCGGTCATACTTGAAAAACAGACAGTAAAGCTTATTTTATACATTTATATAACAATTGGAAGCCAAGACAGCTTCACTGCCGAGGTAACAGGCTACCTATACTTCTAAAAAGACATTAAAACTATTATTGAAGTGAATTGTATTATTTTATTTCCGAAGCAACTGTGCTGCTGAGGCAGTAGCGCGATTACCATAAAAATAAACTGTGAATATTATTAACGATAAAGTGATAAATATGAGACATTTAGATATCGTTTTTAATTTGCAACAAGTACTATTTTAATTGGGGGAAAATTTGTTGTTAATTAATTTGTTTATATACAGTATAATTTTACGCGTATTCCTCGACGATATATTCAAAAACAATCCATGTCAGTTTATCTTCGAGTCGTTTATGTTTACAACCAGTTAGGAGTGCTGAAAACTTTTATCATCAATTGATCATACCGGATTATTCGCACGATCAATAATCAATCTTCGATATTATCTTGAAGTAGTAAGTTTCATAAAATTCTTTCAATATTTTTATAAATTTTTTTTTAGATTATTGCTATTCGTAGCGACCACGAACAATCGGAATGTTTAAGTTTATTTAAAGTTATACGCATGAAAAAATGTGATTAAAAAATTTATTAATAAAAATTAGTGCCATATTTTTGGCCTTCTTGAAATTGATTTTGTGTGAATAAGTTTGACTTTTGTGCGAAACTGTAAATTCCGGTGTTCTTGGTAACGTAGATAACACGCGATAAGGGGATTACCACGTTATGACAATATATAATATATATATAATTTTTTATAGACTCCTTGTTAGTGTATTTGGAACCAGTTATTAATTCGGTTGTTAACTTAATTCGAATTTGTTTCAATATTTTTTAAGATGGTTATTAAAGATCTTAGTTTGCAGCTAAATAAACAAAATCTTGTTTATTTTCCCGGCGAAACCATTTCTGGTTATCTCACGTTCTTTGTACATTCTTCAAAAGAGGTCAAAGGTAAGGTTTGAAATATATAAATAAAATCGAGCGAAGTAATTTTTTTTTGATTAATTTTTTTAGTAAATGAAATTTATGTTAAATTTAATGGGATAGCGAAAGTTTCTTGGAGTGTTAGCGACTCAAGTGGAGATTCAAGCGATGCAACAACATACTCATCGAACGAAAACTATTTTAAGTACAAATTTGATATTTTAAAAACAACCGGTAAGTTTCCTTTTTAATTTTCGAGTCAATTTTAAATTAAAATAATTTTTTTCTAAGATTTATCCCCTGGGAAGCATTCGTACCAATTCATTTTTTATCTACCAAACGAAATCCCATCAACTTTTAAGGGATATCATGGAGACGTTACTTATACTTTAAAAGTGCGAGTGAGAGTGCCATGGAAACTTACTTACAAATACGAATGCCCAATTAACGTTGTACCAAACATCAATGTTGATTGTTTTCCTTTACTAGCTGTAAGTAAATTTATTTATAACATAATCAATCAACTCTTATCAGGAGTCGATTAGATTTCTTTTAGATTTTAAATACTTACATTATTTTTAGTTGCCCCGTCGAATGTTTTTAGAAAAAACTTACAGCTCCTGTTGCACCGCGGGGGAAATGGATCTCCAAATAACATTCCCAAAAACAATTTATAGATGCGGCGAAACGATCCACATCACTTTAGATTTGGAAAATCGTTCGAATGTCAGAGTAAAAGATATTGTTTTTAAAATACAAAAACACGTCGAATTTATTTCGAATTTTCCGAGATCATTAAAAAAAAAGAAAGTTTTAACAGTGCAAAAACTCCATACAGAAGCGATTACTGGTGGGAATAGGCAATTTATTTATATCATTCCAATCCCAAACGATTTAGAAATCTACGATTTAAGTTATTGCTCAATCATTAATTTTAGTTATCTTTTAAGCGTTACTGTTAAACTAGGAGGTTGTATGAAGTTAAAGGATAGTGTACCTTTATTAATTTACAATTAAGATTAGAAAAACACAGCTATTTATTTATTGTCATTCAGACTTACATTTAAAGTTAAACTCAAAAAAAACTGTACAAACAAAAAACAACAACGAGTAAACGCAGAGAATAAATAAATATTCATTTCAGTCTATATTAAATGACTCAAATGACTTTTTAAACGCCTTTAAAGCTAATACTCTTTTTTTGGAGGAACATTAAGGAACACATCTCGAATTAAAGTTACGTTAAGTACGAATAAAAAATCTTAATTTAAATATCACGTTCATTCTATTTTTTTTCAAGCTGCTTGCGCAAGCCGAAGATTTCTTCATTGCGTCTTACAGCGATGGCTTTAACCTGCTGATATTTTTCTTTAATTTTCTTGTTTTCAACAAGAAGTTTATCCCTTTCATCCTATTAAAAAAAAAAAATCAATGTATTTTCGGAAATCTTATATCTTCTTTAGAAAGGTCATCATGGGATTTAATAATGAAAAAGATGTTGATTGATAAAAAGATGGTATCATATGTAATATGATATGTAATGTCTTGAAAGTAGTAATCTCTGCCGTCTCAAGTGTTGTCCCTCAAACTTGGGGTGGCAGCGATTATTTCTTATATCCCGAAGAATACTTGGGCGGCCCCAAGTTTGAGAGACAACACTTGTGTTGAAAAATGAAGATATAATTTCGAGGTCTACTTAACATACAGAGAATGAAAGACGATGACAGTCCCAAGAAAATATCAAGTCAAAATTCATTTTCATAAAACTTTTTGGTTGGAAAATATAATTAAAAATTAACTTACCAATTCTGCCATCAAAGAACTACGTTCATCTTGAACTTCTTTCAGCTGCTTTTGTAATTGATCATTTGATTGTTGTAAATTTGTGATTAGTTCATTGCAAACTTCTAATGAAGACTGATAATACCAATCGGTCGACGTTTCCTTTTTCGACGCCAGTTTTTCGCATTCCATATGAAATATTTGTAAATCCTTTTCTTTACAATTGGCACATTCGGTTTCTTTTCCTTGTTCCTTTTCTCTTTGCGTATCTTGAGCGACTCTTCTTTTCGTTTTCCACGGTGCAACCCCGGCGGCGGCGGACGTAGTTGGAGATTCGCATTCGCATCGTTGTTTGTACCGTCGTAATTCTTTATTGCTTGTATGTAATTCGGACCGCAATTGTGTCAGTTCAGCATTGAGGGTTTCTTTCGCTTTACGTTCTTCAATTTCTTTTTTCTGCGCTGATTGGATCGCTTCTTCAAATTCTTTCTTTTGATCGAGTAAACTCTGTTGATGTTTGCGCTCTTTTTGCTTCGACTCGTGTTCCAAACAGCGTATCCTTGTAGTCAAACCACTATTTTCTTCTTCCATATCGCTTAATTTTCGCATATATTTTTTGAGTTTGAATTCCATTCGTTGATCGGGGGAGTTCGATTTGATCCGTTTTTGGAGAGCTTCAGTATCAGCGTTTAATCGGGTAATATTAGTGCGTTGAGTGTGGATTATAGCCCCTTGTTCTTGAGTGAGTATTTCGACCGATTGCAATTTATTCGCCAACTCGAGCTTTTCGCGTTCTAATTGCTTTCTTATTGCCTTATTTGAGTCGTGAGATGATTTTAAGCTCAAAATGTAAGAGTCGCGTTCACATAGCAGTTTACTGTACTTTTCAACATTTGCTTGAGTAATTTCGTTTTGTTGTAAGAGCTGTTTGTTTTCCATTACTAACATGTTGTAGCGTTTTTCAAACGTGCCTTGAGCTTGTTGGATCCTCATCCGTAATTCTTGACTCTCCTGAACTGCCATATCCACTTTTTGGTCGGCGGAAGAAACGTATGCCGCATAGTCTTCGTTTTGGTCCAATAAATTGTTGATTTGTTTTTCGTTATCTTCCGCTTGCACTTTTTGTTGCCAATTTTCGTCGCGTAATTTTTCGTTGACTTCAAGTAAATTATTTAATTCCGTCCGTAATTTTGTGTTATCATCGTTAATCTCGGAGATTTTTTGTTGGTATTGGCTAATCATGCGTAACTTTGAATCGCAGAGGGTATGTAACGAATCCACTTTATCAGATAAACCAGCTATCGTTTCTTCGTATTTTTTTATTTTACTCTCGGTAAGACGAGTATGAGCTTCTGCAGTTGTTCTTACATCTTCTAATTCTCCTCGTAATTTATCGCAAGTTTCGGCTTCTTTTTGGCTACTTTCAATTGCCTCTTGATAGTTGGCATACAGGAGGTTATATTGTTCTTGCGCCGAACGAATTTCATCTCTCGAGGTTTCTTTGTAAGTTTTATAGGTGTTTCGTAAATCGGCATTTTCCGCCTGTAAGTGTGAAAGATCCTTAGACATAATTTGCATATTTGTGTGTAATTGATTCAATTGTTCTATTAAATGTTTGTTTTCCTCTGTTACTTTATGAAGTTGTTGGCCGATTTCGGTTTGAGTATTTGCGCTGGATTGAGCTTTCGTAATTTTTTCTTGCAGACGTATGACGGTTTCTTTAAGTTGTGTATTTAATGTAGTGCTTGCTGAAATCAATTCCATTTTGCTTTTAATAGAATTTTCTGCCGATTGTAACCTGTTAAGTAAATGGGCGTTTTCTGTTTGTACCTCGTCCAATTCTTTCACTTTTCCGGTTAATTGTTGATTTGCTGTTGTTATATCCGAATTCGATGCTTGGAGGCGCGCAATCAATTCTTTTTTGGCGTTAAGATCATCTTCAAGTCCTTTTTTAACCCCCTCTAATTTACTAATTTCTGCTTGCTTATCAGCAAATAATGTTTGTAAGTTTTCATAGTTGCTTTTAACTGTTTTGTATTCATTCTCGATTTTGAGACTGTCTTCGGACATCTTCAAAGTTTCCATCTCACTTGTTGATTTCACATCATCGATAGTTTTGTTTAAGTCTTCATATTTCTTTTTTAATTCTGTGCATTCTTCTACTTTGCGCATGTATTTCCTTTCAAATTTTTTCTCTTTGTAGGACGATTCTTGGTAGTTTTTGAACATTTCGTTGTATTTAATGCTTGCAGCTTTAACCTGATTTTTGAGCTCATCTCTCGCTATATGCTGCATTTGTGTCATTTCGTCCTCTAAGTAACGATTTCGCTGTTTAAGATGAGTGATTTCGTCATTAGAGGACTCGACGTCTAATAAGTATCTTTCGACTTGATTTTGTAACGTGGTGATTCGGTTTCTTGCCAAGCTCAAGGACTCTTCCATTTCAATGCTTTTTGAATTTCCTGGGCCGCGTGATAAAACTTGGGAGAGACTCAATAAATCATCGCTGATTTCGCGGAAAGACGGTTCGTGCAAACATAAATGGATATTTTGTAATGAGCCACTGCTGGCGGGTTTTAATTGTTTAATTTCTGATTCTTTAAGAGAGGGTAAACTTTTGACGCGGAACAACCCCCCTGTCACTTTTTTCGAGTCTTCAGCTTTCAAGGTTTTCAAGATATTCTTTAAATCTTTGGATTTAGATTCATAATAAAGGTCCATAAATTTGACAAGTGATCGGTACGCTTTATTTTGCTGTGATAATGCTGCCATTCTTTTTTCGTACGCGTCAACGCTTTGAGACAACTCCAAGAGTTCGTCTTCGGCTTTCTCCAAAGTAGTCCTGGTAGTTTTTAATTCTAGCATTTTAATGACGTGCTCCTTCTTTAAGGTTTCAAGGTAACCATCTTTATCCACTAAATCTTGTTCTGAATGTTGAAGATTTAGTTCCAGGATACGCTTCTCTCTTGTTAACTCGTCTATGTTTACCTTTAGTGAATTCACATCATCAAGTTTTTTCAGGTTTTTCTCCAGAATCTTATCTAGAGCCATTTGACTATCGCAGACTTTTTCGAAAACTAATTTACTAGCTTCTTGGGGAAGTGTTTTATATAATTCATTTCTTAATAATGAAATCTCTTGATTGGCTCTGCACAAGTTGAACTCCAAATCTTGGATTTTTAGAGCGTCCGATTCCAGCTTGCTCGTGCTAGGTTCCTCGGCGAGTCTTTTGTGAGTTTCAGCCAATCTAATTTTTTTTAAAAGGACGAAAAATAAATCAGTTAACATAAAGCTATTTTGTTTTGGGTACTTATTAAAAGCTCGATATTTTATTATAATTTTCTAGGCTTTATAACGCAGCGAGAGCATTGAATGTGCTACAAAAAAATTATGTATTTGCAACGGCGTGATAGATTACATGTAAAGTATGGAAAATACAAATTAGGAAAAATGCTGAATTTTACAACAACTATATAACAAGCACATAATAATGTATAACAAAACATAAATAAAAAAGACTATTATGCACTATCGACAAAACATAGGCAACAAAGACTGGAGGAGACCAAATTAAGCGAGTGAATTTAGGTAGTCCTTCGCGGAGAGTTGCTCAGGCAACCAAATCCATAGTGCCTAATAGCCCAAAGGGTTGGATCAACAGTCGCAGGGGATCAGTTTAATGGGAAAAGATAGATTTATTTTACCTACATAAAAGAAACAATACGAATTCATCTAATTTTCATATTTTTATCGATATTTATGCATCTGAGAGCAAAAGTTGTCAAAATTAAAGTATAAACTCGGGATAAGTAATTATCTTGCGATTGTTGAACCGGCCCTAAGAGAATACATGCCCTCAATTTTGCAAAAATATAAAAAAACATCTTTTCCTTTAATTATAAAAATCAATCCCGAATCAAAGCTCACAAAATCGATTATGGATAAGTAATCTAATAGGAAAGAATAATGGTGTCTCGCCACGTTCATCACAAAAAATTAGAAAAATTAATTCTTAACTTTGCAAATTGAATTGGTTTATCGAGCATAAATGGACCCTTCAAGTGCAAAAAAAAAAAATAAAAACGATTAAAAAGCATGGTTGTTTTAGCACTCATAACCCAAAAGAACAATTATCTCACCTTTTTAGGTATAGTTTGTGTGCTGTAAATAAAAATTGCCCTTAAATCTTTACCTTTTTGTATTTTACTTTTTATTTTTAATTAAAAATACTTACTCGGCGTTTTTGGCAGTTAGTTCATCGATGTGGCCTGTTAAAAATTCTTTTTCTTTTAACACATGGAAGTATTCTTCCTGATTAATATTCAACTCCTCTTGGATTTCGTGATGTTTCACCTTTTCAGTTTCTAGTTCCTTTGTGAGTTGTTGAATTTCTCTTGTCATAACATCTTTTGTTATATTGTACTGCTCGAATGCCGGTTGTTTCTCCAATTCCTCAATTCTGTGTGTAGCCGCAACAAGTTTATCCATCAATTTTTGATTGGAGCTTTTTAGAAAAGTATTTAATGCCACTTGTTGTGAATATTGTTGTAAAGCAGTTGCAGCATAATCACGATTTTTTTTTAGTTCGTCTTGGAGATCTTTTGTAGGCGTTTTATGGGTCTCCTCTAATTCCATAAATTCTTGCAGATCCTCATCGGTGTCACTGAATGAGAAATCCACAATGTTTAAAAATCAAAATAAAAAAGAGTAAATAAAAGTACCTCTCTGCTAAATCCTTATCACACACAGAGTAGTCAACAATTGAGATATCGGGAGAGATCGTGCCATCCTCGTCTGTACCATCACCAGCTTCACCAACAGACAAATCTAATTGTGCTTCAAAAGGTAACGTTTGAACGTTTTCGGTAATTGAGGTTGATGAGGGATTCCTTTCGATGGCATTAGTTCGGGCTACACGCAGCATACTTTTTTCAATTACAGTTAAAGGAATCGTTGAAGAAGTAACTAATAAAGGAAAATAAAAATTTTTTCAAGTCTCATTTTTTTTTTTTAAACTCACCTTGAAAAATATTATCAATATCATCATGTGAGCAAGCAACAACATCTCTAGTCTTTGAGATGGTGTGGCGACGATGAATTGGATCGGCAACATTTCCTTTAGCGAAAAGTCTGTTATTCAATTTAATCAGGTGATTGTAAGGTTGTTTATTTTCCGCCCGAGCCATTAACAATTCCCGTTCCAACTCCTTTATACGAATTTGTTGTCTTAAAAGTATACTACCTCCTTCGGTATTATTAATAACAGCTGTATTTTTAATAGCTTTCGCGCGACGAGCAAACCTAAATTTTAAAAATCAATCAAATTAAAAAAAAAAAGAAAATGTTTGATAGAAAACCCTTACGATAACGTTGAATGAGTATCTTCTAGAGATGCCGGAGTTATATTTGCGACAATTAAAGTTTTCGCGTTTCCTCCAAGCGCATTTTTTAAAATCAGTGTTAATTTTGAATCTCTATAACTACGGAATTTACAGTTCTCATCGGTTAATTGCGATATAACCAATGTCAAGGTAGATAATGACCTAAAATAAGAAAAATAAAATAAATAATAAAAATATTAATTAATTCTTATTCTTAAACCTAGCACTACAAGTGAATTTAATATGACCCATACATAGGGTGAGTCACAGAAGAGGGATGTTTTTAGAATACAGTACTCGAGAACACTGCGTGTCAGTGAAGTTTGCGCAAGGAATCAATTGCTTCTTGCTCTAGTGATAACAATCCGAAGTCTCTTCTGGCAAAAATTCCACATCAGTTGTCATGGTGGTATCCCCTGCAATACCATTCTTAGGTGCATTAAAGCACTAAGAATGAGTAGTTCTGTATTGAAAAGGAAACTGCCAGAATCGCCACAACACCAGCAAATGTTGATGGAGTAAGAGAGGTATTTATCCGAAGTCCAAACAACATTATGGTTAGTTCAACAGTGGTGCAAGACCTCATTTTAATGGGACAGTTAATAAACAAAATTGTCGATTCTGAGCTTCGATAAATAATTGTAGATTACATCAACCCATGCTACCAAACTGGGAGGCTACCAATTTGGTAGCATGGGTTGTAATTAGTAACGGCAATTATAGCGTGAAGTTTTCTTTTGTAATGTCAATTATAGCGTGAAGGAATGTGAGGTAAGGTTAGTTTTGTTTACAAACATTAATTATACCATGAAGTATTCTTTGGCAATTAGTAATGGCAATTATAGCGTGAAGTTTTCTTTTGTAATGTCAATTATAGCGTGAAGGAATGT